ACACGAAAAAAGTCAATAGGTCGTTCTGGTGGGAAATACGGCACGCCGGGAATCCGTAGGACCACGTACCTCAAAATCTATACTACAAGTCATCTGCGACGTGCTATCCAATCCTTCCACACCAGGCACTGTCAATTCCTGGGCAAAATCCACCACAGCGACAGGATCCAAGAGATTCTCTTCTACGGCCGTGTCATTCTTTATCTGCTTTCTAAAAGCTAATAGTGTGGATATCGGTGTTGGCGGGTGCGCGCGTGCGGGTGGTTGTAGGAAAGAGACGGTGGGGAGCGTGTCCAAGAGTGCTGGTTGAACTGTGACGGCCTCGGCGGACGGGGCCACCAAAGGAGCGCTAGTTTCCAACGAACTGCATGGAGCTAAATGTGATTGGTATAGATGCTGGTGTGGTGCTTGTTGTTGTTGAGGTTGTTGTTGTTGCTGTGGTTGGGAAGCGTGCAGGCGAGGAGGATGGACGGTCTGGATATCTGTTCCTAGGAACGGATCGTGAATGGGTTCGTCAGAGTTCCCTCCGAGTCCGCCCAAGAATGCCGCAGCCTGGAGGAGAGTGGCAATCATTCCCAGTCAGAAAAAGTGTACCCAATGTCCAACGCTACTCAAAAGGCAGGAACTGACTGCTATTTCCCCCCATATCACGCGTGCAGCCCCCTTTGCCAAACCTCCTTTGATTGTTTATAAAGAGACTTGCCTTTGATACTCCATCAGCAGTGGGATTAAAGTGCCCTACACCAAAGATGGGCCGTAGTCCTTGAAAGACTCTATGCATTTGTGAGGAACTTTTATGGAAGAGAGACAAACACTCTTTGAAAGCGCGTCGTATAAAAGGGCTTGATATAAAAAAAAAAAGGGTGCGTAGGTAGTTACTTGACAGTTGTAAAAGTGTAGTAAATCCACAAGAAACAAAAACGACGACGACGACAACGATGGGCGGCAGTGAGGCTTGGAGGTTAAAGTGTGCAGCCGTCTACAAACTTTTATGTGACAGCTATAATAAAATCTCTTGTAAGAAAAAAACGCGTAAGAAATAACGGGAGATTCCGGGATTGTTTTGGAATGACTCTTGGGGGAATTCCTACATTGAATGAGAGAGCAGTTTGTATTATTAGAGAGAGAGAGAATTAGTTTATTTCTAATAGGGGGGAATTCCCTCTCTCTCTCTCTCTCTTACAAGCTTCATGTGTGTTTATATGGATAGTTTGTAGTCAATAAGGCATTCTTTTGCAAAAGTTGCAACGTGGCATTTCACAACGTGGCATTTCACAACGTGGCATAAAAGGATTGAATAAAAAATAGACAGTCAGCAGACGCTTGGAGCCCTAATAACAAATTCTAAGGGAGGGAACAAGAAATAGTTTTGCCGTCAAATCACACAACAGGGCTGCAGTTTGCAAAAAAGTGTATTCAGCGACATGATCGACAGCCCGATGCGGGGGTCGAACCCGCAACCTTGAGGTTAAGAGCCTCACGCTCTACCGATTGAGCTAACCGGGCTACGGAAATTCAAGGGGTAAACAGTATTGTCGACGTTTTAGCCATTCTAGTCCAAACTGAAGAGCCTTCACATCTTTCCACACGTTCTTTAGGAGAACGGCAAAAAAAGATATTTTCAGGCTGCACCATTTGTAACATTTATTGGCATCACCTGGCTATTGTCAACACTCTCAATCTTTCGCTTGGAGGGGATGGCCGCTGCTGCATCTATACCGTCTGGCTCGCCACGCTTCTCCTCCCACATCCGAACCCATTCTCGACACCTTTCAGCTCCATTGGCATCTTGTTCCATATCTCGGCGCTCTACTAGCTCGACACCCCACGCCTTTGCAACATCCCACATGCCCTCCGCCACCACTTTGCGTCTAAATACAATTCGTTTGATCCCTGCGTACACGAGCAGCATAAAGCATTCTTTGCAGGGTGGAAATGTTATGTAGGCCCATGCTCCGCTTGTCTTGATCCCTTGTCGAGCGCACGATGAGACTGCATTGGCCTCGGCGTGGATTTCTGCGCTCGCTTTCATATTCTTTGAAGGTGGTGGTGGATAGACTGGAACGTTTGTTGCTAGCAAAAGGATATTGGACGCTGTGTTCAATGTGGAGGGAGGTTCAATGAGAACGGCGCCCATATGTCCCTTTTGCGAAAGACTGTTTCGTGCAACGAGACAGGCCAGGTCAATGTAATTGTCGTCAAAGGACATGTCGGGGTCATAGCGCCAGTCATAGGTGTTGATCTCAGAGTGAGTGGAGGGAGGAGCCGTTATGGGCGGGATTTTGACCTTGCGTTTCGCTGGGGCAATCACATTTGCCTCTGATGGGAATGAATTGGTACCACCCGTCGCTGGTTGGAGAGTGTCAGCAGTGTCCATTCTGCCCCCAAAACTGGCTGGCGTGACGGGGCTCTGGGGGGGAAATCATTTACAACCCACGTCTGCAAACTTTTGGGGAGACGCCACGACTTTATAAAAAATCCGACGAGTTTTGACCCCACACTGTCGAGATCACCATTTGTCCCATTCCACTACTCGAACAAGATGATGAGCGCAACCACCTTTGACCGTTGCAGGATCCTTGACAATATCCTCGAGCATATTGGCGGAACGCCAATGGTTCGTTTGAACAGAGTGTCAAAGGATGCTGCACTCGAATGCGAACTAGGTATATTTATCATGTTTTCCAGGTCTACTGGAAACACATGCTGACCTTTTCAACTCTAGTTGCAAAATGCGAGTTCTTCAATGCCGGTGGTTCCGTAAAGGACCGAATTGCAAAGCGTATGGTTGAAGCGGCGGAAAAGGACGGCACCCTCAAGGTACAAAGCTTTAGAGTCCAATGTACCTCATATCCCGTAGCTTACACCCATGGTTTCTTAAGCCTGGCTATACTCTCATCGAGCCAACTTCCGGCAATACTGGCATTGGTCTTGCCCTTGCTGCTGCTGTCAAAGGATACCGCGCCATTATCACCCTTCCAGAGAAAATGTCTCAAGAAAAGGTTGATGTCCTCAAGGCACTCGGGGCGGAAATTATTCGAACACCCACGGAAGCCGCATGGGACGCTCCGGACTCACATATAGGGGTTGCAAAGCGGCTCAACAGTGAAATCAAAGAGTCACTCATTCCAGACCAATATTCCAATGTGAACAATCCGATGGCGCACTATGATGGAACAGCAGAAGAGATCATTGCACAATGTGATGGCAAGATTGACATGTTTGTCGCGAGCGCTGGAACCGGTGGAACGATTGCAGGTGTGGCCAAGAAGCTCAAAGAAAAGTACCCCAACGTAAAAGTGGTAGGAATTGATCCCAACGGATCGATTCTTGCCCAACCCGAGACTTTGAACAACGAAGGCATTCATTCATACCAAGTCGAGGGTATTGGGTACGACTTTGTTCCCGAGGTTTTGGACAGGCAATATGTCGACGAGTGGATCAAAACCGATGACAAAGAGTCATTCCTCATGGCCCGGCGACTCATTCGCGAGGAAGGTCTCCTCTGTGGAGGATCATCTGGGGCTGCGGTTGTGGGTGCAATCAAGGCGGCTAAATCCCTCAAACCCGGTCAACGCTGCGTTGTTCTTTTGGCTGATTCCATCCGAAACTACATGAGCAAGCACCTCAATGAAGATTGGATGAAGTCCAACGGATTCATTGACGCTCAGACTGAAAAGATTGAAGCCGACCGTGTATCACAGTGGGGTGGCGCTACCATAAAGGACCTTCAATTGCCTGTTGCTGTTACGGTCCCCGAGAACATAACGTGCAGGGAAGCTGCCGAAATTATGCAATCCCGCGGCTTTGACCAGCTCCCTGTGACATCGTCCACCTCTACGCGCCTTGTAGGGCTCGTCACCCTAGGAAACTTGCTCGCCAAGGTGGCTAGCGGTCGGGCAGGATTGGACGATACAATAAACCGCGCCATATTCCGATTTGACAAGAACAAAAAGTTTACAGAAATCACCGTCGATACACCACTTGAAAAGCTTTCAAAGTTTTTTGAGGCTCATTCCGCCGCTGTTGTTACTGACGCTTCCAAGGGGTATCTGTCGGTACGGCATGTGGTGACAAAGGTAGACTTGTTGGGCTTTCTTGTCACACAAGGCAGCACCAGTGAGACCATGGCAAGTCGCTGAGGACTTTTTTTGTTAGATATAGATGCAATGTGACATTATTCTGATGATTTTATTTTGTAAATGTGATATTACTGTAATACTGCGTGCCTGGTTTTCTTGTATTTTTCGATACAGAAGCGTTTTACTAGCAAGGCGAGATGCAACGAGTTGCTATGCCAACAACTGTGAGGTGTTGACCTGCGACCGTAGAGTCGCGTTAGGGCCATCTACAAAGGAGCAAATAAGCCGCCCGAAAAAGCATGGGTCAAGATGCGTGAGTAGACTTGCTAGTCAAGCGTTTAAACCCTCTCTGTAGTTTGACGAGAAATTCTACAATTGTTTAGACAGCAAATCTTTCTCGACCCGGCCATTCGAGATTGGGTCCTCATACCAATCATGTTGGTCATGGTTCTTGTTGGGGTACTAAGACATCATGCAACACAACTGCTGAATTCAACGCCAAAGGGAAATTTGAAGGGGATGAGAGAGAGGTTGGTTGTTGTTCTTCTCCAACCCATCTAACCATTTGTCCAATGCTTAAACAAATACTGGATAGTGCGGCACTCTTGCGCGCCCGAACACTTCGCAGCCCAGCGGGTTTCATTCTCCCCTTTCCCGCCTTTGCTTGCCGAAGAACATACCTTGCATCTGCCTTTGAAGCTGGGTCGTACCTCAAGAACCCGCAGGCGGCGAATTCGGGTCCTGCGAACCCTATGACGGATCCAGCGGGTATGGAAGCCATGATGGATATGATGAAGAAGAATATGGCCATGATTGTTCCGCAGACTCTTATTATGAGTTGGATTACCTTTTTCTTTTCTGGTTTTGTTTTGAGTAGGTTTTTTTTGTGGTGTTTTTGCGGGATCGTGGACGGGTTGCATCGAGTGATGGACGACTGACGTGGTTTCTTTTAATGTAGTCAAGCTTCCGTTCCCCCTTACGCTTCGGTTCAAGGCGATGCTGCAACGCGGCATTGAGACGGCAGACATGGACGTGACATGGGTGTCCAGTTTATCGTGGTACTTTCTAAACTTGTTTGGATTACGTAGCATATTTACGTTGATTCTCGGGGAAGACAATGGTTTGTCTTTACCTTTCTTGAGAAGATACGTTTTGCTTTTGTTTGCTAATTTGAACATTTTAACGTTTAGCCGCGGGCGGCCTGCAAGATATGAACCAAATGCAAATGATGGGTATGCCTGGGATGGGTGCGCAACAACCTATGCAGCAGCCCGGCGAAGTGGCCAACATGTTCAAGAGCGAGAAGGAGTTTCTGGAACTGGCTCAGCACGAGTGGGCGCTTATGGGTGTAGAGGCGAGGGTTTTGGAATTGTATGGCGTCAAGGTGGATGCGACTGAAGGAGAGGAAAAGAAGAATGTGTGATATTTCGGTTTGTAGGCCTGCATATTTAATGTTTTATTTGGCAAAATAAATGCGTCAATACAGTTTGCCAAGTTGCGGTTTTTTGCAAGTCAAGGTCAAAAGATTTATATTATTAGCACGATCGAAAAAAAAAAAAAAAGTTGATCAACTAAACCCAAAAAGACGTGCGAAGAATGTCTAGTTGAAAAACCAATTCCAAAAAGGAACTATATACAGGAAAAAAAAAAACCAACACCACGACCTATGAATTCTCTTTCACCGGTTTTTTTTTTAACCTTGATACTCAAGGTCTTACAAACTCATCTGTCCCAACAACCGGTTACAAACTTTTTTGTAACTCCACACACCGCCATGAAGTCTTTTGAAATGCAACCCCGACAGATTCATCCTTGGAAGTTTATAAATGGTAATTTGAAACGAGATCGTGTGAGTTTGCAAATGTTTCTTTTCTGGACTAATTGGAGAAGGAGGACGTTCATCTTCTTCTTTTTCTCTTTCTTGTGCCGTTAGGTTCGATGTGTCTAGTTCGCAGAGGAGGGTAATGGGTGTCTCGGGATTGGATTCTTCAGGGGGTGCTTCGACACTATAAGCTATCCGTGCGTCTTCAAGAACTTTTTGAACCTGATCGAGGATTTCCAATGGCTTTTTCGATGATGTTGTTGAGACGTTAAAGAACCACCCCGATACAGCCCGCAAGTCTGTTCGAAAGCGGGTGGTGCTTGACACGGCTGATGAGGCCGCTGCCGATCCTCTACGGGTTGAAGCAGAAGACGGGGTCTGAGCAGGTGGTTGCGGCGACGAAAAGCGTCTCGTCCAATCTTTTTGAGAGTCATCTTGGGTGGATGGTGTGGGCGGTAATGGAATCGCTGGAGGTGTCGAGCCCGGCGGTAATGGTTTTTCGTGGGCGGTTGTGGGTCGGGTTTTGGCTGTTGGTGGGGGTTGGAGGGAGAGAGGTCTTGTTGGGGATGTTGGTGAATCGGATTCGCTTGGGATCTCTGGCATGGGTGAATTTAAGGGGAGTGATCGTCTATTGTATGCATCTGGGGTGGACGCTCGTCGGTCTTTGAGAATCGTCGAAAGAGCCTGTAAGGAGGCGAAATGCTCCTTTCGGGACGCTGGTGTTACTCCCTTGGTCGACACTGCTAGAGGTACTTTTGGTTCCTCCTCCTGACTCGCCTTCTCGGCATATACGGCTGCCCCAGGTGGTGGTACCGCAATGTTTGGGCTGCTTGCAGAGAGCCGACGTGCAGCAGTTGTACTCTTGCGTCTATCAGCCCTCAATTTGGATTCTTCCCGTGCCAGCATTTCTTTCAAAAGAAAGTACGTCGCGCGGACTGGACTTGGTTTCGACTGATCAGCCTCGGGACCAAAAGCTTTTGTCACATCGTCCATGGTGTATCCAAAGACAAAGAGCCTTTGTAGAATTTCTTTTGAGAGTGTGCTCGGGTCGGATATTTTTGGACGTTCTGGGAGGTAGTTTGGGGGTGGGCAGTCGTAACCTTCGTTTACCCATGGATGGACAAGCACTTCGTCCAGGGTTGCGCGCTTTTTGGGATCGACGGTGATAAGACGGCTGATGAGATGTCGAGCGCCTTGGAGGTTAATTTTGTTAGAGTTTCCCATTATCTTTCTCAATGAGTGCGTTAGCTAGCGTAACCTACTCGGCATCAAATAATCCGGACATGTATAACTCCCACTCGCAATTTTTCGATAAAGCTCTTTCATATTATCATCGTCAAAAGGAAGATGTCCGCAGAGCAGCGCAAAAAGAATAACACCTTGTGATGAAATTGTCAGAATCTCTCATGATTTTTTTTACTTTAAATCTGCTTCATGAACGGCGCCAAACTTACCCAAACTCCACATATCTACTTCAGGACCTTCGTATTTTTTCCCTAGAATCATTTCGGGGGCGGCATAAAAGGGTGAACTACATGATGGGAACCCGGAACGATAAAGATGAATGGCAAGTTTGCAAAATACTGTACAAGAATCAGTTGTGAAATCTACCCGCAGAATGTATCCAAAAGACCTTCCATTGTAAAATTGTTTCCAAATCCAAAGTCGATGATCTTGATTGTCTTGGTTTCGTCGAGTAAGAGGTTTTCTATGAGTGATTTTGAATACCGTTAAATATACCTAATTAAATCATCTTTTTGAGAGTTTGTCTCCTACCTGGCTTCAAGTCTCGATGAATAACCGCATTCTGGATAGCAAAGTAAAAAGGTCAAAAACAAACTGACATTAGCGATGAAAGTTGACGTCTTTGAAATACATACCTTGTGACAATAATCTACCGCACTCAAGACTTGTCTAAAAAAGCTTCTCGCTTCTTTCTCCTTGACTCGCTTATGCGCAACAATGTAATCAAATAATTCGCCTCCAGAAGCGTACTCCATAATAATGTATATGAACAGCTCCGTTTCGTTTACATCGTATACTTGGACAATGTGCGGGTGGTGGAGAAGGCGGAGGAAGCGAATCTCTCGTTGGAGACGGGCGATTTGCTTTGAGGATTGGACTTGAGCTTTTTCAATGACTTTAACAGCGACCTGGCGTTGATTTTGGAAAAAAAAAAAAAAACGAAATATCAAGAGATACGGCTTAGCTTCGCGTTGAGTAGGTGAGCAACTTGGTTTTTTTTACCTTTTCGCCCGTTACTGGATCGACACCTAATCTGACTTTCCCGTATGTTCCTTGTCCAATGGTCCTTTCTATCCGCCACCGACCGACGAGTTCCCCCGGACCTGCACTCTCCTTTCCATCTGATGCCGCTCCACCTGGCGAAGCGGTGGAGTTGGTGCTCATGTGTCCTCTCGTCGTTTGGATATCGTCAATGTGATGCTCTTGTTGTGGATGAGTTTGAAGTAGCGAAACGGTGTCCGGGGAATTTGGAAAGGATAGAAATCCGTTCAAAATCGTGGTAGTAAACTGTGCAAACCACTTGAAATTCAGCACTGCCTTCACTCCATCATTTGCACCTGCAAGAAGCTGACCAATACAGTTGCTAAACACCGTATTGTCGAATGAACGCTCTATGGATTGACAATTAAATATGAAAAAACTTTCGAAAACAAAAAATGGCCACTCAGCATTTTTCAGGGCGTTACCAAAAATATCGTTGGGCATTTTGTGAGTAAATCGGATCCCCATTGGAGTTTCTGGAGTTTGCATGTTTCCTTCGATGGTTGTTCCATGCACTCGAATATTGGTTTGATGTGCATGGATTACCATGAGGTCATAAAGTATTCGAAAAGTGGATGTGGTATTTAAAAGTGTTTTCGGGTTTGGGATGTATAAAAGCTGGCCAGCTATATCCGGTTTGCAAGTCTCGATAGTTTATTACCTGGGCTCTGGTCGGGCGAAGCGTGACTTTAGATCAGAAACTATTTCCATAGGCTTTTTGGATTTATCTGTTTTTGTTGCTTACGACTCCGACCAGCTTATCCGAGCAAAAAAGCGGGGGGAGCAGGAGTATTTAGTAGCAGCTCTATTTTCCAAATCTTGTCTTTTTCTTTTCTTCTGCCATTGCCGTTCATTTTCTTTTTTATAACGAGGTTCATTTGAAAGCCCAGAGGCATCTGCAATGGCCGACGTTGAAATCACTCCTCAATCCGACGGCCAGCCTAGCGGAATTAGCCATGGCGGAACCGCGGAAGAAGAGCAGCACCAGCTCTTTGTTCGAGCTATTTTAATGTTGTCGTTGATTGCCGTTGCAATGAATATCAACGTGTTTCTGCATAAGAAAAAGTTTCACTATTTGGGAGAGACGGCTGTGTATATCTTGCTAGGTGAGTTAGTTTGGATGGTCGTGATTCTACTTGGGTCTCCCAGAACGCATCAAGTTAACACGTTTGTGTTCTGCAGGTCTGGTTGTCGCGATGGGATGGACAGCAATCTCGTATGATGAGCAGAACAAGGCGATTCAGCTGTCGAGCAAGTTTTTTTACATGGTGCTTTTGCCTCCCATTATTTTTGAGGTATTCCGTTAACTGCTGGTCGTAGTGTTTGCATTGCAGAGGGTTCTTACTCTGATCTTTTCATAAGGGAGGTTTTGCACTTCAACGTGTATCCTTCTTTCAAAACATTCTTACCATCACCATCCTGGCATTCTTTGGAGCACTGTATAGCACATTTGTTACATCTGTCCTTATGTACTTTTTCTCCAAGCTTATCTCGCCCTGGTCATTTATCGAGTCCCTTGTATTCGGATCGCTGATTTCCTCAACGGACCCGGTAACAGTCCTTTCCCTTCTCCCGGCCAACGTGGACCGAAGACTGTATATGATCATTTTTGGTGAATCTGCTTTGAACGATGCCGTATCGATTATTCTGTACCGCTTCTTTACAAGCCTGGCGGACCCTCACATGAGACTTGGAGTTGGAACGTTTATTTTGGCAGTGTTGGCGAGTGCCGGTGTCTTCCTGGGAAGTTCACTCGTGGGGATCTTTTTCGGATTAGCTTTGGCCAAAATCACAAAGCATGTCAAAGTAGATGATAAAGAAGCTGGCACGTATGAGATGACGATGGTCCTCATTTTTGCTTACTCGAGTTACCTCTTGGCGGATTTGTTGTCTTTGACCGGAATCATTAGCGTATTCTTTACGGGAATCACGATGGCGCATTATGCTTATAACAATCTTGCTCCTAGTACGGCGACTTCTTTAAAGGTTGGTCGAATTGGTTTTCATCTTGGTCGCAAATATAGTACTTGACAAGAACTATTTTGGTTTCTTATCGTCTAGTCCACATTGCGAATGATTGGATTTATGTGCGAGTGCTTCATTTTCCTGTATCTTGGACTTGGGCTCCTGTCTTTTGGAGGCAAGACCACGTACAGCCCAATGTTTGTTCTATTCGCCTGTGTAAGCAAAAAATATCTGGTCTCTGCTTGACAAAAGATCACCACTCATTATGTACTTTCAGATCTCCATTCTCATCTCCCGGACCCACGTCTTTGTTTTTCTTGGTTTCCGAAACTTGGCACGCAACAAAGAAGATGCTGTTCCCTTCAACCAGCAAGTTCTGATCTGGTTTTCCGGTCTTCGTGGTGCGGTAGCCTTCGCTCTAGGCGTCACGTTCCTTGAACACCCTGTATTTGACGAGACAGTCAAGGGCCAAATCTTTGGCACAACCGTCATGGTGGTCGTGTTGACTGTCCTGGTTTTAGGCGGTTTGACTCCGTACATGCTTCGATGGCTTGGTCTTGTCCCGAGCGAACCGGAGGAAGGCCATGCTGGGCATCCCACGACGGTTAAGCCTCCAAGTGAGGCTCAGAAGGAGGCGGGAACTCCCAGTCAGGGATATGGAATGGTAGAGACGGAAGGTGCAGAAGTCGATGAGGAGGCTCAGGCCATCGAGGCAGGCTCAAAGAAGAATGTTGTGTTTGCTTGGCTTTACCAGTTCGATGCAAAGTACGTATTATGACCAGACTCTCCATCATGTGTCGTACACTATCTGATTAGAGTCATTTTCCATCAGATACATTCGGCCCCACTTTACAACGCTCAGCGACCACAGCGTTCAAACTCTTGCCCAAATCGAGGCGCAACGAGCCGCGTCCAAGCGAACGTCGCGTCAACCTTCTGCGATCAGCATGAAGGGCAAGGGCAAGGACCAGGACGACAACAGGGATTCGGATAAGATTGAATTATTGAAAAGTAACCGGAGCGAGGACGTCATGATGGAGGCGGTCAATTTGAATGATACCCCTGTGACTGGAGATGCAGTATAATATCGGAAGGAGTTTTTGCGTGGAAGAGTAGTTTGTGGAGAGGTTCAGACTGCTTTCCATCATGTACTGATCAACAGTTTGAATAAGTTCTTGGTATATATATTCTTTTCACTAGCTTCAGCCATCTGTCCTTGCAGCTATTTACGTCAAACGGATATATTCATCAAGCTTATAAAAGGCCGCGAAACAGCCGTACGCCATCACCAAATCCATTACAACCCCAGCCTTTGATAGGCAGATGCATTTCTCAAGAGTCTACCCTAATATCAATCTCCTACACGCACATTTCTGGCTCTTTCACTCTATACATGCGCCCACCAGGTGCTACTTTCCATCTTTGAAGGGTGCCATCCCACATGATCCATATGCACAGCTGATTTGCTGTACGGCGCTTTTGTTATGTCGGGGAGCAGGGCGTGCCCTATATCGGTGAATAGGTTCTCTTGCGCAGTACGCTTCTCATTTATCTTTGCATTGATGTTCAAGTCCGGTGTCGAACTCAAGAGGACTCCACTTGTCACATACACCTCTGTCACAAACATCAGCAATTGATTTCCGGGTTCTTGTGGAGATGGCTCAACATGCAAAACGATCTCGATCGATCCGTCATTTGATGTCAACGTATGTCGCCCACCAGAGACAGCAGAGAAGCGGGCACATTTGACTCGGTGAAAGTTGTTTTGGCCGGGGGAGGTGGTGACGACCCGACTAAAACCTATGATCTGGGAGCTATGAGATGGTAGCATCGTCAAGAATCCGCCGCATGACGGTGCAGTATGTGCGTAAGTTGCAGAATGAGGCGAGACGCCATTCCAAAAGGTGAGCAGACGACTCTCGCATCCAGTGTCCTTGTGCAAGCGAATGATGGTGGGCCGCTTTCTGTCTGCTATCAACCGCCACTTTCGCTTATTAGGACTCCATACTGGCTTTGTGAGCCACTCATTGACGCCGTCCTCCGAACAACCGTATTGGGATGGGCAACCTACGGGGAGACACCAAAATTCTGTGTACAAAATTGCCCCCCAGTTCCCAGTTGGAAATAGAATGTTGAATCGAGGTAGTTTGTCGAATGTCGTTGATCGTCTGCTAAGACGTTCTGCGAGAGAGGACAAGGCGGCTGCCCGCAGGCTGCGAGAAGCTATTAGGAAGGGTAAATGGTCAGCAAGGGAAATGTAGGAGAGGATGGCAAGGGTTGTTTCCACGGGAAGATGAGGTTTCGACAGTAGAATTTTTGACGGCATTCTTCTTTCGATAGTCATTTCAGTTTGCTGGGGGGGAGGAAATAAGCGTTTCTTGTTTAAACGCCAATGGAGCGATGGGATAAACAAATCCTTGGGTCTCAAAAACCCTAGTGCCCGAGCATACGGTCAAAAGCTCCTGTGGATCGCGATCAAGGGCTGTGAGGTCATGTGAACACGGTGGAGTCAGCATCCACCATTCCAAAAGGCTCTCGGCGCTTTTCCAATTACCCTTTATTTTTGACCCTGAAATCTGACTTTTGCGCTGGACATTCAACGCTTATGACGCACTCTTATTAGTGATTTGCTACTTGACAGCGCAATAACAAAGGCAGGCTCGGAGGCAACCAAAAAGCCTTTCTGTTTTTACACTCGGAGCGAGAAAGCACACCGTTTACCCGGGGCTGAAATTGGGGGTTCTTTTAGGTACGTGACCAGCCCCCACTTTAAGCCGCACACGGCAAAGCTTGACTGCGTTGTAAATACTATGTATCACTTTTAGTTTCAAAGTAAACATGCCGGTCGAGGCGGGGCCTGGCTGGCAACCTCCCTCGTCAATCACAATAACAACCGAACAGCGGCGACATGACATATTAGGGGGACTACCGTTACCAAATTGCCCGTATCTATCATCTTCCCTTCCGCCCACTGAACCTGGATCCAATTATGGCGCGCCGGCACTTCATAGTCCAACAGTTTCTCTAACATTCCTGACCATCGGCGTGACATGTATCACATTTGGGATCGTCGCAGCAGCAAAGTATGATTCGGCGCGTGTGTTCAATAGGACGATCAGAGACCGATCAGTAAGAAATGGATGGTGGGCGGTATATTTCTTGGTGTTGGGTGTGAGGTTGGTTGGTTGTCTCGTCCCTTTGGAGTATCTGATCTTTGTGGACTGACTGGCTGGAAAGCTTTCTGATAGATTTTATACGGTATGCTTTGGATTTGCCACACATGTCCCGAAAGCCCGATCGTGGATCAGGGAAGGAAGCTACGGTGGAACCCCAAATCATTGATGCATGGTTACTGTTTATCTCCGCTGTCCTCCGCAGTTTTTCTGTGTTTTCCTTCACTTTGGCTCTCAACTATCAACGAAAGAACCGATCGAGCTGTACGTCATACATGTATATTTCCTTCTGCATAGCAAAGGACACTGGTTTAACCTTCTGCCTTCCATTTCAGCCATTACACAGGATCGATCTGCAAACCCAACAAGCAATCGTAACCCAGCAGCCGGACACCATGCACCATCGGCAGCAGCGTCATCGCGGCCCGCCTCCTTCCCTGCGTACGGGACAGTATCGTCTCAGTCCCTATCACCAGCACGGAGCCCATCAGGAAGTCGGCCGGGATCGTTCATATCCCGAGACCGCTCACCAAATACAAATGCTGCCAAAGCTCGGCGCGAAAGAGATTCATCTAGCGAAAATATCAGAGATGAAGAAGAAGCGCTCTTGGAGGGCTATGAAACCCCGGACGGGTTTGATGATGACGAGCCAATGTCGCGGCCTACGCGATGCGGTTCTGGGAGCCGTTGTTGTGGCCTCGCAGGATGCCTGAGAAGGGTTTTTGCTAGCTGGGGATTTCTAGCACTTATTCTGTGGTTGATGAACTTGTTATCCATATACCTGGCAACGTAAGTGATGCATTCGATCAGATTACTCGCAACTGGTGAAGGACAAGAGACCTCACTGCTTTCTTGTAAATCATTTTAGAAACCCACCTAGTATGCCACCCGGACATACGTTACCCAACGAAATACCTGTGTCGTTCCCTCCACCTCTCGTCGATCCAGGCCCGCACACATACTCTCCAACATTTTTCCGCTTCAGTGTAGCAATGGACGTCATTCAGCATATCCCAGTTTTGATATTGGCAACCATGATCATTGCTGGACCCTATGAGCACGAGGAAGTTGGACTTGGGAGGCGAACGAGCCGCAGGCGCCAAGGGCCTACGGGTTCGTCAAAATTCCTTCTGTTCTTGGGGTTGCTGCTCGGTAGTGTGTGGCTGGTAGAGCCCAGTGTGTTGAGTCGCGGCGTGGATGCGCTAATACGTAGCACGGATAGTGGCAGCAGTCTGAGCTATCATGGAAGAATGTGCGTGGTTCCACCTTGGTGGTGGTTGGAAGCCCATGAAGATCCCACATACCTGGACGGAACAAATGGGGATGTCGCGCCTCTCATTTTGGGCACCGCTCTACCCAAACCCCCCGGGGAACTTCATGGTTGGGCTTCATGGGTGGATTTGCTCCAGTGGACTGGGTATGCGGGGTTATGGCTCATATTTGGGTTCGTTCGCAAAGAGTACAAGCGGAACAAAGAGGTAGCGTGGGTCTATTCCTTTTCGTTTTTTGAAATGACCTGATCAGTATATTAAACATCAATTGTTTCCAGGAATGGATTTGGTTAACCGTAAGCGAGCTTCAAAACATCTTTGATTTCCGACGATATTGAACAAGTTTGAAAGCTTTTTGGTGTCATTTCTATCATGTCCTTGCGCACGGGGTAAAATTATTTGTGCATATCGAAGCTGGTTTTGCATTTCATGATATGATTTCTTTTTGGCGGCTTGTTTCTTTATATGTATATCTTGATCTCATCAGTTTCCTGAACAAACAAAAACAAAACTTGTTTATAGCCTCCAAAACAATGAACGACTCTTATTCTCCTCACAGGATGGAATGTCTTCCATCCAAAATTGCTTATCAAATCACAACTATAAAGTGGACATTGCAAAAATCGGACATGTTCTTTGCACTGCCGAACGCGTACGTTTTCTACTGCCATCACGCTGTCGGCGGAGTTGTTTTTCAGCACATTCCTTTCCTAGGATTCCTCCAGTAGCTTGTGGTAGCGGATCAGCAAGGATATAAGTGTGCTTGGCTTCTCGTTATATTGCCAGAATCGCGGGGAGAGGGCAAAGTGCGCAATTTCACACCTTCACACCTTAAGAAGCGCGGCGCCGTTTTTTCGCCAATTACATTGAGTATGCGAATTTAGTACCGTTGCATAGAGGCAGATATGGTTGTGCCATCATAGTCCGTTTGCCTTTTTTACGAACTATACGTGTGGCCACTTCCTTTTTTCTTCATTTTGACTGGCGTTTCCTCGGTTTGCGCTGTACACAGCATCCGCCGCTATCTGCCCACTTACCTTGGCGCATCAGTGCGGATCACAGAGTACAGGAAACGATTGATTGAACATAGACGATTATCTACCCGTTTGGCGACTGTTCAACTTTCGAACACAGGCCGTCACCTTTTGCACCCCTTGCAGACACCGCGTCATGTCCCGGGCGACGCCGAGCATTTTGGCTGCTTTGCATTCGACAGTACCTTGCAAAAGGCCCCTGATGATGTTGGATGAGCTTGGCCTAGAAGATCGGAAAGGATATGAGGAACCGACCGCTAAACGAGTCCGATCGGAGGATAAAGCACCCGTAACGACTGTGACGAAGCGTGTGGATGTTGAAACCTGTACCGACGCACCTGAAGGCATCGATGCCACAAGGACGCTTTCAACTGGTGAAACAAAAAAAACATGTATCAAAGTTGAAGAGGTTGGCCGGCTAGATCCGGAAGCACATCACTTTGATTGCCAAAAAGGCGAGATGTCCATAGCCACCGTTGCTGCAGATACCCAGCGTGAGGATGTTTCTAATGACGATGGTGAACAGAGTGCCGAGATAGTGATATCGGAGGTCACTCATGGAAAAGCACAGATTCTTCCGGAAGGCTTGGATCCTGCAGAGTATCATGATCCCACCGTTTCCCAATCGCAGCCTCGGGATCCTTCCATCGCCGGACACGTTGCGTTTGCTGCAGCGAATGAACTATACCTGCCTCCCTTCTTGAGAAGCATATATGGCGACGGCCCGTCTCTCCACCAACCCCCGCAAAATCACAATCCGCGTCCGTCACCGCAGAACTCGAGACCTTTTGACGTTCAGTCCCTCACCACACCTGTTTGCCACAACACATCACGACCAGGAAAGCTTCGGAAAGGATCTCAAACAAGCGAGAGCTTGTGGTGGCAAAGAAAGCAGTTTGTCTGTGACTTCAAGACAACAAACGTGGAACTCTACAGGTGGCATACAACGCATCTAAAGGTTACAGAACAGAAGGTGATGGCTGAAGGTAACTGTTCGACTCTATTGGGCAGGGTTTTTATGTGGACATTTGATTGATGAAACTCGGTCCTTTGTGATGCCTAGCACGAGCAGCTGCGGCCTACGCTACAACCACAAAAATATGGAAGCCGAACACAACACATCCCGCTACGTTTACATGCATCCAAGCTTCGTCATCAACAGCATCTCAATCTACTCTGCCCACGTTGGCGCCCCGACCCACTGACTCTCCCTGCAGACCACAATTCTTCCCGGACCCGGAAACGGACGTGGAACTCGGACTCCTACGCGATGCCGTATCAGGACGACTTGTTATGACGTGCCCCGCCGCCTTTGCAGTAAAGGGACGATTAGAACGGCACAAAAACGGTAAAAATCCGGCACAGTGGACGGGTGGCGCAAGAGAGAGCGATTACGTCTTTACAGCTGCAACTGGCAATCCGATTGGAAGGCTAGGAGAGGAGAACGCCTGGGAAGAAGACGGTCCCGTGGCGGTCAGCGTGAAAGGAAAGGGTAAAGGGAGGGGGAGGGCCAAAGCCAGGAAACCATTTTCCTTCGAGCGGATGATGTATGTCTGCTCATGGCCAGTGTGTGGACGGGAATTCACTAAGCGAGGGGAATTGCAAGAGCATGTTGTCAATATCCATCAGGTCGGTGTATGTTCTTTTGCGTTCCACTCGCTTTTTTGTCGATCTTTCTTGGCGTCCCTTTCATAATGGTTGATATGTCATCATTCCAATCCAAAAGATACCTGTTCCAACGGCAGTGGAGAAGCAACCGTGGATTTTCAGCCCAAAATTTTCGATGGTCCCTCTTCAAAACGGAGACTCTTTGAATTGGATTTCAAGCGCGGCAGTCGCAGCAAGCACCCGAAGCGTATCAGAGATTCTGGAATGGTTTCGGAAAGGGGTGTGGAATGTTATGGCGTGGAAATTGGGCAAAATGATTGAGTTGAGCGGACTTCGGGCTGGAGCGCAAGACAATCCAGTCAACTTGACCACGGGAATGGAAGATGGGCCTATTGCAACTGGTTATGTGCGAACCGTGGATATGGATTGCCGATTGAACGAGTTTGTGCGTGAGCTTGATATGCAGCTTGTAGAGGGTGAAATGATTTGCTGGGTTGCGGGGAGCAATCTGCAAGTTGACTCAATCATCAGGTCGGAAATGTCCACCGTCAGTCCTAACCGAAAGTTGCGGGACCATGCGCGTGCATTGGCAGCAGGTACGCGACCGACTCCGGTCGTCACAGCATTTGAAATAGATCCAACGCAAATACCCTTTCCAACGGTTGCTGAACTGTTAAAGGAGTTTGGACAGATATTGGTCGCCAGTTTGGTTGAATATGGCCTTTTGCAAACCATTGACCAAGGCTCTAGGCCAAGCTCGCTGGCAGTCGATATGGATCGGTTTCAGGCTGTGGTCGAGCAATGGAGTGCTGAGCAATTGGTTCGAAAGGCTGTCAAGTTTGTGCTGGAAGCGCAAGAAACGGAGGCTAGGCGATTAGGGTTGGCGACGGTGGGAAGCATACCTATTGATAAGGCTAGTGTTGGAGGGGAAAGTAGGAGTACCCCCAAGCGGACGGTACATCGATCAACGCCCGCGCCCAAGTCAAGGGGCAAGACTAGCGTCGACATGCAAAGTCATTGCCGATCTACGTCAGCAATCAAACCCAGAGACAAGGCTAGCGTCGACCTGCAAAGCCCTCATGGATCTACGCCTGCAATCAAGTCAAAGGACAAGTCTACAGTGGATATGCAAGGCCCTCCAAGTCGCATTTTGAGTCCTGCCGAGACCAACACAGCGGCTGTCGAGGCAAACACGCCAAAGGGTCGGTCACGGCGAAACGCTGACGATCAGCTCTCTGGAAAAGAGAACCGACTAATGGCTCAGAGGGCAACGCCTCCGAAAGTGAAGCCGCGACGACCCAGAGCTACAGCCGAGACAGTGACCAGAGTGATAGCTGCAGCCGCAAGAGAACGAGAAAAAGCCGCTTTGGCTGCAGCTGCGGCCATGACAGCCACCGACGCCCTCCCATCAAAACCGGCATCGCCTGTCCAGCATGACGAACTTCAATCGTCTGATCTCTGCCCATACAGCGAGGCCGCGACGCCTTGTACAGAATCGCTGCTTTCAAGTTCATCCGCCTTCCAGTACTCCCCAGAACTCTTTCTCCATTTCACAACGGATGTAACGCACCTCCACCCACCGACGGCTATACAATATGATCCTGATGACGGCCTACCCGCTAATGCCCTGCCTCCCACTCCGGGTACCACCCCTTCAGTTGGCCGCACGCACACTCCTTCAGTAAAGGAATTTAATACACCTATTGAGTTCAAGGGTACGATAGCACTGCGAACACCTGGTACAACACCGGTTGCCGGACGAGGACGAAAGTGCGAGGACGCACAAAAGGATGGGATGTTCACTTGGAAGTGGAAGTAGCTGTGGTAAAGTAGTCATCCAACCTAGTAACCTACGTTTACAAATGGTAGCTACGTCCAAGTGTCAGTATCAATTATGCCCCTCCTTCCTTTTTGTCTTTTTTGGATAGATTTGGTGATAGAGAACATGTAATGGGATCGTAGATATGATTAATTGCTCTGGATGGGCTGGAGAAAAGCTCCAATGAAGACTGAGAGTAATGCAGCCAATCAAACTCTTATTTACGAAAAGGATGGAAACGTCTCGCGCCAGCGCCAGACCCAGAACTTTCTCCTCCCTGAGGTCTACTATTTGACGACGCAGGCCCTCTGAATGAGGACCCGCGCGCGGCTCCCGGTCCTGCCGGTTTTCTGTCGTTTCCCATTCCGTTGGCCATTCGTTCTTCTTGCTGCGACAACTGGTGGATTTTTCGTTCCAGAGCAGATATTTTTGCAGACGTACTGGATGTGCAAAGCTATGTGAGATTGTTGCAAATGGGCAAGGATGTGACGAGATTCGGTTGTTACCTTGCGCGCACAATCTTGGGCTGTAACTTCAGGTTTACCTCTTCCGGCACATCCTTGTACCTATCCGCCGGTCTCGGCAACTTTCCATCCTGCCCATGGTCAACCGAAAACCCCACCGTCAGCTTGCGTCCTCCCACCACTCGCCCATTCATGGCCGCGACAGCCCCAACGGCATCCACGCGTCGTTCATACTCGACAAAACAATATCCCCTCGGCTCACCCTTCCGAGGTCCATGCTTGTGCCATAGATAATCTATCTTTCGGATCTTGCCATGAGGAGCAAAGAGTGTAATCAGATTATACTCTGTTAAGGTTGGAGGCAGGTTTCCGACGTATAAACGAGTTTGCGGTGTGTTGGGCGTTACGTTTGTTATTGGAGCAGGGACTGAAGGGGGTGGTGCTGGCTGCGAGGTGCCAGAGGGTGAGATTGGATCCAGGAATGAAGAGGGGGAGGCCGAGGGTGAGGGGCTGTTGCGTCAAGATGCGATCTAGCCTGCGGGGAACGTACCTTTACTAAAACACTCTATGAGGAAAAAAAAAATAAAATGTAAGTTTCGAAATGCGTTGTGGTTAAAGAACATGGGTGGTCAATCTGACCTGCTCGAACACATCCGCGCTAGCGTCTTTTCCGACCGTACTGGAATCTACATCCTTGACCGACATAATTCTTGAGATCATATCCATCGCTGGTGGAATACCAGTGACGTACGAAACCAGATGTGGCGCAGGCGTCACGTCTGGCGTCTAGCGTAAGCATCTCCGACCTCCACGCAGATCGAGCGGCAAAACGATTGTTGGGATGAACGCTGAACAAAACAAGCGGATACTGTCTGTGAACTTTCTGGAACTGCACTTTGGATCGGTAGGCACCCCTTTTCTAATGGTTTACCCCAGGATGGTTAAGGGTTTGTACAAGCAACCCTCGTCTCAGCAACGTGTCAATGACCACGCACACCATGCACCACAGATAAACAATAAGTAACATAAACACCTGCCAATAAGGATGAGGTATGTTTATCAGTAAGCAACCAACTTACCGGCTCTGTTGTTTTGACAGGAAATCTGCGCTTAAATTCTTCCGCGTAAGTATACAAAAAAAGCACAGTGCATACTGGGTCTGTGTCCCGAGATTAGCTATTAATAGAAAAGTTCGTATTTTTATCGTTAATTATATCCTCAGACAGACGGACCGAAAACAGGAGCAAACAAAACCCACGTAAACTGTTTTTCTTTGGATTAAGGAACCTTGGCGGGAAGTACCCCGAGTTTTGCTCATGTTTTTCCATCATTCTACTCTTTGGTTTGCTTCATGAATGCTTGTCAGTTGATTGTTATCCCGTATTTTTGCCGATTTCATGAAGGCCTGTTGCACTGTTATTGAAGAGGGAACAATAACCGTTTGCCAAAGCGTCTTTACTCCGCAAAAACAACCTTTTTGGTGTGCGTCAAAAAGTCTATTCATTCGTTTCAGCATTTCCCCTACCTCGTTGTGCGGTGTTTCCTTTGGCCTTGCCCTTTCCTTCTCATATCAGGGAAGGTTCAAGAATATGGAAATGGAGGCCGTAACGTCCAGTGTGCCCAGGGAGGGCGACAAAGACGGATCCACTAAACGCAACGTTCTCAAAGAAATGATACAGACGCTTACACAGCGACTATCCAAGCGGACTGCCAAGGAACCGAGTCCGCCAACTCGACGGCGACGAACAATGGGAGATGCGGAGGTGGGAGCGGTGCATCGCAAATCCATTAAGGAAAAGCTGCGACGGCTCTCAAGCCATAAATCCATTCGAAGGGGCTCGGTCTCAGAGGCACCCGTTGAACCCAAGGTCGAGGACTCGACCCCTCGCAAGGGATCGCTTCATGACACGTTACGCCCATCACGGAGGGGGTCGAGTGCGTCTAGTATGGGCTTGGGCTGCGTGGACGCGGTTCCCATCATCGACGAGGCTGGGCCATCCAATTGGGGGTCGTCGCTTACCATAAAGGCAGATCACGCAGCACCCAGCGGCGACGTTCCACGAGATGGAGGGGATTGTCATGTCGACCAAGGAGCGGCTACCAGAAAGCAAGTTTGGACGAGTTCCATGGATCCATTGATTGAGCCCTCAAGTGGGTCGTGTGGTCCGGACACGCTGGAGGCAACAGGGAAGAACACAACGGCGTGTGCTGCACCTGGTGTAGATGGTCAACCTAACAAGCTCACTACGTCAACCCGAACAATGGAGCCCGAACCCGAGACCCACGAAATCGTTATTGGAGGCGAACGGCGCAACGCAACGATTGACGAATTGACCACACTTGTAGCATTTGGTGTAGTGTTACCTACCATGACGGACTATCGGCGCATAGTCAGTGCTCAACCCGCTCCATCGAACGTGCAAGGTCGACGGCGGTCGGACTCGCTAGGTCGCCAGACTTTATCCGATCGACAAAGAACTGGCGAAATCTCGTTGCCAGATATTCCTACAACGACACCAACATCCACCGCACCCGCTCGCACTCGTCGCAATTCGCTCCCTACACCAGGGTCTTTCTCCGCTCTAGCTCCTAACACACGCGGGATCCTCAAACCAACCACTCGATCTGAAAAGGAGAGCCCATCCAATCGCGTGACATTCAACCCTTCCTCGAAACCCACTGCACCCCCCGCTACGACCAGACCCCGCCGCAACAGCGATGGAAACATCACGATAGCCAACGAAAACATTTCCCGCGAGCTACCAGAATTTGAACGACTGCTCAAGCTAAGAATGACGCCGGCGATATTCTTGAAAGGAGAGTACATTATTCGGAAAAGGGAGGTGGGGAGGGAAATGTACTTTTTGTCTAAAGGGAGGGTAGACGTTGTTTCGAGTGATGGAAAAAGACAGTATAGCAGTATTGGACAGGGATCCTTTTTTGGTAAGTTTCCTTTCACACACCTTTTTCGATCACACACATCCTGACGATTTGTATAGGCGAACTAGGCGTCTTCTTCGATATACCCCGCACAGCCTCTGTCCGCGCCGTTGAAAACTGCTTTTGCATGGTCCTCTCCCGAACGGACCTCGAGCAAGTGTTGCAAGGATTTCCGTCCATCAAGGAACAATTCCACAAAGTAGTTGCACAGCGCATGGCGGACGTCAAAGCAAGGAGGGAGTGTGCGTTAGTGGTGCAGTCGAGGTTGAATGCTGCATTCAGTACAATTGAGGAGGAAGATGAGTAGAGGTTGTGTGCAAGTGGGAGGGCGGAACGGGTCGTGAAGCAGCTGTTTTCTCCTTTTGTTTAGGTATATTTACGTTTTGTTTTCCATTTGTTTTTTACCTTAGAGATGCTTGTGGGGGCTCCTGCTAGTTCAGGTCTTAGTTGTAGTGTCTGTGCAATGTTCATAGGATTCGGCAGGTATTTAAAGGCCCATCCTCCATATCTACTTGCTAGTAACTAGTGTAGCATTACTTGCACATTTATTATTTCTTAAAAAATCAAAAAACAACGAATAATCAAGAACATTTCGCTACTTTCGAGGGAACATCTATTGCCCAGCATTGTGCTATCCAACGGATAATCCTTTCAAAACACCACATTCAATTTCGTTCAGCGAAAAAAATTCGAAGCCTTCTTAAAGACAGCCCGATGCGGGGGTCGAACCCGCAACCTTGAGGTTAAGAGCCTCACGCTCTACCGATTGAGCTAACCGGGCTTTCAATATAATCTGTGTAACAGTCGATCACAAGTATAAACAAACACAGTAATGATGGTCGTGTTTTCGCAGTTCCTATTTAAGAAGTACTGATGAGTACTTTAAAGACGATATATAGGTCTCATAGAATGCGCCGAAAGCATGAAATGTCGGTGCAAATGCTCATATGATGTGAATGGCATATATTCTAGTAGTAAAGTCAACACAAGCATCCATCTATTTTCCTCTTCGTTTCTTGCCGCCCTCCCCAATAAATTTTAACAGCTCATCAATAGGTAAGGATCCTTTTGATCCTATAGACGTAGAGTCCTGAGATGGTGGTGAGGGTGTGGGTTGCTGTTTGCGTGGTGGGTGGGATGCGAGCTTTGCTTTCTTGGCCTGTGCATATGAAAATTAGTAGGTGGAACAAAGAAGGGGAAGCAGGCGAGGAAAGGGGATACATACATCGCTGACAGCTCTTTCCGTCAGATTGCGCAAGACGGTCTCAGCACTTACGACACGTTCATCAGTGTCTCCAAAGCGTTTGCGAAGGTACTCCCACGCAAGCTTCTGGACTCCCAGTGCTTTACGGAAATCGGATGCAAGCACGTAACCTTTGACGAGGGCATCATAGGAGGCGCCAGTAAGATGGTGGTCTTTACCTAGGAGAAGTTCATGTGTCTCGCGGGCGCGTTCGTAAAAGGCGTTCGAGAGGGAAATGTGTCCGAGTTGTTGGAGCATAGCGGCAATATTGGCGTCGGTGGAGGCGGATTCAAGGGTACGGCTTCCGGCCCCGAGTTTTTCCCAGAGGTTAAGTGCATGGCGCATTAGTGTAAGGGCGCCGCGTGTCGAGTCTTGCGAGCCCATGAATTCAAAGTAGGCCAAGTTCATGTAATTTTGCAGGACATCGGGGTCATCGATACCTTGTGTTCGTTCCGACACGACAACGGCTTTGCGTTGGAACAGTTGGGCGAGATCGAATTGGCGAGTCTGGTAGTGTGCCATGGCGAGTGCGCTGTAGGCTCGTCCTGTATCGCGATGCACGGGGCCGTATACTTGTTCGTAAACCGCGGCGGCTTCTTGGTAAATGTCGATGGCAATGGGGAGTTGTTCTTGGGCCAAGCTGAGTTGGGCGTGTTCCATGGCTTCTTCAGCAAAGCTTGCCTACCAGAAAATAAACCATACATCAACAACTTGCAAATGCTCACTAAGCATCAGACGCATACCCTAGGCTCAGCATGCTTGACTACTGGATAGTGATTCACAATATCCGATGGACCAAAAATGGGTGTTGCATCCCACGCGTAATCCCTTGCCTCAATTTGCAACCCGACCTTCAAACAGATCGACCGTAAAAGAGGAACACGTCTCGACAAGATCAGATCTCTTGGTATCCCTTCAAACCGGAACCGCTTGGCCACCTCCTTCTGAATGCGTTCGTGCAATGCCGCGGGTGTCAATGCCGCGTAGGAGAGAGTTTTGGGTGTAATCTAGATCAAAAGGATGTTTTAAATAAACCTCAACAGAGAACCTGTAAACTGCAAAACACTTACCCGCCCATGAACTCCTTCAGTAACAGGCACAACACCTTCCTCACCACAAAACAGGCAATTTAGGAAATGCGAAACACACTCGCCCATCAAATACAAGGGCGTGTCTTTGAGTAAATCGCGTAAGACATGTTTGGCGGCTCGGGCGATCATTTCCTGTTTACACAATTCCTGTAACAGAAAATCATCAGATCTGTACCGTACATACTCTAACACAACAACTTACCGTAAAATACTCGTGCGGACACCTCGGGACCTTGGCCGCAGTACTCTCAGCGACTTGTACTGTTTTGCCCAAGTACCGCATATTGACACCACGTTGATGGAATCGCTTTGTGAGGGCTTCGCCATCAATTGGTACGCTCTGGTATATGCATTCAACAACCTAAAGCGCGTGTTAAAGGCTGGTTTCCAGTTGTGGTGGGGATGGGACGTACCAAACGCTGTATCATTGTTTCCCGCAAAAAGGTGCTAGCTTCCCGGGTGAGAGAGCGTTGACTTTCGAGGTCTTGCTGTTCACCGGCAAGTTGAACGAGAGTGTAAACATCCGTGTTGAATTCAAGTTCAAATTTCGGGGGGTCTGATGGATGAAGACGCTCAGTCAAACGAACCATGAAACACTCAAGAGATATTGCACCTGCCTATCACATCCTCGCCCTTCTCCTCATGCCCTTCTTCAGCACCTTCCTTATTGACCAACACAGCATCTCCGTCTTCCACATCCTGCTTCTCATCTCCGTCACCCTTCTTGCTCTTCTTTGCTTCCTCCTCCTTTTGCCGTTCTTCCACGAAAGCTCTCAATCGGGTCTCATAAAAGTAGTCAATCAATTCCGGTCGCAAGAGGGCCATTTCGTGGGGATACGGATTCGTCTCATCAGATCGGACCTGTTCGATGAATTCAATATCCACCGGTGTAATCCGGTACAGATCGAGGAGGTAGCGGCGACCGTCCGTGCCGACGATGCCCTAAAATACGTGTGAACCTCTGGGAGGCATTGTGATCGCAACAAAAACATACCTTTGTGTCTACGGAAGTGAAGAGTTTATGAACTTTGCCTTCTCCATCGATCACCTCGTGTTCGGCCAAATGCAATGCCTTCGCGACTTGGGCAGACAGAGCATGGAATTCTTCGTCAGAGAAAATCTCTTTTCCCAGATCCACAGACCCATATTTTACCAATGACTCGCTCTCCACGGCGCGTCTGGACAGGATTCCGGGAATGACCGTCTGTCCAACGATACGTTGTCCCATGTAGTCAATGACAGCGGTACCAAGGGTATGCAAACCGTCAATTTCCAGATTGGAAAGCAGTCGGACGCCGTCAACATCTTTGGAGACGGCCACGTGAGCAGCGTCGGGCCCACCCAGCTTCTCAAACGCTTCACGCTGGTCGTACCCCTGGGAAAAGAAGATGTTATTGTGCAGGTACATTTGGGTAGCACCTGGTTCTTGCGGGTTGAGGGACATGACACTGCCATTCAAGACGGCAACCGCACCGCGAACGGCGGCTTCAATGAAATCAGCATGGGTACGGTACATTGCTTGATCGCGCAAGACCTTTTCCTGTGGTGTAGACCGAGGGAGATCTCGTGTGCTCTGAAAGTCTTCGTTCCAGTCCCGCGCCCCGAAGGCATCGGCGTGTTCGGCGGCCGTCAGCTGGGCATCCAGAGATCGTCCCGGGTCAGCACTATGCGACCGACTCTTGACAGCCCATGGTGTCGCTCCCGATGCAGTCACAATGTACTCTAGAGGGTTCCGCCGGGCGTTCGTGGCTTGAAGCCTTGCGAAATTCTTTCCAAAGAGCGGACTGGCTTTGGAGAGGGTGGCATGGATGTTATGCTCGTGGCACGGTTTTCGCTGTCGTGGGAAGGGGTGGAATTCGCCATCGGTGCTTGCATTCACGTAGAACCCAGAAGCACAGCAGGTGAGATGTAGGACCTCCCCTTCAAGGGTCTCTGCACGAAGATAGAGCAGATCACCACGAGACTTTTGCTGGAAAGGGGGAGGATTCCATGGGGAAACAGACAGACTCTTTAGGCATGCAATACGGTTCGGGTTATTGAACCCGTGTGGGATGAAATCACTTAAGAGTGTGGCGCCCTTGCGTTCGAAATCGTAATCTGCAAACGCGTGATGGCCAGGTCCATTCCTTGCGGCATCTCCGTTACGCTTGGAGTCCTTGCCGTTTCGCTTGTTCTTGCTCTTGCCCTTGTCATCATGGCCATTTTCTGCTAACATCCGTCAGCATGTCGCTCTCATGTTCGCAGAATAATGCTCTAAACCCACCCTCCTTGTCTTCAACACAGCTCAAGAGCGACGCAGCATGATCCACTCCAAAACTTGGCAAAAAGCTCGCAAAGTTTGTCAAAGTCTCCCTGAATCGGGTCAAATGAACCCGGACTTCACGATCCGTGTATTCTCCTGCATCCAGAATGAACACTTTATCATCCACCAACAGATAAAACAAAATCAAAAGCACACCTTCAACCAATTCCAACACACTCTCCACTCCAAACCCTTCCACCTCCCCCAACTCGATCACGTCACTCAGCTTCTTCCCATCAAACATCAAATGAAAGCACGTGTACCCTTGTGCTTCAGACGCATCAAATATGACCTGTCGAATTTCTTGAATGCTCGTGTGGGCATGCACCACAAATTTGAGAGGCGGCAGGGACTGTGGCATTTTGATGGTAAGGTTGAAGGTTTGGTCTTGCACGACCGCTGAGCTGGGTGTCAACCGGGGTTTTGATATGCATAAAGCGTCTTGACCCACCATTCACATCCTCTGCCACATCCTTCTCGACACCTGCCTCAACAGTGCTTGCGTCCGGTGGTTGAGTTGTCTCGGTCGTCATGATTTCTTTTAAACCAACTCTTTGTGAGATCTTCTGGCATACTATAAGCCCATTGACTTTCTTCCCATCAAAGTTTCCCTAGGACAACCAACTCGTTTTATGAACACGTCCCACTTACAAGTTAATGCAAACGGTAAGCACACCCAACAAAATGAACCTAAATTTCTGAACTCAAACTGAAGATCACGCCCCAAATCAGTGAAATCGTCAAAAGAAAACTTACCACCACCAACAAATTCCGAAAAAAAAAGAAGACCGCACAAAACCCACCAGCAAGTTGGGGACCACACGGCTTTCAAAGTGGATTTCCAAATTGCTTTGTATTTCTTTTTGACGAGAATTGGCCAACTTTCCGATGCAGGACGTGACTCACGCATCTTGTTGTCATGGCAATAATTGCAGATCGCTCGTTGAGTAAGCATGGCTTGGTGTGGCTTGAGCCTCAGATGGAGAACTAGGACACCACTGTAGCTATTGACGACAAAAGATCCCACACAAATTTCATATCATTGCTATGGTAAAAAAAATAGAAATCCTACCCAAGGAACAGATATAGATCCCAACTATCGAGATAAACACAAACCTACAGTCGTGACATACATCCATCCACCAAGTACAAAAAAATATGTCAAAACCACCCAGCATTCAGACCCTCCTCAAAACACCAAAAGAAACAGACGTAAATTCATCCATCGTGACACCTCGGCCCCATCCATAACAGGGAGAAGACGCATCAGGTCGCGGTTCCATGATCATCCGATCACTAATAATGTGCTCTGGGAAAGTCTCGCGAATGGGTGGGAGAGTAATAAAAGACTCCTTGGAAGGAGGGGGGGAGTGCGAGTACCCAGAGTCCCGACGAGGGTGGTTGTTGCCTTGTTGTTGATGTTGTGTGGTGTGGATGGAAAGTTGGGTATATACATGTTGGGGGGGACTATACGCAGGGCGGGAGGGCGTGGTCATCACAGGATAGCTGCGAGTCAAGGCCGGGCCAGCTTGCATGGGTTTCTCATCGTACCAGGATGCAGGTCCCGCCTGGACAGGTCCAGCTTGGGCAGGGTTCTGGTCTTCAATCTCTTCCTGCTTGATAATCTCGTCTGACGGACTGATGCCGCCGAATGTGGTGGAATATCCATTTTGTACGTACCCTCGTGCCGGGTCGTCTAATAACAACCTTGCACTCTCCTGGCTCGAAACGTCTGCCAGATGCGCCAGTGATCCGCCGCCGTGATAAGCAGAGTGCTCCAAGACCGCTGTACAGAGATCCGACAAAATGGCTAGCTTGTCCCACTTTTGCTCACTCGAGTCATCCTGAGTGGTTATCTCGTGAACCACTGGGCTCGCGGGGCGGGACGTGGACGCCTCGCTCGGTTCTTGTGAGGAGACTGGACTAGGTGAGGTGTGATCTTCCTCTGAATAGTCGCGCTTGGCGGTGCCCAACTCGTGCGTAGGGTGGCCTGACGAGTTGGACAGTTCGGCTGGTTCGGGCGATTGACTCGCACTTCTTTCATCTTTTCGCTTGTATGGACCTCTTGAAACTCCCTTTTTGCGCTCTTTGCGAACCGAGTCATGACAGGTTGCTTCAAGCCCGTATCGCACACAACGTGGACAAGGCCGTGCAATTTCGCATTTTTTGCACGCCTTTTGACAGTTGACTGTTAAGGACAAGTTAGTCATGCACTTGTCAAACGTGGTCAACAAGGATGGCAACTTTACCACACGCATTTTTGACTTGCTTTCTCTTTTTAGGTGCATCGTCACCGGCATCAGGACTTGATAAGGAACCAACACAGCTCTTTCGTCTCTTTGCACGCAGCGAGATAGAAGAGATGGACGGATCGATGGTTTGCCGAGCGTCTAGTCCCGAAAAAGAGGAGCCCATCAATGCCGAGCCGTGGGAGTAGCGTCGTCCACTACTGGAAAAAGTAGGCAACTGCATGATCTCGCAAGGATATATGTGCGTGTGTGTGCGTCTGTGTGATCGGACTAGAATACGGCGCTAATGGATGCCCAAGTGTTTTTTGCTAATCATGGTAAGGCGAGCATCAGCACACACATGGGCACACTCAAAAGCAAAAATGACCAAGGTTCGTACAAGGGCGTTGATCCAATCAAACGCTGCTTTATGTCCGCCTTTTAGCCGATCCAGCCGATCGCACTGGCCTCAATGTATAGAAACAATAATCGATTCGTTGCCCCAATGGCAACAGATGCAGGTCACTCTTGGAAGTAAAGAACACAATGAGAAATGTGGCTGCGAGTTGCGCCACCCAGAACTGTGCAGAGTGTGAATGTGCGTGCTTGCGGGAATGCAAGGGAGCTCAGAGCAGTTGGACCATATCTTCCGACCTCTGCACATGTCAAAGAGAGAGTAAACTCTCTCTCCGCTCGAGGTGCCTGCAGACCCGCCAATCGGCAAAACCCTCATCCCCGGTGCCGACATGGCGGGCTTGCCTCTTTCGCCCACACACAGATGAACAGAAGCACAGTTATACATGAGACCACATACCTCTCAAGCCAGTTCTCAAGTAAGTACCAAATTGCAAGATAATGAAGCAGGCCAAACCCAGAAAGCCGAGCGGAAGGAGGAGGAAGGAGAGGCGGAGTTGTGGCAGCCAGTAGTAGCAGTAACGGAGTGTGATGTGAATTTGCCATTTTGGACTTGACGCATTCCAATGCATTATACACGTGCTCTGCATTCGAATGAGCCATTTCGAGTTTCTTGCGATCATCCAATATGCTATGGGGCGTCACAATACACCTTTGTGTGCAATTCGATGGATTGTAATATAAAGATCTTATTTATTATTACGATTCTACTAGGGATCAGACCATTACGGGCATTCACACATGTCCGTGGCCGCTAGGTCTACTCATTAGATGATTGTCGTACGTTATACGCTGTGAGGAGGCTGGCATTGTAGGTCACTCGTCGCAGGCGTACAGATAATCCAATAGGACGATACGCGCCAAAAACCATCCAGCCTGTTGCGCTGCCACCTGCCCATCGACATTCAACACTCCCCCTTCCGCTTTCCCAACAGCAAGCGCATGCACCGTCGCTCGGCTTACGGGGTTTGACAGTACAAAATCAATGTTGATTCGTCGTGCATTCCATAATGTCTCTTGGAGACGCGCCAAGAGTCGTGTTGGAATTAGATTGTCGTGGTGGTGGTCCGGCACAAAAGCGTCTGTAGGGGCTGTCGGGGGAGGAGGTGATAAGAGACTTGACAAGAAGCCATTATACGAAGGCGGATCATTGTACAACGGTGCGTCGTGAAAAGGCTCCTGGTGGTGGTGCATCGTGCCACGCGGTCCCAGAATCTCAACTGTCTGGTCAGTCCGGATCTTCTGCAGTATCGGATCGTCTTGAATCGATCCACCACCAAACAGCCGATCCACCCAAAACTGCCGCACGGGATCAGCTTCTTCTTTGGTCATTAACCCAATTTTGCGGTTCACAGGCGTGGGGACTGCCTCCGTTCGAAACCCAGAAAAGCTCATGACCCGTAATCCTACTTCTCTGCCTGCAGTCACTTCCACCACAGCGCCCACCTCCCCGCCATTGCTCAGCAGTTCAGCATGCGGATTGACGCTCGTCACCGCCGCAGAGCAATACCCGACGGGAATGTCGTTGCGCACAGCTGCCACAAGGATTGGACGAAACTCTCGGAGGGTACTCATGTACGATGAGCGAGGGTCGGCCATTCGAATCAGTAACGGGACGCGGGAATCATCAGACCATGGTTCCGTGGCGGACAAAGACGACGTGCCATCAATCAAATACAGCTCTTTCCCAGTCTGCCCGGCAATATTAGTCAGGTAAAATCTTACAATACCCTGAAAGACGGGGGCTGTCCATGATCCCGGCTTGGCACTCCGGCGGGACCCAAAATGTGGAGAACACACTGTCATAAACGTCAGTGGTTTCAACGTCATCCACCCGTTGGCGTCAAACACGGTACGCAGTGATGTTGCTGCGGAGGTTCCATTTCTCCCTACAGACAGTCGTTCCAGTAAAAGTTTGATGAGGTATCGTGCAATTAGACCCCCCAAACTATGCCCAACAACAGAAAGATGAACCACCCATTTTGAGATATTGTCGTCATTCCCTTCTACCTTCTCTCTCAGCACGGGCACAATCTCTTCCCAGAACCATTCTACGACTTCCAGTGCAGCTCGCTTCGCCATAAGCGGAATCCCATCATGCGTGCCGAATCCTCGGCTTGTGCTTGACTGCAACGTAAACAAAACATGCCGACCAGCTGGAACAGTACGGGAGATGGTTTTTGTTTTCCGGGCTGCGTTTTGATGCGCATGAATGGTAGTGTTGGTGGACTGAGATGCCTTTGAGGATATCATGGTACGAAATTGGCTCTCGAGACCCTTTATAAAGTTATCGAAGTCCGTTGGCTGGCCATGGTTGCCGTTGAGCGAAATGACGACCTAAAAAGCATTCAAGTCGGAATATGCACGCTAAAGGAGGATCATATCAATACTTACCAGCGCCCTTCCCACTGCTTCATCAGTTTGGTCGTCCACCATTTGCCAACTCTTGTCAAATTCGGTGCAGTCATTGAAGGCCAGAAGATGGACCGCAGCCTCGATCAGATTACAGCATCGTGTTGCCGTGGCAACAGCAGTTGGTTGGGGGATTGTGCTGGGAGAGGATTTCCAGAACGACGACGATGGTTGCATGAGGAAGGTGAACGCAGCCTGTTCGGTCAATTCATCCAAGAAACCAGTGCTGGAATATACCCAAGACGCTGTCCGACCACGCTGCCTCACCTGATCTCCCATCTAACACACGTACATTCGTATTTCATTTTTGTTCGTCGATGGATAAAGGGTCGCTTCTGCCAACGTCGTCGATACTCTCACCGCCCTATACTTCTTTCTTCGGGATATTCCCTTCACCCCATCCCATCCACTCAGTCTACTTTATAGGCGCTAATGCAGGACGACAGGCCCTGACGGGGTTGAGGTCGTATCTAGTCCCGAAGGATGTGATATTGGCTGTTTATGTTGAGGGTACCTGGCAGAACCCGTTTGTTAACAGTCCACCGGACCGTGTTTTTGTGATGAGTGTCGAGGGACAAGATCTTGATAAGGTATTTGAAATGCTCTGGCGGGCAATTATGGGACTGGAAGGTTTATAAAGACTTAATTAGGTCATTGCCACCCATATGCTCTTGCTGGATGCCCATGCACCACTCCAAACAACCTTCATCGTTCTCGCGCCTTCTACCTACCATCTCCCAACATGTCCATCCCGCAGAATCCTCTTGCCCGCCCCTACATCCCCAATGCCAAATCCATTTGTATCCCTCCCAGCCTATTTCATTAAAACGCTCTCCCAATCCGCCCAAGTCCTGCTCAACCATAATTTTGAGCGCATAGCAAGGGAGCTCCTCTTGAGTGACATAAGCGAGTTCCATGTACAAGAACCTCAGTGGGGTACTATTACGAATACAGAAAATGTCGTCAATTTGATGGTTTTAGCCAATGTTTTGGAAAAGAACGCTCCTGACGGAGTATACACGGTTAGGCGGGATGCTTTGAAAGCACTGGATGTCGGTGGACGGTTATCGAGATTAAAGAGCGAAACAGGCGAGACACAGCTGCGGACGAATAGTGAGAGCCCTTTCAATCCGGCCACAGGCCGAACCACCTTTTCTGCTCAGGAGGAAGACGCAACGATGCCTGAACCTTCAAGGCCCGAACAGCTCGATGCTGATATGATGGCCATGAGCGACATTTCGGAGTCACCACCTCCCTTCCAAAATGACACGGGTGATCCGCGAAAACCTCCATCTCCCACACAATCCTCTCAAAAGTCTAATACACAATCCAAGGACCAACTCATTTTCTCACACCAACAAACCGATCACACAAAGCCCAATGAAACAACGTCTCCAATGAATGATGCTGGAGACGACCTGGCCGATCTCATTTCCTCAGATATCGAAGACGATTTGGCCGCTTTGAAGCAAGCGGTTGAAACGTTCATGGGGAAGAGCGATCCGATGGTAGAGGTTCAAGCCACTGATATATCGAGTGAGGAGGATCAAAGTAGTGACGATGAGGAGAATGACGCAAGTAGTGAGGAGAAAGCGACGAGCAGTGATGATGAGGAGAGTGAGACAAGTACTGAGGAGGATGAGGCTAGTGGGGACGAAGATGAAAAGAGCGAAATGGAAGACGATCAAAACGATAGCACCACCGCTCCTGTGAACTTCCAGCTAGACCTGATCACAGGACCCATGGCCGTTGACACGCCCACGGGGCCCCCCATTTCCTCCTCGTCATTCGACCCAACAACCTCCAGGTCCGATTCACAGTCCAGTACATTCATCGACCGCCTTGCCACCTTTGTAGCAAAACAGTATCCCAACTCTCAATCTCCAACCTACAAGCTTCTCACCTTTTCCGATCCCACTACGTCCAAGCATCTTTACCGATGTCACCTCACCGTTGCTCAGGAACAGTTTGAGTCCGCCTATTTGTTCACTTCGCCTTTGGATGCTGCTCAAGACGTCGCGAGACTGGCTTGTTTGTTCATGCATTGCTATCGAGAGGCTGCGACCAAGACCGAACGGTTTTCGGGTCGGCTTGAAGAGATTTTCACTGCAGAAGACAACGAAAATCCTGATGAAGATAGGGAGGAGGGGGAAGTAACAGAGAAACCTGATGACGAGATGGACCCGTCAGAAGTCATGGGGCTATTGGATGATTTTACTGCCACCCAGGCCGGTCATCGCATCTGGCTCCCCCGGTTCATGTCCTACGTCACTCGGCAGCGCCTACATGTTGAGTGGACCTACCACGTGGGACCCGGCGGACGCGGATCCCATAAAGCTACCATCCAAATTGGCGGCAAGACTTACACATCAGCCTCGTCGCACACTAAACGTGGCAATGCAAAAGAAGATGCCGCCCATGTGGCATGCAAAGCCCTCGGGATCGACTCTTCACCCACTCCATCTACATCAAAATCTTCCACGATCCTTCTGCACGAGTACTGCCTACGTACGAAATCACGGTTCCAGGCACATTTTTCCACTGTACCTCCACCGAGTACTGCGCATGCTGCACCGTGGTTTGTGTGTACGGTTACGATGGAGGCGGGAGAAGGACAAAAGTGGACTTCTGCGGCATTTCCGAAAAAGGCAGATGCGAAGGCAGATGCGTGTCGGATGGCTATGGAGGAACTTGAGAGGAAAGGGCCAAAAGACGAAGAAAACTCAAGATCTTCTACTGATGGAATGGATGCACCATCCCAACAGGCACCCTCCACATACAATCAGCCCCTTCCCCAGTCACAGTCCTTTATCGCATCTCCCTTCCCATCCTACCCATTATCCTTCCCACCTTCTCTCGCGCAACCTCAGGTAGACCTTTCCGTTCTCCTGTCATCCGTACTGGGCATGCTCCAGAATCCGTACGCGCAGGTTCAGACAAATGTAGATGCATCTGTGGGTCATTTATCTTCGCCGGGACGTGGTGGAGGGCACCGGGGGAGAGGTAGGAAACGCCGACGAGGCGGGTGACCTTCTGATGACATAATATATACACGTGACCTTCCGCGTGAACAACGCGCCGCTTGACGCTTGGAGAGGTCACTTCCTGCTTGGGCTTTGGAACAGTTTAGCTGCATTTCTGCGCTTATTTTACTCGACCTCGTCAACGTTTTTGGCTTTTCCAACTTTGGTTTTTTTTGATTAGGATTTTTGTGCTGTGACTTGGTGGTTTTGTGTATTCATTTGGTCCAAGTTCCTTGGCTTTCATCCACCGCCGTACCGTTAAAGAGGTGTAGTGTGACTGCCGGCAGCGGTTACGCCCTTGTGTATATTCCTTTTTGAGAGTTGCTTCTTGTTGTTTGTCAAGACTTGTACTTGTGGTATGTTTTGCTGAGATACTGCGCGATGGGCACCGCGGAACGGTTGCATCTCATCGCGGATGCTCACATGCCGTCGAGCTTTCTTTGACGTTATCTTTTTAGTCTTGACGCTGAACCCACCAAGCAGGACAAGTTGCTTTGATTCACGCCAAATAAGTAATATACGAGAAAGGCATTTCCACTTTTCATCTTTCGAAATTCTCGGCGCTGGCGTAGCGTGTCCGGCATGTTTGCCAGTACACCCCAGGGAGTGAGAGCGCAGGCCAAATCGTTGAGGTAGCTACTGGAGTACTCCTACAAATCATCATCTCTCACACATGTTCACAGAGCCCCTTCCGCCATATCGAGCATCGCATCCTACCTTAACGGTATCTCGTCCTACGTCGCCCAAAACCTCTCTGAGAAGTCCCCAAGCACAGAGTTTGATCCCCTTGATCCGTCTGAACGGGTCCTTTCCGCTGCATTTTGTTGGGTGGATTGGGAGAATAAGCGGCAGTTGTGCCTGTTTCTGGGTTACGGGAGGGGCTTTCAGGTATGGAGCTTGGGGGACCTGGAGAATGTGAGGGAGGTGGTGTCGGTGAGGGAGGGGCTCCGGAAGGTTACGTGGGTGGAGGTGAGCGTCTCGCTTCCTGCTGGTTGAGCGGGATTGTTGTTCATGTCTTCTTGCTATTTGGTAGGCATTACCGACTCCGTATCGACGAGATGGCTCCACGGACTACTTGGAGCACGCCAGACCTCTCATTGCGTACATGTACGTTACATTGATAATTCAAGTACAGGCTTGTAGCATCTGAATCATGGCGCATTGCAGAACTGAAGTGGTTTCCGAGGATTCAAGTGGCAAGCCCCAGAGCGCCTTGCAGCTGTACTCGTTGAGGTCTCTGACAGCTGTGCAGACTGTAAAGTTTGGAGAGGATACAGCTCTAGAAGCGAAATGTAATGCAAGGGTCATTGCTGTGGTGAGTCGCATGCTTCCGTGCTACATTTAACGTTTGAAATATTTCTCACATTAGTGTAGTCCCTCGCGTCCCACGCCATCCATATTTATTCCGCTCTAACACTCCATCTCCTCGGCGTCTACACCGACACTCGCCCAAACCCCCTAAATAACGCAATAGTCTATGACATCGGTTCCCGTTATATTATCTACGCGACATCTACTCCCCCGCCGCCCTCCCGCCGCAAAGGAACATCGACTGACGAATTGCCGTCCGATCCCGACAGCGACGACGCAGACGGGATCCCGGATGCGGGATTGGCCCGGAAGGTTGCTGGTAAAGTAGCAAAAGATTTGGTCGTGGGTGCCAAGGTGATCGGAGAGTATGGGTACCAGGCTTTGAGCAATTACTTCTCGCCGGCCACCAAAGAGGGAGTCGCCTTGCGTGCAGAGGAGGACGTCAAGGTGAATGGTACACCTGGGGGGAAGGTGAAAGAGAATGGGAAATTGGATAGATATGCCGAGCTGCCTAGCGGAGTGGTGAGTGTTGTTAGTGAATCAGACAATATGTGGACTGTTGACTCAACTGTGTGTCAAGGTTGTGATCCGCCCCCTCCCTACGCCGACATCCCCCTCCTCAAACTCATCGACAACAACATCTCCACAACCGCATCCCCCTTCCATAGCCCATTGGAAACCGCACACAAATCCTGTCTCTGTGATCGCCTTCAACCCAAACCAAACACTGGTGATAACGGCCTCCAGCCAAGCCAATACCTTCTATATATGGCAGGTCCCAGGTCGAAGCAGCAAGGGTAAACCACGGACTGCCGTTCAATGCTTATACAAACTCGAACGGGGTTACACGATGGCGACGATCGAGAGTGTCGCGTTTTCGGTGGACTCCAAGTGGGTTGGCGTGACGACCACCCGGGGGACGACGCATGTGTATCGGATTAACCCAGCGTCTATGAAGGAAAAGAGTTTGAATGGTATGAATGGTGAACGCCTGAACATTATCAATGGTTTCGCGGAACCGAAGCAGACTCAGACTTTGGTACCGGGGACCGCTGAAGGAGGGATTGCCAGCTTGTACCCAGTGGCAAGGATCAAGCGTCAACCTGTCGAGGCGTCTCCGAAAAGCGAAGCATGGTCCGAAGGTGTGGTTTCTAATGATAGCATCACCTGCGGAAGTGGTCGTGCCCCTCTGATCGCCGCCTTCCTTCCCGACAAGAACGCGCTCAAAGACACGGCCGCGGCTGTTTATGACCGCCGTTCCCACGACAGGAGCAGTCCTGTCGGTTCCGCTGGCACGACATGTGGTGGAAGTTGGACCCACACTCAAGCTGAAGCTCCAGTCTCTGCGATCCGACTGTTCCGCCAACGCCTCCTCACCTTTCATCCTACCGACCGCGGCAGCCTCATGATGCATCATGTTGACGTCCTACTCGAAGATCCCACCCCAGCCAGCCCTCAAACCCTCCTGCCCTCACCTAAGCGATCCAGCACAGGTGCTAGCCCGTCGTCATTTGACCGCTTCTCTCCGTCGGGGCTCTTTAGTGCGTTCCCGGGGTTGGGATTTGGAGGCAAAAAGCAGCATATTCGGGTTAAAGTCTCTGAAGTCATGGAATGGAACGTGAAGCGCGAAATGGACTGGGGTGAAGTCAAACGCTCCGTTCAAACATCTCCTTCTCGTCCTCCTGCTCCCACTCGAACCAACCCAACGCAAACTCCAACAACAACAACTTCAACAACAACAGCAGCAGCAAAATCATCACCACCATCACGCATACAGTGGCCGTCAAAGATTGAAATTGTTACGCACGAAACAGCGCCGAGACCTCCAGTATGGATGGGCCCGCAGTTTTGCTTTCAAGTGTTTGATGCGTCGCGGTCTCTTGTCTCTATTGAACCGAATAGCCCCGATTTGAGCGACCTTCCGGCTGCATTCCATGTTCAGATTAGACGGGAGGCGCCTAAACCCTATGGGTAAGTGCCTGTCATTGTCCTGCAACATTCTGCACATTCTAAATTGTATAATTATTCAGGGATGACAAAACCCTTGTTCCGAACGGTCAATTCCCCGTCCTGGGCGGCGACGAAAAGTTTCAAGAAGGTATCTCGACTGCCATGGGGTCCTTTATACAGTTCCCAGATGAGGACACCGTCATCCCAAATGGTGGCGACCGAGATTCATTATCATTTGAAGACGCCTATCACATTCATATTGTTGCGCGACGACATGGTTTCCAACCATCGGAAACTGGATCTTTGTCCTGTGACGAAGACGAGGAAGCTATAGGCGGGGTGCATCCATGTGGAGGGGTGGTTGTGGATGAGGATGAGGTGTAGGTATAATGCTTGATGGTGTACGTAGGTGTCTAGGGAGATTTGATGTGTGCTTAGAACTATTGTTGAAATGCTGACGGCAACTGCAACTACCAGTCTGTCATCATGCAGCTACTTGCCGATGTATGGAGTTCTTGATAATTGCGGTGCTGTGCGTCGTCAAAGGTCGACAAATATCTTACTTATAAGCAACCACCAGGAACAAGGCGCGACAGCTGCGGTTAAGGAAAAAAACATTCCTCATTCCTATGAAACAGCCCGATGCGGGGGTCGAACCCGCAACCTTGAGGTTAAGAGCCTCACGCTCTACCGATTGAGCTAACCGGGCTACAAAAATTTCAAGGGGTAATCTTCTATATATGGGTAAATATTCTGACCTCCATGAAGTATCTGTGAACAGTTGGTGACAGATAGGATAGTGTAGAGGTGACAGAAACTGGCACTAGCTACTACACCAGGGAATAAACCGGCGACAACCGGTTTGGAAAAGCTAACTAAGCTACTACTAGGCAATTATACACGCAATACGTAACGGTTGGTTCTAACCGGATAATTGCCCACCACCACACGCGGTCCCTACTAGGCCTTGATCTGGAACTCTTGATGGCATTGAAGCCAGACTCTTGCATCCAGGAGCGAATCGACTGGGCAGCGTCACAAGCCAGAGGATGTTCAGTGACAAGGCTTGGAGACTAAAACTGCATGTCAGAAGATGACCTGATGACAAGAAATGCAAGAAATGCCATCGATACATACCAACCAAGCTCAACTAATGTGGCAGCATAATAGTAGGTTTTTGTTATCGGATCTGATTGGTTGCCGCTGGTTCTGATCACGGTTGCTGTTGGGCGGTCGAGGTCCTCGGCACCAGAGCAGTATTCTCATGATTGGACTGAGACTTGTTGGGCGGATGCTTTGAGTCGAGGATGGGTAAAGAGGAAAGAGGAAAGAGGGAAGAGGGAGCAGGTCCCCCTTTTATAGACCTTTGGCATGCGCCTCACCGCAGTTTAAAAAAAAAGCTACATTAGCATGCCACACCGCAGTTTGGAGAACATTAGCATCCATGCCTCCTCACCGCTTTGAGCAATGATGGGGGTTCTGATTATGCGATATGACTAACCGGATTAATCCGGATAATAATGGGTCCTAGTGCCATTTTCAATCACCTCCACACTATGGATGTTTCTCAGTGCAAATACGTGAGATGGAATATCTATATCGATGATATACTTGCTTTTGGAGAAACATAGATATTTCACCACGAGACCTGCGATAGCAGTACTCAATAGATAGTTCGTCATCCATTGTTGACACTGCTCGAAACACACATCTGCTGTTCATCTTCTTCATTACAGTTCATTACAAAATTGACTTACTGCAACCTCCTCCCCTCAAACAACTCTCTCAAAACCTTTGACACTTTATTCACCTCCACGCCATGGTCACTTACATGAGGCCAATCCCCAAATGATCGGGTGAGATTCACGACTCACATTCTCATATCCCCAGTTTCGGTTTATAACAGTACTGGCATTTTGGTGACGAGATGGAACATGAGCCGGTGGATATTTGGACGACCAGTACGCGGCCAATCGCCAGTCTCTTCAAATATAGCCCGATTGAAAGGCCGCCAGCGCCCCATTTTACGAGGAGATATAGAGGGCTAGCAGGGAATGGGAGGGTGTTGACTCTGGTGACTACCGGTTGGTGGGTAGGGGTGAATCACAAAACTGTTTGTCTTCAGCTCTGGCAAAATCGCTAAAAGTCAAATCAGGTAATCTTCACCTCGAGATAATGGCAGATTATAAATGACTTTACATGTGAGTGATGCAATGCCATCTTTTGCAATCCACATCGAATCGCTGTATGCGATTGCCTCTATGTGCAGCTAAATGCACATTTTGAAAATGTGGTTGAGATGTGCGCCGAAACTCAAACTTTGATATGTAAGACCCTGGGAAGGGTTACTCAGTTGAATCTAGGCATTGCATGAGAGCTTCGAGTGGGCCATTTATGATAATCAGAATCAGAATTGGTGATGCCGGTTGAAAGGAACGTCGAGTTAAGATGCCAGAATGCACGCTTTTTAGATACCACAACTTTGGGTGACCGTTGTCATCAGTAAGAATCACTTTGGGAGGTGATCTATAAGAACATGAATGAGCTGGATGCGCACATTAACGGCGCTCTTCCGACTGATGGGACCACGCTATGTAACATCAATCATTATTTATCTCATTGAATCTTTCTCTAGCCCTTCTCATCGTCGCTTCATACAACGTCTCCTTTCTTCCACTCATTCCGCCAATGTTATCCTCCTCAGGTGTCCCCATTCCCAACCCTTGTCTTCCCATCCGCATGGAAACAGCCACAGGATCTACCCTTCCACCCCCGCTAGCACCCAAGCCTTGCCCTTCGGTCCAGCCCATCTTCTGCAGCATCCGGCTCCCAATGTTGGTAGGGTCGGCAGCTGTAATAGGCGTCGCGTGTGTAGGCGTTGGAACAGAAGGCGTAAAGCTATGGGTACTGGATTCCTCCTGAGTCTCCTGCCGGAACTCCATGACACTTGCGTCCACACCATGCATTTTTCGACGCATGGCAGCACGGTCAACGTATTGCGTCCTTTTGCCGCGTGGTTTTGTAACGGCGTCTTCGCCTAGTGCCTCACGCTTTAGACGTCGGAGTTCTTCGCGTCGAGATACTTCAAGAGAGCCCTTTTTTGTCTTTTCCCCTTTGGTAGTCTGCGGCGTGTTATTGTCTGCGGACTTTGGCGGTGTTGACTTTGGCTCGGTACTGATCACATTTGTGGATGTCACTCGGCATTCGTCGCATCCCCAGGAAGCGTGTATGTGCACTTTCATAGTCGTTGAGCCGATTACAAGCGTATCGCCATGTTGTAATCTATGAGGTTGGCTGCTCATCTGAAGTCCCAAAATATATTCAGAGAAGATGTTATATTCGTGTCATTATCCAAACCTTACCTTTGGTTGACTCAACCTCTCACCGTTTATGAATGTCCCATGAGTTGATCCTCCATCCGTTACAAAAAAGCAGTCCATGAATCGCTTTTCAGGTGGTCGCGGTCCCGCTCTGCTTCTCTTTGTGTTGCTGCGGAAACTATCCGCGGGTGATGAGGACCGATAGTCCTCCACGTCTGAAAAAACACGCTTGGTTCCATGGGTTGGAGACGTTGACCGAATTGGGGTTGTGTCTAGCAAGTCAATACCAACAGTCAATTTCCACTTGTGCCGGACTTCCTTATGTCGACAGACCCGTCCTACCGCGTGATTTTAGGTCTGCCGTCAGTCTAGCAGCAATCGCTTTAGCACGTTCTAGAGCACTGCTAAAGTCAATCTGTTCTCGCTCATTCGCTTTTTCCACGGTTGCATCAGTGTCCGGTTCCTGTTCTTCGACAGCCTGCCGATTTGGAATAGGCTCCAATGGCTCAACTATCCGGTTGACATAAATTGTGCAATGAAACCGGCTAACCGAGATTTCATTAAGGACTAAACGTCGCTCAAAGGCTTTGTCTCTCCCAACTGTTAGCCCCGTTGCATCCACCAGTATAATTGAACCTGGCTCCAAGAGCTTCGACTGTATAACAACCAGTTTCATCATGGCATTGCTCTGCGGAGCGGCCTGGCCGTTGTCTTGCACAGGTACATACGATTTGGTCGCTTCGTCCCAGAATGAATACGACGAGGTTAAGGTGTCGTACACGTAGCCTGTGTCTGGGTGGTAGTAGTGCCGACGGTCTTCCATCGGTATGTAGCCACTTCGGACCATGGCCTTCGCCACTTTGTCAGTCTCCGCATCCTCTCCAATTTCCCCTTCTTCCAACTTCAGTATTGAAAGCTTTCCCTTTGAACTCCTGAACTTTTCGTCCCGGCTGTTGGGTCCAGACTGTGGCTGTTCAACTGGCTCGACCCTCGCGTCGTTTGCAGCCTTCCCAGTGTCTGTTTCTCCCTCACGCTTGGATTCTTCATCTTGCTTTATTATCCTACCGCTTGAATCAAAGTAAAAGTACCCAGAAGCCTCACTGTAGCACCATGGACTTGACTTGCTAATGTAATATTTCCCAGACGGATGGAGCGACCAATCAGCATCGGGATTAGTAGTAGATGAACTTGTGACAGTGGCTGCTGTTGTCGAGGTCATCGGTCCTCCATTTGCGTGCAGCGCTGTCGACGATGTCTTTTCGCTGTTTGCATTTGCCATTCTGGCTACCCTCGCTGCTGGCATTAGACCCATGTGCAGGGAACTGCTTCCATGTCGTGAAATGGACTGGTTCCAGTGATCCAGAACCGGCTCCAGTGCGTCGGTTCACCACACATGGAGGGCTCTTTGGCATCTACCAGCATCGTCGTTGCGCAATGGTCGACGTCGTGTATTCTTTGTGGCTCTGCCCGAGTGAACCCACAGTTCAAAGTTACCTCAAGAAGGTGATCGATACCTTTTCGGACAGATTGGACACACCAAAGGTTAGTGGTGCCCAACCCACTGTGAGCAAGTGGAGAATTGGTGCCTTATCGGGATAACTGTGTCAGTGGAATCCCCATATTACTCTCCTAGGTGGAATAAATACATCAAAAGAGGATGTAATAGCATTGACACGCAAGGTTGCAGACGCTGGAGCTAACTTCAATGTGACTCTTGTGCGTACCCAAAATTCACCGCTGTCGTTGGAGACAGTCAACTGACTCTCGACACAGTCCGATATAGCAACTAAAGATCTGTACTATCAGTGTGTCATGGCTGTCCCACATCCTTCTGATCCTCTGATAGAGCTAAACACGACTGCTCGGAAAGTCTTTGAAAAAGAAGACCAACCGCTATTTTGGCCGCACTTATCACTTATCTACGGTGATCTTGACAAAGAACTAAAGCGAGAGATTGCAGAGGAAGTGAAGAAAGAGTTTAATGTGGTTGGTCAGATAGTAGATGTCAAGAGCATCCAAATTTGGAGCACGACAGGAAGCCCGGAAAAGTGGGAATTCATTGCGGAGACGCCACTAAAATAGACGATGTCCTTCTCCATATTGTGTAGGCGTCCGGTGTAGTACATTACAGGGGATCGTCAAAAATGAAATGTATTCTGTATCGAAAGCACTAAAATAAACGATGTCCTCCACCACATTGTAGGCTCCCGTGCAGTACATTACAGGGGATTGTCAGGTATGAAATGTTGTAGCTGCCGAAAGCAACTTGCCTACGTTTCAACGGGGTCGAAATTCATGTCACCTATACGTCGTCTATGCTCGTCGCCTTCGGTCGCTCGCTGATGCGAGGCGCCACCGACAGACTTTGCTTGACAGGTCGAGCTTTAAGAGGTCCGCTTGACGAGCCACCGTCATATGTAGCGGGTCGCCATCCGAATATAACGCGCTGCACCCAATTCCTTTGTTTCTTCAGATTATTATCGAAGAACAAGAAAGCCAGACAGTTCAATAGTCCCTGGACCTGAGTTACCGCTGAGAATCGAGCATACAAGGAAACAGTTAAAACAGCACCTAGTAAAGCAAATATCAATTGTACGTCTACCATTCCATTCTGCCAGTGCGTAAAATGTATTATTTTCCGTGTCCGTCTCATGTGTGAAATAGTACATCTCGACCGCCGCGTTCGGAATTTGGGTGAACAGGAGAATAAGTGGAAGAAGGCTGATGCGAATTCCAATGGAGATTAATTTCCAGTGCTTTCGAATTCCGTTAAGCTGCAAGATCATATCGGCGATGCGAGAGATCCCGTTGAGTAGGGTTAGGATAGGTTTTGGGATATAGGGAGCTTTACGCAGCGTACCTTCTGTGCATTTGCAACGGCCCTCTGGGCCTCTCTGAACTCGTTGTCTTCTGTTTCACACTTGTCGGATTTTCCGGATTTCGCAGATTTCTGAGATGACGCTACACGTTTCTCGGTCAACTGGCGAACATTCTGGTACAAATCGAGGATGACGAGGAAGATAACAATAGCAGAGTAGACTACTGTTCCCAAAATCCACGCCCAGTATGTCAAGACCTCCCATCTGATCTGTTTCTTGAAATCGGTGCCCGCAAACCAGCATCCCCTATGAGCAAGAGTGTTGGGTCACTAGTCCAATGATATCAGGTTCATCGACTACGCACCCGTTATTTTCATACATATTACCACCGAGAGGGACAAGAGCGATGATCAATCCAGCAAAGATTGAGCCGAGATTGAAACAGAGACGGTGTTTCCACGACAGGCCAGGCGCACTTTGCCGGAGCATGACGCGGTGTAAAATATACGAGATGCAGCCAACCGAAAAGGTAGATGAGAGAACAGACCAAATCTGGAAAACCATCAAAACTTGGCAGACACTGGGAGCTTCAGTCCCATCAAGTTTGCTAATCTGGGGGAGCGACCAGTCAGCTCAAAAACGAACTACCATCCAAGATCCAAGATGGGAACTAACACCAAGCACTGATACGCTGTTCATCACATCGAATATAGTGCATGTAAAGAGGAGTTCGGGTATAGGGCCCAACTTACGACCTGTAGGCATGGGATTATCATTAGCAATGAAACAACACAGAGTGTAACGGAGAAAAAGGATGTTTACCCTTGAAAGGAATCAAATATCCAATGAAAATGGCCAGCAGGACACATGCGGCAGCTACATTGATAGTTTGGGCTCGAAAAAGTAATAACGAATAGAAACCCCAGAAGTCCCAATCCTCTACATCTTCCTCTTGATGATGGTTTTCGCAGACAGCAGGATCAGGATCAGTGCAGTTCATCGACGTTTCATCAGTCTCGTTTCCAAGAACATCCCGTCGTAACAGACGTCCTGGTGAGCTTCTTCGAAGATAGTGTGCTTGAGCCTGCACCAGGGTGACAAGCAGCAGTAGAGCGCATAAAAAAAATCGATTTCGAAATGCCATTTGGTGTAGAGGAAACCTGGACCAGGGCCCGCTTCAAATACCAGCAGCTATAACTCTCTATTCTATTCAGTGATTTTGAATATGGGATTAGCGCCTGCAATGCTTTGATCACAATACAAACCTAAAGCTGCACTTCGTATTTATCCCGGAATATTTGAATGTCAACCTTGTCCGCCCAACCTTCAAACTATGGGTTTTTTGAACACAGGCATGTGTGTGTTCTTGATGATCCTTAAACAAGTCCTTTGAATATTCATTTATTGAACCAGCGGAACACCTAACCCAACTGTAAGAAAATATCCTGAATCATCAAATCACCTGGAATACCCGTAAACAACCCAATTCGATATTGTTGACGACTGAATGAAATCGACCATCATGTAACCAGGCATTTAGGGAAAGCCACCATGCTATGAGACCATCAGTGATCGCTCAGCATGACGCCGCTGGTGTGTGCTGGCATCCTGATGCAATCTGTTTGGCAGCGGTATGGGATGTTTGATTTCACCATTGACAAACTCCACGGATTGCAAAAACTTGGAAGATACGCATGGTAGGGCTTAGCGATTTTGGACAATATTTGCCTCCTAGTCTAATATTTTGGATTACTTGGAAAGTTGCGGCGACTATTTGGACCTGTCGAAGATTCCTGAATGAACCATGTTGACAGTCGCTGGCTGATATTCATCCCTGATCCGAGCCAACATTTGGCCTAACTTAAGCTTAACCACAAGGCTTTACGTCTATTTTTAGATATTTACAACTCTTTTCCATAACAATCTTCAATGTTGACAGCAAGACGGCTGCTTGCGAAAGTGCTATCGCAAGTTATTATTTTGAAGACATTGCCGGCTCGTCTAAAGTTAGAACTTCTTGCAATGTAAATAAAAGTACAGGAAATCCACGCCAGCGGTTGAGAAATGCAAGATAAAAAGCTGCTGATAGAATGTCTTGTCTCTTGGCCCAGCATTCCTACCACAATAAACATAGACTTATAGATTGTGACGTTGCCCTACATAGCTGCAACCATCATGAAAGCGACACTCCTCCTCGCGACGTCCGCAGTGCTCGCTCTCAGCATGCAGTCGGCTGCGGCTATGGTCAAGTTCACCACCGAGAACCAGCTCCCTAGTCTCTACACTGGGGCTATGTACAACAATTTCGTCAGTTCTCAGAACGGTACTATTGTTGGAGCCGCTGGTATCAATATCCCGTGGAGGTACTTTGCTGCTCCAGGAGGATCTGTCAACACCATCGTCCTGGTGAATGGCCACACGGAGTCGTTCATCAAATTCCGCGAGTTGATCTACGACTTTAACCAGAATGTGAGTTTTTTTCTTCCTATTTAAGTTTCCGCTCTTGTAGTCCCTTAATGTTGGCCATTGAAATAGGGTTTCAATGTTTTTACCTGGGACCACCGTGGCCAAGGTTTCTCCAAACCTCGTCTTGGCTGCCAGCCAGAAACCATTTCCGACGTTGATCAATTCCAGAACTATGTCGATGATATGCAGACCCTGATCTCTGTGGTCGCCGCTACCTCTCCTAAAAACTTATTCCTTTGGGGTCACAGCATGGGCGGTGGAATCGGCGCAATGTATTTGGAGCAATACCCCAACACCTTCAAAGCTGCACTTTTGACAGCACCGATGCTCCAAATAAATACCGATCCCTACTCCAACCTTGTCGCCTTTGGCCTGGCAGGAACCATTAGCCTCCTTCAAGGCCCCTGTACACTACTCCCTGGGCAGACCGCAACCACCGCGTATGTTTGGTCTGACGATGCTTTTGTCGCGGCCAACACCACCAGCAGTCGTGTTAGATTTAACCTGAATACGCAATCATATGCCAACTTTCCTGAAGCCCGTACGTAATTTTATGGCCAGCTTATCCAAATATTGTGTCTTACCACTGCTTTATTACTTGCAGAAATCGCTGGAATTGATGCCCGTTGGATGACGGAATCAATGTCTGCAGTTGCCAAAACGGTTCAAAATGCCAGGAAAGCCAAGACTCCAATTCTACTTTATCAGGCCGGCATGGATGCTGTAAGTTCACCAGATCGAAGCTAATACTGTGATTTATGTTGCTAACTTTTTCCACAAGTACGTCGAACCAGAAGGACAGAACACTTTCTGCCAAGGAAGCCAGGGATTCCTAGGTATTAGCGCGTTGGCTGTGCAGCCTGCTCCAAACTGCAACTTGGTGAAATGGCCTACATCTCGCCATGAAATTTTCAATGGTATGTGTCAACACGATACGCAATAGCTTGTGCAAAAGGCTCATCAGTCTTCTCTTGCTACAGAGGTCGACAGTATTCGTGGCCCTGCCTTTACTCAAGGAATCGAATTTTTCTTGGCCAACGCCAAGTAGATTTATGGTGGGTCTCGCTTCAAACGTCCAAAGACAATAAGGAGGAAGACATACCGCCTGATTACCTATTCCTGACTACCTATTACCTGCTGCTTGCTACTACGAATCCATTATTGATTATCTATTACTTGAATCATTATATAACCTATAACTCACACTTATGTAACTTATATGATGTTAATAAAAAACGTTGCCCCAACTTGGACAGCCTGCCGATCAGGTTTGAGAGCAGTTTGCAATAGCCGACGAGGGCGAAACGCAGCATCTTCGTGACCCTTCAAGGACATCAATATCGTCCGTCTACTGCAAGTTGCTTAAACTCTTGCCGATCTCGGCTGCGCCCTCCGCGTTGCACAGTCATCATACTCCGGTTATTTGATTACCCCAGCATCGCCACACGTGACAAGGTCAACTCTCCATCCCAACGAGTTTCCCCGTCGACCACACCTCATCCCAGTTGATGAATTTAAAGAAAAGGTTGTTAGAATGTTCAACCAGCCAGGAAACGAGCATGGGCAAGGCACGAGTGCTGTCAGAGAAGGGTAAGTGGCGTGTAGTGGAGTCTAATTTTCCACTCCACCATCATGTTTTCAACTTACCATTCTGTGGGCTTTTAGCATGCAAATCGATGTTGGCAAGTTGACCGCTTATCTCCAAAAACATATGCCGGAAGGATTCCGAGCACCGCTTGAAGTTCGTCAATTCCAACTTGGACAAAGTAACCCCACGTATTTCCTCAAAGACGCAAAGTACGTCCTATTGGGTTGGCAGCCGGAATATCATGTGGTTCTCAATTTGACCATCACATAGCTCGACTCGTTATGTGCTTCGTAAGAAGCCTCCGGGAACGCTCATTTCTCAAACTGCCCACGCCGTGGAACGAGAATACAAAGTTCTTCACGCTCTGGGCACGCGTACAAATGTCCCGGTTCCGAAAGTCTATGTATTGTGCGAAGACAAGGAAATACTTGGAACGCCATTCTACGTTATGGAGTTTCTGGAGGGAAGGATATTCTCGGACAATTTGTTGTCAACGGTGCCGAAGCAGGACAGGAGGGCTTAGTGAGTCCTTCTTTGGTTCCCTCATCACGTGTGTGCGCGAGCTGACTCTGTTTTCCGCTCAAGTTACTTTTCCATCATCGACACTCTAGCTCGTCTTCACAAGGCCCCATTCAGGGAGATTGGGTTGGAGAACTACGGCAAAGCGGGAGGCTTCTACGAGCGTCAGATTCGCCGCCTTCTGCAAGTCTCTAACGCTCAAGCTTCCGTCACTGACGAGGCGGGGGAAGCTGTGGGACCTCTTTACAAACTCTCATCCTCCATTGAATGGTTCAAGAAAAACATGGTGGCTGACGAAGTCACTATCTGCCATGGTGATTTCAAGCTGGACAATGTGGTGTTTCATCCCACTCAATCTACTGTAATTGGTCTGCTTGATTGGGAGTTGTCAACCATCGGACATCCTTTGAGTGATCTAGCAAACTTGTTGTTACCGTTTTATACTCCCGGAGTATTCCCTGAAGGAATGGCTGTGATGGAAATGAAACGACCATTGGACATACCAGAGGCTGAGGAACTCGTCCAAGAGTACTGCAGATTGACAGGGAGACAGTACCCAATTCCGAAATGGGACTTTTGCGTTGCTTTTGCGTTCTTCCGAGTGGGTTCCAGGCTGTTTGGCAAAAATAAACAACAGCTGTAGCTCATGTTTTTCTTTTTAGCTTGCGGTTATTGCTCAGGGGATTGCCGCACGGATCAAGCGGAAGCAAGCCAGTTCCGCCAATGCCCGACAAGCTGCAAAACTATTTCAACCTTGCGCCCATCGGGTCGCTGACATTGCTGCGGGTGGACGCTTGACGGGTGCAGTCAATCCCAACGCCTCGAAACTCTGAGGTCAGCATAGAATTCAACTGGTCCATAGAGTGAAAGATCAGGTAGCTTCGAAAATACTGTGCTCCTGCGTCTCATAGCATTTTATGGACTACATACTGCAATATATGTACTTTTCGTGAAATCAACCTATCTACTGCAATAGGTGTACTTTTCTTGAACTCAACCGGTTTGCCGGTTCGCATGACAAATCTGGTTTACCCAATTGCCCAGCATGAAGGAACTATGGCAAAATTTGGTAGTATGTTTACATCTGTACCAGTTAAGAGCGAAACAGGCCGATAGTGAACGAGGATCACCATTTTTAAGTGGATGTGTGTAGATAAGCGCGATAAAGCACTCTACTACTTGCCGCCTTGGAACAAGGCCTATCAGTAGACTCTATTACGTTCAAATATAACTGCACTTCTACGGCACCGTCGTACGCTCAGTTGCATGACTTCCGGTACGGTCAGTTCCATGGCTCTTTCGAGCGGAGCTACTATCCTCCTCTCCCTTCATGTTCGCATTTTTCAGATGTTGTATCTTTTGCAGCAGATGCACGGAGTATACTACTGTCGACATCTGTGATGATACTCCGACAGTCGCAAAGAGGCCAAACGAATATCCAACCCGTACATTGAAGAGTAACGCCGTGCACAAAATCATGACTAACTGGAGAAACGCAAGACGTTTAAATCGTCCTGCCAGAGCGCCGACTTGGGCAATGTTCAGTTTGCCGTTCGCGAAGGCTGCAAGGAGAGCAGTCTGCCGATATGCGAGATGCAGAATCGCTATACTGATGGAAATATCCAAGGCGCCGACGTACATGAACCACAGAGTGTAAGGCCTGGTTGAGCAAAGAATGATATCAATTGTATGATCATCAGCAACATAACGATCATCCAGAGCTTACCAGCTCCAGCTCGCACTAGCTGACTCTCCCTTTGCCGATGATATGAACAACGCGATAGTGAGAACCCCCAGTATTGTTCCAACTCCCATCGTGAACCACATAAACCATTTTCCCCATTCCTTCTTCACTTTCCCCTGCCCGATGATCATGATTAAAAAATCGAGTCGAATTCCTTCAACACATGCCAACAATGTGCATGCCGTAAAAAAGAAGATCTTGGGTAATTGAGTCCCATCCGGATATCCAAAGAATTGAAAGTAAGTTGATGCCGATATGGTGTCAAGTATGGATCCAGGAATTAATGCCGCAGGTGCCATAAAAATAAGAATGTTGTGCTTTGTTTTGCGATGGCGAAGAAGGATAAGATAGACGAACGTAGCAGTCCCTAGTTGTATACAAATGGCGAGCACACAGAAGAACAGGTTTACACTGAGCAGATTGATTCCTGTGCACGGGGACTCTGGCTTGTCCCATTTCGACAGTAAGCCAGTGTACGATATAACAGAGGTGCCGTTGCTGTCCGTGTAAAACTGGCAGTTTGGGTCGTCGATGGGCATAATAGATATGGTGGTGGGCGGTGACGATTTTGGGGAGGTTGGTCCGGTCCAATGTCTAATAACAGGGAACTGCGTATTAGACACTGTTATTACTACGTTACATCTGGCTGCCGAGGATAATTTTGGATCAGATGCAGCCGAGATATAAACATGGCATGGGAGACTATGATAAAATAGGGTCTCAAATACTGCTATCCCTAAATCCGCATCACACAAGATTGTGGGTCTCCGCGGACCCAAACGCATTGCTCAGGAGGATGGAGGATCATACTTCAAAATACATCTTTCCAATTTCTTTTATCCTTTCCATATTCTTTTCTACATGGCATTGAATTCTATTCTAATATGATACCAAATCCCCGTTGCGAATGGTCTATGGCCCACGTGGTAATTGGGATGGCTGCCAATGCCTTCTCTTCTATTTGGCCATTGATCTAAACAAAAGGCAGTCTTGGGTAACTATCCGCCAGGATATCCCAAAGCGTGTGTTACGCTTAACTTATGGTTATAATCCATACATGCCCCCAAATCTACAGAGTACCAGTCTCGTGCAGGAAGCAAGCCTGCATTGAAAGCAGCCCTGGGCTTGGAGGAATCATGTGCCTGCGTGATTATCCTGCTACGTAATATCAGTGAAGTACATGGGGTTACCGGACCAAAAGCTTCAACGGCTCGCATCAAGAGTTACGCACATAAGGACTAGGAAATACTCAAAGGGTTCCAGACCAAGGCATTCCTCATGGCATATGCGGCCTCAGCTATAGCTCCCATAACTGCCCGCTTCAGAAAGCGCATCATACGCGATCTTATTGGAAGCACTGCGCTGGGTTTCGGGATTGGGTTGGTAGCCTTCAGATTGCTTTTTCTTCTCCTATTCCCAACAAATGGTTTCCCAATAATATGCAGGTACTATTTTTGGTACGGAGTTCACGTTCGCAAAATGAGAGAGATTAGAGAGTATGATCAACGCGTTATGGAGGAGGTTCGACGGGAGTATGGGGATTGGGCTGCTGCCACGCCGCCCGTCAATACAAAGAAGACGGGTGGATTGATTCCGTTTGAAAAGGTTGGGGCGATCCCACTTGAAAGCCCTCCGGACACGAATGCAGTGATTCAGGAAGCTGCACAGACGGAGTGATACTGCAAGATCCTCTTTCTTTGCTGGTACTGGGAGTTGGCTGGTCGTTATCCTAACCCTAAGCCGGAAGTGGTAGACGTTATACGGGTAGTCCTCCATTATAACATCTCATACATTATTCTTTCTGTGCCTCTGATTTCATTCGTCCTTGCCTGAACCATTGCTTCAAAGTCTGGGAAGCAGAATGAGCAAGATACTACAATGCCTTACTAGCTTTTCGATGCTTCACTTCCAAATACTGCCATTAATTTCAGATCTACTATAGACGAACAAAAACCCTATCGTATACATATTAGCTACCAAATTGCCTAAAAGACTTTGAATTTACATTCATTTCACCCTCAAAAACCCCCGAACGTCCATGAGAAATGCTTCCAATCGCTCCCTATATCTAGAAAACCACGCTGCACTGGGTCCACCAATGAATCCCTCAACTCGTGCTATCCTCAGTCGTTCCGCTGCACCAGGAGTTTGCGCCGTTTCTGCAATTGCCGTGTTTAGAGTTTGCAGGGCGTCGCTGAGCCTTCTTGCGAAATGAGGTTGCGACTGCTGGCTGATAAGATGCTGTGTAAGGGTATTGTAATGATCCTGTTGGGGATGGATGTTGAATACATGGTTGCTGCCTAACCATTAAGCGCAAAGAAGAAAAGAAACATACTCCTCGGGACAAAGCCAATGCAAAGAGTGCTTCTCCAGCGGATTCCATCAGTCCCGAATCAAAATCGCGAAACAAAAACATCTCTAGTGTCTGCTGCAGCAATCCATCCAAATATGGATGCAAAAACTCGAGTGACATTCCTAATTCGACAAAAGAATCAATCAAAGTTGCAAGGGACGAAATGAACTCATTACGGGAACCGCACCGCTGCTGGCTTGTTCGTCCCATCCGAAAAGCGCCAGCGCTGTCACTGCTTCAAACGCGCTCCTGGCTACTTCCGAGATAGCATTGTGCATACCAAACTCCAGAGATCTTACCAAACTGGAAAGAAGTTCCGAAGGAAGGCTCGACAGCTTGTCTGGGAAGTACCGCACCAGGTTGCTTACCAAGGATATGTAGTCCTTGCAGAGTTCAGGGAACTGCAACCACAATGAGTTAAGTTAGGAATTTAAAACTCCATTTTCCCTACGCACCTGCAACATCTGATCAGTGATCAGCGGTATTACAACATTGACACCATAGAAAATGACGTCTGCCACATCCACGGTAGCTTTGTTTTTGCGTTTGACTAAAATGTCGCTCCAAGCTACCAAACGAAACATGAGTCAACACGGCGACGCATGGAAACAAAGAGACCGTGTCATACCAAGGCCTTCGTACTGCGATGCCATAAGTTGGGCCAACAGCTCTAGTATACATGAAACATCTTCATATAGTTCCTCCTCCCGTTCGGCCTGCAGCACACGTGTTTTGCCTGCGACCACTGTTCAGTAGCAGCAAGTGATGTTAAACTCTCAACAGCTGAAACTTACCAACTTCGTTTTTCGCGTACGTTTTCAATAATTCGAGAACAGCAGTGTACAGTTTCTGGCAGTCCGCTGGAGTCAGTTCTTCGAAGGACTGCATCAACATACATATTGAATGAGTCAGATTCCTATTCGACATGCACATATGTTGCGCCCATACCTGACATCGAATCAAGTTCGCAAAAACTAACAGGATATACTTTTCCACTTCCGTGACATTCCGATACACTTCCAATAATTTAATAAAGGCATCAAAGTACTTTGAGATGGTGGCAAAAATTTCCTTCGTATTTGATTCGTCAGCAGCTAGGGCCAGTCCACCGTACATCTCCATTGTGCTCATGACCGACTCGATGCTCTCCGGAAGCTGATAGATCTGCAGAAATTGGGGATGATTCAGGATGCCTAGTAGCCGCTTTTCGATCGCATTACTGAGGCCGCTAAAGTAATGTGATCTGACATCAGCGCTCGTGGCATGGGTTGCGATTGTTGCAATGTTTTCTATTAAAGGACTACAGAGCATAAGCTGTTATTAGCCCATTTGCAAATACCGGTGGAAGTAACAGATATAAGTCACCTGTGCACATCTGCGGGTAGTCGACTAAGGTTATCCAAGAAGAAGGATATCATGCCTTGGAATGTTTCTGCATTTGGATCATGGCGTCAGCATATCGGGAATCATCCTTACAAACTACAATGTTGCAATACCAGACACAAGCAAGGCGTTGCGAACCTCCGTGTTCCGCGAGAAAGCATTAAGCAAATTGACTACCTGTAAAGGGCGACGCGTCTTACTATCCCACCTTTATCACCAAAGGCCACTGGCCCTAATACGAACCTGTAACAACACGTCCGTCTCCCCATGCCATAGAACAAAGTTCTTTTGCACCATCGTAAGGATGAAGTCAAGTACGTGTTGTCCACCTTCTTGTCTACCGAAAGCTCTGACCAAGGACGGGGAAGCCGCCTCCCTGCAGTCGAGAAAGAGGTACGTCTCGGTCCAACGCTCGACAAACCACAGGAGCGTCTCGCTAACCAAAGGACTGCACAGAGCGAACTGAAGAAGTGTTAGCCTTCAGCGACCTGTGCGGCAAAGTATCCCCTGCTCTTCACACCTGCGGGCTATCTGGCTCCACCGACACAAGTTTGAAAACTTTGAAAAGTGTCATGGCCAGTGTGACAACGGGGTCAGCGTCTACTCGTGAATGCAACTACACGTTTGTCAAATATCAATTAGGAAGACGAATAAATACGATGTCTGCTCACCGATAACCCTTTCAAAGTTCGAGGTATCTCAGGTTTCTCGCCTCGGCCCGAGTCAGCCAATAAGTGGCCTGAGAGCAACGACAGCCAGTGAATATGCTCAAGTAGAATAGGAATCTGACTTGCTGCGCGGAGCGAGATCTGGTTAACTCTGAATCTGCCACTCAAATGATTGTATTATAACTCACCTTGTTCCTGGTTTCCGGCAAATGCTTCGTGTAATCTGGCCATTCGATCCGCAATCAACTGCTGCAACTTGGCTATCGATTTTCCAGGCTCCACACGACCTATGATAGCCACAGCCAAGAGCTGATCTTCGTACAGATACTACGCACAACTCGCATTATCATCAACCACTCTTTGAGGTAACGATATTAATCTTTATACCTCATCCTTCATGTTGTCCACCTCATCTTCCACAGACAGTTTCGCAAGCTCCAGACGTGAATCCACATACGTGTCGAAAACATGATACGCAACACTTGTCAAAAAGGTCATCAGGGTGGCCAAGTCAAACGTTAACCCAGGAGCGGCTCCCGTAGTTCTCAGTGCAGCTTGCTCATGCATGTAATCCTCAATCTGCCGAACTAGCGAAGTGCATGAAAATGAGTGGAACTTTCAAAATCAATGACCTGTGTGCGCTCCTTACTTAGCCCTGCCCAAAGATCCAAAAGTTCATCGGCGGCCTCAGTACAATACTCTTCCGAATCCCCCACCGTATTACGTGAACATGTTACAGTCAGTTTTCCCAGTTCGTTCAGAAACGGTAGAAATTCCGGGACAGCTCCAGTTATAGTTAATGGAAAGTTTTGTAGGACCCGCTTTGCCATGGATGTTATTCCAACCAACTCCGGACCATAGCCACTATCTGGGTCGAAGGTTGTTGTGGATAAAAACCTGAATTGATGTCAATAAATAGCCCCATTTTAAATAAAAACGCAACATCTGCAATGCTTGTACCTTGTGAGTAGCTTCAGAAAAGATTTCAGGAAATGCGCCACGTATCCACGTTGTCCATTCTGATCCTCAACTAAAACACCATTTGCATTGGCGGAACAAAATACTGAGCCATGCAGTCCCGCCAGATGAATCAGGCACTGTCGTGTGTGATCGGATAGACGATCATGCTCTTGCATCGTATGATGGAGCTTCACACCATATATGTTTATATGTTAGACAAAAGGCCCACTAGATAGGTCCCATGTTACCCACCTGGAAAAACATGTCTATGATATCAGGTCGTACGATGAATTCTCGCCAGCTAAGGGGGAAATTGGCAGTAATCAGATAATCGCGGACATGTTGCCTCCGTTCAAATCGTCCTTGGAGCGCATTATCGCCTAGGTGGAAGTGTCAGCACCGTCGTTCTACGGTCATGACCAAACTACCACTGAAACTCACAAGGTTTGACAAAGTCCCAGCCAAGGATCTTTTCAGTAGCCGCGACGCTCATAGTAAAGAAATCAAACTCGGGAGGATTGTCAATCTGTGGTCCAACTTGCAACGTATGCTGAATAATTTGGACTAATATCTGAAAGATATGTCGTAGTTCTCCTTCCTAATGTGCGACAAAGAAAGTATTGGTAAGCCACATTTGAAGTTTAAAGAACGCATCATTTCTCATTCGTACCTCAAAAGACCTACGGCTTTTAATGTGAAAATCATATGGAAGACCAACGGCACTTGAGCGATCAGATGAGAATTCGTCCAGCATATAGGATAACAACGCGACGCCAGTTTGACGCTTGACGAAAAGGCAGGGTATGATTACGATGTGGCCGCTTCACTAAATTCCCAAAAGATTCCTCTCTTACGTGGGTTATTTCACCGTTGAGCAGGGCCAGAATTCGACCAAAAAACGTCTCCTTATCTGGCCTTGATTCTTCCAACCAGCCGCGCTTGACGATGACCGCTACAGTCGAAAGGGTGGAATTGCGGACATATGGGGGTAGCCTACAACGATAGCATAATCGATCGTCTGTCCGGCGCACTGCCCTCATTACGAAAGTTCGGAGATGATAAGGTGACTCACAGGTCGTACTTCCCGACTACATATTCAAGGAGCCAATCGCGTAGGCCGTGTATTTCGACTTTTGGATGCAGTGCATACTCGCGAGCCGCAACCTCCTTAATAGCAGTGACAACGTGGAACCGGACATCGTCCCGTTGGGTTGTTTCTATTCACGTGCAGCAATAAGGACTTTCAGAACGATCTTCGTGAAGGTTTTTGCAAGACATGCAGACTTTTACCGAAAATATGTTTGCAGAGAGGCAAGACGTTTGGGGTGCTACGGAACTCGAGCATGACCTTGGTTCCCGCCTCGCGGGTGGCCGGTTGCTGCATTGAAACCGATCAGTTGAAAGCCGCACATCACCAGAGCTGTCGACCATGTACCGTCATTTCCGTGCATGCCTGCTCGAAACGTGCCTGCGCGGCCTGGTAATCCATCTCTACCAAAGCTCTCTGTGACCTTTCACCGGCCGCGCTATCAGCTTTATGTGAAAGAGATTCCTGCAAAAGTTCGGGCTGGTGCGCTTTGGTGAGGCCCGCCCTCTTCACTAAGCTTAAAAGCCTCATTTGTACGTATTAGCTAAGGCAGTATAAGCCACCCGATCATCTCGATTTCTGACCCTTAACTTTAAGGTTTGGAATAGGAACATTTTATCGAGTCCATAGCAGGGTTGAGAATTGAGACCTTCATCAAAAAGACCTTTCGACCGATATTATTATTTATAAAAAACCTCAAACGACCACGGCAACCGGCTCAATTCCCCAGCCCGACTCAGTATTCGCATTGTCCTCGTCTATTCCCTCACTCAAAGTATCCATCTCCCCTTCCATCTCTTTCAAAATTCTTATCCGTGGTTGATCAAGCACCCGCCGTTTGCGCTCATATTCTCGCTCAGCATCATCCAGTTCCTGCCAATCTAATGATGAAGGGGTGGTAGATCCCAGTGACGGACGTGACGTAGATGGGGTCGTGAGGGTCTGTGAAGGACGCTTCTGAGATGCGCCCAGTCTGGCTGCTCGTTTGGCTGAGAGCTTTTTACGCAGTTGAAGAAGAACCGGGTCTGTCTCGCGGTCTCTTGTATCCTCAGAAGAAGTGCTTAACGCAGATGTAGAGCGTGATACTCCTTCTCTCTCGCGCTGCTTCCGCCTTCGCCGGCGCTCTTCGCGTTCGCGATCAATTTCAGCGAGCTTTTGAGTGATGAGATCTAGTCGGGTCTGCTTTTGTGTCCGGATTTCTTGCCGCCGATGAGTCTCTTGTTCCTGGTGATGGTGCTTAGCAAGCACCAGACGTTCTTGGAGCTGCCAGAATCATCCCTCGTGAGTCCAGAAGTTCAGGGAGTCTTAAGCGCAGCCCACATACCTCCACCAGTGACATTTCACCTAGCAATCCCAATCCGGACGTTTCGGTGGGATCAACACTTTTCACAATGGATCCCACAGGCGGCACGCACCGCTCCAACAGTCGAATCTGTGCAATGAGTTCAGCTTTACGTGCTCGTTCCTCTTCTGCATCTCTCTCTGCTTGTTCTTTTAAGGCCACTTTTTGCTGGATAATCTCCGCCGCTAGAGAAACGTCAATGATTTAATTGACTTTGGGAAATAACGAATGGCATCGTACCCTTCCGCGAGTTATTCTCAACAACTTTTTGTTTCGCCTTCTGTACACATTCCTGGATCTCCTGCACTTCTTCTACTATTTTCTTATTGAGCAATTCCTGTTGTTTTCGGGTAGCTTCAGCCTGCATGCGGAGAGATTCTCGTTCTGCCAGAATCTCGGCTGCACGTTCCCTAAATATTCAATTAGATTTTATCGCGCTGAAGTAAATGGTTAAGTGATGCCGTACCGGTTTTCTTTGAGAAGTTCTTGCTTTGCCTCATAGGCTTCTTCATGAATGAGCTGTATTTCCAGGTGTCGTCGTTCCAGTTCGATTCGACGTTCTTCTTGTTCTTTTAAGTCGCGTCAATACACAACCAGTTTGAACAAGTCCCGAAGAATTCAATCTACCTTTAGCTCTCGCGTCCTCTCTCCACTCTTTAAAGTCCCCACCATCTCTCAATCCCATCTCCACTTCATTTAGCCAAGCTTCTTCTTCCTGTTTTTGCCGTCTCACTAAGGCATCTTCACGCAAGATAGCAGCAGCGGTGAGCTTGACGGGAACGTGGCTGCGCAAATTCGCGGGTACTGGTCTGTGCAGGTGGGTGCGCGGGGGTGGAGAGTTTTGTTCTTCCCGAAGAGTTCCGGTTTTGGACAACGGTTTGCGGATTGCGACACTGAATTGGGTCTGAGAAGCTTTAAGATAGATTTGCTATACTCATCATTATTTTGTAAGTAGCAAATTCTGCGTAATTTCAGGAATGAGAAAATCACATACTCGTAACTGCTCCCGCTTTTCAGCTTTAATCTTTTCCAGCGCTTCGCGCTCGCCGCTTCCCTGATAGACTGATCTCGGAACAGGACGAGCCTGCCATCATCGATCAGTGACGAAGGATAATCGAACGCGCCAGATAACACCGTACCTTCATCACATTGGACACTATTTCAGTTGGTTCAGGTAATGCTCTCGGCCTTGGTCGTGTGAGTAGAAACGGTTCCGGTTCTGTTCAGCCGACCGAAACATGAGAAACGTCTTTTACGCAGATCAGAGGAGAGATACAATACCTGTAGGAGCTTTTGTTCCCTTCTTCGGAACCATTCCCTTTTCCGCCTTGTCGCACAGCTCTCCAGCAAGGCTTATGCCATTCTCCATGTTCCTCAAAAGAGGATCAATCATCCGCTCCTGGATCGATAATAAACGTGAGCACCCCTCCATGGACTCCGGTCCTCCTAATACCGTACCTTTACCCACTCTGCATCCAAAATCTCCGCCCATCCTTCCCGTAGCTTTCCCTGCAGCATAGCATCATCAAATAGGAACCCCACAAATCGTGCCATCTTTGCGGGATCATATGACAATAGAATGGCGCGGAGCTTCGGGAAACTTAGATCTTCCAAGCGAAAGAGTGCCAGGTAAAACAGTGCTGAGGGGTAATTACATTAGGCCGGATTAAGGGTAGAAATTCAGCGGGTGCCATCCAACCTGCAAAGAGATTGTACTCATTTCGAAGGTACCGTCCTCCCGTTGTTGTATAAAACAAAAAAAGTGCTACCTATCCTTTCATAAAAATATCATACAGAATAACTTCAATGAACATTTTACATAACCAGCGAATGCAAGGCAAAAAATACCTCTAATGCCTTCCGCTGTCTCACGCACCCATTGAAAACTTCCTCCAGAAACGTTCGCTCAGCGTCATCTGTGACCTGATGCTCTTTACAGTAATCATCCAAAATCTCTTCCTCAGTTCTCACAACTGGGTTTTTAAAGTCCAATCCAATCCCGTCGTCATCAGTTTGCACATCGGTTTTGGTCGATCCTACATCATGTATTCCAGCTAGACCAGTCCCGAAGGATTTTCGAGCAAAGTCGTGGTGAAGTGATAAAAGGGCGCGGCAGTGTTGGATAAGGGGTTTGTAGTTTGGCATGGCTTATTGATGAATTATCTGTTGGATCAGTTCCGTGGTGTAATTCCAGCATGCCGTCGAAAGTCGGAGCTTGTTACGTCAGCCCCCATCAGAGCCTCGTGAGTTAACCAAGGAGCGTGTGTTCATCCACCGCGTAACCATGTCCGCCGAAACCTTGCATACTGTACGTGTCAAGCACGGCAAGGATATTCAAGAGGTACAGGCTGCGCCAGTCGTTCTCTTGAGGATTCATACGATGATCCCTGCTTAACTGAACCTTCAGTTCTGCCACCACTCAACAGCCCTCATCCACCCAGTAGTATCAAAAACGCTCCAAATCCCACCAACAAAACTGACTCTGAGTAAGCTCTTCCAAGCTCAAATCTCAAGCACTCCGGCTCATATGAGAAAAGTCCACGCAGGACGTAAACTATCTCCAACAAGCACATTCGCAGATTTCCCAGTCTGTACGACGCTCCTAGCCCTTGGACCAAGGGATGAAAATCCAGATGGGTGTCATCCAAGGGATATTGAGGTTTTGATGGGTATTGTTTCAACTAATGCATTGTCAATATACCGTCATGAAAATTGTGGTCTGACTGTATATGTATAGCACAACTGGGTGTAGATCGGAATACAGCCATCAAGGCCTTGAGGAATAACGGGTTTGATCTTGTGGATGCGATATTGCATCTGGGATAATTCGATGTAACTTCCCCATGCCAAAGCTTGTGCCCAACAATATACATTGTGTTCATGATGAACGTAAAGATGGCAGATCCAGTTGCCCCCAATTTGCTATTTCGCAGGTTGCCATTCCTACATGTCATCTACATTGTTCAATATCTCTACCCCTTAAATTAGTGTCGCCCGGTTAGCTCAATCGGTAGAGCGTGAGGCTCTTAACCTCAAGGTTGCGGGTTCGACCCCCGCATCGGGCTTTCCTCCCTAGTAACGGAATTTTTTAGCCGAACCTTTTACTGTATGCGTTTTCGTATGATCCCAATTCTCAGCCCATTCACACTGATCGCACATATCGTTGTTTCCGCATAAAAAGAGTGATCTGAAAAATGCCCATTGCGGGAGTTACGGTCCCGAATCTCAACACGTTTTGGCATAGATTGTACAAATTTAGGTATAACAACCGTGAGGCACATAGTGTGGAGGTGATTGAAAATGTCACTAGGACCAATATTATGCGGATTAATCCGGTTAATCATATCGCATAATCAGCACCCCCATCTAACGCTCAAAGCGGCGTGGCATGTATTGTAATGTTTTTTTTTTTAAACTGCGGTGAGGCGCATGCCAAAGGTCTATAAAAGGGAGCCTTTGCCCTCTTTGACCGCCCGACAGCAACCGTGATCAGAACCAGCGGCAACCAATCGGATCCGATAACAAAACCTACTATTATGCTGCCACATTAGTTGAGCTTGCTTGGTATGTACCGATGGCATCATTTCTTATCATCTGGTCATCTTCTGACATGCAGTTTTTTAGTCTCCAAGCCTTGTCACTGAAAATCCCCCAGCTTGCGAGTCTCCCCAATATTGCGAAGACTCTGGCTTCAATGCCATCAAGAGTTCTGGATCAAGGCCTAGTAGGGACCGCGTGTGGTGGTGGGCAATTATCCGGTTAGAACAACCGTTACGTATTGCGTGTATAATTGCCTAGTAGTAGCTTAGTTAGTTAGCTTTTCCGAACCGGTTGTCGCCGGTTTATTCCCTGGTGTAGTAGCTAGTGCCAGTTTCGGTCACCTAATACACTACTATTGAAAACAATCCCGCAATGTCTTCACCTAGACACTCAACTGGCTACTCTTTGTTGTATCTCGACCTATAGCCGCGCATTTTACAGACTAAGACATGCTTCCTGATGCTGGTGTTGCAGTCACTTTGACGGTGGTACAACCCGCTATCGAGTTACCTGATGTCCTAACCTAAGCTCATTTCCGTACCCCATCCTTGGTTTATACTGTCAAGAGGAATGTGCCAGGCATTCAAAGCGCCACTCGCACTAAAGACATCGAGGGGCGCAGAACAGCACTGGCTGAACATGTCCATATTGCAAGGATTTTGAACGACTAGAGTACAAGAAAGGATTCAAGCCGCTATCTGACCTCGCAAAACGTTCAAAGTAAGAAATATACATGAGAAAGAAGGAAGCAGTACTTCTTAGTCATGTATATTTCGTGTTTGAGAGATGTCCCAACATAATACAACACCGCAAAGCACATGGGCAAACCGAGCGATGCCTAAATTGCTGGAAGACTTTGTGTTGCAAACCTATATTTTGAACAAAAGCAGTAGTGCGAAACAAAAGCGCTGCTCTGTGTACCTTGTTTGCTTCAAATTGATGCAAAGGAAACAACAACAATGTCGCATCAACAATAGACAAGGCGAGAATATCTGCATCCCATGAATCAATGCAAAATGAACGACCATCGTCATACTACACCGTTTCCCCTCCGTTCAACAGTGTGCCTATATCGTTGGCCGTACTCCATTTGCAGGTAAATCAAGACCCAGCGGAGAGGGAAGCACTACTGAGCATAGTAAACCTGCTTCATACAAGATGTACCCAAGTCTGTCTCGTCTTGATTATGTTGTGTAGATTGGAGGAGAGGGACTTTAGTACGTCGACAAACGAAATGGCCCTCCAGGATCCGGAGAGGGTCAAACACACAAAAATGCTGGAGAGACAGATCGAAGGGGGGCTTTTGAAGCAATGAAACCATCCCATGACCCCACATGATATCACATGCAAGTACAGTGATTGGCTGAAAATGAATGAAAAATTCCCAAATTCAGCGAATGATCGCCTTTCTAATTCACATGACACTAATAAAACAACTTGTTTGGCAATGAACTCACGTGGTCACCTGCGTTCGGAGGGATTTGCCTTCGCCTTCGACCTTTTCATCCTTCTGCGTTTTCTTGTTTTCCCTAGAGGTTTCTTTTTTGAGTTTCGATGGCATTTGCAAGATAGATCGATATCAGGGCTGCCTCGTGTTCAAGTGTAAACGCCCGCCGGCTGGGCCTTTAAAAAACAGAAAAAATCACAGTAGGCCCTGCGTCATATCGACCGCGCACCCTTCCCTGCCAGTCAACTCGGCACGCTGTTGTTGAGCGAATTCAAAGTTCATAAAAGGGATTCCGTCTCTTTAAACGTCCTGTTGGTCCTCCCATCACCTCGCTCGCCTTGGTGAAGGCAACTTAACATAGCTATCTCCTCACCACCACCGACCACGGTTCACGTTAAGAATAGAACGTGCGGGTTCACTTGTGATAGAGGTATGTCGAGGTTTGGTCAGTGAAATGGAGACTGTGGGCGATATGGGCAAAATGAATGGTGGATGCCAAATTGAACCCTTACTTTTTGGGTTTAGTTGCTTATGGGAAACTATGCTATTTTTAGTGACGGGCGACTCTTAATGTCCGCCCAAAATTGAGCACCATCAATCACTCAGTGTGGCACCACTGGACAACTCTAGAATATCTGCTAATTCTGGGTCCGGTTCAAACTTTAGAAATCCAGCGTTGATCCCGCCTGCTTCGCCTCGCGACCCTTATATTGGCATCGTTTTTTACGTCTTCCCCACATCTTGCTCAGTTCGCTTGCTGCGTGACAGGGTTTCTCATCCGCATCTGGCAACCTTCGGCGGTTCTCGTTCCGCTCTCAGTTGATTTTGCTCTCGACCAATATTCATCCGTCTGCCGCTCATAACTCCGACAAAGCCTATCATTCCTTTACACTGCCTTCAATCCCACGTAAACATGACGGTTGTCTCGGTTCATTCAAACAGCATGCACGCATACGGAGCAGTTGCAAAATCCGTCCTCCCATCTGCAAATCCATGCGCCTTGGAGTCAACTGAGGGCAAACGAGCCGCTCGTGTCCTGCATGCCAACGTTACCGCGATAAGTTCAAATCCTCTAGAATCATTACATTCTGAGAACGGGCAGACAGGACGTCGTGTCCGCGTACAAGCCCCGGAATGCAGAAGAGTGGATTCAGGTTACTACTCGGGTGTCCCGAGCTCTGCCGAACGCGCAACACCGCCACCACGTAGCTCCAGTCTTGGATTGTCGCTAGATGAAGATGCACCGTTACCTGCACCTTGTACCGTCACCCGTACCAGTATACCCATGCCCAGGAGCTATCAGGTAACTGAGGTATCCACACCCCGGTCGTTCTCGGTTTATGGCCGGTCTGCACCAGATCCAATAAATACAGCATCACCACAAACAATGAGTGAGCGAGAATTTGCCAACAACCCACTTCACCCTCGCTTTTTGGCAAAGTACTCTATTCAGGGCGAGCTGGGTTTTGGGGCGACGGGATTTGTCGTGGCGGCGAGGCGGCTGGAGGACGGTCAGGCGGTGGCGGTTAAATTCATGTTCAAGGACAGAATACCCGTGGAAAATTGGTTGCGGGATCGGCAGCTGGGAACCGTGCCACTAGAGATTTTCATCTTAAAGAGACTGGATCATGAGAACATTGTCCGTTATCTAGACTTTTATGAAGACAAGAAGGTAAGGCGAATTTTCACATCCCCCAGCAACTGTGATGACATCTTACTTATTTCTCTCCCTATCATAGTTCTTTTACCTGGTGATGGAAACACATGGTATACCATGGGTGAACTTCAAAGACGAAAACACAGTGCCCTCACCAACAACTACTGCGGCTGCACTCAAAGCAAGAAGACCCAGTCGACGTGCTTCCCAGGACTTGTTTGAATGCATCGAGCAAAATCCTTTTATGCAAGAGCGCGATGTTCGTCACATCTTCTCCCAAATCGCTACAGCGGTAGCGTATCTTCACCAAAACAACATTGTGCATCGCGACATAAAGGACGAGAACATTGTCATTGATCTCTACAAGAACGTCAAGCTTATCGATTTCGGTAACGCTGCCTTCATACCTCGTTCCGAACGCGACTATTTTGATCGATTTTATGGAACGATGCATTGTGCCGCCCCAGAGATACTTCGTGGAGAAAAATACCGGGGGCCTGAACAGGATGTGTGGGCTCTAGGCGTGTTGCTCTACACACTAGCCTTCTCCCAGACACCATTTAAGGATGCTGCCGGCATCATGACGGGACGATATGCTACACCGCGATTCTCGCGGAGCTCTCCTTTACTTGGGCTTCTGAGTTGTCTATTAGAACCGAATGTGGCCAAACGTGCTACCATGGATGACGTGCTGCGACATGAGTGGATCAGTGGACAAGGGACCGTGGTTTCGGTTGACTAGACGATGATGGATCATCGGTAATCGCATCCCTTGGTGCGAGAATATTCTGTACATAGTTATATTTTTAGGTGGCGTGTAGTGATCCTTTGATTTTTTTCTCACGTTTTTGTATGTGGTTATGGAACATTTTTTTTCATGTTGAACATTCGAAATAAAAGTAGTACCTACCCTATCACAGGTGCCGCCGCGACACTTTCTGACTGTCAGATTGACGACGGCCACTCGCGAAAAATACAATAAGTGCAGGTTGAAAAAAAAAATCACCAGTTCTACTTATCTACAGCCCGATGCGGGGGTCGAACCCGCAACCTTGAGGTTAAGAGCCTCACGCTCTGCCGATTGAGCTAACCGGGCTTCGCTTTTACGTCTCGTAGCACAAAATACACAAGAGATATAACTCATGTTCAGGAGAATCTGTACTATCCTTTCTTGATGAGCGGATGGTTGACGTAGCATTCTAGATATGTGCTGCAAGTTATATAATAGAAGTTGCGAATCTATCCTGGTATGAACTGTATCTGATGAGAATGTTTATATTCTAGAGATACTGGTAACAATCGGTTTATATGCCCGCTATAATCGATACCTACGTACAGTGATGATCAAACATATTCACTAAACCAAAAATCGGAATCAGTTTGTTAATAAGCAGACGCTACGCATAATCGTATTTCCCGCCCTTCTCCAATGCCTTCTTGTACCCAGGCATGTCATGAATCTTTGTGAGGAAGGCCTTAGTCTTGGGACCCAGGAATTTGGGGGCTCGGTGTGACGCAGCTTCCAATGGAAAGCTCATTTGAATATCAGCAGCCGTAAATTCGTTGCCCGCAAACCATTCATGCTCCGTAAGCACTTTCTCAATGTAATTGAAAATGCGCGTCAGATCTGGGTCGATGACCTTTTCGTGCACAGCACCGGCAATGGCCTTTGCAACGGGTTTGACGATCCTCGGAACTGATTTTTGCACATGACCAAATACAAGGGTGAGGAGGAGAGGGGGCATTGTGCTTCCTTGGTTTTGTAAGAACTTCAGTTGGACCGAGACATTTGCGAGCGCGACTCTGCGGTATGAACTTACCTTCAGCAAAGTGCAACCAGTACGTGTAGAGAATCCTTTCATCCGTGCCTACAGCTGGCCGCAATCGTCCGTTCCCGTACGTTTCTACCAGATACTCAACAATGGCTCCAGACTCGGCTATCGTGTGCCTCCCGTCAGTAATGACAGGTGACTTTCCGAGAGGATGAACCTTGAATCACACATTTATAAATAACGTCCATTTACGAGGTATACTAGTACATGACTGTATGCTTGGGTGGTTACCTGCTCCAGCTCTTTAGGAGCCCGCTGGTCCTCATTCCGTTGGTATCGCTTGATCTCATACGGCAGTTGAAGTTCTTCAAGCAGCCAAAGGATGCGCTGACTACGCGAGTTGTTCAGGTGGTGGACAATAATTGGGGATGCAGGACTGGCCATTGTGTTTTGTGTTGACAATGCAATCGACTGGCAGATGTCACAGAGCGGCCGCTTGTGTGATTGGTCATCATCCAGATCCAGGATTAATGAATGTCGAATGTTCTAAATCTTTAGCTGCTGAAACTAGGAATTGCTCTCGTTATTGTTATATTGTGACTTTACGTTAAAAAAAAACCTTGTCCTGCGGGTTAAATGCAGAATTCGGCTTGAATTTGGGCGCATTTCACTATCATCATATTTGCATGCGATTGCAGGAATTGGCTTCGCCTAGGTACGTCCATCCAGCGTGCGAATTGGGAAATATCGTAAAAAGCCAATGAGCGACCGGTACAGGGCAACGATCAGGGTTGCATATTACGAAGCCTCTTTTATATTTTCAATCCTTGATGATTCCTGTCCAGTGCCATCACTTGACACGATCCGAGTGAAGCCACATGGATGGGGGAGTAAGAAGTCGTCGAGACGTGACGGCCTTCTCAGTTTAGTCCCTTCACGAACGGACGTAATTATCATAATTATCAACCAAGTTTCCATGGCCCGCATCCTGCAAAAGCCCTCGAGGTTTACTTTTGTTACCTAAATGGGTTTGTTACATCATCCCATAACCATGGTTGGTTAACCTCTTAAACAATGGCCAAAAGAGCTGAACTTATTTGCAAGGACCCTACGGTATCCATTCAAGTACAGCGTAGCCGAGTAGCTTCTGAGAGAAGCTTTTTCTTATAATCGAGCCGCTCCCTATTTAAACTCTCCTCTCCACCTATATCCCCCAAAGGATTTTATGTTTGCCTGTGATAAGTTCTTTTGAAACGTCCGATAACAAACGATGACTAGCGAGGCATTACCACCGTCTAGCATTGGGCAGACAGCACAAAATGTGGATTTCACAAAACATGGATTGGGCTTGCAAGTAACTCCTCCACACATCTGCAACCCGGAAGCTGATAAAGTTTTCAAGGAAACAAGAGTGGGCACGGATCCGTCAGAAAATGTTTCCAAGGCACCGTCGTCACATATGACAACAATCCAGAGGCCAGCTGAGCTTGAAAAAAAGCCGTCGTCGTCCATTAAACGCTCCAAAATTGATTATCAATTCTTCGGCCCACGTCGCTCGTCCAACTCGCGGGCTCCCATTGCAGCACCTGATATGCCATCTTACAATTCTGTTGGATACTGGCCTTACTATTCAACCATTTATGATATCCCAGCAAGTCCTCCGTACAACGGACCTGGCACTGCAAGTACCGCATTCGGTTCGCTCAACTCGCCGACCGGTTCCTACATGACCCCACGCATGGACAACACAGAGGGATTCCTGTCCACAGTTTATCAGGCGCCTAACTACGACATTTACGGATCTTACAATAACGGATGCGTTTATTCGGGTAACGGCAAGCAGCGAGCAAAGGCGTTCACGGCAGATGCAGTAAAGGGGTATGGTAGCCATATGTCCTCGTCCACATACGCTGGAGGCGAAGGAGGTGGCCATTTTCCATCCAGACAGCAGCGCATTCCTCACGACGATGCCAAAGCAATGTGGGTTGGCAACTTACCGCCCAACGTCACCGAAAATGAAATCAAAGAATATTTTAACCTCTGCGATATCATAGTAAGTATTGTCCTGCTGTAGCTATTGTAAGAGCTACCTGACCATTTGATCAACCCAGAGCATCGCCAATTTGACTCGCTCTCGCTGCGCGTTTATTAATTTGACCTCACAAGCTGAGGTGGACATGGCTGTCAAGACGTACAATGACTCGATCTTCAACGGATGCATGCTAGTTTGCCGCTCACGCAAAGTAAGTCATCTACATTTGCAAAAATCGGTCACGTTGACTGAACCATCCTGCGATATAGAATCACGTTGAAAAGCAGCGCGCATCCACCGAAGTGATGAGGGAAACAACCGCTTCGCAGCAAAACGTTCGCAAGGCTAACATAACTGAAGAAGAATCCACCAGCGCTGAGGGGCAGCCGAAATACAAGTTCGAAGAACGCTTTTTTATTCTCAAGTCTCTCACCAAGGACGACCTGGAAATTGCCAGGGAGCGTGGATATTGGGCTACTCAAGTCAAAAACGAACCTATCTTGAACAAAGCGTTTGGGGTAACTTGTCTTTTTGGGATCTTGCAGCACAATATATATACTTTACTTACGGTATTACCTAGAACACTCGCAACGTATATCTCATTTTTAGTGCTAATAAAAGCGGCGAATTTTACGGATATGCAAGGTAAATTTCTAAATGTCTTACAGTTATTGCAAACATGCTCACCTGTCAAAACAAAGGATGGAATCCAGCATTGATCCGGCCCAGGCCGAGTCGGTCGAGTGGGTTCCGGTCACCAATCCCCCGCCGCATCGCAGCGAGGCACCCTTCGACTCGCCGCCCTACAGCAACAGTGATGGAAGCTGGCCGACTAGCGACGAATACCAACTGCCAAAGTGGGGAACCCCGTTCAAAGTCAACTGGATGGTCATGTGAGTGTAACCTCTGCGTGGTTTAGCTACGCGATCTGTCAATGACCGATTAACATCGATTTGCAGCCATCCCTTGCCATTCTCGCGTGTGAAGGTAAGACACGAGTCATCAACACAACATGCCATTCATCTCCTAACATGTGTACGGTGGATACAGCATCTACGTAACGCTTGGAATGCAAATAAACAAGTGAAAGTCAGTCGCGACGGGATTGAGGTTGAAACTTCAATTGGAAAGCGTCTCCTCCAGGAGTTTGAGGATGAGGTCCGGCGCTCAGAAGAAAACAATTACCAGCGCGAGTTACATGGATTAGGCAGAGAGGGTGATGTTCCGCATGCGGAAAGCGGATCTTCTGAGTCTGAAATCATGCAGTTCATCGACAAGCCCATTGATTGTGCGAAAGTTCCTCAATACTCGAACGGTCATAGTCCCCGGTCCAACAAGAAGCGGCTGCCGCCGCTTCAGCCGTTGAAAACAAACGGGCTTTCTTATGATGTGTGAGTTTTTCATTTCTTTGGTCAGTCTCCAGACCTGGCAGCAATGCTCATGCCAGTTATCAGGTTGATGTACTCTCCAACCTATGTTCCAACGCCAGCATACGACACTGCATGCATGACCCCCCCGGCGCCTGCATCTCCATACCCGATCTCTTACTGGACACCGTCGCAGCCACCTCTCTCCCCTCCAATGGTTCCTTGGTCGCCAGTAGCTTATTCGGCGTACTACCCGCAGCATATGGAGAATGGCTATCAAGTAGGCATTGGTCTCGACAAGCCTTTTCCCGTCCATTTTGTGACATCTTGCGTCTAATTTCTCTTAGAAGAAATCGTTCAAATATAACGCAGTTCCTTGCCAATGAAAGCACCGCACGACAGCGGACATTCGGTGCTTGCAGCGTCTTTTGCGGCGTCGAAACCAAAGACTTTACGTTTCTCGGCCGATTACTATGTATACGATTGATTTACCCCGAGTTGGTAGTAGCAGCTCTGTGTATATTCTTGGTTTACTCTTCTTTCCAATAGCAATGTGAGGATTCGACGACGATGGTCGGGGTCTTACTTAGCTTTACCATAGCAACAAAAAATGAATTTTTCTGGGTCGTGGCCTATAAATTCGCGGAATTGCATCTTTCACTTCTTTTAGTCCTTTCAAAGGGTGGATCGTGAGCTAGAGATTCTCTGCATAACGGTCTAACCCTCTTGAGGTTTCACACCAGGTATGTAGTATAGTTCCCTCTGTGGTTGGAGTTTTGGGATGAGGAGCTTCGTTGATGAGCAAAAACTCGACCCTGACCTTCGCGGTTTGAGGACAGTTTATTATATCACCAAGATCGCTGAGGAGTTCCTCTCGACTCTCTTTTCTGATATCATTGTATGTCGCTTGAAGGCTGACAGTGTCACTCTTCTTCTAGAAACCTATTGTTGATTCAGGGCATGTCAAGGCCGGGTTACGCATGTGAGTATCGTAAATAGGTGTAGGACAGAAGTGGCCGAGGAGGAAAATTGAGACCAGAGACGCACCATGTTGGATATTATAATTCTAAACTACAATTCACTGATGGCCTTGATATGGGAGATGGGGAGACCTGAAAGAGAGAAACATAGGTTCTAATGAGAATCTCTTTTTTTCCTAATAGGGCACCACCGGATTTGTCCTGAGAATGCGAACTAGTCTATACGCTCTCACGGCAATTTGTGCGGCTGGGCTTCCTGGGACTCTTGGCGATATGACACCTTGTCGAGTACATGATGTGCTACGATTCGGTGTGTCTCTCGCTCACAATGAGTGAATGTCTGCGATGCGGTTTGTATATTAGCGGTCGGTCCTATGATGGTTTACATGTAATTTGCGTTTGACAACACCACTCACGGCATGCCTAGCCTATATGGGGTTGGTGGAGATTGATGCCAATTTGTTTGCTGAGGACCGACTGTTGCATTTCTTTCTGTTTTTGACTCGTTCTTGTTGTTTCTTGCTTGTCATTTGGTATATAAAAAATACATTCTTTTAAAATCATCCATGCACTTCTCGAAACATTTGTCTGCCGTCTTTCTCTATCTTTTGGCAAGTCCATCTGACGGGTGAACGAGGTGATGCCAAACGTCCTCGCCTGATGCTCATTTCATATTGGCTTCTTTGGCACGTGACATCAGATCGACATCTTCACAGATAGATCTCCCATCGTTTCGCAGCAAGTTGATTCCCTGCTCTACTGCAATTTCACTACAATCTAAAGCAACATGCCCCCGCTACCGCACATTTTCACTGACACAAAACTAGAAACAACTATCGTCAACCTCACTACTCGCCTCGTGCAAAGCGTGGCGGAAGGTGATTGGGAAACATATGCGTCTCTGGTGTCCCACGATATGACGGCTTTTGAACCAGAATCGGGCGAACATCAGGTATTATCATTTCGCAGAGTTGGGGAGAAAAGAAGAGGTCTGCCAGGCTCACCATATATTCTTGTCAAAAGGTTCAAGGCCTAGATTTCCACAAATTCTACTTTTCCCTTGCTCACGCCCAAAGTGCTACTTCCCCACCGCCTTACGCAAGTCTTCCACCAGCAACAACAACCCTGGTCTCCCCCCATGTCCGTATTCTCTCTTCAGACCGCTGTTCGGCGCTCATCACCTACGTGCGTCTTGTCCAGCGTGTTAAACAGACTCCCGAAGGAACGTTGGAGCCAGTAACTACCACTTCGCAGGAGACTAGGGTTTGGGAGCTGGACCGAAAGGAGGGCGCATGGAGGAATGTGCATTTCCACCGGTCGCTTGTAAAAGCGCCTGAAGTTATCATTAAGGAGGTGAAGGCTAAGTTGTAGGACATTGTAGGGCATCAATTCAGCAAAACCTATTCAGATAAATGACTAGGGTTTTAAGACAAATTCTGTACATTTTGATCTGCGATACACACCCCCATTACAATGAATAACAATATTATATACATAAGGCCATCAAAAGGAGCTCCGTATTCCCTTTACCCCATGTCGTCTCCCGGATGTTTCTCAATCCAATGGATCAATTTTTCAAACTCTCGTTCAACGCTTTGCCATGCCTCGACCCTCTTCTTGCGAAACTCCGCTCTTACGCTCATGGCTTCGTTTCGTAGATATTCCTCGACGGTCATGCTCTTTTGCTCGTTAGTCAGTGCCATCGAGGTTTTATGGGCAGATAGCTTCTCGATGGTAATTTTTCCCACAAACCCCGGGTCATTGGGGACACCATTGATGAAGGGCGGGATGGTTTCAGACACAGCAGGCAATTGATTGTCGATGGCAGAAGGAGTGGGCGTCATGTCCACCTCCAGATGCAATTCTGACCCGCCCTCGCCAATGTCTGTCATTGCTACTGATTCTGCCTCATCAGCTGTCTCTATGCCACTCTCACGAGTAGTCTCCATAGAGTTTGTTTCTTTCTTGGCTGCTGCAGCTCTTCTAAGTGGACGGCGTCCTTTACTTTTCCCGGTCGTATCCGTTTCTTCCACCTTCTCATTCGCGGTTCGTGTCTTTGCTTTACGTCCCGGCTTCGGTTTTCCGTCTAGGTCAAGCAAGTCCTCGGAATAACAGACCTTTTTGGCTCTTTCACGGCGAGGTCTCGGTCCTCCTTTTCGCGGTGCTTCGGTTGGTGTGAGATCTGGTGAGTTTTCCTTTCCATCTGCATTTTCGTTTACCACGTCGGCTTCAACTTCTGGTACGACCAAGGTAACTGCCGTCTCCGACTTTTTGGCCTTATTTCGTTGCCTCTTTGGAGGAATGATCTCCGGTTCAGATTCTGAGGCGTGTGGTGCAGCTCTCCGAGTCTTGGCCCTGCTAGCTGTCGCTGTAGGTGCACCACTTTGCGTTTTTGCTTGCTTTCTTTTCGCTTTAAGAAACTGACACGTTGGTTGACGCTTTTCATGTTCTATGCTACAAAGTAATGGAGCAGTGAGTGGCGCCAGTCTCGAAGTTAATGTCCCAGCAAACAAGTTTCGTACATTGGGTCGTCTTCTGGTTCCCAACCGTCGAGAGAAAGCTTGCAGTAGGGACACATGGCTGTATCTCTCGATTCAGCCAAGGGAAAGTAAATAAAGCCCGCGGCGGCCATCTTGTCAAATATAATAAAGAGTGAGTCGCCAGGCAGTAGGTCGTCAGGATCAACACTGAAAAAGTGTGAGGAAAGCACACCTTTTGACCAGAAAGCTTCTCCCATCCCGCCGCATTCTGATGTGGCCACGATTCATCAAATGTTTTCTGTCTTGCATCAAGAGACCCTGTGCCGGACTTGTCTTGTCCAAACCGCGTCCAAAATTGTCCTAGTACACAAGTGTTCGAATGTCCCAAGGCAGGGTCGTCTACTCCACTCCATGTGCTCCTAACTGCGTTGCACCATCCACATACACATTCGGCAGGTCCATTTGATAAATACCAGCCATTTGTTGCCACCTGCAGTGAATTTAGTTCCAGTTCCTACGACTCTCCACCTTGAAAATGCCGTTAACAACATACCTGATTCGTATATATTTTCTTCCGTTTATGTGTCCAAGCTGGAGAGACCGTTCTAAATGTCTCTAACCGCAAGTCGAAGCATTCCATCGTGGTCAGATTCTTGCGAGATGTCGCGACCATCAAGAAACGCGCGAAACCCAACTCAAGTGATGAGCTAGTCCGAAGCCCATAAAGGTTAAATGACGCTTCGGACAGCTCTGGTCGCGTCCCTTCCGTTCATCCAGCGGCAAAAACCCTCCGTTTGACGTTAGCGAATTTCACACCATAGATTTAATAAAGATGAGCACCATTACGCTCAAAGCACGATCGGGCCGCCTATTGAAAGAGAAGCTAGACCTCGGCAAAGACGTCACAAATGCAACCGTAGATGATCTCAAGACAGCCATCCACAAGGCTTGTGCGTATATAGATGGAAGCTCTTGACTTGTGCTGCAAATGACTGACATGGTTCTCATTTTGACCGAACCAAAAAGTTCCCAAGTACTACCCGTCTCGTCAAAGGTTAACCGTTGGTATGCTACTCTCATTCAATGGATGTTGCCCACAACGATGGCATAGCCGTTCCCGACCCGTTTTGTTTTTTTTGCCCTAGATAACAAGGCTTTGGAGAAGGGGCAGACTTTGCAACAATATGGAATCAAGGCCGGAGGTATATTATTGAATGCCCTTTGCCTTACATCGTGAATCATTCGTTCAAACAAATGTACATTAGATGCAATCGTTTTCAAGGATCTTGGTATGCAAGAGTTATCGTGTTATCATCTCTAGTTCATTGGTACCAAACTATCCTTGGACATTCAGGACCGCAAATTGGCTGGACCACCGTTTTCTTGATCGAATACTTTGGGCCCATCTTGATCCACCCACTATTTTACTTCTTCCCGCAAGTCTTTTACCCTGGCGTTGCAGCTCAACCTCACACCCGGATACAAACGTACCGTGTGACTATTATGATGAAGCCATAGATAACCCACAGAGCTGTCTGCTAACTCTCATTTCCTGTCTAGGCTCACCCTGCTGCTGACCATTCTGCACTTTCTCAAGCGCGAGTATGAAACGGTCTTTGTTCACCGATTTAGGTTTGCGCTTGCATTTCGAATTGTGGTCTATTCGCATGTTATTCTGAGTACTCCCTGATTAGTAACGATACCATGCCTATTCGTAATTTACCCAAAAACTGCGCGCACTACTGGATTCTTGGCGGCCTCGCCATCGCATACCCTGTTTACCGCCCCGGGTTCAATGGTGGATTGTTTGGTGGAGCCCATTCCGATCTTTTTGTGAATTCTTTGCTGGCGTTTTGGGCGGTAACTATTCTGGTTGAATTGAGCGGGACCACGGAACTATTTTATTTATGGTAATTCTCCCTAGTGGGCCGAAGTTTCAAACTTTCTGACGCACGTAACACTGCGTAATCTTCGACCCCCCGGAACAAGGGTCCGAAAGGTAAACATCAGTTACAATCTGAAATATGATCAGATACTAATGGTGACTACCAGATTCCCCATGGGTACGGTTTCAACTGGGTCTCTTGTCCCAACTATTTCTTTGAAGTTATGGGTTGGCTTGCCGTAGCCCTGTTAACCGGGTCTGCTTCCGGTATGTACTTTGATATTCAGAACGCGCTACAAAAAAACTTTCCTGATGGATCTTATTGGATTTCCTCTATCACAAAGCATACTTCTTCCTGGTCGCTGGCTTTGGCCAAATGTATCTGTGGGCGGTCAAGAAGCATATCCGTTACAAGAAGGATTTCGGAGCTGCGTATCCCCGAAGTCGCAAAGTTATCATTCCCTTCTTGCTTTGAGACTGGGTGCATTGAAGTTGTTCGCATGCTTAGCATCGGGAGTGGGAGCGGAGGAGCCGCTGAGCAAGGTTCAAGTGATCATTACTATAGGTGGAGACGCAATTTGTACACATTTAGCAAGATTTGGTGTAGTTGCGGGACAGTGTGGAATAGGAAATCCAATAATTCAACATTGCTAGAAATCGTAGCTTCCCCTATTCTGTAAATCGCACCGTCATTTGAATACTAATTGGCAACGTTTCATCTGTTACGGTGACCTCCTCCCCATCCTCCATTAACTCTCGGATCTGCTTTCCGAGGTTTGGTCGAGTGGCCTCCTCCAGCATGCGAGGGGCTCGCATATACAATGACTTTGTGCCCGTTCGCAGTGATGGTTTCTTCAGTTGACTATATCCCGGGGAGGTTCAGACACCAAACCATAATGCCATTGAACCCATGAAATGCCACGTACATATCTTTGCGATCCATCAGTAGATCCATCAAATCTTCCAACGTGTGCGCTGGGTTGATTTCCACTTTGATTGCCTTCCCTCCGCAGACAGGGCAGTCTTCCTTCTTTTGCAGTTCGAAAGTGTACGTGTAGACACCTTGATCTCCTACGTACATCATATAATTGTTCATTGCGGTTGCGCAGTTCGTTGCGATTTTGAAGGCTTCGTTTGCGCATGATGCTGCGACGCGCACAGTACGGTCATCAGCATGAGATACGGAATATGCTATAACTAGAAAAGCTCACCAGCGACGATGGCGTTAGTGGAAGCGATGGCAGGGATAATGTTTTTCACAACGCCTTGCGTTAGCGTGTAGGTGACACCGGTGATATTGAATTCTTTCGCCCGGGCTGATGCTTTATCAAGCAACCATTTAATGTGCTCTGGGTCATCACCATCAAGCTTTTTGTCTATATGATACCATATATCTCAATTTTGCGATCAAATTGCCAAACAACTTGCAAGAGCTGTACCTGGGAATTCTTTCGCCCATTCCAAGACTGACGCCCATTCGATGCAATGCTCCGGTAGACGCGGGGTATTTGCAATTGTGCACATCGGATATGTAGTGGGTTTGGTTTGCATGTCCAAAGAGCACTCGTAGCAAGCGCTCATTCGCGGAAGAATGATACGAGATTGGCCTTTGAACCCTTCGGTACCGCCGTCGATAATCGGCTTGAAGGTTTCCGGGTCTTCTTCATCAAACATGGTAATGACGGTTGCGTTTATCCATCGTCGGGCTTCTACAGAGTCCAATCCGCAGATGATGATTGTGAATTGATTGTAGTACTCTTCATCCTTGTCTTGGATCTTGCCAAAGTAGCTGTGATGGTGGGCGTTGTTTTACTAAGGTTCGCGGAATGGGCTCGGGCTTTCATGCATAACTTACGGCGTAATCTTCACGCCTGGTACTCGTTTCATGACAAAATTGGCGGCAACTTCTGCCTTTGGCTTTCCCACGTCTGACGCACTGACACACACATAAGGGTCATTAGTTACAGTAGTTGGAATACCTCACGCATCTACGGATCAAAGTACCCACCGAAACAGGAATTGCCGATTCAAATTTGAAATGTCTATCGTATCCATATCAATGACGTGAATGTCCGTAAATCCCATGAGTGCCAAGTCTTTCAATAACTCGCATCCAAGGCCGCCAGCGCCAATCACTAAGATTTTGAGGGTATGCAGAAATTCTTTCACCTAGGTGAAAGATGTAAGAACCCTCAGCAGATCGGCCAGTATTTGCACGCATACTTGATCGCCTGGTTCGAAGCCGTCGTTCGCTAGTGGGCCTGGTCGTTCGAGATATGTGTAGATATCTCGCCACCGTCTATTGTCCAGTATAGACGTTCTAGTAAATCCTTGACGCGCATTTGTCACAATGACTGGTCTTACCCTTCTAAATCTGCCACACCGCCGTTGCTTTGCACGGGCATGTTTTCGCTCATGTCTCGGGCAGCAATCTTGGACTCCAGCCTCAGCTTGCTGGCGAGACTTGCTTGATGACTCAGGTTAGCACGTGATCAAGTGCTGCGCAACTTGTTGCTGGTGACAACCGACCAATGTACTGCTTGTAGTTCCAGAAGGTGCGAGATCACACATTTGAACCCTTTCAACAGCTCAACGGTCCGGCCCATAACAGCTATCCCGAGCCACCTCTTCACCCCGATAAACTAAACATTATGCCAAATCGGCCAACCCAGTCAGAGCTTCTTCAGTGGGCCGTAACACACACCACTGACGAGTCATCGGCCATTCCTGAGCGACCGGTTACAAGAGAACCTATTGTGCGTCGAACATATATATCGTCAAAACCTTCCGTCTATTTGCTTAACGAGCCGTTTCCTAATTCAGGATCCGAAGTGGATTGATGTAATATTGGGAAAAGACGATGCGGTGAAGATGAAGGGTAAAGCTGTTTATGGTCGTTGGTCAATCCCACGTCGCCTTTTCCTGACTCGCAAGTGATTCTAGAATGTGTGGAGACCATACGGGGTACTGAAAAGAGCCTTGACGATAAATTGGCTGCTTTTGATGAATTGGAAATGCTCGTCGAATCACTGGACAATGCGAATGGTTCGTGACTTGTCGAAGCTGTGAACAATAGCAAAGCGTACAATGGGCTCATCGCGTTATCACCAGATCTGCGACCACTAAGTTTATGGACTCCCATAATTGATCAACTATCAAGTCAAGAGCCCAAGATGCGAATGTACGCAGCATGGGTGCTTGGAACCGCAGTGCAGAATAATCCCAGATCGCAAACAGATGTGAGTACCCGTTGGGATTCTGTGCTGGGTTGTGGGTGCATGTGCTCACGGTGATATGACAGTTTCTGGATTCTGGTGGTCTTGGGCCAATTTTACGAGTCCTTGCATCTGATCCTGATGAGGAGGTTCGCGCAAAGGCACTGTACTGTGTCTCTGGTATGTATGTGGTACGACATCAAAGTCAGTACTTTGCTAATTCTGAGCTTAAAGGCGCTATACGACACAACCGTGCCCTCTTTGATGCCTTCGTTGATGGCAATGGCTTTAGAACACTTGCGTCAGTGGCTGGCGATGCCAATCCCGCACTACTAAAGAGGGTAGTCTTCTTATGGCGGTCGCTGATCGAACAAGAGGAACCAGAGGTAGCATCCCGCGCTGTCCAAGCGGCACAGGAAAACGGGGTCCCTGCCATGGCTTTGGATCAGACGGCGGGTGAGACAGAAGATGCAGACTTGGTGGAGAAGGTATAGCGTCCAGTCTCTCGATTTTGGCGAACGGGGGTGGCCTTTTACAGGATACTTACTTGCGTGTCTCCTCAGTGCTTGGAATTGCTTTTCACTCTTGTCACCAAGTACCGCAGCACACTACTCATCGATCTGTTGGTCCGAATAAGAGACGAAATCATACCTATTGTTCGAGAGCGGTTTGGGCCTCAAAGCCACTCGGGCATGGTATCATTAGACCTGATCAAACAGCTGGAAGAAGCATTAGAGGCCATTTAACTTGCTGCCTTGTGATGGGCATATGTATATTTAATCCTTTTGTTGATAATCTCACTTTTGCGTATCTGCACATGACATCTTTGGGCCTTAATTGTACGTTTTAAGGTTGATGATCGGCTCCGATGTGGCTCAGGATAAAGGGGTAAAGGCGCGTTTAGCCGGATTTTGATGATAGGGCAGATCCAAGTAATAAGTAGGACGGCGGTGATTTGCAAACATTTACCTCCCATCCAGTCACTATGGTTAAGCAGGATGACCAGATTCCTTATGCGCGAATCAATACGGCAAAGCTTGAGGGTCTTTCTCCAGCACCTTTATCTGCCTCCAAGATTCCTGGGCACATGTTGAGGGTTGGCATCCGAGCGGGTTTGCTGGGATTCAGTGAGTTCCAGGTGCAGTTGGGCCAGCTGGGAACGGCATGCTTATGCTTTAACCGATAGGCATTCGTGCTGGCATTGGGTTTCTACTAAGGCTTGTGAGAGTTGCGAAGGGGTAAGATTGGCGGACGACCTTCCCGCCCTCGTTTTCTGAGAAAACTCAACAATCGATTTGCGCCCCAGAAAAGCCACCCTGGTGGACAGCATAAGACGTACGCTGACTTCCAAAGAGCTCCGTCTATTTGCGTACTTCTTTGCATCCTTTGGTGCCGTATGGAAGGGTGTGAACGATACTCTTCGATTGTTGAGGGGAGTGGACGACAAGTTGAATGGATTTGTTGCGGGAGCTTGTGCGGGCGTCAGTTTGGCATTCGAGGAGAAAGGACGGAGAGTGGCCATCGCACAGCAGTTTCTGGTCCGAGGTCTTCAAGTGGGTAGATGCAGCCGGTTAGTCGATGGCTCTGGACACTAATGATCGTGGGCTAGTGTGTTTTCAGCGGATTGAAGGCACGGAATCTCTTTCATCTTCCTAACGGCGACAGTTTAATATTTGCTCTTGCTTCTGGTATGTACAAAGTTACGTGGAATCTTTTTCAATATATGGAAGAGTTAGATAACACAGTCATTCAGCCCAAATCATGTACGCCTATTCGCTCCACCCTAGTACGATCCCCAAATCATTTTACAAGTTCATCTTAACCACTGGACCTATACCGGAGCGTGTTCTCCAATATGTTCGGATGAATAACGCAGGCGATGCTCTTGATGTGGGCGACGTGGTCCAAACCATCCAGAAGCATCACGCTACTGTGCAGGCCGTTGATGAGGTTATGCGGATGGGAGCGCTTCCGAAAGCGATTCCATGCACAGTATTGCATCCTTGGACGCAAGCCTGTAACTTAAACAGTGCATGGGTATTCAAAAAGGTATGTGCAGAGGAATGCCGAAAAACGGTCACTGTATTGAATGTCAGATCCAGCGGCTGGTGAGCTTGATTCTCCATGTCATTGCATGTTAACTTACTTGATCTTTGGTGGCATCATTGCTGTCGCAGGTTTTTAAGAAAATCCTTCCCGTATACCTGACCTTGACCTTTGTACCGATGGCATTGCTCAAATTGAAAGAGTTTATCCGACAGTGAGTACTCCCTGCTTCTGCCTTATCCTCTTGTTGTAGTTTTCTTATTGCTGTCGCATCAGACCAGTACCTCTAGGTCGTCGTGCCCTCTCCAATGCTCTGCGTAGCTCGATATTCTTGTCCGTTTTTGTATCCTCCTACCAGGTGCGGAATGGTACAGCTTGCTCATCAGTCGCAGCTTAACTAAATATCCTGTTTTTTTAACCTGAAGTGGCTTATCTGCGGACAAAGAAACCTGATCAAGCTCAATTTCCTGTCGGGAGACCACAAACTGGCATACTGGATTATAGGTGCACTGGCATCTTTGTCTATTTTCATTGAAGATGGGAAGCGGAGGGCAGAATTGGCTATGTACATTGAATGACATCTGTTTCTGTGATTTCTCCCGCTAATGTGTTGGTATTCGTAGGTACGTCCTCCCCCGCGGAGTGGACTCGTTGTATCGTGTTCTAAGACATCGAGATTTGGTGCCAAAGATCAAATATTTCGAAATATTTATGGTGAGGTCGCAGTCGTTTGCCTTCCTCATGCTGCTTGCTTAAACCCATCCCTTCTTGCGCAAAGTTTTCCATGGGAATGGGAATGATTATCGTAAGTGTGCACGGCTTTGTGCTTTGCTATGCTCCATGTCAACAGAAGCTAACTGTCTGGCTGAAGTCGTTCCTCCAAACGGAACCCCAAGCGATGGGTGGTATGTTATATCGCTTGCTTAGGCGAGTGAATCTGGCCGTTGAGGACAAAGACAGAGGACAATTACCTGAAGTGAAAAAAGAGTACGTTGAAGTGAAGAAAGAGACGGTAGAGCGGCGACTACCGACAGATAAACGTTGAGATCCTTAGAGAAATACAGCATCTGAACAGGGGTCAGATTGTGAACCATGTGAATGATCTTGGCCGTATACGTCTTGGTAGCTTTCAGCGCCATAATCCCATGTTCGGGATTCACTTGTTGATGACATACTGCGCGTCAAAGCAAGATAAAGTACAAACGAAATATACCACAAGGTTCTATATTCCACCTATTCCTCTCATAGATCACTTCGCTTGACATCTCCCTGGAAGTCCTCCAAACTGACGTCGCCCATATACAGAGGATCGTGGCTCTGAAAATCCCGACTGCGTGCACCCACTAATGCTCCTTCGTCACTTCCACTCTCGTACTCGCTATCATCCTCGCTTTCCTCTCTTATATCATTTACCCCGACAGCTGTTTTCAATGGGCTCAATGGCGAATCCATGCGCCCCTTTCCGGGAGACTTGCCCCCACTGGCCGTCCTCGGCGATCCCAACTCTACGTCGATCATGCTGATACGGTCTTCGAATGCGTCATCGAATTGTCCCAATATCCTGTTTCTCTTCTTTGCCTTTCGTCTTCTTCGTTGTGCACGCACGTCCCCAGGGGCAGAAGTGATGTCATAGAGGATATGCATGGGACTCAATGCATCTAGCATCGATGGTAGGACCCGAGTGCGACTTCCCGGCGTCCCTTGGGTGAACTCAGAATATGGGAATGCTTTCATGTGCAGCAGGGCCGCAATGACCATTTCAGTGCAGATGAGGAACGATTGGATCAGATCGGTAGCGTTTTCTGAACTGTAGGTTGTGCTAGATTTGATGACGTGCATGGCTACAAGGGCGTCGAGAAGAAGAGATTGCCAGAATGTGAAGAAGACAATAAACTTGACTGCTATAACCTGCCAATGATTGTTTCATTCATCAGTCTGGAAGCTTAAACGTAATACTACTAGTGCTTGGCGGCATTTACCTTCCATAAGGGTTTGTACTCTTTAATATCATGATGAACGACAATATAGAACGTGAAGAGGCCGTACATTGCCAACGTGCTGCTGATAAGGTTGATGTAGGTGATCCAAAATTGGCCATGACTGGGCGAACTGGAGGTGGGGCAAAGAAGATTGAATGCACTGAGGATCATTGCGAGCGTTGTGGTAGCTGGCCTGTCATTTGTGCTGTAAGCTTCTCAAGTTCGGAAGTAATCACTCGCCTGCGGATACAATCCTACCTAACGACGACGTACTGCAACACCAGAAACTTGGTGTTCAACAGAAAGGCATATCCACTTGGGTTGTACCACAAGCAACACAATGGTGCCGGATATCTCATTTTCGGTTTGCCTTGCATTCTCTCATGTTGCGCTTCGAGCGTTGGGCCCAGGTAGTTTGTCAGAAGAATATAAAACGAATAAAGGACGAACGCTTCATAACAGTCGCGAACAATGTCAATGTAGACTGTATATTGAATTAGACGGAAGGACAGAGTTGAGCAAAATGCGTACACGGGAACCATTCTGGATTACAAGGCTATTAGCTATGCGTTGGGAAACAAGTGTGCCACGAGCCACATACAGAAGTATTCTGACGATTTGGCGCTGATGGACGGGATTGTGGTAGTGCTGAAAGTGCCGGAACTGACAAGAAGGGTTAATAAGAAAGTTTACCGATATCTGAGCAAAGTGAGGAAAACTAACACATAGCCAAAAACTGGCAGCAGAAGCCAAAATTGCCAGTCCAATCGTCACACACCACGCAATCATGACAGCCGTATATTCATCACTGTTTGGGTCAAAGGTCGGTCCTTTGAGAGCCGCACATTCATCTTCTTCCGATACCGTTTCATTAGATGATCGGACAAGGAGATGGAGGAGAGTTGACATGGTTGGAGTAGGCAGCTACATGCACTGTTCGCTGGAGGCTTCACTCCGGGGTTAGATAATCGTGGCTTAGAGGCGCGTTTGCAACCTTGTAGTTTCTTCCTGCAGCAGATCGATATCCAGAAAACAATGTTGAGGTAGCTCCTTTGAATGAAAGGCGTGCTGAAGAATGCAAGGTTTTCTTTATTAACCTCAATTTTTACCTTCTAGTTGGAGTGATTGGCCCGGAAGACAGCCGGTGGCTTTCGACATCGACCAGGTTTTATCCCTTGATCGTAAATAGTTTTACATTTCGAGATCTACCTAAACTCACATATATGCCCTACATTCTAGTCTGTTCAAGATCTTAAGCAGGCCTCCTTTCATCTTCATGACGATCACGATGATGTTCCTGACATTGAATCATCCTACGCTCCCCATACATCAAATTTCTTTTCGGCAGCAAGACATCATGCTCGAACTTCCTCTGCTTTTACATCAAAGCCCTCACTCACACCTTCAAATGCCGCCGAAGCTCTTCAGTTTTCAAATTTGGTTATGGAGAATGAGGATGATGTTATGATCGAAGGTAAATCAGACCATATGCCAGCCTGATTGCCGCATTGTTCAATTCCATTGTCTTTCAGCAAGAGCTCTTTTAACGCAGTGGGTGTCAAATCCGGCACCACCCGAGCCTTCCGACGACGCCTCTAATCGCATAAAGCTGAATCTAAACTTGGGTGCCTTTATGTCTTTGGAAGAAAAACTATGTGGAGCGAGTGATCGGAAGGCTGTCAGGGAGGTGGTTGAGGAGGTTGTGGGATACGGAGATATCAGGGTAGGCGCCTGTTTATGCGGAAGGGGTTACCGTATGTTGAAAATAACATTCTGTCAACCTTGATGCATAAAGGGAAGCGCTCTATACTCACGCACCCACCAAGGTTCCATCAGCCCGTATTCACGCCATTCAGAAACTCAAACTCGTCATGCTCTCGCGCGCGAGCGCCGGGAACAACATCATAAACATCGCATACAAGCCCTTGAGCGCCAAATAGAGAGCAAACAGCAAAAATTGCTATCTTCCTTGCGACAGAAACATGTTGAGAGAGCCAGGTGAGCGTCCGACAAATGTCTGTAAATTAGATAGAATAAAGTATCTTATTAGTATCTGGGTCACCCAAGACCAAAACATTCCAAGATTGATCAATGGAAAATGGACATTGCCCTTCGAGCGGCACGAGCGGCGCTCGACGAAGATATGGGGAGGAAGCGTTCTGATAAGCCATATGGACCGCGAAATGAGGATTTTGAGCGAGCACGCGAGCTGGTGGTGTGAGTCTATACTGAATTGTTATTTGGCAAACTGTCCATTTAATTTTAACTAGTGACGAAGAGTATGCGAAAATGCGCACCACGGCTGACGTACCGACGATCTCCGATGTTGAAACAGGAAAGGTGAAAGTTGAAAAGACGGACTTGAATGACAGTGAAGCTCAGCTCAAGACAGAGTCTCAAAAAGAAGACGAAAAACGGCGGAATGAGATAATCGAGCGAAAACTGGCTCAATCCCGCGCCAGAGCTGACGAGCTATTTTCTGTTCGTCGGTTGAAAGCCCTCAAAGTGCGAGAAATTTGAGCTCTGGACTGTGATTAGGTTTGCTGACTTTATTGGTAGGTGCATTTCTCAAGCTGGTGTGCTCTTGTCACCACATATCGAAAACAAGTGCAGCAGTTTCAGGTCAGTACCAGTCCATAGCTTTCAGATTCTGGATGGCACTTTGCTGAATACACATCTATAGGTCATTACCACTTGGCGACATTTGAATCGGTCGTTCGCGACCTGGCGGAAACTGAAGCAGTCTTGTATAGCCAAACGGTATGCTATCTTTTATGAGCGTCTCGTGGTATGCAGCAAGCAGTATGATTGCACGTAGTGACAACATTTTTGATTAGAGAAGCCCAGGCGCTTCAAGAAGCCCTCCAAAAATCCCATGAAAACCAGTTGAAGGCCGTCCGCTTTCAGAGATCGACAATACTTTCAAAAGTAGTGCTCGCATGGCTGGGATGGACGAGACTTCAACGTACGTTACTGCTTATGTGAACTACCCATGCAAAAACGAGATTAACTCTGCCCATTTCCTTCTCCTTTTGTGACAGGTGAAGCTAAACGCCTCCGTCGCCAACACGAAGAGCGGGCCAAGCGCATGAAAGAGGCCTTGGAGCGCCTGGAACGACGACAGAGAGTTGAGGCAGAGATTGAGGAGAGAAGAGTGGGCAAGGTTTTGGAGAGATTGGATGCAAGTACGAGTGGGGAGAGCTTGTCCAATGATGACAGCAAAGACATGAATGCCATTATAGATGGGGAGGATGTGAACAAGGGTCCAGCGACAAATGTAGAAGAACCCAAGGCTCCAACTCCGGCACCAACAGAAGAGAATAAAGTTGCTTGCGCATCAACGCTCAACGATTCGCCAAAACAGTCGACAATCCGCCGCAAGGCACCATCGCCCCAGAAACCCAGGCGTATTCGAACTGCACAAGACCAAAAGTGGATTGCAGGTAAGGCAGGCTTTAGTATGGATGTTCATTTCCATATTTAAATAGCCCCGTTTCACATTGCGTCATGCCAACCCTCAGAAATGGAAAAGAGAGATGCAGAACGTAGAGACCGTCGCCAACAGCTTGAACAGCGTCGCAAAGAGCGTCAGGAAGCGCTGGAGGTCCGTGTAACCAATCAGTGAATTCATTGCCCGCCAAAGTCTCATTCCGTCCATCTAATAGGCCAAGAAGGCAGCAGAAGCAGAGGCAAAAGCTCTCCAAGAAGCAGAAGAGCGTCGTATTCTCATCGAGTCCCGTAAAGCAGCCGAGAAAGCCTTAGCGGAGCAGCTTGCCGAGCAACGGCGTGTAAATGCTCTTGCGTGCACGTTTAGCAGGAAACGCCTGTTGAGGAAGGGGTTGAAATGTTTGAAGACTTTTGTGGGTGCGGTTCGGAGGAACGAGGAAGCATCTCTTGGATTTTGGGTTCGCTGTTTGTTCAAAGGGTGGATACAAAGGTTCAGAGAACGATGGGAAGAGAGGGAGATTATGGCATCAAAACTGTGGGATCAGAGAGCTGTAAAATCAGGATGGGATCGATGGAAAGAGGTGAGACCTGAGGGTTAAGAATTCCATATATTTTGCAATCCCTTACGAATCCGCTTCACTTGGTCCCAATGTACGGAAGGCATATCAAACGCACAAATGCCACACTTCAGATGCCTGCAAACACCATAAGCACCATGTCATCCTCAGCACGTTTCAGACCTGGCGACGTAAAGCTTTGACCACCAGCCAAACCCGCGAAGCACACGAACGTGCTCTCAATGCGAAAGCTGATCAGCTAATGAAGCGAATCCTACCAAGGCGATGTCTACGATTGTGGAAAGAGTTTGTAGCGGAGCAGAAAGAACAGCGCTGGAGGGAGTTTCGGAAGCAGGTCTTGAGGGAGCGTGTCAAGGTAAATACTGACAACAGTTTCTCAACTGTGCAAGCTGCTAACGCTTTTTTGTCATATTTAGGAAATTCTACATCATTCTCGATTCGAGGCAAAGTTGGAAATGGAAACGATTGCTGGTCAAGAAGTAGATGAATAGAACCAATGCACCAATTACAGTATTTTACAATATTTTTTAAGTCTTAAGCTTAATGCCCCAAGATCATCCATCCCACCTCCATACACTATCCCATTCCTGCGGTACAACGACCCGTCCATCCAGCACCTGTCGACATCTCGCCACCATTGTTTTAGATGGCTCATCTTGGGTCATTTGAACCGCCTTTCGAAAATGATTCAAAGCAGTTCCGAAATTTCTTGAGCGATAATCAGAAAGTCCTAGTTCGTAGCATATGAGTGACTGTTGAAAAACAAGGGGAGAGATATCCGAATGAGCGATGGATTGTAGTTTGCTGCACAAAATGGGTTAATACTTACGGTCATAACATTCTTATCCAACTCTATTGTGGAGGGATGTAGAACCTCGTAAATCACCAATGCCGGGGTATCAGGCTTATCACCCCATGATATAGCGTCCAGTTCACGAAGATGAAAATGCTCTTTGACGGCCTCCTTTGTCGATTCGCAGATGAGGATGGATGTTTTGGACGTGTAAGTTTTTATGATGGTGCGGAGATGAGTTGAAAGATGGAGAGGATCTATCGCAAGAAGGCAGTAGTTAGTATGTGGATATCCGAGAGCATATCGCAAAGAGTCAACTGACCGCCAACACCCACAACATCCCTTCGCTTCGGATGTCCTACCAGGCCCCACACCATATCCCCCGTCGCAATCCCAATTCCAACCTCCATTTTAACTGTGCTTTTTTCATTGCGTTCCAAGATAGAGTCTTTGATTTTTAAAGCACAGGAAACACATCTTACGGCATCTGTGGGTGAACAGTATGGTAGACCAAATAGTGAGAGGGTGGTGGGACCAGTTTGAGTTTGAAGGAGGCCTGTGAGATGTGTAATGTGGTTAGTAATAGTTGCGAGACTGGAATTGGACGCCGGCGAGTACCGTTCTCCGATGAAATGGAGGCGTAGATCGATGAGTGGTGCTCGTTCAGCAATGTAATCACGGAGGATGGTGGGAAGTTGTTGGTAATGGATGCAACTAGCAGGTTCGGTACAGATGATGAACAACCGGGAAAAATGACTTCAAACCACTATCCGCTACATACACTCTCTCAGCTCTGCAACCAGCACGCTCATCTGACTTTTCTTCCCGTGCAGCGATGCGTCGTCACCTTGGACCTCCCGCACCAGCCCCAGATGCATATATCTGGAGGAAGGAGGTTTGTGAGCTGTTAACGGCAAGGCCAGGGAAAATCCTTCTCTCTACCTTCCCAGATCTGCTGCAAGTCTCCTATCGTCCCCGACAACCTCCACATCTATGATAAGCCCGCTTTCCATCTTTACCACAGCATAATTCACATCCACGTTCGCGCCATCCTCAGTACGAAAGACATATCCCTCCGCATACGCTGGACGATTGGTTTCATACGTGGCTTTGATGTCAGATATGAGTACGTCATTTGGGGAAAGCCAGGTGTCGTAGGTGGTAAGTCTTAGGAGGGATAGATCAGGAAGTCCCAACGGCACTGCATCATTGACGGTTAACTGGAGCATACAAGTTAGCATAAAACCCTCTAGTTGCGGATTGGATAAAGTCGTACCAGTCTGCCAGCGTGGTCGAGAGCCAGGATGATGTGGGGGGTATTTTGAAAAGCGGTACTGACCAAGTCTCGCTCAGCTGTGGTGCTCTGGAGCTGGATTTGAAGGGCCTTGAATTGGAGAGACTTTTCGAGCATCCCACCAGCTGAGTTATATTCATATTAGAGAATGCATTACTTTGAAAAGAGACTGCACGAGATCACATACCTAATCCGGCAAAACTCATTCCTAGCATTTCATCCTCCCGACTAAACACCGCCGATTCGGGCAACTTGTTAATGATTTGCGTAACACCGATGACATTCCCCGAACTGTTTTTCATGGGCATACAGAGAATATTACGGGTGCGGTATCCGGTTTTGAGATCGACGGAGCGATTGAAGCGGTGATCCTTGTAAGCTGGATGAACACTCAGGCGGTTAGTTCATTGTGCAGCCCGGTCAACGACACCTTACCGTACCATTTGGGATGTTGAGCAGTGTACCGGTCATGGCGACATGCCCTACGGTCAACCAAAATTTGCAGATTAATCAGATACCTGAGGACAGGTTTTTTATGATCGTGCCATGTGCTCACCGGCAATCCCTTTGTTGATGGGTATGCGAATCTCCTCCGTTCCTTGCGCAACGGTAGTCCACAATTCTTGCTTCTCTTTGTCCACCATAAACAGGGAACATCGCTCGGCTTTGAGGAGCTCTTGAGATGTTTGCATGATAACTTTGATCAAGTCTGTGCTAACCCACAACAGAGGAATGAGTATAGGTTTTTGTGAGAAACAAAATTATGATGTCTATACGCACCCCCCAAGTCGATTTCAGAAGTCATCACTGAAGCGGTATTTAGGAAAGCCCTAATATCCGCCGTTTGCTGCGTCTGCTCCAACAATATTTGAGACCGTTTCATCAGCACTGTCCACAGGCTTGCGACAAGTTTGACTACACTTTCGTCCTCAGCTTCAAAAAAAGGTGTTGGAGTGGTCTTGTTGATAAGCTCCAATATTCCCGCGAATCGACCTTCATTGTCCAGGATTGGTGCTGAAAGGATGCAGTCTGGATTAACCGAAGCGTACGCATCTTGAATATCGTCGGTATACTGTTCCGATGTTTTTACATTGTACGCATTGCTGGGTTGTCCGAGTTTCTGGAGTGTAGGGCCATTGAAGATATTCTGGAGCGAGACGCTGTTGCCAACTTGAGCCCAATTACTAGCGCGGACCACGGTCGTTTCTGGTATTGTGTCTTCAAGGAGGTAGACTGTCGCATATCTGGCGTCGACTGTATTCAGCAGATGGTTGAGAAGATCGTTCATGGCCTTTTCTGTATCGGGCTCCATGGCGATTTCGGTGATGCTTGTGATCAGATGTTGGGATTTTTGGAGTCGGTTGGAGAGGAAGTGAATAAAGGTTCGTGTCGGTTCCGGACCAGCGCGAAGAAGTTGCTTTGCAAGGGTATCGGCATCCTGATGGGTGTGGAGGAGTTTAGTGTAGAGATTAATGTTTATGTTGTGGGGTCGGTCTGCACTGTGAAGGCGGTGGCTCGCAAAACCCCCATCTTGCGCCAAGTTCGGGGTAGGGTTGGATAATGCATGAGCGGATGGAAAGAAAGAATCGTCATCTTCCTCAGTAGCTACTCTTGACTTTCTATGAAATGTACAAGGTTTGGTCTAGAAAGGGCGACGCCACGTCTGGGGATAACACCTACCCTCGATCAATCTGCGGCAATTTCACCTCTTTTTTCAATCCGGTAAACCCAGCCAGCTGCCTCGCGGTGTCCAGCACCGATGTCTTTGCGGTCGTACTCTCAGCTGCTACAGCGGCAAGTGATGCTCCTTTGGCGGGCATCCTTTTGGACTTGTGTACAGCAGTTGCGTATTTGCTGGAGACATTTTCTGGGTAAACAGTTGGGCTCTATTATATCCACACAATCGTGAGAATTGTCGTTTTGTGGAGAAGGATGACAGCGTTAAAACTTACACTCCCGTCCACCATCCGCAAGTTCAACCAAGTACAGAGACCTTCAACCTGCTTTCCACCACATCTTGCCACCAATCCCTTCAATAGCATGTTCCGCTGTGCTTCCGACATGGCATCGAACGCTGCCCATGTTTGTTGGATTGTTTCGTGCGTTGGCTGGATTTGCTGGCTTGTGGGATGGGACAGACTAAGCGTTAGACGGGGTGGTCTAAGATTTGGAGGTGTGCGAGGAGTCACAACGGGGCGGGCCGATGGGGAGGTAGTGTGAGGAGCGATGCGTGCATCGTTGAACAGACTAATATGGTGGTTAAAAGGCGATGGATCTCGTGCTGCCATATCTGTTTTAGCACTACAAGCTGCTTGGTATAATTCTGATAGAGCAACGATCCGTCGCTTACGTAACGCGCCCCCGTCTCCCAGTAATTGCAGAATGCCATTTCATTTAACCAATCTCATTACAAGTCTGATAACGCTGTGTGTATATTAACTGAAACATCTCGAATAGTATGTACAACGTCCCAACGCAAGAATCCCATCAAAATCCAACTCGGCATAATCGACCCCCCCTCATCCCTTCGCCATGAGGGGGGGCAATCTAACACGGTAAACATCTTCCACATGCTGCGAACGTCCCTGCGATACAGTTGCGGATACCGTTGACAATGCCCTGAAAGGCATATTTTAGATTAGCTCTTTAGCTTGAAGAAGTAACAACAGTACTGTGGTACTCTTACCATTAGACAACTGCCGATGGCACTGAAAACTGTGTTGATGCCGTTTGCAATAGCATTGCAGATTCCTGCCAGGCAAGAGAAGACTGAACCCATTTATAAAGGTTGATTTCGAGTTGACGTTGATTGATCTAGTAGAGTCTACGGGTAGAGTATAGCGGGAGTCTCGACGACTTTTATATGAAATAGCCTCGCAGTAGGATTTTTGACAGATTCGATTGCGTGTAATGCCAAGAAATGAGAGTTTACGGGCGTTTGCGTGGGTGTAGGGTGGGTATAAAAGGAATCACCACAAGACACTTTAACTGTCGTGACTGTGAGCAGAGGAGAGAAAAGCGATACCCTTTGCATCTTTTATATCCCTTCCAAGAAAGCAGCCTTTGGGGAGTCCGGACACATTACGTAAGAGTCGCGTCCGTACATGACGTCAGGTTCTGTGGATCACACGACAGACAAGTGTGAAAAAAACAAAAGAAAATGGAAAACGAACGTTCCTTTTGGGGGAAGGGGACACTTGCAGTCATTGTTGTGCTTGGCTTCATGACGTACGTTGCGGTTTACAATTTGTTTTACAATTGCCCGTATCCCTCTCAACATTTCCTATTAGATCCCTATCTCCTCCCCACAAAGGAAAACTCTTGTCGTGACGCAAGGGAATCATACAAAATCTTGGATACCGCGGGGGGTGGGACAAACTCCAGCCCAAGGCTCAGCCTTGTGGGGGAGGCAAAAGCAGGATCTCATCAAGATGAAATCATGAAACTTGTATGACGAATCATCTTTTAAAATCCTACTGAAAATGTCGTAGCCCATCATCACAAAAGAAAAAAACTACCATGTCGACATACTTCACACCTGCATATTACAGAAAAGGATACCATTTCCCCCAAAGATACATGACCAATTACCACTATTGGCAAATCATACATGCATACAGACAATCTCACAATCACATTCAAATCAAAGTCCGTTTAGCATGCTTTAGATCTTTATCCCCGGTTGGTGCAACCTCCAAACTCAACTCTTTGTTGATGTCTGCTAACCGGCTCCTCAACCGCCCAATATCGCCTAACCGGTCCTCCAATTTGCGAATCTCGCTCTCAACAGAGTCCATGAATCCATGGCCGCTACCAATTCGTTCCATCTCCCATGCATCGCCACTTTCTCCTTCACCGACTCGAAGGAGATAGTTGTGGTACTTGAAGAGACTTGGGCGGTGAGATATCGTCACGACGGTGATCCCTTCGTCCTTTGCAGTAGAGTAGAGAAGTGCTTCCACATCAGTCGAGACAGCAGAGGTGGCTTCGTCCAACACGGCGAACCGAGGATGGTGGTAAAACAGACGTGCTAATTGCATGCGTTGTTTTTCACCTGTACAGGAATTGTATATTAAGATCCCTCTCACATTTCCATAAACAGTGGTCACGCACCTCCGGAGAACACGTCCTTCCACTCCTTGACGGCGTCCCATCCGCCTTCTCTTGCTGGAATATATTCCAAATACACCTTCTTCAGAATCTCGGCCAAATCCGCATCCGTCTTTCCAGCCTGCTTCATTTGCTTCACAGTGTGAGGGTAAATGACTTGCTCACGCAAGGAACCAATTGCCAAGTACGGGCGCTGAGGAATGTAGAGGATTGAATCCAATCCGGGCGCAGGCCGCGAGATTTTGCCTCTGAAAATAGGCCAAAGTCCTGCAAGGGTACGAAGGATCGACGTTTTGCCAGCTCCGTTGGGGCCGGTCACCATAAGATGCTCGCCAGGACCAATTCCAAAGGACAGGTCACGGATGAGGACGGTGTCGCCATTCGGAGTCACGATGGGTGTTTTGTCAAATTTGATACCTGACAGCAAACATTAGCATCAATACGTCTGTAACAACACACGACGCTGCTGGTAGTACCATCAAAGTCATATTCCAATTTGCCTGCAATTGATTCCAAAGAGTACTCCGCACCGGTGTTCCCAGTGTCAACAAATCGATCGTCGTGGAGATCTTGCAGGACGCGTAACATGTTGTAAACTCGGTAAGTGTAACCGGCCAGTTCGTTCAATTCCTTGTATGAGTACATGATACGACCACCAGCATCAGCAAGAGACACCATCAATCTACACGTAGGCATGTGGCGTATTAGACATTCCACCCACCGCTGTCATTAGCAGCATACCACGTACCGTTTGTTGGTAATGAAACCCTGTGTTCTACTTCCCGTCTTTCTGTCCAACTGAGAAAGAGCATTCGCGGGATCAGATGCCTGTAATTGAGCTAATCTTGCCTCTTCACGTCGCGACCGGGCGCCAGCAAACTCTGGGTAAAACACCGGAATACTGGCAATGAGCAATCCTGCCGCCGACCAAGTGTATTTGATGATAAAGTCCTCGAACATGTTGTATGCGATCCTAATACGATAAATGTGGTTGATGTGCTTAATCAGGCGGTAGTAGGTGCGGGTCAAGATAGATTTTTCTAAATGGGCGCCATGATAAAAGGCAATTTCTTCCGCGTTGGTGATGAGGCGCGAATGGGCCGAACGGAAGTCTCCCTATGAACATGATATCGACACTTAAGCTCATTCAGATCAACTAAGAAGCCAATTCCAAAGTCCTACCTCAAGCTTTGCCTCAACTGCAGCCAATTTTCCGAAGGACGGGGTTACAGCTCTGAGAATACTGGCGGTAATGAAGTAATTGACAGTCAACCCCCACATTCCGGATGTTCCGATGCTACGTGCGAGCTGGTAGTTGAAGATAATCATATCGAGTATAGGCTTGCCCAAGTTGGAGTACAGCGACGCAAGCGCGGTACAGAATCGGTTGATGTCAGTCGTAATAAGTTGATCGGCACCATCAATGCGGTTGTCCAAGTTAATAGCTTTGTAATATGTGTTGTTCTCCATGTAAAGGTCGTGCACGTGACGGGTAAGGCTGGTCCGTAATGCAATCGAAAGCTTTGACTGTAAGTAGCGAATCTAATAGTAACTGACTGTTAGTATTCGACAATCAAAATTGAATTTCATCAAGGTGTATAGGGGCTTCCATAAGGTATGCGATGCAGCCACCAGTAATAAGTTCTGGACTCACCATGCTATTCGTGTAGGTTGCAGGAATAGCAACGGCAAACCAGTATAGCAAGCCCTTTCCAAATGATTTTGCATCAGCTGCCACCAAATCTCTCACCAACCGTCCATCCAACCTCGCGACGATAACTGATAAGTATGTTCGCAGGATCAAAAACGTGGTATGCAGAACCAGAATCATCACGGTTTTCGACCTCCAGTTTGGCACGCAAATAGCCCAAATGTACTTCAATTGTCTCAGAAACCGTTTATCAACTGCTACTTTGATCTTATTCTTGTCGATCTTCATTGTGGCTGTTTCGTCGTCTTCTACAGGTTTACCCAGGGCGCGTATAGAAGCACGCTGCTTTTGACGACGCATATAGTAGATTGCACCTCCAGCAAGCGCGACACCCAATGCCGTACGACGAATGCGCTGGATTCGCAGCTGCATAGTGGCAGCTGTCGAAGCCGCCGGAAGCGCTGCGGACGAGACTTTGTCTAGAAATGCCGAGATGGCCTCAGGAAGAGGCTTGGCGAACGGCATACTGTCCGGCGTCAGAGAGGGATAGCTTCAGGTTGAACAAGGAGCAGATCCCTCAGTAGCGTTATTTGATGGTTCGCTTGCCACGGCGTGGTGGTCGGCTACGATTGACGCCCTTCGAGACGGCAGAGATTTCCCCCTCCATCAGTCTACCATCAGTCATGTGACTCATATCATGTGAGAGGCGCAGACTTCAGCTGTGAATTGTTTTTGGTGGAAGTTCAAAGCTCGCTGTCGTGGTGGGGCATTTTGAAGATCGTTGCCGTTCATTCAATTACAGATTGACCCCCATCCGCACAAAGACATGGCACAATCGGTCAGAATACAAGAACCGTATTTACTCACGCCTCACCCGTATACAGTTGGCCTTCCCAAACGGATATCCCTCTCTCAGAGGGATATCTCGAAACCACAACCGACAAAGAAGGAAAATACAAAGGAGAGAGACATATCCTCTAAGCGGTCTCTACCTCAAGGGTTTCTAGCTGCATCAGTACCGGAGCATTTGTTTGGCGACGATAATGGAGATCACTCTGCGACAGTTGTGACTGTGCAAGGCGCTGCAATATATCTTTACGACGTATGTAGTACCTGAAGAGTCAAGCACAGCATGGTAGTAACCCAACATTTTTTTTACGCAGCTTGCAAGACAGCAATGCCTTCATTCATGGTCCGTCCCACCGGGCCATCTCTTCGCCTCTCCTGCCCGATATCTCCCAGCACCGTCTTCGCAACAAGGTCCAAATACAGGCTCTCTAGACATCACACCCATAGATGCAGATGCTGATACAGATCTTTCACTCTCGAGTGCACTTGCTGGGAACGTGTATGCGGTGATTGATTGTGGAGCAGATGTGGCGGCGCGTGAAGAAAAGCGATTGGTGTGGATGTGGAAGGTTGCTGAGGTGCAAGGGGACGCGGAAGAGGTAACTCTGGTTGCTGGAAAGCCGGATAGTTCGAAAAAGGTTGGGTTGCTTGACATTTTTCCGTATGCCACCGTCCATGCAATGACTGATGTGTTTATGCCCAAAGTTTAAAAATGAGATCTACCACTTGTCGACGTTCATTCCTTCTCCTTCGGCAAATGACGGCTATTTGGTCATTGTACATATCGAAGGCGGCATCACCGTAACGTCTAGAACTCTCGAAACGCTGACAACCTGGTCAGCACCTTCTACCACGAACGCCCGTGTTGTTTGGTCCACCACGTTTACTACGGCAGACGACGGGGAGGAGGAATGGCGATCATTGCGCGTCCTTTCCATTGTGCAGCACGAGAGAGGTCGCTACACAATTCGTACCCATTCTGTATCGGCGAAGCGAACAGGAGCTGTTCATGTCGAATTACTCTCAGAGGTGGAGATGAGTGTACCTGTGGAGCATATGAATACGGTAAAGGGACAGGAAGAGGGTCCGGTCATTCCCATGGCGTTTGCGTATCAGGTGGAGAGGAATGTTTTGACTGTAGTATATTCCAATGCGGCAGTCAGGGTATATCAGTTCGATGGAATTAGCAAGCTGTTGCGAGAGAGTCTGTCATTTACTCTCAAACTTGCAAAATTCGAAGTGCCGTCGAATCTAAATAGTCACCGCGCTCGAGGTCCTTCAAGTATTAGCATCTCACCCCTGGATGCTAGCTATATCTCAATCGTGGGCTACAGAAGGTGGAAAGATGCTGGAGTAGAGGAGGTGTTAACCATATGGGATACAGAGTACGGGGCCCTACATTACGAGAAGGTTTTAAATGCCGCTGGCAGCGAAGTTGGCGCCTCGTCTCGTGTCTTCCACACCACAGTGATCAAATCCCCTCTTACCGGCCCCGTTGTCAGTGTCGCCAGTAGTGTCATCTCCCATCATTCTCCGGTCTCCTTCTCTTCAACCGTCACATTTATCCCCTATCACTGCTCTCCACTAACTATGCTGTCTGTGTTGGGCAAGCTACGAAAGCCTCTGTTGGCGGACGGTGCCGACAGCTTGGGATCCAAACTCGAAGCCAACGTGATCGAACCCGTTGGTTTGGGCATGGCGACAGTTGGACTTGTTTCTCCACCGGTAGCGGGACCCGAGATTGAGTCCTGGAATATGCAGCTTGCGGATTCGGATCAGCTGAGTCGAGAGTATGTCGCAAAGTTGCTGGATCCTGCTGTGAATGAGGGACAGTTCAACAAGTTGTTTTGTGAATGGATGCAAAAGAAGTTACTGGAATTGCGAGAGCTGGAAACTTTGGAAGGTAACGGGAAACGGGACGCAGTTACAACGCAGTCAACAGTGCCAAAGGTGAATGGTGTAATGCCTAAGAAGGAGAAGACACAAGAAGACCAGCAGAAGGCGGACACTGACGTTGACCAGACACAGTCTCTTCCAAAGTATTTGACATGTCCCCCAGATCGATCAGTTATCTCCAAACTCCCGCGCGTCGAACTCTCCTACCCTGCCCTCTTCACCATTCTACGTCGATGCTTTTCAAATCCAACCAAGTTTTGGCCAAGACACACAATTCAATACCTTCTCCGCAGTGGTTGCGCGACATCCCGTTCAGTTGAAGGGGGCATCATTGGCGCGGCTCTGGAACGAGAAGACTTGTATATTATCCAAGCTGCTTTGAAGCATGTGTCGGATTTGGGTGAGACCGAGCTAGTAGAGGTACTCCGATATGTGTGTGGGGCGGAAGAAGGAAGGTGGAAGACCTCTGGGCGGACGATACGAGCGAAGAAGCTAGCTGATTGGTTAGAATCCAAAGAAAAAGATGCGAGAAAATCGCGGCAGGTAGTACCTGGGACTCCACATCCAGAGCGCATGAAGGTGGCAGAGTGGCAGAGTGAGACCGAAGAAGAAGACAAAGCAAATGATGTCGAAGTGAATGGTGCAGAAGAAGCTGAGAAACTCGAACAGGCTGAGCAGCGAGCCCACCAGGCGGAAATTTCATCATCTGCACTGGATCCCATCATAACCGCATGCACGCCCGGTCAAGCGCATTTCTTCCGTCTTGTATTTTCCCGACCACGTACGGATACATTTATGGCTCAGGCGATGCGGAAACGACTTGGAGCCAGGGACTTGGGGACCATATTGGGATGGGTGTCCAATGTATTGAGGGTTAACAAGGGTGAAGACGAGATGGACTTGGATGGGTCGAGAACTGCATTGTGGTGGATGTGGGCAGACGAGAAATCTACTGGAAATATTGGACCTCAACCTGGAAGTTTTGCTGAATGGGCGACGGTAAGTATTAAATCCGACATCCGGCGTTGTGAACCATATTTTAACTGAACCATCTTGACCAGGCAATCGACACGCTCACGCTCCTGTTAGATGCACACTTTTCTACTCTCCTTCACGCGCGCGAATTGGAATCTCTCCTTCAAACCCTCCACCAAACCATCTCGTATGACACCACCCGGATCTCCATCATGAACTCACGACTTTTAGGCCCGCTCTATGGTATTTTTGAGGAGAAGAAGCGTGAAGTAGAACAGAAGGATAAGGGCAAAGGTAAACGATGGAGACGGATGGTGGAAGATGTGCGAGGTGAAGAATATGAAGTTGAGATTTACAAATTTTAGAGGATTGGGGGTTGGGTGATTATTTATTCCTTGATTTTCTGTAATTTTGTGTGCGAGGTTGTGTTATGATGGTATAGGTAAAGCATTTTTGCATAGTGTGGAGGTGATTGCCAATACATCGTGAAGGTGTGATATTCGTTGCTTGATATCTCTCTATCTTGAAAGTGTGATTATGTCATATTGTATCCGATCCATGTGGCTTACGTGTGGCGTGTGGCTGGCAGATGATCCACTTTGGTGCGGGTCCCTTCTTGAACCTTTTGAGTTTTCCAAGACGACTTGTTATCCACACTTTGACGATAACCCAAGGACGAGCTCAACAAGAAAAGAATAAGCAGTAACAAGAGAAAAACTGGAGCCCGCAGCAGCTTGACTTGTTGTATCTGCATTTGGTCCCTTTGTCGAGGACTACATTGTTGGTCATGACTTCCTCCTACCGGTCGCTGGAGACCTCTTCACAAGACACGTCAAGCGCCGCGCTCTTGAACGTGCAGCAGGATGATGGTAGGAGAATGGCTAATCTTAATGATGAATCTTTAAATTCCTTGGCACGTAATGGCTTATCTTTTCTGTCCATGTTTCTCAGACGACTCAATAAGGCCAGCCACACCTCTTGTTTCCAGTGCTCCTTCCAAATGGCGTATTCCGTCCAACGTCCGTATTGTTCTTCTCTCTTCGTGTGCAGCACTCGGTGGATTCTTGGGAGGCTACGACACAGGCATCATCTCTGGCGCAACGCTGTACATCCAAGACGAGTTCTCGCTTTCCAACTTTGAAACAGAATTGATTGTTTCCGGTGTCATTGCGGGTGCTGTTGCGGGTGGTCTGGCGGCTGGAAAGATGACAGATCTATGGGGGCGGAAATATGTTATTGTGGGAGCATCTGTTGTGTTTGTTTTGGGGGCCGTTATCATGGCTGTGGCAGGTGGATGGGGGCTATTGTTGCTTGGAAGGTTGATTGCAGGTGCTGCTGTGGGGTCCGGTGCTGCAGTGCCTGTGTATATTGCAGAACTTTCGCCACCAGCTATCAGAGGGATGTTGGTCAATTTCAATGCGTTTTTCATTGCGCTTGGCCAGCTTGTTTCGTATCTCGTTGCCTACGCCTTATCTGATTCCCCAGATGACCCCCATTCGAGCGGCAATTGGAGACTGATGTTGGGACTTGCTGCCGTTCCGGCGGTAATTCAGTGTTTTGGCATGAGCTTGATGCCTATGAGCCCAAGGTACCTTGTTCAGAAAGGACGCACAAGAGAGGCGTATGATGTTCTGGCGAGTGTCCGGCCCAGTAAGACTACGAGTGAGGAGCTGGAGTCTGAGGTTGAGTCAATAAAGCAGAGCCTGAGTCACATCGTAGAGGAGGTTCCGTTTAAAGAGATGCTTTTGAATGCAGAGTACCGAGCAGCGTTGATGATAGCCGTTGGATTGCAGGTTCTGCAGCAATTTAGTGGGTGGGTTTCATAGTGTTTTAGATGGCTTTCGGCTGTGTCAAGCATTAACCCAATCCTTGGCTAGAATCAATACTATCATGTATTATTCCGCTACCATCCTCCGTATGGCCGGCTTCCCCTCCAAATCATCTGCGATCCTCTTTTCAACCTTCATTGCACTAGCCAACTGTTTTGGCTCGCTAACAGCAATGCGCCTCATTGACCGAACCGGCCGACGATGGCTGCTACTGACAACGCTTGTAGGCGTCGCGGCGGGATTGATAGTTTTAAGCGCAACATTTCATGTGTTGAGTTCTGGAGCTGTGGAGGGGACCGTCCTGGCTACTGGTGATCGAGTGGGACAAGTGTCTGGAGTCAGTTGGGTTGCATTATTGAGTTTGGTTCTATATGTGTTCTTTTATGCGATTGGATTAGGTATGTCGCTCTATTTCCTCTGTGCCTTTTTCAAGGTTAACCAAAAAACTGATGAGTACATTTTTCAGGTTGCGTTCCCTGGATCATTATCTCTGAGATCTTCCCTCTCGAAATCCGCGGCAAGGGCGCCGGTGTTGCGATCGCAGCCAACTGGGTAAGTTTTCCCTTTCTTTATTGATTGCAAAATACCGAACCGACACCTTTTCTTTACAGTTTACAAACTTTCTCATATCAATTACTTTCCTTACAATTACTCACCTCATTACTCCCGCCGGCACATTCTTGATTTACGCTGGTGCGGTGGTGATTGGATGGGCTTTCGTGTACATTAGAGTCCCGGAGACCAAGGGGCGTTGTTTAGAGGACATTGGTGGCGGGAGCATTGTTTTCGCTGCACATTAGTATTATCTTGCATTGGATATATAGACTGCTATGGTTTTTTTTTATGCTTCTTTTCATGTTCATTATTAGGATGATTTACAGAATACATTTTGTATTGTACTTTGTGTACCATATATTCGTGCCTATAAAGGTCGCCTATCCTACGCTGTTTTTGACAGCGCTATTGGCGCGGCTGTGGGGTTCTTTTCACAGATACTATCAGTTCCACTGATCGGGATCAGTTATCAACGCTGTTGGCTCATACTAGAGAAGAGATATCCTCTAGGTCTTGTTAAGGGTTACGACGCATGAGGTATGCAACTACATAGTATATATTTGTTACATTGCGCGTTTATGTTTGTTGTATAGATTCTGTCCGCACCTCCTCCACAGAAGGCCGAGCACAAGACTCTCCCACTGACTCTGTGCTTTCCCGCCCGTTAGCGTCGGCCCTTGTTGGGGCACTACTCTCCCGATTTCCACTGACCTCCCCACCGGTATCTTCAGATCCTGGGGCGTTACCTGCATTTGCAGGTGCCCCACCTTCCCCACTTCCGCTGGCGGCCTCAGCTCTCCTCACAGCTTCGCTCCTACTCTCCTCCACCGCCCTCCTCATATCCCCCTCAACTGTTCTCTCAATTTCATCTGCCCTCTTCTTTCTCGCAACCCATTCTGGATCCCGATCTTCTTCTTTTATCGCCTCCCGTACACAAAGCGGACAAGTCCGATGTCCACCCGTCAACGTACGGGGATCATCCAACAGCCATTGATCGATACATGCTTTATGGAACCGGTGATGACATGCCAGCTCTCTTAATCGATCGTGCGGGGCGTATTCGGTGAGACAAACAGAGCACAAGTGGGAATTTGGGGTATGTGAAGAGTCATCTACAATGATTTCAACCTGAGATGGGAGGGAAAGTTCATTAAAGGAAAAGGTTTTGAGGCGGGTGAGTTCCAGAGGGGTTAACCCTGTTTGGAGTTCTGGGTACCCCAGCATATCTCGGCGAACACGGCCCCGGAAAACGCAGAGAAGGATGAGGAAGAGGGTTAGGGGAAGGACAATCGTGGCGTATCGAACAATAATTTCGGCAAAAGTAAGCCAGTAGAGCTGGGGATTCTGCGTCTTGCTAAGATAAAGCATCAAACGACAATCAGTACGAGCACAAGTGGTGGCCAAAAACGACACAAAGCAAAGCATACCAAGTCTGGCTCCTGAAAACCCACACATTTCCAACAACAAACCACACGACATCCACCCCCGCACAAGTCCCCCACAACTTTCTCACTCTCCTCCAAACATTGCTCGTCCGCCATTCTGGTCGCCGGTCCACGAAATACATGATGGGTTTGGCCGGCACCCCGTAGACCACCTCCATGACGAGTAAACCAATCAGGTAAACATTCAGCGGTGCATCGCAAGATGATCGATACAAGGAGAGAAAGATGATAAGGATAAGCAGGTGGATGACATTGTATGTGGTTTCAACAATGAGCCACAGTTTCTGCAGAAATGTCCGTCGACGGCCGTGAGTGGGCGCCGAATTTGGATTTGCGGAAGAGTCGGGTGCGGCCGTTGTGTTGGACTCCTCTTGGGTTGCGGATTCGGATTGTGGTTGGATTTGTGGTTGAGATTCGAGATTACTGGGACCATTCTCGACAGATGTGATCACCTCAGCCATGTCGTCAAATCCACCCACAAAAACTTAAAGAGAAAAGGAGAACTTTACAAGAGAAAAGGAAACCTATCACCGTACAATCATGAGGTATAAAAAAAATCAAAAAGATGCCAAGCACGGTTGAAAGGCTGAATATCCTAAAATACAGTTCGGAAGGAAGGAGAGATCATTGATATCTTCACTGCCCCCATGCGTAAACATTTAAGCCACGTAATCTGGCTAATGTGGCTTGTATTATGTCATCATGTGCCCTTGCAATCGCAACTTTAATTTTCCAAACGCTTTCAACAAACTACCAATTCTAAAAAAAAAATCTATTCTTTTGGGGGTCTATTTAGAATCTATAATAAATGGTTTACTACATGGGGTCCAAAACAGCAGAGGTCATATTGGAAGCGAGGTGTCATGGATGGTAGCCGCCAGCGTGCCAGGATCAGGCAGTCGCAGTAGGCGCCTGAAGGATGGATTCTTCTAACACGGGGGTGGTTTTCTGGTGTGTGGTGTCCGAAATCAGGTGGTCATCGATTTTACTTTGCGGCTCCTGAGAGGCTGTTTCCACTTTGACTATGGAGGGGGGCTCATTGTCTAATATCTGGGATTCCTGGTCATCAATCTGCTGCGTTAACTGTTCTGGTTCGGTGTCAGCCATCGTAGCAGTTATAACAGCTAATGGCTCTGCTCCCGCCGGCTGTTCTAGATCCTCGGATTGAGTGTCGGCATCGATGACTACCAATGCGGCATCTTCATTCTGTTGATCATGTTGACCATTATCGTCATTCACTTGCGCTTCCAGAGCTTTGTGTTCTTCCACTTCCACCATTTTCGGGTGCTCATCCTCTGCAGAGGTTCTGTCCGCGGTATCTGCTATTTCAGGAGTCGACTGATTGTTTTGCACAGCATTAGCCTGCTCCGCAATAACATGCAATGGGATATCATCGTCCGCGTCATCGTCTTCAGGAATGGCCACCTTTTCAGATTGTGCCTGGTGCGTCGGACTCTGAGAGATGTCTTCAGAGGACGGGTGTAATGGGCCGGTACCGGACACGACAGATAAAGGTGACCCATCATTGGATTCATTTACGAATGAGTTCCTCCTGGGCTCATCCTCATCTTCCGTAGCCAGCAGCTCACTTCCTTCGGCATCGTCTTGTTGTGCATCTCCCGACACTCTACGCACAAAGTCTGGAATCGGCGGCACAGGCGGTACGTTATCCGTATCTGTGAAGACTTCATCAAAGAATTTGGTCACTTCATTATGCAATTGAAGAACCGATTTTCTCGCTTCGGGAATAGACATTCGGGAGGCCCGTTTAGGATCCTTGGGTATTTCCGAAGCAATCTCTTTAGAAGCAACCGATATATCTTCAACCAGCTTGCCGGCTTGTTTCTGCAGGGACGATGCAACCGGATGGGGAGAAACCGAGTTGAGGCTTATGGCCAGGCGCTCAGCGTGAGTTTGGAGGGAGGTGTACGAGTCTCGGTAAATAGGAGAGAGAACATTGCTTTCATCATCCATCTTGTCCATAGCAGCCAAGTAAACAGCGGCGAGGTCAGAGACTTCCGGGTCAGCCACCACATCTGGTCTGCCAGGTCTTGCTGATATCCGCCCAGAATTACTCGCCCGTTCTCTGTCTACGCTCGGTCGACGGAACCCTCTTGGTTTCAGCTCCCTCACACCCCAATGCGTCGAAGACGGAACTGAAGACGATGTTAGGGAGTAATGCGAGGCATTTGGCGCTGCCCCTGATAAATTCAAACTGTACAAAAGTGAAGACGTGACCGGATCGGGTGATGAGGGCGGCGGTACAGGAGATGGTGACGTGATAGACGGCAGAGGGGAGTCAGTGGGTGGTGCGTCTGGTTCTGGGTATTCAGACGCCAACTTTTGTGCTTCTTCAGGAGAAATTGCAGCAAGGGGAAATACTCCAGACTGTCCAGAGCGCCAGTTCATTCCGAGACACCAGCCGTCACGGTAGGTTTGGTAAATGGACATTGGGTCCTGGACATGCATAACGTGAGTGAGGATAAAGTCATTTCATGAATAAAAATGCACAGTACTCACCCCAGCCTTGACAGTAATTTCATCTGACACTTTCCTTCTGAACCAATGAAGTGCAAGCTGCGTGCCCAACAATCGTGGTGCAACAATGGCCGCTGCCCCACCCTTCCCCGCATTTGCTTCCAGGCTTGCTGTCCGTCGTGGAAGGTCGACGGACGCCCTCAGCACCACACTTCCAGTACTATTTTTGCGAGTTGTTATTGAAGAGGCTGCTGTTGTGATACTTCTTCGGTCATCGTCCGAAGCGAGCGTTGTGCCATTCGTAACTTGGGATAGGGGAGAGGTAGGAGTACGTACGCGGTTGATAGGGGAGCGGGAGCGGTCGATGGACGTGCGTGGAATGCTCTGTTCTGGTTGTACTGACTTTTGAAGGGTCAGTGATACCAGCTCACTTTTTCCCTTGCTTTCGTTTTCAGACAATGTCTGCTCTGATGTTGACCGTGGAGCATTTTCCAGCGACCTGTCTTGCACTTGCAGTGCATTGGTACCATGCTCCACTAGCCCCTTCTCTGCTGTATCGTGTCCTCTAGTAGTCTCATCCGCCAATGTATCGCTTTGTATCGTTTTTGAGCCCTTTCTCATTTGATGAACAACAAAGGCGAACAAGAAGATGCATACCACCCCCAGCACGATTCCTACGACGACGCCAACTGCGACCATCGTCAACAATGTACAGAAGAAAGAAAACTGTAAGTAAAAGACGTTAACAAGGAACAAAAAGCACACATCTGGAAAACTCAAAGTTCAACGCTTCTTTTGTCGTGTGACGGCCGCTTACTTGAATGAAGGCACAGTCACCCAAAGCTTTAAATTTCTGCGGCCAATTTCCGATCACATACACTCGAATGCATTCTAGAATTGAATCTTGGATGTGTGAAATTGGTTCCTTATTTCCAAACGACTTGTCTCACTACAGATCTTGTCGTTTTTTTTTGTCCATTGTGTATGCAGACATGCCTGCTATCAGCAGCCGATGCACGGTCACGGACTGAAAAAAGGGTCCGAGGGCTTACCCTAGTGCGCTGCTGCATCACTCATGTCGACAACCTACGAGGGGAATGAACATCCACTGTTGATGGACCAGACTGTTTCGACGCTGAGGTGCCAACTAGGTTGTGTGCACAGTGTGATCACCTACAACGCGGGATTTGAGGTTGCAAGAACGACTCGCGTGATTGATAAGTGTTTATTGGGTGCTGGAACTTTTTCAACTGCAACGATAACATGGAAGAAAAGACATTTTCAACAATGCATCTTGTCAAGGAATGCTGCAGGGAAATGCAGTAGCCAAAGGGCCAAAGGAATCAGTCGTTTAAATATGTAGCCGAGCATCGCTAGTTGTTAAAACAGCACGTGCATCAAAGAAAACGTGCAAGAGAGGCCAAGTGCACAAGGTATTCGCTGGTGAACCCTTGGCGCCTAGAGTCTCCCTCCATACGAGAATGAGGTTTTTTTTTTTCAATCGGAGTTCCCGCATCGGGGTTCCCCAAGTTCCCGGAATCATAAATATACCACTTGACATCCCATACGTTGAACAAGACAATGATCGTAAACACCTCCAATGCAGCATCTTGGTTTGACGTTGTCCAATAACACGAACGTGCTCTACTGCAAAAAGGACATTAGAACTGTCCACAACAAATCCGGCTTCTTATCATACATATGGCATGGGTGAGTGTTGCCCATTTTTTTTTCATTTTGCCATCCGTCAATTTCTTTAATTAGTCCTAACGTAAACTTCCCGTTTTCCAAAGTTCCCAATTGGAAAATCCCCCTAAAAAAAGATGGTAAAAACATGGCAATAAAGGCAATCAACAGAAAAAGGCACATAAAGAATGCACGCACAGGAAAAAAGCGGTCGAAATCAGCTCCACGTGCCTGCGTGCAAAGGCCGTTAAATGCCAGCAAAAGGCGTGAAATGTCAAAAGTAAACCGCTTGAGCTGACCAAAAAAAAAGAAAATCAAAAGACGATCAAATGCCCATTATTATTCAAAATTGCATGCATGCTTCCATACTGCCAGTACTTGTGGTCCGCATTTTGTTGTTGCTTGGTTGGTTCATGAAAAGAGAACGTTCCACGGGGGAAGAATGTGGGGTCCTTTAAAAAGGACGGACCTGAATTTGTGTCCTTTCCTGCAGCGGTAAGACCAACGTCGACCTGTCACCTCTCTGCAGCATCTTGCAAACCAAGAAGGTGGATTTTATACCTCATGAAAGTACTACTCGTTCCCGTCTTCTTTGCCGTTGCGGCTTTGGCAGCTCCGGTCGCATCCCCCGTCGAGTTCCAGGATAATCTGGCCTTCAATTCGCCTATCGTCAATTATCCTTCCCTTGCTGTCACAAAACCCGATCATGAATTGCTGCGGCGACAGATCCAGATTGGTAAGCCAGTGCCCAAACCCCGGCCTCCTCCTCCATCAGGACCGTCAAAAGGGGCACCCATTCCTACTGTGAAGTTTGGGCACGGTGTGGCCTCTGGTGATCCGTTGTCAGATGCCGTCATGTAAGTGTTTCTTACGCTGTTTCGTCCAGGGCTGTCGTAAGCACTTCCTGACATTGTTTGAATCAGCATCTGGACAAAGGTCACCTCACAAGATACCGCCATTCCAGTAACCTACCAAGTTTCAACAACAGAAGCATTTTCTTCGCTTGTGCAGAATGGAACAGTGGTGACAACCCCCGACGTGGACTACACTGTCAAAGTGGACGTAAAAGGTCTCCAACCCGCGACTACTTACTACTACCGCTTTGTGGTTCAGACCCCTTCCGGAACTGCCACATCTCCCATTGGCAAGACCCACACGCTTCCTACCGAGGATGCCGACGTTGAAAGCTACAAATTGGCCGTCGTCAGCTGCAGTAACCTCCCTTATGGATTTTTCAATGCATACAATGGCATCTCACACCGCACAGATGTGGACGTTGTGCTGCATTTGGGGGACTACATCTATGAATATGCAAACAAAAAGTACGGTGATGGGACAGCAATCGGTCGCATTCCTCAACCTGACAAGGATATTGTCACGTAAGTGTTTTGTGTACGGTTTGAGACATGTCTTACTACAACAGACCGGCCAACATGTTACCCTCAACAGACTCTCAGACTACCGCACCCGCCACGCCCAATACAAAACTGATCCAGATCTACAGCTCGCTCACCAAAACGTCCCGTGGATTACCGTTTGGGACGATCATGAATTCGCCGACAACGCGTGGAAAGACGGCGCAGGGAACCACAACCCTTCTACGCAAGGTCCTTGGGAAGAACGCAAACTTGCAGCCATGCGGGCATACTTTGAATACATGCCCATTCGGTCGGCCGTGATTGATGGAAAGGGCAAGATTTACCGTAGTTTCCATGTTGGAAAGCTGTTGGATTTGATAATGCTGGATACGAGAATTGCTGGCAGAGATAAGACGGATTTGAGGAAAACACAAGAAATCAATGCACCCGGCCGATCTGTGAGTTACTTTTCTCAATTTCCAGCAATGTTTCTTTTTTTTTTCTGGTGGCTCATATCCTTGCATTTGAACTTTAGATCCTGGGTGCGGATCAAGAATCCTGGCTTTACAATGAACTCTCAAAGTCCAGTCAAGGCGGCAAACAATGGCGCCTTTTGGGCAACCAAGTCACTTTTTCACCAATGAAGATTCTGGGCCAGTTGACTGGTGCAGACAGTTGGGACGGATATCCCGCATCCCGAGCTCGGCTCATGTCGCACCTTACGGACAATAACATCCAAAACACTGTCATCTTGACTGGCGACATTCACACAGCGTTCGCCTTTGATGTACCAGAAGACCCATACAATATCTTCAAATACGGCCCCATTTCCGGGCGCGGATCGGTGTTGGTGGAGTTTGTTGGCACGAGTGTGACCAGCCCTGGTGCGGGCGCTGTGGCTGTAGCTGGCTTGAGAATGAGCCAGCCTCATCTAAAGTTTGGCAATGGGAAGGACCATGGATACATGGTTGTGACGGTTACCGCGGAGAAGGTGTCAACAGAGTATGTGGTCGTTGCTGCTGTCGATAGAAGAACGCGTCTAGAGTCCACTGATGCCATAGTGGAGACTGCAAGTGGGTCAGGAAGGATCACAAGCGTTCAACAGTTTAACTAGTAGAATGGGGGCTTTTATGCATGATATTGGGTTTGACTCGTATATAGTAGAGATGGGAGATTTTACTCTTGATATTGATAATTAACAAAGATACATTTGGCCTTACCAGGCGTAAGGCTCGAATGTGATCAGGGCTGCAAAGGAATTCATTGCCCAAAGCTGACGTGAATCAACGAGGCCAATCGCCTCACCGTTCTCGCTCCATCCACAATACTACAACTGTAACCGTGCACATCACTAGATAATGTGGACATACTCCTTGAGCCAAACAATGCAGTCTGTCTCCAAAATAAAATTAGAAAATCAAAAAAAAAATGCGGAACTAAAAGATACAGGAAGCAACGAGATATCCTTCCTTGCCCTTATAGGATGGATACCCTTCCCCGCCGACACTCTCAACCTATTCCTAAAAACTATTTGTCTACCGTCACATTTAAATACCCAACTCCAATTCATCCAGTCTTCGCTGCAACTTTTTCCGTTCCTCCTGCTCAAGACTGGAATCTCTTAGCCGCTCCCTCAACGCCGTAATCTGCCTTTGAGTCCGTAACTCTTCTTCTTGCTCCCTTCGCAGGGCCAGATACGTTTGCTCCGTGATGCGACCACTCAATAATAGCATTTCAAGGGAATCCACTTTTTCGGGTGCGTGCTGCATGACGGCCATATTCATCGCGCCGCTCTCGAGCCGACTTGGGAGCCCAACTTCTAAACCGACCGGAAGGAGACAGGCGAGCGGGAAGACGCCAGCTTTACCTCCGCTGCCTTCTATTTGACCAAAGGCGTAGCCGTCGTCGTAAGCTAAGCGCACAGAGACTACATCGCCGGGTTTGATTTCCATTTCGTCGCCCATGACGGGTTTGTAGGGGTGGATGACGGTGAACTTTTGAGTGAGTTGGCCCTCGGTGGAGGATGTTCGACTTCGAGGCTTTCCTTTGTCATATACTCGGTATTCGCCTAGATCGTAGGAACCTCGTTCAGCGCTTGATACACCGTCTGCTGGTATTTTTTGATTCCCAACAGCGACATCCCCGCTTTCGGGTCGTCGAGCTGGACGTACTGATACATGTAATCTCGTTGCCTCTGGGATCTCTGCCAACGGTGGTAACGCCTGGCCATTTGTTGGAGGGCTCTCCTCGTCTACCGCCACAGCCTTCTCACTACTGGCTTTAGCCTCCTTTTGCTTTCGTCGTGTTTTCCTTTTCCATACAATTACTCCGGTCCCCGCCAAAAGTCCCACCGCCGCTAGAGACATGAAAACCGATATGAGTATTATCGCGGTTGTTCCCAAACCCGTATCTGAAGTTTTATTGAAAATATTCATGATCGCGGTGGTGGCGGCATCAAGACCGGCGCTGACAGCGTATGTACCGGCGAGAATCCCCGCAAAGTACTTTGACATTGTAAGCGCTACTTCAATCCAAACTGGTGCAGCAGCGCTAGATGGAAGATTAAATGGTACGAGACTGGGAATTACATCGCAGCGTACAGAGGCACAGACTGCTGAATCTGAAAAATCGACTCAAAATATTAGATGTTGTTTGCCAAATCATCTCGGAGGAACAACCCACATACCATTATACAAAGTCTTTAACGTAGGGGGTGCACCGAACGTGGCGGCCCTCGCCTGCTGCACCACTGATCCAGTCAAGAACAGTAAGGCTTGAATAACCTGAGTATCATTCTGATGCCCTCCAGCTCGTGGCATTGCCAAATGATATCCCCCTCGTACGGAGGCAAACGGGTTTGCCGCTCCGGGGCTGTTGCCTGAGATTACTTTATATGTCCATCCCTTTCCGGCAAATGCCTCCGAGGTTCTCTTTGCCGCAGAAGTGGAGCCCCGATAGAAAATGGCGTCACCGGTCAACCAGGTTTGTAGCGCCTTTGTACCGGTAAAAGCGAGAGTCTTTTGAGAGATGTATCCTTTCGAAATCCATTCCAATAGTTCGTTAAGAACGCCTTGATTTTGAGGGTTATTTATTGCGACTTGATGGCCAAACTTTAACAGATCGCCCCCGGATGGGCTCACGGTCATGAAAAGTTCGGAAAATAGCTCAACAATGTCCAGCCCTAAGTAGATTACCTTCTTTAGTTCGACGAATCCTCATAACAAAATGTGCGCATACGAACCTTGAAAGCCGGCTACAAAGCACAGAAGAGAGCGATGCGAAGCCAGTTCAGCTGGATAAATGGTTTCACAAGCGGCGGCCATATCATCCAAACTCGTCGGCATCGTCACGTTGTATTTTGCTAGCAAATCCGTTCTTGCGTATATCACTCCATAATCCGTCCACATCGGCAAGGCAACTTTTGACATCAAACAGCAAATCAGCACAACCAGTTGAGAGATACACGGAACAAAAATAGTGCAACCTACCTAAATTTCCCTTCACCGCATCACTATTTACAATGCCCGCATACTGCTCACTAACCCTGTCACTTACCGCCTGCCCAATCTGCGCCTGCCCGGTCTCTGGGCCCCATGTGAATAGATTGAAAAAAGCCCCCGGCCATTCCTCCAGCCATGACACATCGAGAGCAATGATATCGTACGTTGAATCGGATTTGCTGAGCAAGGGGTGGACAAACGCATAGTAGTCAGCAGGATCTGCCGTTTGCTACAAATGCAGGGTTAGATCTACAATACTCACAAGAAAAAAACGCTACAGATCGTTATAGCGCCTTACAGGTGGTTGCAAGTCAAAGCGAATATCTATTCCAGTGGACTGGAAGAACTGATTCTTGAGTGAGATCAGTTGATTGAGTTCGTCCGCAGTTGAATCGTAGAACAAGGGCTTCATTAGGACGTTCACTAGAGGGAAGCTTTTTAGGTAACCTACCCACAACATCTTATCCGAGTGAACCAGCAACTTACCAGTCGTGCTCTGACCGTTCACCCATCCTATTAGTATCGGCCAAACAGCCCACCCCAGGATACCCCTCCACGGCGGCATCCTGTGAGGAGGTAGTGTCGAGTCCAAACAGCGACTGGGATGACGTCCAAAGGGCTAACAATGGGCAAAAACACCTGAACCTCGGAGGTTCTAACGACCCAAAGTGCTACCGCAATTTGATGGATACTGGGTCAACAAGAAGACGCTTTCTCCGGTGCAACGTCAAACGTAAAGAGCGAGTGCTATGACCGCTGGGAAGAATCACTTTGATAATCTATCCGATTCGAAACCGAGGGACGATTTTGACAGGTCGGCATAAAACAAGAAAAGCACCCGCCGGATTTGCAGCTTTAGCTGGTCGAATAAGGCGCTGTCACTAAGCGTGTAGCTGCGTGTATAAAACTGCGAACAAAAAAAAAAAAATCCTTGTTGGAATCGCAAATGACAAAACGAGCCTGCCAAAAGACCAGGGCGGAAAGACACATCCAAGCGTCTCAATTATCACCCTCGGTGTTATTTGGGTGATAATCCAAAACCTTAAAGGGATTGGCTAAGCCTCAGAGGGCGACTCTCTCTTGGGAGGAGACTTCACAACGCACACTCTTTTGTTAAAAGATGTATTCGGTATAACATTCCAACACCAATAAAATAAAGGAAACAGCATATATACACAAAATAAATCCAATATGCGAGAGAGTTTGCTATTCTACACTAACTGTGCACCTTGATCTCGTCAATCTCGGGCTGCTTCTTTTCAAAGCTGGATGCACGACTACGGCGGCGCTCAATCGCAGCAACTGCCAGGTCAACGGTAGCGTGGAACAACTCTCTTACATCAACAAAAGGAACTAGGTTTTTGTCGGTAGAACTTGGGGGATTAGAGTTGGTGGCAGTCTCCTCAATAGGAATATCTGTGGGAACAACTGGGGTAACATCCCGGTCTGTTCGTGTAATCGCTAGAAAGTATTCCAGTATACGTTCGAATCGTGGCCGCACGTGAGCAAAGTGGATTTCAACTCGTTGTCCGGCAAACGCATCCATGTCCCGACGAAGGTCGACTAGAGTTTGAACACCAGTAGAGTCGATCCCGTTGACTGCAGAAAAATCAAAAACAACCGCGCGAAGACGAGGAAGACTTGTCAATGTCTCGTCCGAGTGAGAACCCGAGTCGACGCTTTCTTTTCGAGGCGGTGTGACACTCGGAGAGTTGTCATTATCGCGAATTTCCAGACGAATATCTGGAACGATCTCCTGTTCTGACACAGCCTTCTTTTTGGCGAGGGCCTTCCTCGCTCTTTTGATCTTATCGTCCGTATCATCACACCACAGTTTCTGATTTGATTTTAATATCGGGCCCCCAAATTCCGTACTTTCAATCATAATTTCCTTGATATGCTCCGCAAAATAGTTGGCATTTGGGTAGGTCAAACTCTCCTCCAGCTTGAATACCAAAACCCCAGGTGGCGGTGGTGACGCAGTGTGGCCGAGTTGAGCGTCCTTTACATTCACCCAGATACCAGTGTCGTTCGAACGAGCCAAAACTTGGTAATGCGGGCGAGCAAGACGATATAGAAGGACGGCAACAGCAAAGCCGACAGACACATAGATACCAGTCTCGATACTGAAGAAGAACGTGAAAACGAGAGCCAGAAGGAAAGCAAACAGATCCAAGAATTGAATGTCCCAGAGCTGCTTGACGAGAGCTGGCCGACTGATCAGGTCACTGATGGCACTAATGATGATTGCGGACAGGATGGCACTAGGAATATAGTAGAAGAGTGGGGTCAGCACATACAGTGCCAGGACAACGATCGCGGCGGTGAACAGCGCGGCAAGCGGACTTCGGACGCCAGATTGAGATTTGATTGCAGATCGGGAGAAAGATCCGGTTGCCGGGTAGGCACCCAAGAAGGATCCGAGAAAGTTGGTGAAACCCAAAGCAACTAATTCTTGGTTGGCATCTGGGCGGTAGCCGTTTAGACGACCATAACTTTTTACAACCGCAATATGCTCGAGAATTGCAACGATGACGACGGTGACAGATGCTGGGGCCACCTTGCTGAGATCGCTAACGTCCGGAACGTGAATGGGACCAAATCCCTTTGGAATATCCCCAACAATCCGAATTCTGGGCGACTTGCGGTTCTGGTGGTTAATAGCGTAGCTGATCGCGGTGAAGATGATGATGACAACTGCGTTCCGGGAAAGGGAGACCCATTTCATGAAAGGATAACCGCGCTTAACTGCGTATCGACAACCAAACTTGAACAGTAGGAGAGATACCAGACCGGCAAAGCCAAACGCCGCGTCCAGCTGCGTCTGTCCTAGGGCTTTCAAAGTGTTTCCAAGAACTTGGTAGGCAGGATCGTTTGTGTTGATTCCCTTGATACCGAGGAGCCCGGCAAACTGGCCAATGATGATTCCGATACCAGCACCAGTCGTAAATCCGGCAATGACAGGAGCAGGAATGAAGTCAACAATGATACCCAGTCGAAAGAGACCCAGCGCTAATTGAATTAGACCAGTCAAGAACGAAACCGCGATGGCAAAGGTGACAGGATCCATGGACTTGTCAGCATTGTACGTGGCGAGAACTTGACCCGTCAACTGAGAAAGGACAGCGGTGGCACCGATGGTAACGTCTTTAGACGTGGCAAACAGAGCGTAGATCAGAACACCAGTGAAGGAAGTATAGAGACCATACTGAAGGGGAAGAGTGGCGAGTTTGGCATAAGCAAGGGCCTATAGAGAAAGGTATCTAGATTAGTCATCCTGATCTGTTTTGCTCCAAGCGATCAATCTATATCATACCTGTGGAATGACTACAATTCCAACCGTCAAACCGGCAATTAAATCACCATAAAGCCAGTCCCTGTTGTAACGGGGCAACCAGCTAGCGATAGGGAACAACCCGCGGACATAGTCGACGCTATATTCGGGAACATGACGGAGACCATTCTTTGCCTTTTGAGCAAATTGCTGATATTGAGTCGGGTATCTTGACTGGACCTTGGTGGGTCCTGAAGCCTTGTATGTCATTGCCGACGATGGGGAAGTACCGTAATGCGTTGGGTGCGAGGATGATGAGAGAAGCGTGGCACGTTCAGTAGAAGCAGTTCCTGTAGATCTCTGCTGAGGAGAACCGCCTTGCCAATCGCCGTGAGCTGGCAATATGAAGAAGCTTGACAAGAGGGTGGAAGGATAAAGTGAATGGAGGGGGGAAAGCCAAGGGTCCCTACTTTTATAGTCGCTAATGTTGATCGTTCTTAAAAAACGTAAATCCCACCCCCACCTACTCCCTTCCAAAACTCTAAAAAACAAAAAGATCGCGCTCTCCGTCAACTTGCCAACTCGCAACTTGGATTGCGCGATGCCTCTTGTGATTGGTCCAATCTAATCGACAAGCCACATATCGCTCATATCACGTGGATTATTTGAAATCTACTAGGATGGCTTAGTAGCGCGTCTCTCTTGAAGTGTCACGTGTGGGGTGGAAGAAGCGCGTTATTCAGCATTGGAATGGCGAGAGATTGTTCCAAGATCTAGATAAACGCTATACTTGTATGCAAGAGTGACATATGGAACTATTGGTTTTGGACACAGGAGTGAACACAAGCGGTTGAAAACGAAGGGAAACACACGGAACAAGGAGCCTTCCGATGTCCTTTGCGATCTTTTTCTTTTTTTCAAACCTTGATTTTACACTCCCTGCCATTCAATGGGTTTGCCAGCACATGTCTGCTGAGCAACAAAACGAGATAAGTGGATATCGGAACGTTCGGAGGGTTTCAATCCCTGGCACAACCAAAACAATTCATTCCCAATGTGTGATTTTTCCGCTCGGTAGACTTGATCCTGTTTGGCCAAAATGGTGTTGGAGAGATGGATCTCCGTATTTTCTCTCCAATGACGTGCTTTTGATGGAGCAAGGCGGCTGCCTTTATTTTGTTGTTCAACTCTGTTATCCGATCTACGAGTACAAAAGTAGGGTTGCGTGCCATCGCGTGAGCAGGCGGGCGGAGTCGAGTGGCTCCCATGCCCCGCATCCGATTCACGTGTCTATAGTCAATGGGTAATACAAGTAGGCTTCAGGGAATTCATACTTGTATAGCACAAACATCACCTTACTGTCAGGAAGGGTAGCCATTCGGGATATGTATCTCATCCCAGGGATATCTGGACATCATTTTGAGATCAGTACCGATAGTGGGGCTACAGATCGTCTACACACCATTGTCTTTTCGGGTGTTGGCGGCTCCGGTGACACGTGCATCGGTATGACATGACCCTAACCAAGGTTCCAATGCCTGGGCATATCCACAGCCTCCATAAACATCGCTTCGGTGTTTTAAGCCAGATGATGAGCACAGGATATACCCGCACAATACTCGCATTCATATATGGGGTACATTTGGATATGCATGCATGGTAGGAAATCAGCAATAGTCGTGTTGGATAGTCAATTGATGATTTGTTTATACTACTCATGACTACACTCATAAACGCTTCGTGTACGTCTGCAGACACTTATCCTGTTATACCACACGTATCCTGTAAATTCCCTGTTGACAAGCCCTTGCGTTTTCATAAGTCTAACCTTAAAAGTGGCGTCATTTGCATTCGTCTCTGCCTCTTGCTAACATAAGCAATGGCCGCCCTTGATGAAGTGCCCTGCGCAACAAAATGCGTTGATGCGATCGCTTCAAAACAGATCTCATAATTTGACGCTAGACCTGGCGGCCCAAATTATGACAGAAAGATACGACGCAGGTTACAAATTATGCCAGAAAGCTACGAGTTAGGTTACACTGGGATTGATTTACCGAGATGTATTGGTAAGAACTGGTTTCCAATGGCATATAATTACCCCCCCTCCCGTATCACTTCTATTCCTTGATATGTTCAGCATACGCTGCCTCATCCAGCAAACCGTCCAGCTCCTCCTTTTTCGTAAGCTTGATCTTAGCGATCCATCCTGTCACGTGCCGGCCAGTTATTACAGGGCTCACTCAGGGGGCACCAACTATAATCGTACAAACCTTTCTCGAACGGACTCGAGTTGATCAAGCTCGGCTCGCTCTCCAGCTCCTGATTAACTTCAATCACCTCCCCACTCAAAGGCGCATATACATCGCTAGCAGCCTTCACACTCTCGACAGCGCTCAACTGCTCTTTCTGCAGAACAGGTGTTCCAACCTCGGGAATTTCGACAAACACTACGTCACCGAGAGCTTTTGCAGCGTATTCGGTGATTCCTACGGTGCCGACTCCATTAGCATCCACAGAGACCCATTCGTGCTCGGGGGTGTATTTCCGCGCTTGACTATGCGGTTAGCTTAGAAAATGTTTAGAGATTCGGATGCAATACATACTGGCGTATCCGCGCAAAGATAGAAAGGCTGTCCGCTGAATAAGTTGTGGCCGGAAGCTGCGGGCAAGGACACGAGTAGAGGACAGGGTCTGGCGGAACATTGTGTCGAGACGGTGATTGGGGACCGTTTTGAACCTAGTGCAATACGCGATTCTTTCCGTTCTCAACTCAAAAAGGGAACTATCGATGAGTCATATCTGCTTCTATGGCAACAAGATAACTAATGGACTTGATGATGGCCATGATGTTGTGTGCGCTTGTCATCGTCCCTTCAACCCATCTGCATTCCATTACGACGCACATCTACGAACAAAAATGCTCGCTCTTACGCGTCCTGTGAGCACACTCCGCACCAGAGGCCTCTCTGCCTTGGGTTCCGTTGCCGGAAGGAGAACAAAGTACACTCTTCCCGACCTTCCATATGACTACAATGCGGTAAGCAGAACACTTTAGCTTGCCGATACGCTTTAACGGCAGGTTCTTACACCTTTGACATTCCTTTTACTAGCTCGAACCCTACATTTCTGGTAAGTTCTTAAAGTCGGTATAAAGCTAGCTCGAACAGCAAACTCATTGTCGAGGTGAAAAGCCGAAATCATGCAACTTCACCACTCCAAGCACCATCAAGCTTATGTGAACGGCATCAACCAAGCTGAGGAAAAGTTCTTTGAGGCCAAGGCCAAGAACGATCTGAAGGAGCAGATTTCTCTGCAACCCCTTCTGAAATTCAACGGAGGCGGTACGTACCCCGTTACGCCTCACCCTTGAACCAGAGAGCGTATCTCAACGTTGCTCTATTTTTGCGTCCTTTGTAGGTCATATTAACCACAGGTATGTGATAATTCCAGTTGATCATACAGCGAACGCTTCCAGCTCGGGACCTCATCCATCGCGGCGTCCTTTTCAACAGCATCTTCTGGACGAATCTCGCTCCAAATGGCAAGGGGGGCGGTGAACTTCCCAAAGGTAAACCTGTCCTTTTCAATGATAGTTGAAGTCTGCCTCTAAGTACCCTACACAAAGGCGCCCTTTTGAACGCCATCAACTCTGAATTCGGGTCCATTGACGAGTTTACGAAAAAGTTTAGCGCCCAGGCGGCTGGTGTGCAGGGTAGTGGTTGGGGTTGGTTGGTGAGTGTTAATCTCCAATGTGGCAAGCTCAAAGCGACTGGGCTGACGAAACCTCATTAGGGATTTAACAAAGCGACCAAGAGACTCGAGATTGCTACCACACCTAACCAGGATCCTTTGACGACTTTGGTACCGTTGTTGGGGGTGGATGTATGGGAGCACGTAAGTCCTGCATTTTCTCACTATGTGAGAGTAATTTGGCGGAAGGTAATTGTATGCTGACATCGGCATTCAATAGGCGTACTACCTGCAGTACAAGAACGTTCGCCCCGACTACCTGAAGGCGATCTGGAAGGTTGTTAACTGGAAGAATGTAGCCGAGCGTTATGCGGCTGTCGCGTGATAGAGCAACCATGCCTTTAAGCAGTGGCCAATCCTGATGAATTGACTGAATCCCAACAAGGATTTGTTGAGCCAATAAATACAATCTCATTATATCCCAACTAAAATACACTTCCCAAAGCTTCAAACCATGCCAACAAATTACTATCCACCTCCACAACCCTTTTAAAGTCCTCGAAGCTCAGCCCCTCATCGTCGTCATCCAATCCTGCCAATGCAAACGTCTTTTCCACCATCTCCTCAATAGCATCTTGCGACATGGCTTCCATGACGGGCCATTGTTCTTCTTGTGCGCTTTGTGGAACTGGGGAGGGAAGACCGACAAGTGAATGATAATGGGGAGATGAGGGATCTAATGACATTCGGAGTGGCGATGAGGTCGAGAGATGCGGGAGCGACCGCCGGAGGGATAGTGTGCGACGTGTGGAAGCACTATCGATGCTTGGACGGCGTGGAGACCGTGTACTTGGCGAGGTATACGACACAGATCGTTCGGTACCGGCAGCAAAACTCCCATACACGTCCATCACCTCCTTTTTCCCAACATGTTTGTTCCCAGAATCTTCTTCATCTTCCTCGCCTTGGTTCCCAGATGACGAAGAGCTGCCGGGTGCGGCAAAAGCCGCTGAAACAGGTTTGGTAGCTTCGTCGTCAAAGCTTTCCATCATTCCTTCTTCCATGGTCTTGACCACATCCCGGACTAGTTCCATGGACAGGTGAAAATATGCTTTGAACATTTGGTGGAGCTCCTCACGGGATATTATCCCGTCGTTATTTAAATCATAACCTTTAAAGGCCCCTATATGTACGAAAAGATCCAGTTTGAGGAACAAGCAACAAAACATTTTGTCACATACTCACAGAAAAACTCACATTTCATTCGCTCATCTAAACCTCCTTTGCAGAGTACCGATAAACCCATCACCAACTCCTCAAAGTTGATAATTCCGTTCCCATCCCGATCGAAAAACATGAATATCCGCTCAATAATCAGGTTTTTTTCCAGCCCAAGTGGGCCTAGACATCTTTCAAACGTTTCTCTGTCGATTCCGCCTTCAGCAGTTGAGAGGGAGAGGAATTGGTCGTGGAAGGCCTCCAGTTCGACAATATCGACTTTGGAGAGGTATTAGAAGGTGTATGGACCGATGCAATCAGTGGCACTTACAGTGTGATATGCGTTGCAGCTCCGCCAGGTCGTAGGCTGGAAGCTCACTTGTAAAGTCCTTGCCTGTTGAGATGATGAGAAAGTGGTATGGGTACTTTCGTCCGTGATCGCAAACTAACCGGGATAAAATGCCCCCAATAATGCGCTCCGCGGATTCATCAACGGCGGAATCGGCACCCTGATTTTCACGAAAACATGCGTCTTGAAGTGAATGTCCTGGGCCTCACAAAGCTCGCATACATCATAGTCGACACAATTGGCGCACTTGTATCTATATCCTCGTATCGGGGACGTCCCGCAATGGTTACATGTTATGGATCGGTGCACGTACCCCTCTGAAAGTGCAGTATTGATAAGTAACCATTTTCATAAACTGTTGATGCTGGAGTACATGCTAGACCAACACCTTTCCGGGCCTGATCCTCAGCAATAGAGTATAGCAATGTCAAAAGATTTTGACTTTCATCCACTGGTACAGGGTCCGCGACATGTTCCACTTCTACTTCGTCTTCCTCTTCGTCATCCACTATAGACTCTTCTTCATCTTCATCCTCTTTCTTTATTACTCCATTCCGACCGTCTTCTTTGGTAGATATGTACCCAGCGCGAGTAGACCTGTTGTCGCGTGATCTTGAAGAAAGATAGCGTGATGCTTGGACGATGGCAAGTCCCGAGACAATCCCTGCGAGGAGAAGTCCCAGTCTTGAAAGCGTTGCTGTTGAAGTAGATAACCGGATGTAGGGTGATAAAGACGGTTGGGTAGACATGGGGAAGGGAAAGATGCAGGATGGGGGATCAAGGTGGTAAGTCTTGTTACGACAGCGCGATTACTGACTTGCCACATGGTTGTTGTGGCTTAGCTCTTTGGGACTATCAGAACACTTCCTTCAGCTTTGTGCGGAACCTATGAGGCCAGACAAGATACCATGACACTGGCATATCCAGCAGGATATAGTCCCATTGTGTTTTATTTTCCCCATGTAATCACAAGGTGAAGCCATTCTTTTAGCAACCCTTGTCAGGCATGGGGGTAGAATAGATCTTGTCACATTTTATTTTGGTTCGTGGTATGATGTATTGAACAGTCATGAGCGGTAACCTGTGCTAGGCGATACCCGCGAGGGATTCAGGTATTTTACTGAAATGTTTACGGAACTCTTCCCGGTCATAGACTGCTGTGATGGGACGTTTGGATGACATGCTTGACATGCATGACGTGCGTTGCCGTTGGAGGATGCATCGCAGGTTCTTGCAGATCTTGCGTCGGAGCAAGACGAGTTCTGGCATCAAACCTTTGTTGGATTTGCCTTTTGCATTTGCTGAGGGATTCACGTGTCACGTTCTAGCTTACGTTACCTCATAGAACGTTGAGGGCATTTTCACACTCCGGTCGAACAACGCGTCCGCAAGTGCGCAGCTGTTTGCAAAAAGGTCTGCAAAGGGAGGCGCACCTTCGAAATTCTCACAAAATGCCATCATGTCGAAGTAACAGCAACCTTCTTCTACTGAACCTTAACAGGGATCGAGATATAATGCTAAAAAGAAGAATATCGTCCCATTTCAACGGGTGGGCCATATCCTACCTGGCTTCCCGCGTTTTTAGACTGCTTCCCTCTGCGTTGGCGGGTTTACAGTGTTTACGGCTTTTTGCTCTTGTCATACGTACCGCTGTTGGTGTGCGGCTTCAAAGTCCGGCGGGAAACAGAGTTCCTAAACGCTTTTTAGTATTCGCACCACTCAATTCACCATGGAGCGTCGCCAGAGCCCGAATTCAACGACCACACGCTTGGCAGGCAGCCCGACAGTGAGCAGCCGTGTAAGAAGCTTATCTGCGGCGACACAAAATACACAGAATGTAACTGCTTTGTCGACGACAGCGAGTGCGTTGCTGGCTCCATCAGGCATACCTACTGTGTCTCGTAATACGTCCTTCTCAACTGCCTCGTTCTTGTCTTTGGCTACAACGTCGATTAATCGGTCTTCCCGTATAACTTCGACGTCTTTCCCTTCAATTCCCTTCCCAACGTTGATCACCACGCAGCCCAGTGCTACGATCAAGGTTCTCCCGCCCGCAACATCCCCAACCCTCACTCCCATCCTATCCATACCGAAACCATCTGCTGTGCCTTCTGAATCCGCTGCTGCCGATCGTAATGGCGCAGTCGTTGGACACACAGTTGTTCTCATTATTTCTGCAGCGGCGGCGGCAGTAGTTTTTCTGACTGTTCTGGGATGCCTTTGCTTCTCTTGTTTTGTGACGTATAGACGAAAACGTCGGAGCAAAAAGTTGCAAGCACAATTTGTTAGTGTTGATTTGGGAAGTGGGGTTGAGTGGGATAAAGCACAAACGGTAGGATCCGTGTTTCTCAATGGCAGGGATAGCAACCGTGCTATCGAAACCGTCATGGACGATGATGCGGAATCTAGGTATGATTCACAAAAAGAAGCTCAGAAAGAGAGTGCAGTGACCTACGGAAGTCCTGAAGCGGCGACTGAACCATCTCCGCAATCCGTTCAACCAGCAGAGCAACCTATGCCGAGCGAGGAACGTTCGCATTCAGTCCAGATTAGCCCAAATCAGACGGCCCCATCAGACACTCCACAGTCCGCGCGCCGGCCTGCCCGACATAGTTACACTGAAAAGTGGGTTCATCACACGACTCCTGATCCACCGGAGGTCTCTGTACACAATGCCCCAAGAACATCTATTAGGTCAGATTCATCGGATGAGACACTGATTTTAAATCCAGAAGATGGTACCGCGGTAGACGAAGAAAGTGTTGAAAACGCAGCCGATTCACAGGGAAAGCAAGCCGCGGTGACAAGTTCCCAGCCACCGGAACACCAAAAGGTGCCAACCGCGGTAGAGGTTGGCAAAGGGGCACATGGGACTTCGCATACTGCAGATGAACCGGAGAGCACGGCGCCATCTCTGTTACGTCCAGACTTGTGCCGTCATGCGAGCATCTTTTCGGAACTTGCTCCATCACTTTTGGCAGGTTCTTCAACATTAACCAGGAGCGACACAATTCGACGTCCGCGAATTGCATCGACTACGTCCGCAACTCAAACTAGCCCCAATGTCAGGACGGTCCACCGCACAAACGTACCTCGTATGAGCGGGATTGGACCACCACCTGCGGCCGTACAGACTGATCGCTCCTCACCTCACAGTCGCTACACACATACCAGTATGCAATATTACCCGCATAACTACCGCCCTCAAAGTGGTGTATCAGAGGCATCCAGCGTGGGCCGCGTGGTGGGAATGTACTCGTCGCAGGCCCCTGAGGTAGACGCAGTCAACGAACGTCCAGCATTGTTTTACGCGATTTACACCCACACGCCTGATTTAAAAGACGAAATTGAGGTGGGTGGGGGGGACGGGATGCTTGTGGAGCAGGTTTTTAGGGATGGTAAGTAGCGGGTTTTGACAGTGGGTTCGTGCCTCATGTTGAGCAGTGAACTGACCTGGATGTGCTGGTTCATCACCAAGGTTGGGCATATGGCTGGAACGTCCGGACTCACAAACGGGGGATCTTTCCATTGACGTGTCTTCATATTCCCAAGAAAAAGGACACAAATCCCAAAACCTCTGGAGTGAAGACAGCAGTTACGGAGCCCATCCAATCGGGCGAGGCATCAACATAACGGGATATCCACCTGGTGGACTTTTGTATTTAGACTTGGGACCAGCCATGTCGCGTGTTTTAATCATATTCTGGAGATGTATGTTTAGTGTAGAGGTGACAGAAACTTGGTTGTTCTCGGGTATGCTTGGATGAGGGTTTTGGACGATCGGTTACGTTGAATGGATTTGTAGTTGTGAGTAGCTATTATAGTGTGGTTTTGAAAAATATACCGTGTTGTGAAGTCGATTGGACAGTGGAGGATTATCAACATCAGCAAACATTGAAAATGCCTTGAAGAACTGTAACGTCATGATAGGGGTGTGCTGCTCATGCACGTAAATAAAGCAGCGGGTGAGGACCAACATTCAAAATGTACCAAATATTCACCCACATCCCACCATAAACCACCATATTCCCAAAAGATATCGTCTTGCATTGAAAGCAAATGCTTGGAAATAACAAAAAGTGATCGGAAAAGGCTTAGACTCCGCTTACCAATTCCTGTGAGGTGGCTGGTATCTTCATTTAAATTTGAGTGTCCACAACAACTCCATTAGCGTATCTTGGCAACTACTGAGGGTGGTGTCTGAGTTTGGCTTTCCGTGCCCTAGCGAGGCCTTTGGCAGGACCCCAGGTTTGCTGAACAGGTGGCCATCGCACAGTGCCATAGTCGTCGACGGTGGAGCGACATTGGTACAAGGTAAGGTTGTAGAACGAGCAGACTACGAATGAAGAGGTAGGTGGTCGAGCCATGGAATATCCGTATTGTAAACATGTATGCTCATGCGGAGAAGTGTGCACTGGTTCTAGGTTTATACCCTTCGTCGTACATTCAGCAAACTCGTTTATTGTGTCTTAGCCTACGACAGAGCAGCCAGTATCTTTAGTGTTGCGGTCCCACTGTGTTTCATAGCTACGATAGTTTGCAAGCGGCGGCTACGAATTGCGACATTCGCAGTACTGTGACACGCACACGGCTTTGACAAGGTCAGCAGGTTCTGCACCCATGACTCTACCAATTGGAAGTGATCCAGGAACTCCACCGTCTCTGGATGCTTCGTCTTCAGAGGCTCCAAGTACGGCTTCGGCCACACGGTCGCGGAAAAGGTCTCATTCGCTTACTATAGAGGTGATTGTAGAAGACGCAAAGAGACGAAGAGGGGATGAAGATACAGAAGGAGGCAGATCTACGAGTCGCCGACTGACGAGGGCTGCGGCTCGTTCCCGCAGCAGCTCAACCATTCGGACGGATGACGTGAATTTCGATGTGCCTTTAGATGAGGCAACAGAAGAAGAACAGCCATTACCATCAAAACGTCGTCGTGCAGTATCACGCAAAGTGACAGATTATACGGTAACAGATGGACCTGCGACACCTCGCTTACAGGTGCGAACGTCGACAAATCTTCCTGAAGTTCCAACAACCCCTACGACAAGAAGATCTCGTCGCTCTTCAGTTAGAAACGACGCTGCACCTCGAACACCCCGCCTTTCCCGACGCACCTCAGCTTTGCGGATTAAGGCTCAGGATCTGGAAGGGATGGAGACTGCCCAAGACGTGAATGCGGATGACGGCCCTGTCGCCGCCGGTCCTTTGGAAAGCGAAGAAAATGAGGAATCAGCAGCTACCCCGACCAAGCTCAATACCAGTATCCTTGTATTAAGTGACTCAGACGACTCTATACCACTTTCCACAAAACGGAAGCTGAGACTACCATCCATGAAAGGCAAAGGAAAGATAATATCTGATGATGAAGTGTCTTCACTGAGCGAAGTGGACACGGGTTCATTTGACTTTGAAGATAACGTGTCAGAAAATGGTGCCGGTCCGTCACAGCCGTCAAAACCTAAGCGAAGCGTCGGCGCAAGAAAGGGCGCAAAACAAAAGGCTCCTGCACGGAGGAGGACAACCATCAGAAGCAATTCAAATGTCGACGAGAATGATGACAGCGATGAGCCCTTATCCGTGCGCAAAGCTTCCGCTTCGCGGCGGAAACCTGCTGTAGTTTCAGACGACAGCGACAGTGACTTTGATCTTGGCTCGGTGCGATTATCAGACGCAGAGGCAGAGGAAGAAGCAGAGGACGAAGAGACTGAGGAAACAGCAGCCCCTATCAGTGCGCCCCCCACACGCCGCCGGAGAGGCCGTGGGGCAGCAGCAGCCGCCCGTCGACAAGCGAAAAAGGACACAAAAGGGACGTATGATTTCCATCCTGAACTTGTTACAGTTTGGGAGCAATTGGAAAAGGAAGTTCAGGTGATCGTCCCTCAACAGGCTGAGCAACCGCAAGACGTGAATGTAAAGCTGCTCCCATTCCAACGTGAGGGTTTGTTTTGGTTACTCGAACAAGAACGCGGTCGATTCGGCGGAGGTATTTTGGCAGACGAAATGGGAATGGGCAAGACAATTCAGATGATTTCTTTGCTGGTGTCAAAGCGGATGAAGCCAAACCTGATCCTCAGCCCTACCGTCGCCATTATGCAATGGTTAGCTGAGTTAAGGGAGCGGACGACGCCGGGAACATTTAAAGTCCTTCTCTTCCATGGCAATAACAGGCCCACCACGCGAGAAGAAGTTGAATCGTACGACGTTGTTCTCTCCACCTATGCTATTATTGAGCAGGGCTTTCGTAAGATGCAGTACGGCTTCAAACGAAAAGGTGAAACGATCAAAGAACCTTCGCTTCTTCACTCGGTGAACTGGGCTCGCGTTGTTTTAGATGAAGCGCATGCGATCAAGGACCGCAGTTGTTCCACCGCACGTGCAGTATTTGCTCTCAAACGCCAGAAACAATGGTCCCTCTCTGGAACGCCATTGCAGAACCGTGTGGGAGAGTTATATTCCTTGATTCGTTTCATGAACTGTGATCCATTTAGTTACTACTTTTGCAAAAAGTGCCCATGCAAAATGCAGACGTGGTCGTTTACGGATCGGAAGCATTGTGATGGGTGCGGACACATTAGCCATCAACATTTTTGTTGGTGGAATTCAGAGATTTTGAAGCCGATCCAAAAGTACGGTGCAGAAGGCGAAGGTCTGGTGGGGTTCAAGAAGCTGGGATGTCTATTGGATCGCATCATGTTACGGCGAACAAAACTGGAACGCACCGAGGAGCTTGGATTGCCGCCCCGAGTTGTCACGGTTCGAAGGGACGTTTTCAACGACGCTGAAGAAGAATTGTATGAGAGTTTGTATTCTGACTCGGCGCGTACATTTTCTACCTACGTGTCGAACCATACTGTCTTGAACAACTATGCCTCCATTTTCTCGTTGCTCTCACGTATGCGATTGGCCGTCAACCATCCCGATCTTGTGACCACCCGAGTGGCCATTGCCTCCAACACGGCTACAGAACACCTTGTGTGTGGTATATGCCACGAAGAAGCCGAAGATCCCATCATGAGTAAATGCAAACACGTGTTTTGTCGTGAAGATGCGCGACAGTATATTCAGAGTGCCCCCGACGAGGATACGCCGACATGTCCCATGTGTTATAAGCCGTTGACGATTGATTTGTCACAACCGCAGGTGATACCTAAATCTGGTGGAGAGGGGATAAAGAGTAGTATCGTAAATTATATTGACATGGCGAAATGGCGGAGCAGCTCCAAGATTGAGGGTAAGTACTCAGAGTCCTGCACTGAATCATTTTTATCACGGTTTCATAAAATTTGTTAACATTTGTACTCGTGTGAAAAACAGCTCTCGTTGAAGAACTCACCGCCCTCCAACGAGACGACTCGACCTCCAAATCCATCGTCTTTTCCCAATTCGTCGCCTTTTTAGATCTCATTCAATGGCGTCTCTCCCGGGCTGGATTCAATGTCGTTAAACTTGATGGACGTATGGCTCCCCAACAGCGGGACACGGTGATTAAAAGCTTTATGACTGATCCGACTGTGACGGTGTTTTTGGTGTCGCTCAAGGCTGGAGGTGTTGCATTGAATTTGACTGAAGCGAGTCGGGTGTTTGGTACGTGATCAACTTTATTGCATGATTGGTTTGAGCAGGATTGTTTTTCTCATGGATTTTTTTTCTTTGGTTTTATTATGTAGTGATGGATCCGTGGTGGAATCCGGCTGTTGAAGACCAAGCCTTTGACCGAATTCATCGGTTAGGACAATACCGACCCATTAAAATCACTCGGTAAGAAACCTTCCCTGCATATTTATGTAACCTATCGCAAGACTATTACAGTATATAACAACAACAACAAAAAATCTTTGCAGAATGATTATCGAAAACTCTATTGAATCGCGTATTCTGCAACTTCAAGAAAAGAAAAAAGCTTTATTTGAGTCGACGGTTGGGAAGGATATGGATGCGCTTGCAAAGGTGAGAAAAAACGCGTGTGATGATTGTGAAAAGATGATTGGTTTTGCTGACTTGGAGTTTTTGTAGTTGTCGGAAGAGGATTTACGGTTCTTGTTTGTTCTTTGATGGGTTGTCGGTTTTGAAGCATGTTTTATATATATAGTCTATTCTTGCAAATATTGAGTGTTTGTTACGGGTTGAATATGATACTTGAGTGCATGCGATCATCAGCTCCAACAATTAAAATAGACAAATACAGAAAGAAGCGAGAGAGAGAATGGAATAAATAACGATAAAAATAAAATGCACCAAAAAAGAATAAAAAGCACAAAAACAGTCCCCTCCCACACATACATAGATACACATCCAACCAAGAAAAACTCCTCCCCAACATTCCATCTTTTACCGTCCTTGCCCCACCAACCCGACCAAACACCCCACCAACTCCTTCCGATCATACGGTTTAACCATAAATCGATTCATTCCAACACCCAAAGCTTTTTCCTGAAACTCTCGTCTCGCATTCCCAGATAATCCTAGTATGGGGGTATGTCGTAATGAACGAGGGAGATGGGCTTCACGGGCTCGTATGCGTTGTGTTGCTTCCAAGCCGTCCATAACAGGCATCTAAAAGAAACCAAAAAAAAAAGAACCTAATCAGCGGGGGGAGAGAAAAAGACGGATCGGGACAAGAAAAGGCGAACCTCTAAATCCATAATAACGACATCAAATTGCTCTTTCTCGGTCATTTCAACTGCTTCTGCTCCGTTATTGGCTACTTGGGATTTAAACCCCGCTAAATCTAGCTGTCGTTTTAGAACGCGTTGATTGACGAGGTTATCTTCCACAACTATCAACATATTTTTTGGTAAGTGTAAGTAAAACGATGACAAGTGGATTTGTGAACATGGAATAACGTACTTAGGACAGATAAATTTGTTGGGGGAAGATCTTGTGATGAATCTAATACAGATTTCCGATCGAGGGAAGGGAGAGAAGTAGACGAAGACGATAAAACAAGAGGAGAAGGAGGCGACACAGAAACATTTCCGACCAAAAAGCACACTCGAATCTCAGTCCCCTCCGCACACCTCTCAACAGAAATCCAACCTCCCATAATATCCACAAATTGCTTACAAATGAATAATCCTAATGCATTACTGGTATAATCTCGATAGGTCTTTAGGTTGGCGGGTGTGGAGGCTTGAAGGGCGGATTCGTCTGTTTCGGTCATGCCTTTGCCGTTGTCGTGGATGGTTATTAGGAGGTGGGTTGGAGGTGTTGAATGATGAGTGGTGGTAGAATTTGTGATAGTAGCCGTAGTAGTCGAATGAGGAGGAGGACATTGGGTAGAGTGTGATGGAGAGGTAGATGCCACGCAAGATGACGAGGATGATGGTGACAAAGCCGACGATAAGGGCAACACAGGAGCCCCCCAAGTATACTCCAAAAAAATCGTAATCCTCGAATGCATCACACAAGGTAAACTCGAAAAAGGCGTAGCAATCCCCGGATCCAACCTCGGATTCGTATTCGCAAATTTAATAGCATTGCTCACTAAATTGAATAATACTTGACTAAGCCGGTCTGGGTCGATTAGAACGGTTGTTGTTTGGGAGTCAGTGGTGATGGGTGTAACGTGGTAGGTGTTGAGGAGGGTGGTTTTGGGAGGTGGTGGGTCCGGAAGATGTCCATGAACACGGTATGCAGTACATTCGATTTTTTTGCGTCGGAGTTCGGCGGAAAACATGCGTATGACAGCTAAGGTGACTTGCTCGGGGGAACATTGAATAGGTGCAAGGACGATACGTTCTGATCGGAGTTTAGACAGATTCAATACATCGTCCGTAATGACCTTTTGATGCCGGGTGCACATTTCAATCGCGTCAATGGCTTCGAGGTCTTGTGTCCATTGTGTCCAGGTGGATTGGGCGAGAGCGGGTGGGACGAGATCTGCGTGCGACTGGGCGATTTTCCAGAGAATTTCGCAGAGCGTGCGGCGGCTTCGGAGGTTTAGACGGACGAGATCGGCATTGTTGATGACGCCGTTGAGAGGGTTACGGATTTCGTGACAAATCATGTCAATAAACTGAGTGAAACAACAGGAACGGATTTCGTGCGATACGAATAGAATGCATGTGCAAAGTGCATCAAAGTGAAAAAAACAAGACCAAAAAAGAGAGAGGATATCATGTAAGAATGAAAGAAATAGCCAATGTCACTCTTAAAAAACATACCATTTCCTGATGCCTTCGATTCTCTTCAGCCTCTTCAGCCCTTTTCCTCTGCTCAGCCTCCGCATTCCTCAACCTATCCAACCGCTCAGCTTCCAACGCCTTCCGTTCCGAAATATCAATCGTCGCAAGGTACCACCCCCGATGCTCGGTCGTTCCATCCGATTTCAGTACTACATCCGGTACACCCTCCGTCATGACATGCACAATGGATCCCCCTTCCGTAATGCACCTACACTCAATTTGATAGGGCTGGAGTTTGGAGAGGGCGTTGGACCAGTTGGTGGACATGAGGGTCCGGTCGTCGGGGTGAACAAAGGATTCCCAGTCAGTGGGGTGGTAATTTGTTCGATCACGGCCAAGGATATGCCACCATCGGTCATTGGTGAATTCAATATGGCCGGTAGGGTCAGCTTGGAGGATACCAACAGGAGCGAGATCGGCTAAAAGGCGGTATCGTCGTTCACTTTCAGCTAAAGCTGCAGTACGTTGTTGGACTAGGCGTTCGAGTTCTCCTCGGAGGCGACCGAGGTCGAGGTGGGTTTTGATGCGGGCGCGGAGTTCACGGGCTGAAAAGGGTTTGACGAGGTAGTCGTCTGCGCCGGCTTGGAGGCCTTCGACGCGAGCTTCGTCTCCTGCTCGGGCGGAGAGGAGGATAAAGGGGATGGATTTGAGAATTGGGTGGGATTTAATGCGGGCCAAAAGTTCGAAACCGTTCATGCGGGGCATCATGACGTCGCTAAATAAAAGAAGGTAAGACTTTTTGCTGGAAAAGGGTAAATTCGTTCGTATCTCAACACAAACGAATTTCCGATGGGGCAAAGTGCATGATCACACCTCACACCACCCACCCGCTACATCCAAAAAAATCTCAATAAATATACTTGCCTCAAAATCAAATCGGGCGGTTCACGCACTGCCCATTCATAAGCCTCCACACCATCCGCAACAACCCTCACCACACAAGCACGCAACAACCCAGACACATAACTCCTCATATCAGCATTATCATCCGCCAACAAAATCCGTGGCCGATCGTCATCGGTATCCGATACCGAAAGCGGTGGCGTCAAAAGTCGTGTCGGCGGAGAAGGACCTAAATCAGGTGGATCCGACCAGCGTAAAGCTTCTGCAACAAAGCTTTCGCCAATGGTGTTTGTTCCCGTGGTTTGGGTCACATCCGACTCTTGGATGCGGTCAGGAGGGAGGTGGTTCTTACCACGGGGGATATGAACCGTGAATATCGTACCCGTACCAACGGTGCTTGACACGTCTATTGTCCCGCCGTGGAGTTTGGCGAGTTCGAGTGTGAGGGCTAGTCCAATGCCGGTTCCTTCGTGGCTTCGGCCGTGGGAGGTGTCTGCGCGATAAAATCGTTCAAAGAGGCGGGTGAGGTCGGTTTCGGGGACGCCGCACCCCGTGTCGCGGACAGACAGGGAGAGGGTCGTAGGATTCGAGGCTAGGTGGACGTAAATGCCGCCTTTCAGAGTGTTTTTAAAGGCGTTGGAGAGGAGATTAAAAACAATCTTCTCCCACCTGGTATTTTAACGAAATACAAAAAACTAGTAAAATACCACATACAAACGAGCCAAAAAAATGGGAGCAAATGACTTACATATCAAGATCAACATACACCTCCTCCCCTTCACAGACATCCACAACAAACTCTAATCCCGCCTTTTCTATCGCGGCTCGAAACATGGACGCAGCATTTGCTGTCGCTATCCCTAAATCGGTCGGTTTATACAAAGCTTGCATTCGTCCTGCTTCGATACGTGAAAAGTCGAGGATAGAGTTGACGAGTTTTAAGAGACGGAGGGAGTTGCGGTGCATAACTTGGAGGGCGTCGCGGTGGCTGGAAGAGAGGGTTGGATCGTCGAGGACGTCGGAGAGGGGCCCGAGGATGAGGGTGAGGGGCGTTCGAAATTCGTGGGATACGTTGCTAAAGAACTGTACGGGTGCATGTTTGTTGGTTGGATATCAATACAAGCCAGAGAGCGATACAATATTCACGTGTGTCGAGGGCGTAGGTCAACGACAATTGCAATATCCGTTGACCCCAATATGAGCACAGAACGTATACCGATAAGCGATCAAATTCGTTTATGAAATACGGTCCAACCGAATAATGCGGACATACGCGCCGAGGCATGTGCGAAAACCGAAGTCATTGATGGCGAAGGAAATCACAGAGGAAATCCATGCCGTCATATTCGAGTACGCAGATTTGAGTACGCCGAGATATGTCATCAAAGGAAACACACAGATAAATAAAGTTGGAAAATAGATAAAGATTAGGAACAAAACAGAAAGGACAAGTAAAAACAAAGAAAAGACATACAGCAGTTTTGGCTCGGTCAATCTTTAAAAGAGCAAAACATTAGTTTTCCTTTTTTAATCATAGAGTAATTTTTCCAATCCCGACCTTACCTCAGCCAAAGCCTCTGCCCTCTTTTTCTCCTCCCGATACGCCCTTCCCGTACTCATCGCCGCAGCAAGTTGCGCCCGAGCCTGTTCCATAAAAAACTTGTAATTCGCATCAAGAGCTCTTAGGGGATTCACACCCGCAATAAAAACACCCATCGGGTCTTGTTCGCCGATAGGAAGGAGAAGGGCGTGTGTGCAAGGGGAATGAGTGCCGCTTATGGATCGGCCAGGAAAAGAGTGAGGCAAGGTGGTTAAATCGAGTTCAAGGCGCGTGCGGGTTGTGAGGACTTGGGAGAAGGGCCAGGGGGTGGTGGTTGTGATGGGGAGTTCGGGGATGCAGGCTGAATGTCCAGGTGAAAGGTGGGTGGATTCGCGTAGAACCAACTATTTTTGCGGTACAATAGGTGATGAGGAAATGAGAGGGAATGATGAGGTGGATTTACATACCACTTGTCTTGTGGGATCCAAGATGTAAATTAATGTAAAAGGTAAATCTGCAGACTGCTCTCGGAACACGTTGGCGGCAAGTGTGCAAGCTTCTTCCTCGGATTGGACATTTCCCGTGACAGCTCCGAGTTCACGCAAAAGTAAGAGGCGGCGTTCACTTAGGACGCGCTGTGTCGTTTCTGTAATCTAGAATTTATTTTTTGTGAGGGCGAGGAAGAGAGCAATGCGGGGGGGAAGCCGTCTACGTACGGGTGTCATGGCACCACCGACGGATCCGTCCTCGTTCCGGACAGGAGAGTAGGACCACGTAAAGTAGCATCTGCATCGTTCGTCAAGGAATAAGATTTTGTAAAGGGGACGGGAGGAACACATAGGACTTACTCTAAAATGACAAAACAAAACATTGGCATAAGCAAACGCCCGTACATCAAACACTCTTTGATAGCCACATACCTTCTACATAACCCGATCGAGTGAGCAACAACAATTGATCCTCTGACCAGGTTGCCTGTTCCCATAATGCATATAAACGCTTTTGATTGCACAAAATGATTACAGGACGGTAACAAACCTCGCCTGCAAAAGTTTGATCCAACATGGGAGCAATCACGTCCCAGACTTCTCCCCAGGCTTCGAAAGCCGGTGCGCCGAGAATGTGTGGGTGTTTCGTGCCGAAAATGGGAATGTATCTGGGGGAAAAACTGTCAGTGGGGATATCTCACTACACACATCAAGCATGCGCATCCCATAGGAGAGAGTTGAGAGAGAGAGAGAGAGAGAGAGAGAGAGCTCTCGTAGCGACAGCCGTTCGAGGTGACAGCTGATCCATCCCCTTTCATCTCCCACCCCTTGCTCCATGCTAATCTCCCCTCTCTCCTCTTTTCTGTCGTGCACTATGCTATTTGCGTCCTCTCGCCAACACATTGGGTCGACCTTCTTACCCATCATTGTAAATGACACAACGAGAGGGACCCCAAAAGAGAATGAAAGGAAAAGCAGAGCGCAAAAGAAACGAGACTGCGGTGACGAGACTTGAAGACCATTGTTGGACACATCCCAATTCTGTACAAGACCAATCCTTTTCACGGACCAATTTGCCCATGACACCTCCTCTGCTCAAGACCTCGTTGACATCCAAAACCAGTTCGTCGAGGACCAGACAACCAATTATCCAGGCATTGTTGAGCCAGGTTGCGTTCAGACATGCGCGGACATAGTGTGTTTTGCAGCGGATGCGTGTCGTCGTACGCCATGAACGACCAACAGGAATGGTAGTGTTACTAGAAGAAGAGGGGAGGGCGTGTTGGAGGAGGGCATGTCTGTCCGAGGGATGGACTGCCGTCAGCCATCCACTCTGATAGTCCGAGTAAGAGAGACCCGTTAGTGCTTCAAACGAGGGTTGCGGCAGAGTGCGAGAAGCTAGCGGATTCCAGGACCAGACGGCATCATAGGTATCGAGTGTGGGTATCTGCATAAAAATAAGAGTCAAGCCTCATACATACATACAAATAAATGTATTAATGAAATACCTTTGGAACAGACATGGTGAAAATACCAAATAAAAAGGAATAAAAACAATACAAAGTGTAGAAGTGTGAAATGCAGACAAGTGCATGAGCGTAAGCACATATCACGTGCTAATACTCATATGACATAATCACGATCTCAATGCGTTCTGTTCGTTGTGTGCCAAAAGTGATTTGGAGATATCGCCGATGAGCATAACTGTCGTCAATGTATATGAAGGGAGACAATAGCTCAGCAATACAAGAGTCTCGAACTGTTCCAAAAAAGAATATGTCAGCACATTCAACTCGAAAAGTAAATGATTCCCCTCCGCTCGTCCACCCTCCATTCAATCGCTACAGATTGAACCTCCACGCATGCTATTCAGGCTAAAAAAAACAGATTGATTCCCCCACATAGAACGGAAGTTTATGATTCAGACAGTTAGGGATTTGGGATATTTTCAATCTCTTATTATTATGCAAACAACGTGATTAGCGATTTAAAAGGGTTATATGGTCATCATGTTTCCATTCATCTTTTGCGCACAGCATTTTAGGCTTTTTTTTCGTTCTGGACCTCCCTGTCTCCCCTTCCGTCTAGTAAGGATCTACCCTGCATAGTGTTTCATTGAGAGTGCATACTCAAGCGGGACACGCTTAGAAGGATCTACAAAGAACACATTGGGATTTCAAAGGTTAGAACGGACCTAGAGCAAAATGTGCCCACTTGGTCAACAAACGCATTCTATGACAAGACCTCGACCATCGTTTTCTTGCTGACCATTTTTCTTCTTTTAAGGATATCTCCTACACACACACACACACACACACACACATCACTGGACAAACACATCGTGATTTTTTGTTTTTTTTTTGTTCCTGTTTTATGGTCCCTCATCATGTCTCAGCATGACCATCTAGACCCTCTCAAACGACTCGCAGCTGCCCTCCGCGCAACACGGAACGACCCTTTACCAGCTTCTTCGTCTTCTTCTTCCTTTTCACTTCGCCGCCACCTCATCCGCTCCACATCCCTCCAACAGCCCCAGACTTTACACCCGCTTGCCCATCGCGCCAGATCCTGTCCCTCCTCTCCTCGCATGTCCCATTCAAAGCGCTCATCAGTTTCATTTGGCGCTTTAACGGTTTATGCTTTTGATAGTGCTGAGGCGCCTGCTACTCGGTCGGGGAGTATTGTGAATTTAAGTTGCGGGACGCCGACGGCGACTGCTAAAGGCTCGATATTTGTTTCATAAGAGATCTATAGGTTTTTTTTTGTTCATCGTTTGTTTCTGTAGCGTTTCGTTTAGCGTAGTTTGGGCTGTTCAAGATGGAAAGCACATTTTGTGTTGAAATAGAATTGGAAAGCTTGTTGCCATTTGTTGTGGAGAGGAATACTTGCATTGCCTTGTTTCATTAACCCTCCCTTCGTTGTCCCGTCGATTGAAAACCCATCTTCTGCATGCCTTTTTTACCCAAAGCTCACCTCCATAGTGTTCTTAACACGTCACTGTAAACACGTCACTAGCATGCTTTTGAACAATCACCTCGTTGTCCATTCTCAAACGTTTTTTTTGTCAACTTTTTTCAACGATGGACCTTAAAGGCTCCTGCCACTGCGGCCTCGTAACATTCACGCTCACATCCCACACACCCGTACCCTACATGCACTGCTACTGGTATCGTAACCACAAACACATTCTTTTCATCTGACACCTTATCACAACCCCCATATTTTTTTCTCCAGTTCGATTTGTCGCAAGACAGCCGGTGGAGGAGGGTACGCTATTAATATCATGGGAGATGCTGCATCTTTGGTTGTGACGGGTCGTGAACATGTCAAGTACGGAATGTTTTTTGGTTTAAAAAGGAGTGTTGAGTGATTGATCGTGTGTGCATAAAAGGGTTTATCGAGCGAAAAAGGACAAGGATTCCGATGAGTTGAGGTGAAACTCTTGGATTTCGTACATTGGACTATTCTACAAGGAATAACAATGAATCTTTTGTTGAATTCTAGTACGAATCACCGACACTTTTGTCAAAACTGTGGATCCTTTCTCTGGGCTTTTGATCCAAGGTAATGAACTCTCCATTCCCTCCCATACTTTCCCCACAACCCCCCCTAAAACACACTTAAAAGTTGGCCACAATGGATCTACCCATTCGCATCCGCAATCGACACCCCCCTCCCACCCGCACCAAAAACCCAACATATTATGATCAACTCTAAAGCCAATTGGGTGCCTCTTCCCCAACGACAAGAAAAAGAAGGGAATGTGTTTGTCGTGCCGGGGGAGCATGAGTTTTTTGAAACGTACCCGGAAAAGAGTATTGAAAAGATGCATCAGTGTGAGGGATGGTGGGTTTGAAAAAGTCATTCAAAAACGTGAATCTTTTCAAATGTTGAACTGTTGAATATACGTTGTGGGTATCATACCGTACGTAAAAAACAATTCCAATGGATATTCAAACAAGAAAAAAGCACACATCTTTATTGTATTCTCTCTCTTTCTCACTCTCTCTCTCTCTCTCTCTCAAAAAAAAACCTATCCTCTGTTTCCCCGTCTTTCAACACTTCTAACATCTACCCAAAACCAGCCCCCCCTTTCACTAATATCCTTCCCCAGCATATCTACTCTAAAGGGAGAAAAAAAAAACAAAAACACCAACAATCATTAAATTATGGGTTTTTTTTTGTTGAAAACAACAAAAAAGGGCGGGGGTATAATTAAACAACATTTCGTCTCTTTCACGTAAACTTTGGAGAAACGATACCGGCACACATGCCACCCACCCCGCGAGGAGGTGAAGAGGGTTGAGCCTCAACAGCAGCCTGATGGAAAATACGTTGAATCCTCACATCGCGGTCATCGACCGGTCCGTTTGGTACGTCTCCATTATTCTCGGATGAATCATCTTGACCCGCTCGATCTACCCAATACAATTTCTCTGGTTCATCTTGACATAAATCGACAACCATGTTGCGTTTTTGTTTTTTGCGGCTGGGTTCTGTGTAGGGTGCGTGGGACCCGTTTGCGCGGACGATGCAGCGGGGTGCGTCGGGGTAGGCTGCTAGGAGGTGCAGAAAGGGTTCGGAAACCGTCAAGTCCTAAAATGTAAAATTGTTAAAACAAACAAATATTTGATAGAAGATATAAAAAGTGGATTATATACCGTCTTGTCAATCACGTCGTTACAGACGGCACACTTCCATTTCGGACTTGATCGAGAGAGTTTGGCAAATGTCTATTCCCCAGCATACAACATTCGTTAACACACAGAGACACACATACTTTCCACTACACGCACAAAAACATACCTCTAAATCAAAACATTGCACATGCCGACACTTGCGTCCCTTGCCCGGCACCCCAATCCTCTTCAACGCAATCGGACACACAAGACTCACAATCTGATCTCCAACCTGCACTGCATCGTCTTCCTCTCGTTCCGGTACACAAGGCTCAGAGGCACGGCTTGGCGAGGCGGAAAGAGTTGAAGCGGAGCGTTTGGTGGGGACGGCTGCGGGGGCGATGAGGGGGTATGCTGGTCGGACGGGGGCAGAGTGTCGGCGGAGAAGAGAGGGGACTGGTGCTATTCATTATGGGGTTAGCGCATTGTTTAAAGTGCCAGTGAGTTTACATAGACGTACCAGGAACAGGTGCACAAGGCCTCGATACACACATCTAAAGACTCAAAATAAGCATGGGTGACAAAACATAAAACAAACAAATGTAAAAGACATACCGGATTTTCCAATCGTCTCAAGCACACCATGGCTAACCCATGTGCAAAATCCTCTGGCCTCGCCTCTACGGAAATCGTCACCGTCTTTTTCTCAAATTTATCGGCCGTGAGGGCGGGGAGAAGGTTGATTTGCACACCATTGGACATGCCATTTGCTGGCTACATTCATAAAAGAACAAAAATTGGTAAAAACATCCATAATGCGTCCAATTTTTTCACACATGATAAAACCTACCAATAATCTCGTATCCTCTACAAAAATCCTCATCCGACACAACATGGTCTCAGTACTCACCAACTCCCCCCCACTTCCTCTCCCAGGTTGAAACAAATACAACGCAACCGTCATGCCTTCATGACTCCGACTACTCAATACACCTCGTCGCAGAATAGTTGCATCGACCATCATGACAAATTTCCGTTTTTGGTCCACGGTGGTCATGCAACGTTTATTGAGCATTTGGGAGGCGAGTTCGACTACTGGGGCTGCTACACCGGATTCACCTTGTGCTCTTGTTCGAGCGGTTTCAAACATGCGCTTCCATGCTGGGGGTGCAATGAGGAATTGAGAGGGGGGTGGTGAGGATGATGAACAAGAGGGTTTGGGAATGGGTGTGGGTTTGGATGTTGTTGTTGTTGTTGGGGGTGTGCTGGATTTTTTGGGTGGTTGTTCGGATTTGATGGGTACGTCTCCAGCAGATGCTGCCATGCCCCCTGGTCTCGTACTCGCTATCGTCGTATTGGTATTCATCGTCAAAGTCGTCATTGTCGTCGTTGTCGTGGCACCAACAGATTGAGGTCGACCCCTCTTCCCCGTCAACACAATATTATTCCCCATCTCCGTAACACGATGCATAGCATTCCGCGTTCCTTTTGGAATCGCGAAACTATTGCCTAAATTACTTGTTCGTTCCGGTATATGTGGCTCGTATTCAAATGCTGCGTAATGTTGTGGGGGGTACATGGGTGGTGGTGGTGCCGGCGGTGGAGGGCCATAACACCATTCTTCTGGTGGGTGCATCTCGGGATGCACATGCTGTTGTGGTGGTGCGTGCAGATCTGGGGGTGGAAACCGGGGGTGGATGGGAAAGTAGTCGTAGGGAGCTGCGTAGTAGCTCATGGTGTTTTGCTGTTACGTTGACGGAATATCGTATATCAAAGAAATGCCAAAAGAACTGGTTTTGGGTCCGCTAACTAAAACACTGGAGAGAACGAGTTAGATAACCTCGTTTATCGAGAGCTTTTTGGGTTTCTTGATAGCTGCGTACTGGGGGAAGAACTGGCCCCGTTCGGGCGCGCAGTGGCCCAACCTTTGCGCACCAAAAAACGAAAAAACACTACGAATATCTGCAGTGTTGTGTAGTGCGGTTGCGTTGCGTACGCCGTTTATCGAGTGCTTTTTACGCAGCGTTTTTCGCCTTTTACGCTAACGGTATCCTTCTTTTTTGGTCATGTCATCTGCATCTCTCGCAGCAATCTTGGCAGCAACCCCCTCGCGTTTGTTCATCTCGCGTTTCCCTTCAACACGCGCGTCGCTCTGCTCTAATAAGCAATAACCGTTACATACCTTTCAACTTTGTTTTTTTTCTCGACAAAAACGAGTCCAAGACAAGAAAAGTTTAAAGATCCTAGTTGCTTTTATATATCCCTCCACTGCGCGCTACGAGAGTGCGTGTAATGCGTTGTTCTGTCGGAGTTTCCAGTAGTGTGTTTGTGGGTTGTAATGGGCTTTTTTGTTGTTGAACCGTTTGACCCAGTGGGCCCCCCTCGGGCCAAAAAATACCGCTCGTTGAAATTCGATGTGTTCTTTTTTAACTATACCCACAGAACGATGAGGGGGGCTATTCATAAAACTAATAGTGTTCTTTTTTTAATTTTGTAATAGTGTGTGTGTATTGGAGTGTTTGTTCTCTCCTTTAGAGACCTCCTGTACGCGCAATATGATGCAGTGTTCAATGATCTGCTGCGCACGTTGATGTTGGGCCAGACACCTTTTGGAAGCTTTTGTTATGTTTTGGGAAATTGTTTTCGCTGCGCATTTTACAGGGCATGTTGCTTTTAGATAATGTAGAGTACATACGTATATTGTGTGTGTGTGTGTTATTGTTATGGGGGGCTGCCCGCCCGCCTTTTCGTTCGAGTACTTCTGCCTCGTTTGCGTTCCCCTTCGACCATCTCCATTTCTACCAAACCTGGTCGCTACAAACGGCAAACTGCATCCACAAATGCCTCCCTTCCTCCTCCTTTTATGGTCTCCAAAACACATATGGATTGTTGATACACATTTCCGTTCATCGGAAGGCGTCACGCTTTTTGTCACGGGGGCCCCAAGTCGATAGCACACCAAAAAAGCCATGTATCGGTTGCTCTTTTTATTTCAGATATCCAGAAATCCACTTTTTTGAAAAGAATATAAGAAACGCTAAACCGACCTTGTCCATAAAATCACACCATAAAAAACATTCTGCGTATATTTAAACCAAAAAATGTCCAAACTCGCTACAAACAGCCTCACCGACCTCCTCGGTACAACACCTCTTCACAAACTCTTAGACTCGATACCCACCCACTCTTGTTCCAAACACAGTAACAAACTTGAACATTGTGCGCATGGATTGATATCTGATGGTACGGGTGATGATATGCAAAAGACGGACCTTGTTGCTGTTGAAAAGGATACGAGTATTGGACAAGTCCTAGAGGTATGTCACTGCTTGTTTGCAAGTTTTGTAGAATTGAAAGTAAATGAGGAGCTTTGTTTGTAGGTTCTTCGTCGACATGACCTGTGCTTTCTCCCCGTCTACGAAATGACTGCTGACAATAAAAGACGATACCTCTCGACAGTCTCCTTTCTTGATATTTTTACCCTGTTTGGTTTATCCCCCATATCCGAGGAAGCGGGACTCCAATTTGATGAACGGAATCGAGACAAGTCGAGCTTTTTTGACAAGAAAGGTATGTATACCAAAACTCCTTACCAACACACACATTTTAAACAAAACTTGCGAAAACACAACGACAGTCTCATCCATCATCAGCCTAACACCCCAATCCGCCAAACTCAACATCCAAACCCCAAACAACCCAATCCGTAAATCCTTTGACATTCTCAAATCCCGTTTAAACGATCGAGCCCTCATTCGATTCAACGCGAGCACACCCGCAACACTCACAAAAGACGACCTAGGTGAATCCCTCGAAGCACCTTTAGACCAGCTCCGTGTGATCACACAAAGCGATCTGATTAGATGGTTACATCCGTTTTTGAAAGACACGGCAATGAGTTCTCATCTTGCACGTATGACCGCAAAAGATTTGTACCTCCACGCAAAGAAATATGATACAAATACAGGGGAGGGTATACCCGAATTCGCCGTGCATTCGTTTACACCCACCATGATGTTTTCCATTCCCTTGACAAGGGATTTAACGGCTGCTGCGGCATTTCGAGCCCTTTGGGACCGTAAACTCCCTTGTTGTGCTCTTGTTTGTCCATCTACGGGTCGGCTTGAAGCCGAGTGGTCGGCATTTGCGTTACGTGGATTGCATCCGTTGAATGTATCGAGTATGTTGAAACCCGCGCTCCAATTTTTGAAAGAAACGGGGCAAGAGGATGTTTTGACGGTTGTTTTTGAGGATGACGGGTTTTTGGATGTTGTGGATAAGGTTGTTCGTGGTGGTGCTAGGCAGGTTTGGATTGTGGATTCATGTCGGAGGCCCGTGGGTGTCATTACGTGTGGGGATTTGGTTGCTGCCGTTTGTACGGCTGTAGAGAGGGAGGCCATGGAAGAGTGATGATGGGGAACCTCTGGTTTGGTTTACATAGTTACATAGAGAGTATGTCCTGTTTGTGGATACCTGTTGTTGGAACGCTTCCAAGAAAAAACAAAACACCATCATCATACCAATATCATGTCTGTAAAAGTACATGTGTGTATCAAAATATACAAGCAAAAAAGTAAAAAAAGAATTACTACGATATATATAACACCATCATCCTCTTCACAGCTTCTCCACCCACCGATCACTCGGCAACACCTTGACCTCCCGTCCAAAACCCCGGCCACCCACACCACACTCCATCAAACAATCCACTACAAACGAATCATACCCAGGCGGCCCACACACAACACAAGACTTTGTCCCCTCCTCCTCGGCCTCCTCTGTCAAGTCCACACCACCCTCACTCTCGAATCCAACTTCAGTTAAAATGGCGTCAATACGCTTTTGGGTTAACCGCCCTTGTTGAACAACACCCAGTTCAATAGGAGAGGTGACACTATCGACGAAATAGTACACGGCGAGTTGTTCGGGATAGGACAACATGACACCTTCTAGGACCTCGCGACCAAAGATTTCGTCTGGAGTGCGGATGGAGTGGATCAAGACGAGCTTGCTGTTCGGGTTGCAAGGGGGTGCTGTCGCGGAGAGGGGGAAAACGCCTTCAGTCGAGGTCGTGAGGTTCATCCCAAGACACCAGCCGTCATAATACTGTTAAAGTTTGAACATGTCAGCTTATCGCAAATAACAACGAGGAAAACGCTGAACGACTTACGTGGTGTTTGGCTATGACACGGTCACCGGGATTCAGAACGAGTTCGTCAGGGATAGTGGGTATATACTCACTAGTGACCTACACACCAATGAAGAAAAACATAGTCATTACTCTCACATTTCATTCCAGTACTCTGAATCAAACGCCCAATACTTACCACCAAAGGCACATAAACAGGCAACAGCACTTCATGTACAACCTGCAAAAACGGAGCAATACCACTCCCCCCAGCAAAATAGCACAACCGCTTCTCCTCCCTTCCCATCCCCAAAGGACGCTCCACCCTCCTCCAAGCCTCTGGCAAAATACTCGCACCAAACGGTCCCCGAATCCGATACTGCCGATCACCCACTCGCTGTCGCTTGAGGAATCCCGTCATGGTTCCCTGATCGTACATTTTGACATGGATCTCAAAGGCCGTTAAACTCCCCGTATACGGCGTATAGTATCTTGATTCCAACCGGTTATTAATGCGCATTTGCAGTTCAATACATTGCCCAGGGATAAAGGCCTCGGGCTCATTATCGCGGGTATCGTAGGGATAGAGTAAGCAAAAACGAAGACGATAGACGGGTGTACGGTTTCCAATCGCTGTTGGGTTGATGAGTTCCTTTTCAGTGAGAGCGTACCGACGGAACTCGTATCGATCAAATGGAATGCCTGTGCCAGAGGTTGCGGATTTAAGAGAAGGCGCAAGTGTCTTGATGGATTCGTCAAACGGTGCGTCATCGGAAGGCATGAGCTCGCCAACGATCAAATCAGAGAGTTTCTGTAAGGCGAGTTTGGTATGTACATGCGTTCGGCGGGATTTTGTAATATGTCGCCAGTCTTGTTCGTTCATGGATGGGAGACGTCGTGTTGTTTCAATGGCGGATTGCACTTCGCTCGGGGATATGGAGACTGAGAACGATCCTGACCGGACTCGGGTGACAGCCCCTGCATGGATACGGTCAGGACGTTGGGCGGGTACAGCGGGTTTGGGTGTGAATTCTTCAGCATCAAAACCAGCTTCGTGAAAGTAATCGTTACTAGAAACGAGCAGGATGTTTTAGCAATGTACACAAGGTCGACGTCACTCTATCGGTGCCGGAACGATTATCAAAGTTACCTAATGTCCGTTCCACACACTGCATGAAGAATAATTTGTCCACCGGGATGCGAACGAATCCATTTTGAAATATCATACACATATCGCGAATTGGCAACCACCAGCATTTCGCCGCCGAGGATCGTTTCATTCAAAGTCTGCCATGTAAATGTCCTCATACCGGGCCTGAGCCGTTCTTGCATCATATCTACCTGCATGGCCGGGAGATCCGTCGTCTTGGCCGCCACGTATTTTCCTCCGCCGTTTTTCCCCTGCGAGGATGGGGGTATCACCACACCGCCCATGCCAACGTCCTTTCTCACCAGACGACGACGAAAGTATAATTCTGTCGCTAAGAAAGCAGTGACCCATCCTGCAATCACCACGAAATAGAGAATCCAGACCACTACCACCCGAGGTTCGGCAAAGGGAAACAAGGTATCAAGACCCAGATAAACCTGGACGACCGATGCCAGCATTAACGTTGCACCCAAAAACCTATGAATGAGCCGAATCACGGGTCGAATCCGATCCAATTCTTCATTCCACAACCCCATTACATTCGGTATCCCCAACGAAAGCTGAACAGCCAAGAATCCAATCAACGTCGCGCCCAATATCGAGTGCGGCCGATCCCAATACTGGACCTCGAGCAATATCACCGTCAAAAATATGCAGATGGCAACGATACCCGTTGCTTGAGCGGAAATATGAAAAACGATCCAACCATATTTGGACCGGAGGTATCGGGCGTAAAATACAGAAGCAGGGAACAAAATCATCCACACTGATGCCATGCCAAATCCGTGCAGGGCCTTCAAATCAAAGTTGGGCGTGTCGCGCGGGGCCATCATACCGTCCGCAAGATTCGCAACCAGTGCCCCACGGTGCCCAGTATCGTGATACGAGAACCATTCTCCGCGGTAGTTTTTCTGTGGTCGGGGATTGAAGGCCCAGAGCATCCGTGTTGCACCATGCACGTCCAGAGAATAGTGTAAAGAGTCATTTGAGTGCGTTTGGCGCTTGAAATGACAGGACAGCAGCCCATTGCGGAACACGCCTTGAATGGGCGTTACCAGCTGATTGGGACCTTCGTATTCATAGGGTGCAAGATACTTTTTCATGGTGAAATGTTCATGAACTTTTACATCCTCGCCTGTCGCCGCAAAGGAGTGGCAAACATTCATCTCCCCTCTCAGCATGCTAAAGTCAAATGGCAACTTGTTGGCAAAATGACAAATCTATATAGGACATGTTCCGTAAACACCTTACCTTTCCCCATAACCGATAGCTGCCCATGGTCTTGCTAGCGCTCCAGGATGATTTGGATCTGATGGCCCCGCAAGCACAAGCAGGATATGCAATGCTTCATTCGCGGTCCCAGCATCCGTAAGATTGTATCGAATGAAAAACGAGTAATTTCCTCCCCCGTACGAGGTTTGGCCGGGTGCATCTTGGTAAAACAGTTGACCAAATCGTAAGGTAGCGGGATCAGGGAGCCCGATGGGTAATGCCACGTCTGCATCATGTCCGAGAGCGCTCAATGTGTTATCGTCATCATGCCGTGGTGTGATGTGTCCAGTCTGTGGATCTCCATTTGTTGATTGTAGGATAGCTAATATCCACAAGACCATCAACGAAACCCGGATCTTGTTCCACCACGTATCTTGTCCCATGGTGCAGCGGTAGTTACAGCAGAGGGCTCAATGATGGCGATACGGTCGTTTGAAGAAATCCGCTTTTAATTATTTGTAAACTAACAACCAGGTGCGAAATAAGCTCATGTGTCAACGAGACAGCTGTCGCCAAATACTGAACGACTCGAGCATATGCTTGCCGCATAGAAGACATACCTTTGCAGCAAAATCAAAAACGTATAAAGCAACCCAGCAAAAGCCAGACCGCAGGTATGCCAACCGAAAGCGATAAACAAAGCCTTTGCAAAAAACAAAATCAAGATCAAGAGAGAGTGAAATCAATGCTGCTCTATACATCAAATGCCATTCATTTTGAGTCCCCTCCAACCCCTCCTGTGCTCTGGGTATTCTGCTCACAAGCAAAAGTCAAAAAGCACGGAGAGCAGGCGAAGTCGAAAGTGTGCAAAAAGTTACGAGTGTGAGGTGGCTGTGCTAGTACTAAATTTCCTTTTATGGATAAATATCGTTAGTTGATTGGTTGTATCCAAGAGGCTGAGCAACGGAGGGCAAAGGGTTTGGTGAGATATGCTTTTTTTCAAGATATGCACAGTGCTTTAACCGCAACACACACAGACAACTTGGCCATGCCAGCAAACCGTGAAAGCAAACAATGGAGAAAACAATGACAAAAAGCCTCCAGCCTCAAAAAGATGGGCGAGAAATCTCATCGGAAACAAAAAGGAATGGCAATTTGGACAAGGGCAAAACCACCCCAATGTCCACCATGCAAATGACCGGCTGTGTGTGTGCTGACACGCGATTCACAATCCAATAGAGTACTCGACACTTTGCAACACTCTAGGAGAGTAAGGAATACCATAAGCATCAACCATATTCCAAAGACAGGTTTTGTTGGGACAAGTGGGATATGGGGGACATGGTTCGGTAACAAATGTCACTCACAAACTGACCTATCATTCCACTACATACTTTTTATCATCAAGACTCGTTTCATGCCCACTCGCATCTGACCAAACCAACAAAATGAATGACGCTCATGAGTCATGTGAAATTGAAATATTCGCCATGCAGTCTTTATCCTTCAACAAATACATTTCCCTTCTTGCTCCTATCCTACGTTGCAAATAACAAAAAGGAAAGAAGCAAAAGCACACTTGTATGCACTAACAAAAAGAAAATAAACAAAAAGAATAACTAGAAGACAGCAATCACAAGCCATAACCAATTAATGTGATTAGAATGTGGCATGTAATTGCCTAAAAAGGAAATAATCCCACCAAGAGGGAAAACACCCGTTCGGCTTCTTCTTGAAGAGAGATTTTGTTGTTGAATCCCCCCCTTGCTGTTCTCCCATTTTTATTTTGGTTGGTTTTTTGTTTGTCGTCCGTCGTCGTCCGTCGTCGGCTTTCCATTTATTGGCGTTGCTATTTGCTCGCCTCCATTTACTTGTCATCGCTAAAGACTGGTTTCTGGCAGTCTTTGAGAGCCCCCTCACTCGTCCGTCGTAAGCAACCCTTGTATTTTTACACGTCCACGCAAAAACGGCCAACCTTACTCGTGCACTTTTCATCACTTTGCCATTTTGTTCCCCTTTTTGCCCATTCAGTTTGCTCGTTACCGTCTGGGTTCTGAAGCAATTGCTGCATACGGCGACGTTATCCACATTCTACTAGGTAAGAGCTCGTGGGATTGCCGTGGCATGTCGGAGATGGTTAGACGCGCACATGGACTGCAAAAGACAATCTGTCGAATTTCACTTGGAAGCATTAGACATTTTGTCGATAGTTGGCAGGAAACGAGGTAGTGGATGGTCGCCATGCTATTACTTTCATGCATGCTGACTCTGCAGAGGGCAACCTGATTCGACATGAGGAAAACCTCTGGCTGCAGGAAAATTTTGACAAATAGCGGACCGCTAACCTTGTTCTCGTTCATACTCTTTTCTCTTTTTTTGGTGCAGTACCTTTTACCCTCACCTTGCATCTACCTTTTACAAATGTCTGAACTTCGTCGCAAGCTGGTTATTGTCGGTGACGGTGCCTGCGGAAAGACATGTTTGTTGATTGTCTTTTCCAAGGGGACCTTCCCCGAGGTATGTTGACACGTTATCTCAGCACATCAAAGGAAGGTTCGTTAACCCGTAGCTATGGTTTGGCAGGTGTACGTCCCTACCGTTTTCGAAAACTATGTGGCGGACGTGGAGGTGGATGGCAAGCGAGTTGAGCTTGCTCTTTGGGATACCGCTGGGCAAGAAGACTATGACCGTTTGCGTCCGCTTTCTTACCCCGACTCGCACGTCATCCTCATCTGTTTCGCCATTGACTCCCCCGATTCGCTAGACAATGTTCAGGAAAAGGTTTGTTTTCGACGAATTTTCAAAACATTTTCCTGCGAATAAATGTGATTCTAAAATGTTTGTGATTGTTATCGTTTGCAGTGGATTTCTGAGGTGTTACACTTTTGCGCGGGACTGCCAATTATTTTGGTTGGATGTAAAAAGGATTTGCGGAACGATCCCAAGACCATTGAGGAGCTGCGCAAGACTCACCAGTCTCCCGTTACTCCTGAGGAGGTGAGTCTCTACAAAGAATCGGCAAATACCTTTTCTTTCACGGACGCGAAACTGATTCAACATGTTCTTCCTTGGTAGGGCCAAGCAGTTGCTCAAAAGATTGCCGCCTGGAAATACCTTGAATGCAGTGCAAGAACAAACGAGGGTGTCAGAGAGGTGTTTGAGCACGCCACGAGGGCCGCTCTGACTGTGTCCCGGATAAAGAAGGGCGGTAAGAAGCCCGGTTGCCAGCTCCTCTAAACAACAAGATGAACAGAATGGAAAAAAAAGCGAATGGAGAAAAGAAAATGTAACAGCCCACAGGCTCCCCTATATTGTATTATGGATTTCCGAAACCCTCCCTGTAGAGTATTCAAATCTTGTGTTGTTGTTGTTGTTGTTATGGTTCTTCTTTTCGGCGCCTGCCCCCAATCGCTCGAGCAGCGTCCGTTGCGCGTTCCTTTCTTGACTTTTGTGTTGGTGGGGCGTTTGGAATTTCGTAGATGGTTTCTTTTGGATGGTGGGGGTGGATTTGGTTATTCCCCGTTTCTCGTTTCTTTTTTTTTTTTTTTTCGCTTGTTTCTCTCTCTCTGTTTTTCCAGTGTGTGCGTTGCGTCGGTTTTGTTTCTTTTGTTATTGCCCTCCTTTTTTTCTTTCCTTTCCGTTTCCTTTACACGAATATAATGTCAAAGTAGTGGCATGATGATGTTGTGGGGCCTTTATATTTTCAGCTGCTGTATCGATTTTTAACGTGTGGACATTTGCCATTCGACCATGATTTGGGCAGGATCAGACTGGATTCTTTCCCGGTAATTGAAATCTTTAAGACTTCGACGTGAGGTTGATAGTTACGAATCAATGAACCATTAACAGGTAGCTAGTTGAATTTACCAGAAAATGCCGGTACTAGATAAATTTTGTATTTGAAAACACATCTACATTGCAATACACAAACTAATAACAAGTGGCGACATTTTGGATCAAGAACAAACTATTTGATATTGTCAAACCACTCTTGCTGGGACGCTTTCTTTGGAGTATAAAGTTGAGGGAACGGTGCAAATTTACTTTCCCAAGAAAGGTTCCGTGTACGGCTATTCAACATCTTGGAGGTAGGACTCATTACTCTGATCGACAATGTTTTCGGGGAGGTGAGGGTTGATCGTCCAGACATTCTGACGCTTTGCGCTTCCGATTCTTTGTTAAAGTCTTCAAGTATTCTTCACTCTGCATCTTCACAGACTCAAAAATAAACTTGAAAATGGGCTGCACGAGCTTCGATTGTTCATAGACGTCCTTCTGCGTATTAAAGATGGTTTGCGCCAACCAAAGGTCGCCCTTCTCAACCAGAGTACACGGTGGGAGGTGGATTGGTTACTCCACGTTTCTCCTTCTGTCTTCACTTGTCCTCTCTTTGATTTCCACTTTGGTGCGTGTGCGTTGCGTCGATTTGTTTTTCTGTTACTGTCCTCCTTTTTTGTCTTCTCCGTTTCCTTTACACGAATATAATGTCAGAGTAGTGGTATGTGGGATTTTTGATATTTTCAGCAGCTGTACCTTTTCGAGCGACTTGTGGAAATTGAGAATGCATATACATAACCTTAGGATGCTTTGTGCAAAGATCGTCCGCTAACAGGCAGAGAGGTATATTAGTAATGTGCTCAACTTGTTTAATGGCATCCCCTTTGCGAGTTACAACACAGGGTACTACACTCTACAAAGGCAGAGCCAGACCACTGTCCAGAACCATCCCCTCCTGGAGCCCGCTAGTGCGAAAACCAGGAGTCTAGCCTTTGCCGGAAAAGCTCCACTGAGCAGTCCGTTTTCATAAGTACCCAGCTCAAGTACAAAGCTCTACGAAGGCAGAGCCAGACCACTGTCCAGAACCATCCCCTCCTGGAGCCCGCTAGTGCGAGAACCAGGAGTCTAGCCTTTGCCGGGAAAGCTCCACTGAGCAGTCCGTTTTCGCTTGATACCCTCCCATGCAGTGTGATGCTCAGACCACACTGCACCCCAACTTTCATGCGCACGTACCTTAAGAATTCAAGCCTTCTCCAACTGTGTACGTAGGAAATTCCACTTTGATTTGAGACTATTCCCTGTTTCTTGTTCCTTTTTCGGTTGTTCTCTGCTCTCCAATCTTGTATATTTTCAGCTGTATCTTCGTATCATTCCTGGAACGTGTTGGATATGAGAGTATGCATTTGCAGTATACAGCTTGCACTTCACACAGGGTACTCGCTCTACAAAGGCGGCGCCGGACCATTGCCCAACGCCATCCCCTCCTGGCACCCGCAAGCGAATACCAGGAGACTAGCCTTTGCCGGGAAAGCTCCTATGAGCAGTCCGTTTTCACGAGTACCCATGAGGGTCAGGTATAGCTCTACAAAGGCGGCGCCGGACCATTGCCCAACGCCATCCCCTCCTGGCACCCGCAAGCGAATACCAGGAGACTAGCCTTTGCCGGGAAAGCTCCTATGAGCAGTCCGTTTTCACTAATACCCACCCGGTGCAGTGCGATGCAGACGAGAGCACGAGCTCTACAAAGGCGGCGCCGGACCATTGCCCAACGCCATCCCCTCCTGGCACCCGCAAGCGAATACCAGGAGACTAGCCTTTGCCGGGAAAGCTCCTATGAGCAGTCCGTTTTCACTCGGGCTATCCAGCGATGCTGGACTCTTACAGCACACTCCACCTCTATAAGATTGATATTATACACATACCTTTACGTTTCCGGGAATCTCCGCTTGGATTGGATTTTAAAGTCTCCAAGTCGTTCAAGGCAATCGAGGCACTGGATCTTACAGTTTACGAAGCTTGCATATTGATAATGGTAGATGTATTAGTATCATCTTAGATTCACAACCAAAGAAAACCGAAATACCAAAGTCCTTCTTGGCTTCAGCCAGGACGTCTTGTAACTTCCATCTAGCGGGCATCTTGTTGTCTCATCGCGTCCCGGCGCCCACACACGCGCGTCGAAAAAAGGTACGAGCATGATCCCACATGACACCAAATGCGTCCTGAACTTTCGGACATCACCCGGGCGGATCACCGACCTGGTTTTCCTCTGCTCATATTATGACTAGTTTTACATGCTTTAAGAATACACTAAGAGGTCTGTAGTATTCTCCATGCATCGGATAATGTGTTCCATATGTGTACCCGGCCAATATTGCTATTCAAGTCTGGAACAAACTGGTCAAAAGCTGTCGGCGCCGACATGGTGGTTGGATATTCGGCGTTTCTCGTTCTCCTGTCGCTTATTTTCTCTCTTCTCCAGTCTTGTATATTTTCAGCTGTATCTTCGTATCATTTCTGGTAACGTGTTAGAAATGAAAGTATGTGTTTGCAGTATACAGCTTGCGCTTCACAGCAGAGGGCACTACCCTCTACAAAGGCAGCTGCAGACCACTGTCCAGAGCCATGCCCTCCGCACCCTTCTTGTGCGGAAAACTGTCCTTGTGGAGGAATACATCGATGCAAAAGTCCCAAATGTAAATATTGAGATAGGTCTTGGAATGAACGTGACGGTTGGAGGTGGGGCATCCGCTGTATCGACAACGACATCCCATCCAAGAAGCCCCGATGGCCGCACCAACCTGTCACATCACCCCGTCGTTGATGACATATTCATGGTCCAGCTTCTTTACCAAGGAGTGTCCTTATGATCCCTTTATGAGAGTCATGAAACCGACTCTTTGTGGGTGTTGATCTATGACAACGAGAAGTTGATTATGGCATATTCGCTGTTTCGGTGACTTTTACACACCTTGCTGTTGTCTATACCTCTGAATGATGGCAAAAGACGCTTGAAGCGTCATTAATCCATTTATATTTGATTGACAGGTTGCGTAGTGTAATCAAGTTCTCATGGCATTTTTGTGACCCATCTGGGCAGCACGGGAAGTGGACAAGAGTATTTTAGCTCGTGCTGACCGATGCTGTGACAAGACAATGGGCATTAATGTCTGGAATACAAAGTCATTGCTAATATTCGGAACGGTAGTGGTGTTTCAAAGTCTTGAATGCATGGAGCTGCATCTATCAAGTTCTTAATGTCATTCACAATCTGCAGTGCAGTACACAAACTAGTAACAACATATCATGAAAATCTCAGAGACCATCTCAGGCTTTAGCTGAACTCCAGCTGGAGTCAACAAAATCTGCGCATGAGGTGGGGTAGATGTCAAGGAAAAGATTTCTTGTCGGAGATCATCGATGCTAGAAAAATAAAGGCATTGCCGAGCCAAACCTGTCAGCATGAATATGACTATCACAGAATCGCGACACCCTCCTGGTAAGCCCTTTTATATTTCCTATGGTATGCCCCTACCAATCCAGTCATCCTATGCTGCTAGTATTGGACACTGCAGAAGATCGTATAACTACTTCCATCCACCGCCCATGAACATGGTTCCTCCGACCTTTACGTGCTCGACATTTCCCATGATGCGCATTGCGCAAAGAACAATTATACCTAACAACATATCACGCATGCAAGCGGCAAGTCTTCATCCTTGTCTTCATCCTCGTCTTTCTCATCATCACTCGTAATCAACAACCGATTTGGATCATTCTCCTGCTTCTGCTTCTCCTCCCACTCCTTGTCCAACTGCCACCCACTCTTGTAATCTCCTCGATCGGGCATAAATTTACATGAATCCCCGTACCCACAAAATCTTTGCAAGACAAACTATTTGACATTATCAACCATTGTTGCTGGCACGCTTTTTTGGAGTGACGACTCCGCGAATCAAGTTGAGGGAACGGGTACGGTTCAAGTTTACTTGCCCAAGAAGGCTCCGTGGACGGCCATTTAACATCTTGGCGGTACGAATCATTATGTTGCGAAAGGTAAGGAACGCATAAGCAAGATCCACAACAGCGGTGACGTCTATGTCCCCTATCGGAAGGCCCGCTTCCATCCACTGATGCATTGCAAATAAACCCGGAGACCACTCGAAGGAGAGATAAAAGTGTACTGTTCTGTTCACAACGTGAAAAAACGGCACGATCATGTCTTCGTTGTTAGCCATTTCGTTTAGTTTCATTAGCTGAGCTCGTGCGGTTTTTGCAAGATCGACGATGTTCTCCAACGCGTGCTCCTGGTGCTCCTCCAACGGCCCAGAGTTCTCCCCACAGCCGATCTCCACACCACTTATTCGGTAGAGGTAATCCACGAATTTCCCCTTTTTGTCCCTACAATGCCCTCTACCATGTTTTTCGTATTGGTCAGCCCTGCTCATCACCTCACCATACAAGAGCAACCAGGCGCCTGGAACATCCGCGAGCTTGATCATCGTATGTGCGTCAAGGCTACGTTCGTTGAGGCCGGATACGGGTGCGTATTTTTCCAAGAAATGCGCTGCCTCTTGTATGGCTCTGCTAATGTACTTTGCGTCGTTATCATCCACCTTTCCATCTTGCACCCCAAGCGACGCAAATAAACCACTCAGACCAAATTCCTCACAGATTTGCGATAGCGAGCGGATCGACATTTCCTGCACCGGCAGGGCTTCGAGAAGACTTGTTGCTGAACCGGAGAGGGTGCCTTCAGTAGATTTAATGACATTATTGCACATGTCTTCGATACGTTGGCGGGACGTATCCGAAAGGAGTGAAACGCTCTCCGCATCGCTCGTATCTAACACTCCCCAGTACAATGTACTGAAATATGCAGGTTTATGTTTACCAGGCATGGTGTGGAGGTGTTTGATGCGTTGTACGATTGCATGTTCTTTGGATTCTTTACCGAGCGTTACCAATGTCGCTTCAAGTTCCTTAATATCCTCTAGCCTGGCAGCGGTATCCAAATCAAGAGTGTCTACTATTGGAGGTGGAACAGTGTCAAGGGAAGGTGAGGGTTCCGCATCTAGACACTCAGTGGCTTTCCGCTTCCGGAGCCTCGTCAACGTCTTTGTGTAATCTTCACTTTGAGTCTTCACAGACTCATACATGGATCGTATGACCGGTTGTACTAGCTTGGATTGCTCATACGCATCCTTTTCCGTTTTAAAAATGCGCGCTGCCAAATCAAGATCATCTCTCTACAAGAAAGGTATATCAGCGTTCCCTTTGCATTTCACACACAGGGTACTACACTCTACAAAGGCAGCTCCAGACCATTGCCCAACGCCATCCCCTCCTAGAGCCCGCTACTGCGAATAAACCAGGAGACTAGCCTTTGCCGGGGAAGCTCCACTGAGCAGTCCGTTTTCACCAGTGCTATTCAGCGTAGCCGGACTCTTACAGCATCATGCACCTCTGTGATTGATATTACGCACATACCTTTACACTCCCAGCTCTCCTTGACTCTTGTAATAAACATTTCCACCTAGTTTTGCATTCGGGTGTGTCCGCTCGCGCGAACTCGTTCATATAACTTGTGCCCAAATCGTTGATTGTGTCTAGGTAACGATTCCTCCATACGTCTATGTCATTACTGAAATATGTCTCCGGGCCATACTCGTCTTTCACTGCCGCTAAAAAATCGTGAAATTTCCACTTTGCTGGTGGTTGACCAAAACAAGAAAGATCGCGACAATCCATCGTCTCAACACGCGCGCTCTACCAGTCGTATCGACCCTATTTAAAACATCACAGCAGGTTTGAAGTGGTCTATTGCGGTTGCAATCATTCAACTATTCCATTTGGCCATCCCATCAAACCTGGTTATCGCACGCACTGCAATTTTCCTGCTAAACTTGAACGAGCAAAATGTCGATACTACAAGTAGGGTACTCCCCGTACCGTCGTGATCCCACATGATTAAACGCATCGATAAATGATTTAACATCGAACACGACCTGCAATGTCTAAGTTCATCATTGACCCTGTTTTCCTCTACTTTACAACATATCATAAACTAGAAAACAGGCGGAGTATTTTCTATGCATCGGATATTAATTTATGTATATGTAGTCTGTCACATATCCAGCAATATTTGTGAAAATAGTCTAAAGTAAATCGGTCCAAGTGTCGGCCGTGTCCAATTGAGATTTGGGGGGATCATGTACGAGCAAGCGGGCATGAGGAGCTGTGGAGCAAATGGTGGAGCTGTGGAGCGCATTTCGTAAATATTTGTTAATAATAAACAAGTACTTTTTAAAGAATAGATTAACATTAAACAAGTATTTGATATAAATCCTTAATAAATACTTTAATATAATATATTAGTCCGAAATAAATGGTGTATTCAGTAGTAGATAATAATGATTACTATTAGTTATCAATGATTTAACCTCCGCAAGTTCATGTCATAACTTGGTCCAATAAGTCCCGTTCACTATAATGGGGAGTACCCGACAGCTATTACTGTTGACGTGTGCAGATAGTGTGCAGACATGTCAAGAGGTTTTTGACTAAAGTGACGTGAGCACAGCAATACAATTGGGGTTACCTTTTATCTTTTTTATCCCCCCAAGCTTATAAACTCTTTCCACCACCTCCTTCCCCATCGTCCCATTCTGGCATTTTCGCCCTCCTATCATTGAGCACAGCCAATTGCCCCGTATATTCCTGCGTTAAGCCAGAACAAGCCGTTACGCCATCCGGTTTTTCGTAGTAACGTATTCTCTCCGCTAAAGTCCGGCTGGTCCGCCCTCCTTTGTTCATCCGCCCGAGAATCGCTTCTCTAACATCCCTTTGGGCAATGAATGGAGGTAGTCGACGAATATCACCACACAAACATGGGTCGGTCATCAACGAAAGAACCTGGGGCTCAAATACTGCGGGCGCCTCGTCGTTTCCAACGAGTTTCCTGCCTCAGAAATCACCATTAGCCACCGTGCTGCCATCGGGTACCTACCACACCACATTTGCTCGCCGAACCAGCTGGATTTTCATTCGATACAGGCCCCAGTTGTATTTTACTATTTCGTCTTCCTTTCTCCTTCCTGGTCCGCGGTCCACCGGTGGTTGGATAGGTTGGATAACGGCTTGTTCTGGCATAACGCAGGAATATACGGGGCAATTGGCTGTGCTCAATGATAGGAGGGCGAAAGTGCGTATGTGTAATTGAATAGACTACATTTGAATGTCAGCTACACAAAATCGAATGAACTAGATGTCGTTTTTATACATTGGAAAATATTTTCTCTATATGTTTCTGGCAAATATTTGCAATCCCAAGTCTGAAAGAAACGGGTCAAAGCTGTCGGCCCCGACATGGTGGGAAGAGGCTTAATGATTCCTTGTTGCTCGTTCTTCACTTGTTTTCTCTGTTCTCCAGTCTTATATTTTCAGCTGTATCTTTTGTATCAACTCGGGTAACGTGTTGGAACTAAGAGTATGCGTTTGCAGTACACAGCTAGCTTTTCACAAGTACTACGCTCTACATAGGCAGCTCCAGACCATTGTCCAGAGCCATCCCCTCCTGGCACCCCCATGAAGTGCGAAAACCAGGAAACTAGCCTGTGTCGGGAAAGCTCCCTTGAGCAGTCCAGTTTCGCCCGTGCTATCCAGCTGTGCTGGACTCTGACGCACATTCCAATGATACACACATACAATTTGGAATTCCAGGTTTCTCCAACTATGTGAGCAAGGAATTTCACTGTGATCCAAGTTCTGGGGGCGGCTCAACTTTCTTGAATTCGTGTATAAAAGATGGTTCCCATGGCATCTACTGTGTGGCAGGTATTAGCAGCGTACTATACCTCTACGATCGATAGTACGCGGATATATTTTAGGCCTTCTCCCACTCTGCGAGCAGGGAATTTCACTTTGATGAACGTTCGGGGGTTCTCAGCTCTCTTGGATTCGTGCAAACAGATGGTTCCGATGGCATTTACTGTGCGCACTATTGCGTTCCGACAAGAACGCACGAAACTTCCACACTACTGGTACTCGACTGAAAACCGGTAGATCGCAGGAGGTCAGTTCTGTGCGTGAAGTTGGTTGCCCAACACACTCATCTATCTCAGCTTGTTCGCGACATAATGAAACTTGCCTCCTGAATTTGTATAGCACCTTTGTCCGAGCGGTCTAAGGAGCTGGTCTCAAGTTCCAGTCTCGAAAGAGGCGTGAGTTCGAATCTCACAGGGTGCATTTGTGTAGTTAAAGCGTCTCTTTTTCCATCCTTTTGCTGGACAGGGTTGGCTTTTGATCAGTAGAACATGATCTTCTTCATGTATATTGCATGGCACCTTTACCGGAGCAGTTAAGGAGCTGGTCTCAAATTCCAGTCTCGACAAGGTGGTTCCTCTCCATGTTAAAAATGTCCAAATTGTTGTGCTCGCTTTTGAAGGCCTCGCTGTAATTACTGAGCACCAGTCTCTTTCTAATGTTCATTTTTCATTCGCTCAAATGCTATGCATAACTATATCCCAAAAATCTCCCTAAGATCCTCCTCAACCCTCGCCCTCCTCTCCCTCCGCTCATCCACAACACCTTTACCCGCCTGTCTAATACCCGCAAACGCATCCGAAATCAACCGTTCTTTCCTAGCCTGAATACTCAAAATCCTTTCCTCAATCGTATCAGACACAACAATGTGGACGACAGAAACTGGCTTGGTTTGTCCGAGGCGATACACACGGTCGATAGCTTGAGTTTGGATACTACTGTTCCAATGTTGGTCAAGGAGGTATACGTGGTTGGCGGGTGTGAGGTTCTGCGTTGGAATGTATTCATCAGTTTTGGTAAGCAGAAACTGGAATACGATGCTATAGCATACCAAGCCCAATGCCCCACATTTGAGGGAAATCAACATGACATGAGCGTCCTCTACAATCTCTTCATCCGCCATCCGTTTTTTTCCTTTTCTTGGTGTCGCTGTTGGACGCTTGGTGGCAACGCCGCTAAACCTCCTCAAAACATCTTCGCGTCGCTTCATGGACATGGTTCCATCAAACCTAACATATCGGATCCCCGCTTGCGTCAAAAACGGTTCAACACAGTCAAGCATGCCAGTAAATTGGGAAAACACGAGTGATTTCTCGTTGGGTGGTGTAGCTTTTAGGAAACGAAGGAGGTGGTGGATTTTAGTGGATTTGAAGGGTAAATTGCGAGTTGGATGGGTTGATGGTTCAATGGGAGTCGGTGTTGGGTCGGGATGAGATGATTCTGGTGGTGGTGGGGGTGGTAATGGTAAAAGCACTCGATTCTCCAAATCGCCTCGACACATGGGACAAACCGGATTCGTGCTCTTCACCTCTGAAATACATGCCTTACAAAACACATGTGCGCAAGGCGTCACGACGGGTTCCTTTAGTGTGTCCAAGCAAACACAGCAATCCTCATTGTTTTGATCCGCTTCAACGAGTTTGTTGATGAGGTATTTGATGTTTTCGTCGGTTAGATCGAGTTGGGTGGGAGTGGCGAACGAGTTGGACATCAACTCCTCTATAAAGTGCTTCGGACACAGGTCCTTGTTGACGCAAATTTGACGGAGGCGTGTGAGAAAAACTAGGACATTTGCGTAATTGGCCGACTGGTGTCCATCATTAGGTTCTTTGCAGCTTCACGCTTCATACACCAAACAACTCAAACATACTTACCATCGTTCCCTCCTTGACATATTCTTCAACGCGCCTCTGACTCTCCGTCTCAACAACTTTATACACCTCTCGCTCTTCCTCCCCAAACTCACAACGGAACATAAACACCTTACACTCTGGGAGCTCCACAATAGGCCTTCCATTTATCTTCATTCTCTTTGTCCTCCTCAAACACAAATTCTGCATCAAAACTCTCAATCGAGTCAGCCCATCCCGATCGCCCAATCGTAACGAACGGGTAAAGCATCGGTTCCACCATTGATGATCGTTGAATGGCGTAAAGTGTAAGAATTTGATGAGAGAAAACATGTCGTCGAGGGTGTTTATGATGGGTGTTCCCGTCAGAACCCAGCGTCGTTCAGAGGTGAGGGCGTAGCATGCATTGGATATTTTGGCTCGGCGGTTCCGGATGATGTGGCCCTAGTGTAATATGAGCACATACATTGGATAAGAAAACTGGCAATAGACAACAAACCTCATCCAAAATAACTCGGCGCCATTTTATGCTATACAACAGGCCGTTTTCGGACGGCCCTTTCTTAGGTTTAGTCTTTCCCTTGGTAGTCTCTGAATAGTCTTCGTTGAACTCCATGGCAAGGGTTTGATACGTTGTAATGACCACGTCATATTTCTTTAAAGTCGCTGCGGTTTGCGGTCGGTCCGCGCCATAATAAACCAAGTAACGGAGTTTGCCATCGGGTACGTGACGCTGCACGAAAGATCAGCTCTTAGACGAGCTCCAGTCCATGTACAGTTGTGCAACAGTATCAACTCACGTCAATCTGCTCTCTCCAGTTATAAAGAACCGATAGTGGCGCAACAATGAGCGTTTGATGGCCGTATTTCGCCCTCGTCGAGGTTGTCGCAGGTGGAGCAATGAGAGGCGCGCCCGTTGGATCACTCAAAATCAATGCAATAGAGGTAAGGGTTTTACCTAGACCCATCTAATGGAAGACAAGATTAATATTCATGGCAATCATCTACCGGTTTGAACACAACGTACGTCATCTGCCAGCATTCCGCCGCGGCAGAGTTCGGGCGGATTGCGCACTGGTGAATTGGTGGCCACGTTAAGGTAGTATGCCCCCTGCAATGTTCCCTTTTGTTAATGCTCGAAAACACCGTCACCAGAGCGGTTTCTTACAAACCTTCTCGTCACTTCTCTTCATCCAGAACTGCCTCTGATCGCTTTCATCTGTCGGAAGCGAAGGATGCTCGGAGTGTACCATCCACGCCAGAGCCTGCAACTGGTGCGGATGCAGCCGCGTACAAAGAGCTGGGGGCGACGGATGAAGGGGAAGATCGGAGACCTCTTTGCCTTGTTGGCAGAGCGAATCCTGTAAGTTTGTCAATCTTCTGAGCTTAGACAACCAGGAGAATTAGTACTCACCAAGACTTTACGGGACTCATTGACGTCCGCTTTGGTCCCGGCCTGCATCAAGTCTTGCAGCGGTTGGGGCAGCGGTTGTGGAGGGGGACCTTTTGCAGACGAAGAGGACGGGCCCTTGGAAGATGTTCCAATGAATGGTTTCAACGCCGCCATAACCTGATCGTAAGATTCGCGCGGTCCGTACACCTCCAAATCGAGTGATATCCTATACACATTGTCGCCTAAACTACCCTTATGAGATCGATGCCCAATGAGAAAGAAGACATGATGCGCACCTCCGTAGGGAACTGTTCCCTCGACTCTTATCGTACCGGCATCCATAAAAGGCGCCAAGACCGCAGCCTGCTCCCTGGGTATATGTCCCACCTGATCATTTCGCATATTGAGCACTTTGATAGCATTCCTATCATATGGATTCAACGGCTCCCGTTCTAAAATGACGCTTTCCCCCTTCCCAACCATCCCCTTTATATAAGGATTAGATTTTTTGTTTGACGCGGGGACAGACAAGATTCCATACTTTGTAATACCGAATACCGACAATGGTACTTCGGTAGTTGGTGTATTCCACATCATTCCGCTGAGTTGGTTCAATGACCTCTTGGGAAGGCGTAGGGTCTTCTTCTGTGTGTTGGTCTGGTGTATCGACTATTTGAAGAGCTTGATGGATCTCGCTGTAATCAAAAAGGGGAACCAACTCGGTAAGGGGAGTACTGCTTTAGCGTTTTGAGACGAATTTAAGGTTAGGTGAAAAATGCATAAGCGTCAGCATTTGCCTTCCAACGTACTTTTCCGCCTCGTCTTCACCAACACCGTCACCACCAGACGTTTTTCTACGCTTCGAAGTATCTATCGTGATGTCGCTGGACGACGCAAAGCCCCGCTTCCCCGTAGCGCCCATGGCAGCCAACTGGGCAGCAAAAACCTGAGCACTCTGGGAAATTCAACACAGCGAACATGGGCGATAATCGCGCATGTGAGTCATTCCCGAGTGTTCCGTCAAGAATCATCGTTTTCAATCTTGTTGCGAATCTCATCGTTCCATACAAGAATGTCGCATCATCCTGCCTACACTCTTGGCGGCGTGTGTACGTAGGCTTGCCTGCCAGTCCGGCAGTGTTTATATTGAAAACCAAGTACATGATTGCTTACGATGCAGCTGTTTTTACTTTAAGGCGCCTTGGGAGGTTACATTGGATATCAGCGCACCCGCTCAAGGCCTTCTCTGATTGCAGGCCTGGCCTTTGGGGCACTGTATACTCTATCTGGGTAAGTGTGTTGGTCCGTCTTGTGAAAATACATTTTGGGGTCATTAGTATTGACGAGTGATTTGAAAGCTACTTGATTCAAAACAACCAAAACTACGGTATTGAACTCGCTACAGGTTCGTCATGCACATTGCGGACACTCTTCCTTTCCTTTTTGTTAGGTCCTTTCAGTCTGATGTACACACCTTTTAGGCACATCCGCACTTTTGCTGGCAGCAATGGGTCGTCGCGCTCTCAAAACTCGCAAACCTGTGCCTTCTGTCTTGGCGATACTTGGTGTTGTTGGCAGTGGATATTACGGGCGAAAGTTGTGGGAGCAGATCAATGGAGTTTAATAGATTTCAATATATTGCTTTTCTTGGCAATTTAATGGTGGAAGGTTGAGCACTGAACATTTCTGTGGGAAGGGCGTAGCACAGTTTTCGGTCAGCGTTGTTCTCTCCTGTTGGTCTGGTCCGTTGAGTAGAAATGCCAAGCCATATGCATCTCAAGGTTGGGACTGGATCGAGTGGTCTTTTTGTTGGTCATCGATCTCCAATATATTACTGTGAATCTCCTCCTTCCTGACCGATACTGATGTTCAACCAGCTTCCAGCATGCTAAAGATTCCAGTGTGAACGGCTGCGGGGGAGTCACAGCTATGGGGCCTGGCTAAATTGAAGCCAGTTTCTTGTGTGTTAAAATGGCCGTAGGCGGTGGAATACCTCTGCTCCTATACTTGTTCACAATTTCACACTATAAAGTTCCCAATTTTGAGGGTGTGGCGCGTAGATTGAAACTGTTCCTAACTTTAACTTTAAATCAAAAAGTTGGGACTGTGCTAATGTAAAAATGAAATGCCAAGCTTAACCTTAAATTTCTCTTGTCCGGGGCTCAATCATTTTCAGCTCCGGTCATTTCATGGTAGGGTCTGGGGCATTTTTGATTTTATAAAAAGGGAGACCTTGCTCTCCCCCAACTCTGATTATAATTTCTATACAAGCTCTTGTTTGCTACAAGTATATACTGGTCTCGAAAAATGTGTCTTTACATGCAAAATGAAAAATGCGTACGCAAAGGATTGCCACCGACATCCGCTCAACGAAGGGGAACTACCTCTATTCCGCCTGCCAGAACTGCTGGAGCAGGCACTTGAGTCTGTGTGGCTTGACTCGGGACAACGGCGGACGTTGATTCTGGTTGTTCGGTAGCCGATATCGGAGTCGAAATTTCAACCTTATTCGGGATCGCTACTTGCGTGCCGGCGGGCGGTGGAGCAACATTGTCATTGCGCATTAACGGACGAGAATTGAAGCCAACGATATCCACCAAGGGCATGTACTCTTCTAGGGTGAGTTTTACGGGCTGTTGGACAACATTCCATAGTACGTTTTCGCTGCACGGTGGGGTTGTGAGGGAGCCGTTGTAGACAAAATCGGAAGATTGCTTGATTAGTGAGAGGATTGGGGCGAAGGAGATGCCGGGTATGGTTGTTTCCTGATCGCGCGCTTTGATTTTCGGCAGCTGTGAGCGAGGCAAGAATGTTAGAGTTGATTATTTGCACAAAGTCTCAGTGCTACATACGTGAGGAACAAGCTGAGACAGGAAACTGTTGGCTCCTTCCCCGTTCTGACCAGCAAAATCGAAGAAGACGGCGAGAACAGAGATTCGACCGGCTTTGTTTTGGTGAACCATGTGCATCTCAATTGGCAAGTCTAAAAGTAGGCCATATGGAGGATTGGATCACGGTTGGAAAGAAATATGAACGTCATGTAAGACTTACGTTTCTCCTGGAGCCGGTGCTCGCTAGGAGTATGAAAGTGGAACTGCGCATGGAAATCGTTTAGCAAAACAAATGAGAGCTCAATAAGCGGAACTGTTGGCGACGCTCACCTGTTTCAACTCGAAAAACTCTCCGTTTCCAGCTACGAATCCCATCTCCTTTTGGCCCTCGGGCATCTCAACTTCAACGGTATTACCATTATTGAAAAACTTTACAGGTGTGCAAACGTCTTGGAATCGGACATCAAGTCGTGGGGGTTGAAGGAGGTTGGGAGCCGCAGCCAACAGATCAATGGGGGACTAAATAAGCCACATCTAGGCGGTTAGCGCTTTTTTTTTTTAAAAAAAAAAACCAAAGCAACACCAAAGCCATACCTGGTTTTTGCCTGTTTGGCACTCTCCAGGCCATGTCGATGGTCCGTCAAAGGCTCCATATCCAAATTCAATCTTGCCTTCTCGGCGGCCGAGACCGCTGGAACCCTCACCAAACGTTACGGTACTGCCAGTACTTTTCGCTTGGCTGTTTTGGCGACTCGTAGCAAGACAATTGAAACCTTTGTTGTTTTCCGTCCGACGCACGGTTGGATGTGCATTGGCAGACAGCAACAAAAGCAGTGGTGAAACGACAAGGACCAATGTTCTGCTCAACATTTTTTTGCACAGATTTGCTGGTGGTAAATTCAGTGCTTGCTTGCGGTAACTTTTAAAGTTTCCCAAAAGAAAAGCTTTGAGCAGGACGATGTGGGGGGAATGTCACTTGCTTTATATCCCTATTCCTTGGCTGAAACTGCAAAAGCAAAAAAGCCAAAAAGCCTATCTGCCTGAAAAAGTTTAAATTGTGGAGGGGGACTAATAGTAATAATAAACTTGCCCCCATCTTTAGTAGTCACGGCAAAGTTAATTTCATACGCGCCAAAAACAAGCCTTAATCGTCCAATAAAAGAGTTGCGGCAAGTCCCCACCGCATGTTATTAATTTTCAATATTTCTGTAGAGTTGCTGTTTATGTATTTTCATAACGGATATTTTGAGTCTAGACGGGTCGCTAATACTAATATCACTGGCAAGAAAGAGGGAAACATCACGTCGTTTCAGATCGTTCGTATTTCTTTGGTGGGTCTGTCGATAGACTAGAACTCGTCTACGTTCTTGCCAAGTGCTCAAGGGCTTGTCGAACAACAAGAAAAGAAAGATTGCTGAGTCAATTGGCCAAGCCCTATCTGCACAGACAAAAGTACATGCTGACTATAATCTACCACATGTGTGCTTGTTGTGGGATTAGCTGTTCTTAAGGACTCTGCTGGTATCCTTTTGCAGGTGCGCAGTTGACATATGGGAGGCAGCTTACGCCCAGCACTCGAAATACATAAGAGGATAGAGACGAATGTCGTATCATATGTTGAAAAGTGAGACAGGGGGCAATCTGTCATTCGCACTCACGGCTTGATCACGGGAGATGCCGTGTCGACAGCAACTCCTACATGTACTTGAAATCTTTGATCGCAGGACATTTGATAATGACAAGCAGTGTTGATTGAAAACAGTCGGGTATATGCTGGCGGGATAATGCAACTCTAGTAAAACAAGCAGCCACAGTTTTCACCATGCTATGGTTGGCAGGTTGTAGTTGACAATTTCGAGATAGATTTCCTTCTCGTTGTTGGTTTAAAGAAACACACCAAAGAAGAGTTTCTTCTCTAAGACAGACCTGTTCCGACTCGACTCGGTGTTGTCGTTCCTGGCGTCCTATATATGCATGCAACCGCTCATTTTGTATTTGTGTCGTCCAAGGTTCTACTGTAGTAATTTGCAGATGTATTGGATAGGCTCGATTTCAGAACAAGCCTTCTCTAGAGGTTGTATAGAAAGCTCGGCCTCATCCATGCCTACCAAAAGCCGCCCATCTATATGTGAAATGGCCAGAAGATATGTTTGCCGTCGGAATGGGCAGTCACCTTTGCAGGCGTTCGAACGCTTCTGTTACCCGCTGGCCCTCAGCGTTTGTAGGCATGCAGGCCTCCGTTTTCGTACCCTTCATGTAGGATCACTGGCACAGCTGGCCGTCCGCATGACGAAACTCAAAGGGCACCTGCACAGGTCAAACTACCAGTAACCGGCGTAACTGGACTCTGCAATGTGCTGTGCATGCCCGCCAACAGCAACACTTGCAGTGCAAGGATCTGTTCAATTTTGGGGAACGACGCGCCCTCGACAAGGCAAGTTTGACAGGTGCTCGTTTGACAAACTGGGAATAACCGGGCATGGCTGATGGATAGGTCTGCACGGATGTCAGTTTTCCAAACCCTGCCGCGTTCAAAGGAAAACCCCAACAATCACAGTCGACGGATGTTGCGGGGAATGGGTCAGAAAAGGACGGCGGGTTGTTGTTGCGTGGTGCAAGAGGACCGAGACCCATTTGATACTCAAATTCCTTGCACCAGTTGCTGCCAATTCTTTGCATCCTGTTTACCATCTTTTTTCAGTCAAGACCTGGTTAAAAAGAAGAAGAAGGTTTCGCGAAAGAGTATCAAGGGTCGCAAAAGCAGCAGCGCAAATGAACGCGACGATGATTTTCTGGAACCCGTCATCCTTCCGCCAATCATAAACTCTCGCAAATTGGCCTTACCCGCTAATTGCCCAGCATTTCACATCGATGCCATTGTCGAAGTACGCGATGGTGCTAAAACCTGGTGGCCTGGCCGCGTTGTAACAGTTCAGTCCGGAAAAGTATGTGTTCATTATGATGGATGGGGAGATCAGTACGATGAATGGATTGATTGTGAGAGCCAACGGATACGACTAGCCACTCAAATGCCAGCAGATCAATGCAGTGAACGGATCAGTCAGGAAAATGAACATGGACAGACTGGAGAGGCGGGCATCGGTCCCGATGCGGTCATTTTAGTCGGTCGCTCTGTCAGAGAAAAGCGCAAAAAAAGTGCAGGTCGGTGCGCTTACTAGGATCATATCAGCAATATGAACTTAACTTGCCTACATATCAAGCTTACACGAACCAAAAAAACGCAAAGCGGAAAAAGGCCAACAGTCGCACCAATGTCACAGTCGTAAATCCCATCACCTCGAAAAGTACGGAGAGTGCGACCCCCGCCCGTCCACAAGGCTTCAATGCCCAACAACCCAGATCGTCCAGTACATCACCGGTGGACAATTTTGGCATATTCCGCGCGGCAGCCAATCGAGAAGCCAGAGAGGCCTACATCAGTCGAAGGGCACTTGCTAATGATGCAACAGCGGATGACATGAAACGATTATATGGAAAGGGAGCCCGTGTTGAAGTATGCTGTGCTGGCGGGGAGCGGTATATGGCAACGGTGATCAAAACCAGATCATGGCAAGTACTTGTCCAGTATGATGGTGAGTGCTGCAGGATCTGCCGGAATTCAAAGTGGTTGACTCATGCGTGGATCGAGGCTGGGATGAGGCATGGAATGAATGGATTGATATGAATTCGAGCAAGATGAAACTAGTGGAGGCGGCAAGCGGGGAAAACAATTCTTCTGAAGATGGAAACTCATCAGCTGGCGAATGTAGCTCCGAGGAAGACGGTGAAGCATGAATGTCGTTCCAACGCTTCATCGTCATTTCTGATGTAGTCTCGCTTCAAGATGAACAAAAGTGGAAGATTTTTTGTAACCGATGCGAGAAACGGATCAGGCAATATAGGTAGGAAGCAACTGCTATATGGATGTTGACTATAACTGAACACTCTTGGGATTGATCATAGGTACTTTTGCACATATTGCGAGGTTCCGTCGGAAGGATTCGAGTACGAATCGTTCGATCTATGCCTAGCATGTTTTCAACAAGATTTTCCTTTGGATCATCCGCATCCCATACAATCCTTTGCGGTACTATATCATGTCATCTTTAAGCGCCAAACATGGATGCTAAGATTTTGCGACATGAACAGGTCGAACCGCTTTTAGATACCGACGATCCAACGAGAAGAAAGTTCAAAGATGGCGAGCTGGTTTCCACCTTTGTTCTTGACGAGTTCGACACATCGTATATCGCGATGGGCACGAATCAGTCGCAAATCGATGCTGAGACCGTTGTCACGGCCATTCCCATGGTCCCACGCTGCGCATTCTGTCATTCAGAAAGAACTGATATCGTAGGGCCGTTCATTGGTCCCCATCCGTTCCGAAACACACGTATATCTGGCCGGCGCATGCCGCTTCCGTCTTCCGAAAAGAAAAACAGTGGTAAGAACAGGAGGGTGCCGATTTTCTGGGCCCACGATGCTTGTGCGCGGTTTTCTCCTGAGGTGTACTTTATGAAGGACTCGGGAAAATGGCATAACGTGCTTAAAGCCCTCGCGAGAGGTCGTGGAGTGGTATGTATGTGGGCCATTTCCAAGATTCCTACATTTATTTACGACCGTGGTTTGTTGTGTACACTAGAAATGCGCGGCATGCAAAGAACGTGGAGCAACGGCGAGTATACAGATACTGCATTGCGGAAACATTATAATAACAAGCTGCTTTTTGGTATCCATAGATAGGATGCTTTGATGTTCGCTGTACACGCAGTTACCATGTCGGATGTACCAGAAAGCCGCTCTCGCAATTCGAAGAAGGTGTGATCTTTTGGTGTCCGCGCCACGAATCTCTTGTGAACAAAGCAGGTATGGCTACCTTTCCGGCAAATGCAACCGTACTTGTCGCTGATGGATTTCTCCAGACAATTACAAGGATGTGTACAATTGTGACGTGTGCTCAAACTCCCTTGGGCTATCGGACAATGACGAGCAATGGCATACCTGCGATGAATGTGCACAAAATCATTTCAATACATTCGACTTGTGCAAAGAATGCTTTGAAGGTCGGTTTCCCGAGACACATGATCACGGCAAAGACCGCTTCATAACTACCTGTGAGTTCCTCCAAGTTTTTGTGAGCGTTACGGGGGATTAATCTCGTCTCACATGGTTAGGTATGAGCCAACGAAAAGAAATCAGAGAGATGGAGCAACAATTGGCTAGAGAACTGGTTGCTGCAAATGGTACAAAGCCTCGTGCTGTGAATGGTGTCGAATATTTCACCTACTGAACTGTCACAGCCTCCCGAAAGTCCCTCGGACAACGACGAAAAAAGAAACTCGAGCGGGCATCTGGTATACGTTGCGCATATTGTTGGATAGATTCATCTTCTCGGTGGAGAAAAGGTGGGCTCCAACTTCGCGATTAAGAATGCAGCTTACTAACGGTAGGGGGAATTAAAAGGTTACAACGGCATCCCAATGTGCGAAGACTGCTTCCAAATGGCTTCATCAGCCTTCGCCAGCTCCAAAGCCCCAGAGCTGTGCGCTACTCCCGAGGCAATTCCATCCCCTTCGCCTTCTGAGAGCCTATCACAATCACCGGTTAACGCCCCAACACCTGTGCCAGTAAGAATAGAAGCCGATTCTCCAGCACCGGTTTTGGACCCGACATCTATGGAGCGAGTGTATAGAACGGAAATCGAAGCATATAGCCACGAATACTATCTCACGAGGGGGGTGGTAGGAAAAGCTAGTGGAGCGGACGAGATTGGAGCTGCCGAAGTGAACAAGTCGTCCGAATTCGGAATATTGCAATCCTATGCCCCGACGGACGATCAGCTCTTTACGATGGGATTTGACACTAGTTTTTATGATATTCCGGGACGGGCGCCGCGATGTTGGTATTTGACATTTTCCTTTTTATGGTGGACCATCGTGACAAGGATTTTCTTCTTGCTGCAGGGGCGACTCACTCGGGAGGAGATTATCACGGTTGGTTGTCGTCCGCGTCTTGGTGTTAAATGACCATGGCACTTACCCTTCACATCAAATATTTTGCTGAACTCTGATAGGTACCTGGCTCCCGCAAATTGTGCGCATGTAAGTATACTAGTGTGTCCTCAAAACCGCCAAATGAGAACCAACGTGTCATAGGTCACTTCTACGGTATACGTCTGAAGGAGAGCGAGTCCTATCCAACTTTTCTGGTCGCGGGACAGATGCCATCGAATGCTTCCTGTTAAAACGACGGTATGGTTACGACAAAGAGACAAGAGCTCTCATAAATCAATGAACTCATTCCATCCTGTTACGATAGATGTTGCTCTGTGGACATCAACCCGGTAAACTCCACCTTTGAATGTAGACAGATCTCATTGATGGAAATCTTATGATACTATTGTCATTGCCTTACCCTGTTTAGGCGTCGGTAGCTTTATCTCAGCGTAACGTATCATTCTCAGTGCCCCCAGAGCTTGGTTTGACGGCGGCATATCGTCCGGTCATTGTACTTGCCGATTCCAGAGAATTAATTGGATCATTATTCGAGGATGAGAGCTACGACCACATACTGTGCGTTTGAAGTCTTTCAGATTTTGAAATCTTCAATTCTATGCTTACAAGGCAGTATGATGTTTGATGTCTCAGATCTCACCCGCCATACAAGGACTGGTATGTTGATTCCATTTGTTCGTGAGGCATGGTACTGAAGTACGTATTCGGCGCCTACCCATTACAGCGTTTCTTACAGGTAGGCACTATGCGATTCAATACACACCACTGGCACCTAATATTGCACATCATATTCATAGTGCACATATAGAAGGAGATTTGTCTCATTTCCCGGACATGGAGGATTTTCAGAAGGAGATGGAAAAGATTGTGGCAGAGACGTGGAGGTATATCTTACGCTGCAGCCAGCATCCTCACATTTGATAGAGCATGGTCAAACTAATATAACATCTCAGGCTTCTTAAACCAAACCGGTAATAAAGCATCGCTGTTGGCTCGTTGCAACCTACAACTGGGCTTAACAAACGGTGATGTCTCCTCAAGGCGCTGCACGCTCGGTATTGGTGACAACAGACGCGAGTGCTTTTATCAGCCTGTGTCGTTCCAAACGATCCGTACTTACATTAACGATGGGTTTGAATTGGAAGAACTGGTAGGTTTGCAATATTGTCGCTTTTAAAGACATACACAAGACCAATGCCGTTCAACATTTTGTAGATTGTGAAACGCCAGCGATACTGTCAAATGGCCCCGCTGGGCACATACTTGTGCACACAGTACAACTTTTTGATGTTCACTCATGAGTTTATTGCGATTTTGCGAAAAGTGGACGATCGTCAACATAGTGGCTTGTTTTCGTACTTGAAGGTGGATGATGATCATGGTACTGTGTATCCTCAAAGTCTGTTGTTTCGTATTATGCACTTGAAACTCAACGGTGTTCAGATTTCCATGTCAACCCAACCAGAATCCTTCGTGTGATTCCGGCTGCTCCAATCGACAGGACAAGCATCGTTATGGGAACTGTGTGGACATTCCGAGTGACGCAAAAACATTCCTTGGCTAGACTCGCAATGTCAAAATTGGTAATTGACCATTTGCTGCACCGATATTAACTCCTGTAGTGGGTTTTAATCCCCGTCATCTTTCGTGCAGATTGAGCGATTCGGAACGGATAGTGCGTACTGGGAGGAAGTATCCATTAGCGAGTTTCGCAACAAGGTATTGTAGCAGGATGGAGTCTCTCTTGCCGCAAGTTTGCTGTAACGGTTTTGCAGGTAATTAGGGCCGCAGTATATGATGATCTGTGTGCTGAACGAGATCCGCCGGAGGAGGAGGATGAAGAAGAGGAAAACGGTAGGTGTCCAACGAGAGCAAATGTATTTTCAGAGGCACATGGATTGACTGGACAACTGAGCAGGCACAGAAGTGACCGAATACGAACGAAGGCGAAGAGAGCAGCTCAGTAAGAATACTAGGGAATTGTTATCTATGGTGCGACTTTACACATTTCAACGAGCGCAAGGGCCGTCACTTACATGATGAATGCAGGGTCTCATCTCTGAACTGAGCCCAGAAGGGGAAGATGATGCGAAACATCTTGAAACCCTACTTGCAATGCCTCCTGTTCAGACGATTCAACATGAAGGGTGCCCAACAATGCATCCGCCTTCCTCTCCGGTAATTATCTTTGTTCCCCATATCAACGCACCATCCACCGCTATCCTACCGCATGCTTGGATCAATGAGTACCGCAAATTCGTGATAGACTGCGCCCGCGATGCAGCTGCACGCTTGACAGATGGCGGGTACTTTATCATTGGTGTCAAAGATGCCAGAATCTTCCTACCACCCAAAACAGACCCATCTTCAGAAAACGAACAGCCATGTGGCATTCAAACAAAATACGTACCTCTTGGCCTTTTGGTTAGTGAAGATCTTTCCAGGTATTTTGAAGGCTCGGAGATGCGGCTCAAGGATTTTGTGGTGGCTGTGCCTGAGGGATATTCTCGGGACAAGGGGATAGAGTTTGAGGAAATGAAGGCTAGAATCGATGAGGATGAACAAGAATGGAAAAGTGAACAAGAGAAGGAAGCTAATGGACAGTCAAACGTGAGACGACTTTTACCAATTGTCCAGGTATATATCAGACGGCTCCATGTCGGTATATCCTGGATCTCAAACACGTTTTTATAGGCATACTACTTCATTTATGCCAAGCAAGCTGGTAATCGGAAACTCAGCGAACCTAGCTCCTGACCGTTGCCACCATAACTAAACTAGCACCACCTTCCATCCTAATTACCACCTACTTTCTGGGACACTTTTGCTTACATTGTCTAGTGTTTCTCTGTGTGGGTGATTAGATATACGCCTTCAGATAGGTGATGGAACGTTGGGCTCCAGCACTGGATATTCAATTCAAAATGTTCTGATAGGAAGGCATGAGGAGTAGAGATTTATAGATTCTTCAAAATAGCTGAACGGTCCGCATTATAATAGTCATGTCACCTTTCAAGCCCAGCTTACAGTTAACATATAAGCTAACTCTTCTATGCCATGCTTGACATATCAAAAACGCTACATTCCATTTTCACAATCAATCAAAGACGATATGCAAACCTCGCACATAATGCCCTGTCTCGAATTCACAGAGTTCATTCTCGCACACGCAGACGAGACTCACGGCAATCACGTCCTTGATCTGGAAAGGACCTTTTTCGCCGCCCCAAACTTTTTACCCATTTTTACTCTTGCATAGCTTGTTCGATTTTACATCAGCAGCGATATCAACCAAACCCAAAGCTTAAGCTTTGCGTGGGATGTTCTGCGAACAATGTTCACTGATGTAGATCATGCAGCAGGTAAATGTGGCTAGCTATTGCTTTGTTCATTGTCATAGGTATGGACACTCACACCAATCGGCATGTGCTCATTGTCTTAGTTGCCTCCATGGTCCGTTAACCTCCGTTCCAATCCAAAGTAAAATGGCTGAGGATGGCCTATTAGAGGGAAATCAAGTGCTTCTTATGAAAAAGGCGGTGGGATATGAAACGACGTTTTCCGAGATCGTCCAGAATTATTTTCAATCAATGGGCAAAAGGTCAGAAATACAAGGTGGATAGCCTAGGTGTTCCAGGTTGAAGATAGGGTTGAGACAAAGGAGAAAAGCTGGATGCCCCGTGAGAATTTAACTGATCAGATTCAAATGAGCGCAGACGACAATATACACAGATTCGGACCCCAAGCTTCAACCGAATGCGACTATCGCTTCCATCAAGACTGGGTTCCGTTTACTCATGAAAGACGCTGCAAAATCTTACGATCACCATTCGAAAGCTGGATGTGATCGATGCCGAAATTTCACATTCGTCATGAGGCATACCGATATCTAAAAGTAATGATATCCTTGTCGCCTTCATCATGGAAAGCGTTAGTAAGGCCTCTTGTCTTCAATGTATCATGGCAGGTTCAGGGGAACTGAAGGAACTTCCTTTACGCTGATCTATCACCTTCAAATCAGAGTTGTAAAGACTGGACCGTCCGTGCCGAGCTTTCGTTGGGAAGCTGGAGATTTAGCCCTCCGAGACCGGCTCGTTCCGATGCCGCTCGATAAGCAGCCGATACAAAACCATAAGCAGGTATTATTTAATTCCGACCTTTAGCAGAGTTCTATATGTATCACCACAACACCCGACAAGTACGGTGCACTGCAATGTTGAGAGCCCCTATAATGATGAATGTGGCCCACAATTTTGCCTTGTGTATTCGCTCGGAAACTCGCATACTGCGGTCCCTTCAAATCCTTGAGCCAACTGCACTCTGCCCAAGAAATTGCGTGCAACAGATGTCAAGTCTATACCATTGAGTGCCATTTTGGACTACATTTGCGCAATGCTCTACATTCATAAATGTTACGGTCACTGCAACGTTCCTTTTGACACTACAAGTGCATATTATCATTGTGCCCTTATTTCAGTATCTTGTGAAACAAGTTTTCATAAACAATCAAAAAAGCATCAGTCCAGCTGAACTCTATATAATGGTGTTAAAGTTGGTTATGTTGATTAATGGATCCTATCGAAGATGCTATAGGATCAGAACTTGAATAACCAAGTGAGTTATTAAGTAACTCTGATCTGAAAAGTCGTAATACTTGACTGCATGATCTTTAAATTAATGTCTATTTGGCTGTCCTATGTGCCCAGAACTGTTTAGAGGTCAAGGAGCTGCCGTGTCTCATTCGAGGATGGCTTTACTCTCCTAATACGCAGCCATAAAATGCGCACAAATAATAATCATGTATTTTAAACCTTTGTACAGAATTTAATGAAGAAAAATAATACAGCATAAAAACGAGTGGCCTAAAGGTCATCATCACTGTCATCTAGAAAAATATTGAAAAGAGACATTAACACGGATCCAAAGATGCATTTATAATCAAACTTATCCCATACCAGCACCCGGCAGTTGAGCGATGGGAAAGTGTTCCGAGAAGTCGTATGCCTCATCAACCATGTTATCACCATCAGCTCCGTATAGCTTTTGCGACTTCTTTTCCAGTTTACGCTTTTGCTTCAATTGCTTCTTTCTTGACTGGTTGAGCTGTGGGTTTATCGCCGCCTCCGCCGCGGTCAAAGCTGGCTCTGCCTTTTCCGAGTTTGATTTTGTTGAGCGTCGCGTCTTCTCCTTGAATCGGATCTCGGGCTGGCCCGAACCAGATGCAACCTCTTCCATCGGTACCGCTTCGGGTGCCTCATCTGAGTCCTCTTCGTCTTCGTCTTCATCCATCGCATCGTCATCCTCCTCGCTATCCGATTCTTCCTCATCCCGGAACCCTTCAGGTAATTCATTCATGTCCATGTCCACCATAGCATCAGCTCCGTTTGACAGGGCCAGTATACTTGTCGGGATCTCTGACTTGCTCTTCACGGTAGTGAGAAGGTCTTTGCCTTCGGTTTCGACGATCTCGGGTAGCTCGAACTCGCGACTCCAGGATTCCACAATAGCGCTAGATACATGAGAGGCAACTGGTAGACCAGCTGTTGGAGGAACAGTGTAGAAGGGAATACGGCCAGAGTTCCAGTCTTGCAAAATCGATCGAGCGGCATTTTCAAGATCCGGTATTCCACCCTACAACAGGCATAGTTTAGTATCAAAAACGAGAGATATGCACGTTGTCAACTATGACTATAGTAGGCTCAGAGACTTAAATAAAATGAAGTCATTCTCTGCTCTAACCCCGCAGATCCAGTTGCATTTTCTCCTCACAGCCCCAGAGATCAGTCACTTCCCAGACAGTTTACTCACTTTTCGAAGCTTTCCACGTTGTCGTGCAATGTGAATCAAAAATTCACGGGTATCTGGGAACAGGGGCACGTTATATATCCGCATCAGCTGCTCTGGCTTGCAGCGCGAAACGATAACTTCCACTATAGCGAGGTAACGTCAGTCCACTGCGCAAGTCGGGTAAGGTAGAATGAAAACTTACCAGGCGATATGGGATCCTCTAGAAGTTCCACTTTGACACAATTTCGCAGCAAAACTTCAGCTTCGTCGCCTTCTCGGCTGCTTTGACTGAACACAATACCAGGACAATCCAATAATTTGATTCCTTTGTCCAACTGGATGGTTTGCGCAACTTTGGTAACCCCTGGCGTGGCCCCAACATTGCAAACCTTCGAGCGTTTCAGCGAGTTTATAACACTCGATTTCCCAACATTCGGAAAGCCGATGACCCCGACGGTGATTGATGTTTTGATATCGGCGTTTCTACAGTAGTTTTTCAGCAGCTTCATTAGGTTATCCGCACCAAGACATTCGCTGCTGCTCAAAAGCCGCTCTGATGCAATGTCAGTGGATATGGAAGATTGTCCCAAGTTGCTTCGCTGTGCTTGCGTCGACGCTTTGAAAGCAATAGTAGGGAACTCATTGCGGAGATACTTCAGCCACTGCTCGACTACCTCACGAGGGACCAAATCTAAGAGCATATTTATCAGCCGCAATTCCAAATAGAGCGCCGGTCTCCAAGAGAACATTACCGATTTTGTTTAAAATAAGAATGACACGTTTATTAGCACCGGCATTCAGAATCAGCTCCTCAATCTGTCTCGTCCGACAACCGAGAGGGTCCCTCGCGTCCAACACCTCCAAAATGACATCGGCGTTCTCCACAACCTTCTTGAACTCCTTGTAATACGCCTTTCTTGAGTTATCCTTCAACCCTGCTGCTGCGGCATCCATGGAGTGACCAGCGTAGAATCCGTCCTGGTTGTGGATCGACTGGGATGAATCGAATTCTTGTCCTCGTTTGGCAGCGTTTTTGGCGAGAGCTGCAAGATCGAGCTGGTCGGATGTCAGGCCGCGATTCTTGTTTTGTAAGGATTTTCGGGCCCCGCGCTGACGCTCTTTCTCTTCTGCAGCTTTGCGTTTGCTATCTTCCGCCTGCTGTAGAAGTTTGTCTTTGAAAGGAAACAAGTTGGGAATTCCTGGGTCCTTCTTCAGCCTTTTTGGTTGGGGATTCTTTTTTGCTTCCCTTCGCTGCTTCCTGTGATGCTCCGCAACTTTCTTTTCAACCTTGTACCGCATTGCTGCGGAAACCCGCTTGCTTTTTGCCTTCTTCGGGACCATTGTTCTCTCAGCTTTGGTTGACGAGGCGAATGCAGAGACCAAACCGCCGATTTAAGAGTAATCAGACAAAAATAAAAAAAGGTAATTCATTTAGTAGTCACTGTGCCACAAATCGGCTGTCACAGTGAAGTTGGCTTTGCTTACGCATGGCTGGCGGGGCAAGATTCTCCTGGACTGGGAGGATGGCATCAACCGCAACCAGACAGAGCTGGACCCATAGAGATGTACCGGTACCGCATAACTTGGTCATCGGAGGTGTGCAAAGCTCACTCAAAGTATGCGAAGAGACATTTCGGACAACTTGGGTTGAAGAGTAACTTACGCTGGAACTCCAACTCCAGATACCAACCAACGAACGTCCGACCGACGCATGGCGGAAGTCGTTAATCCTTCTGGCAAAAAGGTATTATCTTCAACTGCAAGGGGCGTCCACAAAGTATCATGCTGATAATTATTCACCTGTAGGCGACATGACCGCATAGTCGAAACCGCCAATGCTTCGGTAACTGATAGTGCCAAGTGGGCGACGTGCATTGCCAGTGTTGAGGTGTGCGTGGATATAAGTGAAGTCATCAAGTATATCAATATGACGGAATTCCAACACAAATATGGTCCTTTTTCTATTGAACCTTTAGGGCACTCCTTTCGTAGCGATTGGATCGGCGGCTCGTGCCAATAATCTCTTTATATTGGAAAATACTGCATCCTCGAAGTTTTCTTCCAATGGAAACCACAATGATATGGAGAGTCAGTCCCCATTTCAAGTAAGGTTCAAATCTGCCGCTTAGGATGGAACAACATGGCTGATTCCTGAGTCTCTACAGTTACGTTCCGCATTCACCGCTCCGAATCCTATATATTCCATGTCTATTTCAGGCAGTAACCTTCTCACTGGTGGACCTAATGGCCGCGCACAGCTGTTCGAACTCAATCAATCCGAGTTGGGACAGAAGGGCCGCGGGTTGACGCATTTGTCTGAAATCGTACTCGAGAGCACAAAGCTTGTGGGTTCAGGGCAAGACAACTTCATTGTATATGATAAACTGAGTCATATTTTATATGCCGCTCTTAGGAGGACATGCGATTGGCTCCTCCTGGAACCATGATCTGTACCCTTCGATTGCATTGCGTTGAGTTCGCCCCGACGCCGCCGCGCTCGGACGAATCAAGGGTAGAACCTACAGATCGGTTCTTGGCGACGGTTGGACGGAGGCTGTTTGTCTATGATCTGAAAACCAACCAAGTCCATGCCTCAGTAAACGTACGTTTTTTTTGAAGGAAACATCGATAATATGCAAGCTTACAGGCTCCACTTGCAGGCAGGTGAGGATGCCGTCCAGGTGGCATCTTGGAGTCCTCACTTTCCGTTGTCCCTAATATGTACCGGGGGAATTGATCGGGCTGTTGGTGTATGGGATGCTCGATTGATTGGGAAAAACACTGATGAAGCTCTGGTAAGGCCCTGCTTTACAGCGGAAGCGTTGAGTGTTTGTACTTACTTGCCGGTGTAAAGAGTAGGTTTGGAAAGTCTCCCGAGCTCATGAAGGGGCAGTAACAGATGTTAGATTCAATCCCTTCATACCCTACTGGATGGCTAGCGCTGGTAAATATCTGCATGAACTTCTGATATACTGCCAAACGTGCTGACCTTGGTCGTTCCAGGTGAGGATGCTGTCGTGAAACTTTGGGATTTGCGATATGTTAAGCACCCTGTTGGTCGCATTGATGGGCATTGTCAGAGTATACAGTCGGTACGTCGTCATATGTATTCTGGCCATAACATAGGAGCTTACCGATCAGCAGCTCGCTTGGTCCAACACACACTGTGAAATTCTGACTACTGCATCGTCTGACCGTTCTTGGCGCGCATGGTCATTTGCCCCGGACGTCTCGACCGCTCGCGAGACGTATGACGACATTTTCATTGGGTGCCCCGGGTCAGAGTGGGGCAATCTGGCAAATGCGGATGCACAACCCCACGTAGTCGCAGGTGCTCGGTTAATTGGAGAATGGGGGAGCGGATACACTGCTCCTGTGATAAAAGGTAGCACATGGAATACTCCTGCCACCTGGCAGCTCCGTCTAAACCCTGATCTTTTTACAGTTGTTCCATCCAAAAGCCATATCGACACATTTTATGCGCTGTCGGCCGTCGGAGAAGTGAAGAGTCATACAATATTGGGCGAAGTTTTTGAACCCGTAATTCCTCACCGGTAGGCCTGAGAAAACATAACGTAACATCCCTCTCTCGCTGAGCCATCATCGGTCCATTTCTGTAAAGGTTTGATCCAATACATGACGGCGCGGCACACGATGTAGAGAGATCAATTTATGTCCGCGACATGTCAACTGCCTATTCCGACGTGGTATCTCTCTGTCGAGCTGCAAGACGAGAAGGTAGACTATTAGCCCCAAAGGAGCAAGAACTATTGGACCTTTGTACGCCCCGCTCAGCTATTGAACCGACAACATGGAACATTCCACCACCCAGCTCCGAAGAGTTTCGTACCGCAGGCGAGGACGCAGTGGAAAGACTACGTCGTGAATTGGAGATGTGGACGTACTTCTTGCCACCAGGATTTGGAGAAGTGATGGCCGTATCAGGGATGGTGTGTAGCTGCCTAGTATTCGATCAGTTTGATATTCGTCACCGATTCTTCGTTCTTAGCTCAAACAGAAGCTTCGCTTGGAATACGAAATGGCCCTGTTGCGTTGCAATATTATATCAGATGTGTTGAAAGGTGGATGGGAGACCTTGGTTAAGGCCGAAAAGTAGGTGGAAAGTCGCTTGGAAGGCGAGAGAGTGTAACATGCTGAATTGATGTCAAAACAGGATGATATGTAAAGGAATGGAGATGGACCCTTACTATGTCAATGGGAAAACTCTGCAGGTATGGGCTCTCGTAAATCTTAATGGTCTGCCAACAGCGTCAGTAAGCTGACTTCCATCATCCGTCAGCTTTTCGTCCGGTCGATTCTACCGCATGACCTTGTCAAAGGTCTGACACTGGGGCTAAAGCTAGCAGAGATTGTAGAGGATACGCCGTCCCGATCATTTGCTGATACCGCTGAAACCATCGGCATCATGTTATTTCCGACTACTTACGACGACGCTAGATGGCTTCCCGCCGCTGATACCGCTGATTCCGACCATCCTCTTGCCTTTTCTCGAACTAAAATATTGGCAGAATATGTCGAGAAGTTATTACTGGAAGATATTAAAGACCTTGAGAGTGGTCAGGGTCCGGATCAGGAAGCAAATTCTGCCTCCACATCTGCTGTTGGGTTGGAAGGTGCCAACAAAGGAAAGGTGTCCACAATGGATAGGAGCGTCAAGGTAACAGGGGATCGGCGACGGCTACTGGCGGGGATAAGTGGGAAGGCACTCCCCGGTGAGAGGAAGTGCCTATCATTGAGGGCTCTTGCGGAAGATCCTGGACTAGTATTACCAATGGTTCGAATGGAAATGTATGTTGTCTGCCATCGTCGACACATTTGCCGGAGGACCTCCCAAGCTTATTGTCCTTTTCGATCATACTAGCCGTTTTGCAAAAGCTATCTTCAACCGAACGATTGTGCCATATGACGAGGTGATCAAGATCTTTGAAAGCCCGGATGCGGAAGCGCAAGATAGTGACGCAAGCGGAACCGGAGACAAACGACCTGCATCTGAAAGGACGATATCGGCTTACGCAAATCAGGTGTATCTCGATGCTCTGTTGGAGCACGAGCGATGGGTTGATTATTTTGCGGTGTGCTTTGACCTAATTGCGGTAAGTCTAGCCATGTGCGCAGCAACTCTCGGTTGGTCACGATACTTACCAAACGCAGCTCTATGTTGCGCACGACTTCTCTCGTCTCCTCGTAACGCACGCGGACACCATGGCGCTTCCACAGTTGAAATCCTACATCGATGAAAGGTATCAGGTAGCCACTGCAAAACTCGCACAAGCGTTACAACTGCCAAGCACGTCTGCAGATGCAGCTAGAGAGATTTTAACTAGCGGGATGGGAGTTTTGAAGGAGGCTTTGGTATTGCTAGTCAAGGTCGGAGCATCGTTTTTTAAGCTCGGAAATGTGGAACGGGAGGGAGTTGATAAGATGCGTGGGACGGTACTAAAGATTTTCAGGTGAGCCTCTAATTCTTCTAGGAGATGTGCTGAAGTGCGGGTTTTCGCTGCTGTGACTGACTGCATTGAACGGGTCACTTCTTCAGTCAATTGAGCGGATCGCTCTTCCGAACGCTGGATGTGATTGAGCGGATGTTGGGTGCTGGTGGCCTAAGGTATGCCATGTCGAACTGCTTCCCGTGAACAACGCTACTAACACATACATGCCAAAAGGGAAGCCGCCCAAAACGCGCAAAGTGCCATAAAGGATGCCGCGCAAGCACTTGGACCAACTGCACGAAAGACGCCAGGATCTGGAGCAGTACCTCCGGCTGGAGCGGTTGCCAGTCCCGCCGGTGAGATTACGTTGGAAGTGACTTCTTTAATAGAGCAGCTGGGTAAAGTTGGCCGTACGGAGGTGGGTGCTAATATTGGTAGTGGAGTATGATCTTGTGTTATGGGTGTACAGATGAAATATACAAGGACTATCTAACTGCATCCAAACTACGATGTCTACGCGCTACGATCTGCATAATCTCAATCCCATGAAAATCATACGTGTTAACACTCAGCACCGCTCTTCAACCTTTGAAGCTCCTGTTCGGATTGTCCGAATGCTTCACGGATTGCACCACTTGCTGTCAAGTCTTTGGAATGCACCAACTTGCCTAATGATTGCTATTTGTTCAAACGTTCTTTTAGTCATGCTCACCTTTCGTATCCGTAATGCTATTGAGGGATTTAGTCCATACCTCTACTTTGCCTATTACGGTGTTCAGCGTTCCATGTACTTTAGAAGGATGTTGTACTGAATGCTTTGGACGTGACACCCGGGCGTAGACGGGGTCCTCTGGAGTATATCCATCTGCGTATTCCCCTGTTGGACGCTGGTTTGGACCACAGAGAATGTGAGGGGCAAAGTGTGGCTTTTGGCAGCAGGGCTGATACGTACTGGATGAGCTGCTTTGGCGTTTGGTGCATATCCTCCTTCGTATTCACCTGTTGGACGCTGTTGGTGATTTAGGATTGCTTCATATAGCAAAGGGGCGGAGCAAAATTTCCTAACATACATGCGAATCCTTTGGTTCAGCCATTTTCTGCTAGTTGTCTGGTAGGGCGCTAGGAGTTGATATGATGGGCAAGGAGGGAGCGTGACACGCACATGACAGGCAAGCCCATAATTCGTCATCAGCTCGCGTCTGGAAAAGCCGGCGACCTTGTAATGTCTCTGTTCAAGGAAAGCTACACATTCTAGTACTGGAAAACTCCAACTATGTTATTGTTTACGTTCAGCTCAAAAGGCCACCCTTCGACATCAGTTTACTCTAGCGTCGGAATAGGGGCAGACAAACTTGTTCTCCTGAGGAATTGATGAATGAGGACATTTTTCAGCGATAAAGTCAAGCGGAGAACGGCAATTCACATGTATTGCTTAAAGAGAACGAGTAGGAGAAACATGCCCAAGTCAAACGACATCCACTCTCGCTTGGGTAATGAAAGCTTTGCCTAAACGCGTGCCTAAGATACATTTGAATGTGCTTAATGCATTTCAACCAACCATCTTGATGAATCCCAGCTTTGACAATTTTCCCGTCACTTTGACCATCTGACGATCTTTGATCTCACTCTATGCTACCTATGACGCCAAAGAACGGGGTCTCCAACACTGTATGTACAGTTTCCCACAGCTTTCGGATTTCCATTCATTTTTGTGAAAGTAGCTAGTTTCTGTCCACTCATGACCATTCACCTTGTAGTCCCCGCTGAACGGCGCTCACTCGACAGCCAATAACAGCGATACAGAAGAGGAGGAAGGGGCTTATAGAGAAGACCCCAGTTCTCCGCTTCCTCCAACAACTCCTTCGACACCTGCCACGGGCCGGCCCCGAAGGAAACGCTCCAGGGGAAGACGGAGACGAAAAATGGCTCTGTCCGCTCCGCTTTGTCAAGACACTGAGAGAACCGACTTGAATACCATACACGCAGAGACTTGCGATACCTTGAAATCCGGAACGAGTACATCCCTAGCAGCCGCTTTCCTTGCTACCCTTCAAGCCAAACCTGATGATGATGAATATAACCTTGCCCCTGTAAATGTACCCCCACAATCGCACGAATTTCAAGACGATAAACGGAGCACAGCCCAAAATGAGCCTCACACCGAAGATTATGAAGATAGTGACGAGAACTATATATGGAAGGAGGAACATGTACCTGATTGGTTGGCCAAGTATTGGTATCAACGGTATAGTCTCTTCTCGAAATTTGATGAAGGTACCATGTTGGATGAAGGTGAGCGGATTTCCTTGGTTCCCTTTAATGTAACCATAGTTGTTGACGCATTCGTTTGCAGAAAGCTGGTTCTCCCTGACGCCCGAGAAAATGGCAGAGTATCATGCGAAGCGATTGTCTTGCGACACCGTTGTTGATGGGTTTTGTGGGGTAATAGTTTATTCTCTAAATTGGAGAAGATTACTTTATGGTGTTAAAAAAATGATTTTCTTGCCGGACAGGCTGGCGGAAACTCAATACAGTTTGCTAAAACCTGCAAAAAAGGTATGTGAGAAATGTCAAGCGATATGTGTCATTCATGCTGAACACCCACTCAACCTTGCTCTTCTGGTAGTGATAGCAGTTGACATTGATCCTATCAAGCTCCGCTGTGCACGGAATAATGCCAGAATTTACGGTGTTGAAGATAAGATTCAGTTTATTTTAGGTGACTTTTTGAAAGTTGCAGAAACCCTCCAGGTATGTTTTTTTGATTTATCTTTTCCCATGTGGTGAGATCGAAATCTGTTGACTGTCCCTTACAAAGGCCGACGCTGTGTTTGTATCACCACCATGGGGCGGTCCAGAGTATTTGAGTTCAGACGTATATGACATACCCACGATGCTGCCGATTGACGGGTATGTTCCTGGCCATCGCTAACAATTTCCAATCGTTACACTTATATGTCAGCCTGTCGCAGAACACAGCTGCTACAAGCTGCAAGAAAGATATCGGACAACATATGCTTATATATGCCTCGAAATGTAAATCAGCAGCAGGTACATGTGAACAGTTTTCTCCAAGGTCTTCACTGGCTTATCTAATTTCGGCACGGTGCGGGATCAAGTTGATCGAGTACGCTGGCGACGCCGTCTGCGAGTTAGAACAGGAGTTTCTAAACGGAAGACCGAAAGCCCTTGTTGCCTATTATGGGCAATTGGTAGGAAAAGGAGATGGAGAAGAAATACAGATACATGAGCAGCCTTGACGACGTGCACACATGTATATATATTGTTTCAAGAAATCGCTCGTATTCAAGCTATTCCGTAATATGCTGCAACCTTGCCAAACTTTTGTCATGTTCCTCCAACTGCTTATTTATAATGTCTAATTGATGTTCCCACTTTTCCACTTCCCAATCCGCCATCCACAACTCGAACTTTATTCTTCGTTCCTGCGCGCGGATTTTGTCCTCTTCAAATCCTAGACGTTTTGCCGCTTCTGCCCATCGCTCGGCTTCCTTATCAGTCGTTTCGCTCCAGGCCACTCTCAAAGGTTCGGGGAGATCTTCTAAACGAGGTACTCTTCTTTGCTGCGATTGCTGGTGTACAGGAGATGTCTGCGGATGTGTGTGTTGCGACGCTCGTCTGCTCTCCGACCTTACCGGTGTATATCCATGACTGTCTGGATACCGGCTACTGCTCGCCCCACTAGATGAAGTTGGTGGACGTTGCTGTGGAGGAGGTGACCTCCTACTATAGGACGAATCCCTTAAATATCGAGAATCCCACTCTCGTTCGTGAGATCGATAGTCGTCTTGGTGGTGGTGCCGGTAATATCCGGGTGAGTCTCGTGATCGGTCCGCGGAATATGGGTTATATCTGGAATATTCTCGGTATCTGTTATGATTGTCAGAATATCGTCTCTCTGAAAGCGACTTGTCGTAGCGGTGCGAGGTGTAAGAAGGTGGTGGTGGGGGAGGAGTGTGATACTTGTAGTGGTCAGGAGGGTGAGGGCGACCCGACGAAGACGAGGAGTGTGGAGGCGGAGTTGTCCGTGAACTGCTGCGGGGAGGATAACGAGAGGAAGCGGAGGAGGAGGAGGGGGAGGAGTGCTGTTGCTGTGAATAGCTCTTGTGCCTGCTTGATTCTTGCATCGTCTAAAAGAAGGTCGAAAGGAAAGCTCAGAGGGTCCCCCACATTTCAAAGTCAGGTTGGCACAGTGACTATCTGCTAAGCAGCAGCAACGGAGCATCGTCGATGTGACCGTAAACTCTCTCGCCAATTGAGTTCCATCACTTTCCGCCCCGTCGCGCACTGTCGGTACTCCATTGCTTCGGCACCTTTCCCCCAATCCCACACTGGAAGACCTCTTGATCTTCTAGACTTTAGCGCAATGGCAACGGTGAGTGGGTAATCTCAGCTACGCGGTGGCGCCTGGCATTTTTTCACTCTCATTCTCTCGTTCTGATGAATACATAACGTTACAGTCTCAGCAGTCACTGAAAAACGTCCCAAAGGACATACTGCTGGTTGCAGACTTCCTTCGAAGTGGTGAATCAAAGTTAAAGATTCGGCAAGGGATCTTGAGCGGACGACGTGTGGACTATTTCAAAGGTGGTTTAGCCTATGTCTGTGTTCACCCTGCCCTTTATCTGATTCTGACATGGATGAAAAGGAAAGCACGCCGTGAACGCTGTGCTTAGAGAGCCTTACAAGAAGAACGCGAAGCGACCGTCCGTGTCAGACCGTTCAGAGGGCGAAGCCCTTTTGTCAAAGCTATTTACTTATGGCTTTTTCGTCCGGATTGAAAAAGCTCCAAAATCAAAGCATTTGAATGTCCACAACGTTCAGCTTTTCGAACCTGATGCGTATTACGCATGGGTATATGAGGGCTCTCAACTTAAGGGCATGCTAATCGGAATGGCTGTTTTGCTCGTCACATTGGCGGGAGTTATGTTCCCTCTCTGGCCCGCCACATTAAGACAAGGGGTCTATTACCTTTCTTTGGGAATGTTGGGTCTCATGGGCGTGTTTATGGGGTTGGTGGTGTTCCGGCTTGTGCTGTGGATCGTACTGAAAGTTGCAACCGGGCGGGACGGATGGTTATATCCCAATTTATTTGCGGATGTAGGCATCATTGATAGCTTCAGGCCATTGTGGGGGTAAGAATCATTTCACTGGAGACGTCAAACTTCTCAGAGAACTTATTGTATGTGATCCTTTTTTCCCCTCTCAGATGGGACGAGAAAAAGACGTCAAAAAAGAAAACGGCAACCATCAAGTCATCTGGAAGCGAAGGGGATGGCGAGGGTACTGCGGGTCGGGATGATGAGGGTTTTGGGGAGGAAAATGATAAGAATGATTGATGTATGCAGAAATCAATAATCATGAGGAGTCAAAGCTCCATAGGCTATGATCGCGCATCAATATTTTTAAACTATGGCGGCGTAACGCATATATTACAAGCGGCGTAACGCATATATTACAAAATCAACAAGGACAAAACACATAACAATGTTTGTTCATATAAGAATGCAACTAGTAACCAATTCTACACCCCACCAGATCATGTTCCTAAATCCTCCCATCCCTCCCATAAATTATGTTTGTTTCTCTAAGGTTTTCATTTCGAGGTTATGTTTTCCTTGATGGAATATATATGTTGTTGTACGTCTTCCAGGGACAGTAAAGCCGTAGGTGTGAAAAATAATGAAAGAAGAATGCGCAAAACAAACTGCCGTTACTGAGGAGCATTTCATCGGCTCTTAGATGCCGAGGTCCTCCTATTTAGAAACTCGCCAAGCTTTTCCAATGTCTGTCTTGTATGCCCAGGATGTTCCTGCTGCTGCTGTTGTTGTGATTGCTGTGGTTGTTGATACACCGTCATACTCGTCTGCCCGTGTTGTTGGTCTTCGTCTCGAGGTGACGGCGGAGTAGACGACGATGCCGGGGAAGGGAGGAGATGGTCTTCGGGGTAATGGTGATTTTGTAGCAAAGACTGGTGCTGGTCAGTGGGTGCGGGAACGATGGAGTAAGGCTTCTTCTTATGAGGCGGGGCGGGTACTAATATTGTAGTGCTGCTATGCGGATGAGCGTGTTTGTAATGTGGAGCGACAGGTTGGTGATGGTGATGGTGATGTGGGCATGGTGTGCACGGGCGACGATGTGGGGCTGGCGTTATAGTTAAGGCCGGGGTAGCCTGAGAAACAGATTTGTTGGGAGGTAGTGGCTTCTTCTTCTGTTGTTGTCCTTGAGCTTGAACTTGGGCCAACTGGTGCTGGAGCCACATGTTCTGATGATGGAGTTCTTGAATGTGCTGATGTTGTTGTTGAAGGATATCATCCAGCGGATCAGGGACGTGAACCCTTTTGACTGGGACTACGACAGAATGATCGTTGCCTTGGATCATGAGCTCACCAGAAGGTGCGGATTGGCTATATCGCCGCGAAGGTCCCGGATGATGGAATGGCAAGATCTGATCTCCCCTTACGACCATACCGTTTGAAGCCGTGGAAGAGATGGGTTCTAACGATGAGATTCTCGTTCTTGTGGGCGGGGGAAGGTAGGGCCGCCTTATAGGCTGGGGGGATGTCATTTGAGGCGTAGAACAGCAACTTGAAACTGTCTCCTCATCGGACAGCATGGCATCTGGATGAGATCGATAAGCAATATAAGCTGCAGCATCTGCTGTGAAAGGTTTGTTCATCATGACGGGTCCAGCTGCCGGAGCGACGGCCGGGGGAATCACACGAACTACACGCGGTCCACTCGTCGAAAGAATGGACCTGATCGACGGTAAAGGGACTTTTTGCGATGTGGGAGGTTTGAGCAAACCTCTATCGTCGGGTTGGACTTTGGCCTGTTCAATGGCCTCGGGTGAGAGGGGTTTGAGCTTTACTGGGTGACGTCGGCGTGGCAAATGAAGCATTGCGTATTTGCGTGATTTTGTCGATGCTGCTGAGGGGGAGTCAATGGAATCATTCTTGCTTTGGCCGTCCTTGCTGGACTTGCCCCGTCCTTGGCGAGCCCGTTCTTCCTCCTCCTTCATTTGTTGCAGCTGCAAATCGTAAGCGGCTAGCTGGTAAGCTTCCAAGTCCATCGACCCATCAACGGCCATAATGTCTGACCGAAGAGATTGAAAGCGGTCACAGATTTCATCGGTGAGTTCGTCAACAGGGCCGAGTCCTAGGCTTTGATCGACCTGGACAGACGACCCCGATTGCGGACTGGTCGCAGTCCCACGAACGCCATTTGAATCAAGACCCCAGTCCATCGGTTTGTCGGTCACTGGGGAATCTGTCGCAATTTGTGGCACTGAAGGCTTGCGACAAAGTCGAGGGCGCGTCGTATAGGTTGGCGCAGGGAGCGTTGGAGGCTGAACTGCCGGCGATGACAGCAATGATCTATATACTGGTATTTGTGTATCACTCACTCCACCAGAGGTAGGTGTGTGAGAAGAACGTTGATGGACGGGCGCTGAGTGAAACGTCACAAGTGCTTCGGCTGCGGCGTGGGTTGGGTCGGATGTCAACATTCTACCGGTATAATTGCGTAGTTGCGTCCCCAGCTTGTGAACACTTGTATTTCCTTGTGTGTATCTATGCTTCTAAATATGTCTTGCCCTCCACTTCACTCGAGGAAGATGGAAAGCAACCGCAATGAAGCTCAGGCAAGAGGAGGCCAAAAAAATCCAAGGATTAAGAAAAATAAAGGATTTCTCATACGGAATCGCATGTTACCACAAAAACAAATCCGTCGCCCCCAAAGGTCGCGTTCCAAGTCTCGCGCTATCTTCGACACATCCAAAAAGAAGGCAAACAAACCCCCAAATCCTCCCGGAGGCCCACGGCGGGCCTTGGCTTTGTCATCTGGCGCGTAAGGTGCTTAGTCACACGCGCTGTGGGTGAGATGCTGAGAACATCTTGAGAACTGTCCAGAGAGCACGAGAAGTTTGAACCTGTTAAGGGTCAACTTGGGGTCATCGGGTTATCGCATATCTGGTTTTGTGATGCTTAATTTTGATAACGAAAACGTGACTCTCACGGCGTCCTGATATTTTCACCTTGAAATAATCAAAAGGCTGCCCAATCTCTCGGCCAACAAAGTTAGTGCCACTTAATGTGCAGCACAGTTGCAGCTTACACATATGGTCAGATTGTCATGGCGAAAGTGATTAACAATTTGCAGCAAGCAATCAGATTGTGGTTGGATTTAAATACAGATAATATTTTTAATGCGCTCTACCCGCTGTCGCCAGAGTCCCCAGCACCGCTGTTCTCGTCATCCTCCCCACTATATCTACCAGCACGGCGATATAATTCTTCCCTGCGAATAGGAGATCCATTTTCGTTTCTCTCCCTCCGTCTTGGAGACCGCGACGTTCTTCGCTTATTACTTTGGGGTCCTGCGTCATGGGGCCATCCGTCCGTTACACTGGGAACAGGTGATTTCCTCCCATTGTCTTCCGCGCACCGACATCGTCGATCTCCAGGGCCGGATGATCGGTGGTGGTGATGATGATGATGGTGGATGTGGGTATGGGGAGCTGGTACGATGACGCCGTCGCCGACTACCTTAATAGTAAGGTCATCTTCATCCATACTTCCATATGCCTCCTCCTCCAGCTCGCCATCCACCTCAGGTAAGGGTCCTTCACCCGGTTTGCTACCTAGTCCCGGTCGTGGCACATGTCGGTGGTGTTTGAGAACCCAACCGTTTCGTGCATCAATCGCATATAATCCCAATGACAAGATTATGGCAGCAAAGCTCAGAACCATAAAGAATATTTCAACCTCTACAAATGTCTCGGGGTGAGCATTCCGTATTCGCGCTACCGCAAGCGGGAACAATGCAAGGGATAAATTAAGTGCTACCGCAACCAATCCGTATGCGGTCGCAATCTGATGGCTGCCAACCAGATAAGGCACACATGTCCATAGTGCAGATGCAAAAATGGAGTACGCGACTCCTAGAATAGACATGGGAAAGATGGGCGTGATGTCGGTCCAGCATAAAAGGGCGTGGGTAATGAGGACAAGGACACCGGATATGGGCAAGAGAGTACTTCGATGACCGAATCGATCGATAAAGAGACCGCAGAGTGGTGAGCCAACAGCAGAGACCAAGTCTGGAATGGACATGACTATGATTCCACCTAATTAGGGCACTCGCGAAATACGCAGAGAACGATGCACAACTTAATTACCCATTCCCGCTCTTTGCGAGTCATTTGGATACCACTTTTGCTGAAAGACTAGAATAGATCATTAGACCCAGTCATTAACGTGGGTGCCCTCCAAATCACTCACAGTCTGTACAAATATGGAAGAAGGGAACGGACGAACCTAACAAGTGACAAGGGCGCTGTTAAAAGAAACCATACACTGCCTACAACCTCAGATGCATAGGTAGCGCACCATATAATCCAATCGTCGCCAAACAGAGCATCCAAAAGGACCAGCTCAATCCCCTCAATTGAGAAAAATGCACGGTTTCATCTTCTTCATCGTATTCCTCTTCCGAAGATCCATCATCACAAAAAGAACCCTGATCGACCAAAGGGCTTCCCAGACATCCGTCCTCCACGCTAGGTCGTCGTGAATGCGTACCATTAGCGTCGTTAACAAGTAACGGCTGACGCTCGTCCTCGCTTCCCAATCTGCGTTTCTGTCGCTGTCGGCGAGAAGAGTCCATTTCGACGACAACGCCAGCCGCAAACCGGGATGTGGGTCGGTCCAAGTATATCATGGCAATAGCGCATACGCTACTAAGTAGACACACGATAAAACCGAACCATACTGCAGTTGGCGTAGACGTATGCTCCGCCAACCAGGGCGAGAGATTATCGTTGGATGCTGCTGCAATACGAGCCATTGAGAGGTGAAGACTCATCGCAAAGCCCAAACCTCGGCCTTTGAACCAATCAGTTGTGATTCGCGACGTAGCCTATACCCACAAATAACACGGAAAAGAATCTCTTGTCAACGGATCCTGCCCATTCCTTTTACCCTCATACAACCAATACACGACTGAAACTCACCACCTCCAAGCTCTCCCCACCGGCGCCAAATATCACTCTTCCCAGAACCATCACCTCAAAAATCCGGGACGACACCCCAAACGCGAACAGAGCTTGTCCAATACACACAAGCGATGCAAATATCATCAACATGGTACTGGCACTCATACTGTCCACCAACATTCCACCAATAAGCGGCAATATTATGTTGGGAAGGGAGTAGACGGAGTAAAGTAAGTTTATCTGCCATTGATATTTGTCGTAAGGTGACGAAAGCCACTTTTGTAAGGGGACGTTGAGTGCGGCAGGAATATCATAGCTTTCACGTAGAAAGGAGGTTAAAATGGATTAAGAAACAGTTGGCGTAAAGTAATGAAGAGGCGACTAGCCTCAAATAGCTTACCAGTAGTAATTGCTAAACATGACCGTGCAAGCAAAGAACAACAGGAGCCAATGCCGCGTCGTTACAACTGTGCTCGACGTCGAAGGCATCTCGGAGAGAGGAAATCGGGCGTATCTGCTCTATGGCTGGAGAGATCGACCAGTAGGTGCATGTGCTGCTCGTTGTTCTCTCCCTCAAATTCAAAAGGTTGCAGATCTCTAGATCCGTCCTGCTTACTTTCTCTAGAACCCCGCATTATGTCACCTGGGATGCCGTGGTTGGAATCGTGTCACGAGGTTGGGCTGCACCCAGGGAATCAACGCAAGGACAGTTAACATGAGATTTTCTGTTCAAATTGAATTTGTTCTATGAAAAAGTTTAAAAAGGTATGATACAAAGTAGGTCCCCCACGCCGTTAACCAACCCTAATCCCAAAATCCGCGCTTGTGAGTGCACCATGCTGCTAACCGCGCTACAGACAATGCAAAAGAAACTCTATGCTAAAATGCCTTCCTACATCCGACGTGACACCATGCCTAATATACGCTTCTGTGATGGCGATTCTTACATCATTCCACCCATGCCACCCATACCACCCATACCACCCATTGCCGGTGCAGGAACGTCCTTCTTGGGAGCATCTACAACCATGCACTCGGTTGTGGTAAGAAGGGACGCAACACCGCTAGCGTCCACAAGGGCAGTGCGGACAACCTTGAGGGGGTCGATGATACCTTCTTGGATCATGTCCACGTACTTTCCTGTTGCCGCATTGTATCCGTAGTTGAAGTTGCTCTCTTTGGCATCTTTGGCACCTTCGGCAGGCACGTTGTAGCTCTCGAGCAAACGGCCAACGACGACAGCTCCCTCCTCTCCAGCATTATTTACAATTGTCTTGCAAGGCGCCTGAACGGCCTTGCGGACAATGTCCACACCAAGGCTCTGATCGAAGTTGTCAGGCTTGATAGAGTCAAGGTGCCTGGAAGCCTTGAGAAGGGCTGTACCTCCACCAGGAACAATACCTTCCTCAACAGCAGCACGAGTAGCGTTCAGGGCATCGACGAATCGATCCTTCTTCTCGCCCACCTCAACTTCGGACGATCCACCGACCTTGATAACGGCCACCCCACCCGCAAGTTTGGCGAGACGCTCCTGGAGTTTCTCCTTTTCGTATTCTGAGGTCGTACTAGCAATGAGGGAGCGGAGTTGCTCGGCACGTTGGCTGATTGCATCTTTCGAGCCAGCACCGTTGAGGAAGATAGTGTCATCCTTTGTAATGGTGGCCGAGTTGGCTGCACCAAGGTCCTCAGGGGTACACTGCACATTTAAGCATTACTGGTCAGATCCTGATCCACGCGTTATGATCAAGCGCTCCTACTATACCAACCTTCTCGAGCTTCAAGTCAACCTCGTCGCTGAACACGGTGCCTCCAGTAAGAATAGCCATGTCCTGGAGCATAGCCTTACGGTTGTCACCGAAACCGGGGGCCTTCACAGCGCAAACCTGGACCTGACCGCGGAGCTTGTTCAAAATACAAGCTGCAAGGGCCTCACCATCAACGTCCTCTGCAATAATGAGGAGAGGGCGACGACGAGTCGCGGCGATTTCAAGCGCGGGGAGGAGATCCTGAAGCAACGAGATCTTGCGTTCAGATAGCAAGATCAAGGGCTTCTCGAACTCAACCTTCTGAGTGCGAGTGTCGGTGATGAAGTACGGGGAGATGTAACCACGATCGAAGCGCATTCCTTCAGTAATGTCAAGCTCGTCTACAAGAGTTTTCCCTTCTTGAACGGTGATGACGCCTTCTTTTCCAACCTTTTCCATGGCCTGCGCGATCAGCTGACCAACGTGCTTATCGCCGTTGGCAGAGATGGTTGCAACCTGCGCAATTTCCTGGGAAGTGGTGATGTTGCGCTTGTTCTCTTGCAGAACCTTGACAACAGTGTCAACAGCCTGTTGCACACCTTTTCTCATCTCGGTGGGATTAACACCAGCGGCAACATTTTTCATTCCCTCCATGAAGATTGCACGGGTCAAGACGGTAGCTGTCGTAGTACCATCACCAGCAATCTCGTTTGTTTTGTTGGCCACGTCCTGCACGAGACGAGCACCCAAGTTCTCAAACTTGTCCTCCAAAACAATCGACTTTGCGACAGTCACACCGTCCTTTGTGATCTTTGGTGACCCATAGGCCTGTTCTGTAGCGTAGCGTGTTATTGAGAGTGGACGGCCAATGTATCGATCAGAGAGAATACCCACCAATGATCACATTTCGCCCCTTTGGTCCCAGAGTCACTGCCACGGCCTTGGCCAAAATATCCACACCCCTCGCCAACGCTTGCCTTCCATCCTGACCGAACTGGATCTCCTTGTGTCCACCAAAGTTCCTCGCCTGTAGAACATTTCTGGCGGGCGCCGAAAGGGTAGATCGTGCAAGCTTTGTTGATGCGCGGAACATGACTGTGATTGCTATAGGAAATCGCGTGTGTAGGAGGTGATGAGAGAAAATCCAAGTCATATAGAGCAAATAAGACCCTTACCTGTCCTTGCGTGAAAGGGATGATGGACGGAAGCAAGAAGAACTGCAGCGAAGATGGTTGCCCTTAAGCAGAACAAATCCTTCTGTAGTGTTCTATCTGCTAGAACGGAGACTTTTGTTGCTAAGCATCCATATTAGAATATGATTGGTTAAAAGTGCGCTTAGTAGTCATTTATGGATGAGTCATGCACTCGAATCTTCGTGAACAGTCATACAATGTGTTGCTATGGCAATATCGCCTACGGCCTTCCGCTGTGGTGGTTTAAGCAGAAGCAATAATAGGTATCAACCACGGAAGTTTTCAAAAGATGTACGTAGCAATAGCTTTTCTCCTGCACATGGGCAAGATTTGGAAGGAGACCAAAGTGGTTGCATCATGATTGTTGCTCCAATACAGCACATGAACTGGTCTTTACCTTGTAGGGCATTGAATATCTGAATTCGTTTGGGGTCGGAATCACCGGCTCTTTCAAATGGACATGTTCTCATCGTTAACACCGGTTCGCCAAATGCTCATTTTATCTGCGACCACCATGAAATGCTACTCCTATACCATATTTGCTACATTATACAAACATGCCATCCCAATTTGCCATAATTTGCAAACTCTGCTATCCTATACCTACATTCCACTGCAATTGAGCTATTCACATATTTACTCGCAATATAGCACAATATCCCATCTACTATACCGTTCACTTGATTGGCACCTTGGTGAGGTGAAGCGCCTTTAGGAACTTCTCGCCTTCCTCCTTGTCTTGCAGATTGAGATGCTCCAAGACCATTATTGCCGGCGTTTGTGCAAGCCACTGGTCCAGCGAGAAATCCTCAAACCTGGGAGCACGGAAGATCTCGAGCATCTCCACTTCTTCGTCGCCGACATTCTCGACGTAGTGACCCATGTTCCTCGGAATGATGCCCACGTCACCCGCTTGGTATGTGGTCGTACGCGCATGGCCTTCGGATGCAAAGACGGTGACCCTGGCCTTACCCCTGATAAAGTAGGACCATTCGTCTGCGTTGGGATGCCAGTGCATCTCCCGAAGGTGATGTGGATGAATGATCACATGAGCAGCAGAGACGGTCTTGGATACTGGAAAGTTGGAGGTGTCGGTAATTCTCACCTCGCCTCCGGGGGTCTTGAGGGGCTCCTGAGCTAGCATTTGGTGTGAGAAACGGTACTTGGACGGAGTCGCATTTGGCGGCGTGCTCGGCTTGCTGGCATCGGGTACAAGACCACGGAAAATGTACTTTTCCTTCTTGGAGAGACTATCAAACAACGATGGCTCGAGGTTAAAGTTTTTTGCCAGCACTTCTTTGGGCGTGTGCGCGAGCCAGTCGGTCAGCAGGAACGTCGAGTCCTCTGAAAAGTTGCCGTCGTCAAAAATGAGCAGAAACTCGCACCCGCCTTTTCCGATTCCTTGAATAGAGTGCGGACGTCCCGTGGGAAAGTACCAGAGGTCTCCCTTCTGCAGATCTGCTTCGTACACACCTCCCTCAAGATCCAGAACAGTGATCCTGCAAGACCCTTCAAGCATGTAAGCCCACTCTGCCTCGTTGTGCCAATGAAGCTCGCGGATGGCTCCTTCATCGAGTCGCATGTTGACTCCAGCGAGCTCTACGGAGGTGGGAAGTTCTCGTACAGTAGTTTGCGTCTTCGATGCGGATGTGCGAGTCTGCAAAGGACCACTTGTAGGAAGGTAAGGTTCCCGAGTCCGTTTCAGGAGGTCGTACTAGGTCCACTGATGGTCGTTCTCGCTCATAATTGCGGGGGCCGATGATGTTGGATCCCAGCTTGCCTCGAATAGGTTCAATCGTGGTCATTTTCTATTGATTTCTGCAGTCAAGTCTTTTCCTTCAATTGACAAAGTTCAGCGACTTTATATGCCAGTCTTGTTTATTTCTTGTTTGTGAATGAGTTGCTTCAGAACAATTTGCGCTGACTAGATCGAGTCGGTCTTAAATTGCGACTCTCCACAACAACGAAGCAGTCACTTCAAGCCCAAGAAGTGTACTTAGATGATGACTGTGACCACGCAAGCTTGCGGCTTACATACGCTGAGTGCGAATTACCTTCCCCATAACAACTATCATGATTGCTTATAGAATATTGCATCTGTTTATGGAAGGACTAATTGATTCACATCGCACCTCTTGTCGCATTATGTACATCTGTTAAGGAGTGAAGCCTAATATTTGATATTGATAATTTCATTGCCTATATTGATTAAACCCTGGGTGTGGTTCTGGAGCGCATACGGTTTTTTGTCATATGGATGCTATTGAAAGATTGCTCGGTGGATAAGGAATGGGATGTGGTGGAAGGAAGCACGAGTACGCAAGATGTGAAATAATGTACCAGTCTTCTACTGTAGCTATTACCACTGGGAAAGTGTGCTTGGCCCGGAAGACGCGTCTGGACAGTCTCCATCGTCAGTATTGCAGTAGTAGCAGCCGATTTCAAAAAGGACAATTACCCACAGCGCCATATACATCGTTGGGACCAGAGCTGACAGCTAATCGTCCAAACTACGCATTGAGGTTGAATTTACTGCTCTACATTCTCGATTTGCCGGCTATGCAATCAACCTGATAGGACTATACGCAATAGCTGGAGCGTAATACAAACATCCCACATGAATGCCAGAGCTCTCAATACATTTTGCCATAGAATGATATATAAAACCTCCAGTAATTAGCCCACCATGATCTCATACAAAAACGCAAACGAAAAAACCTTAGTGTATCGTTTAATATCGTTTAATAACCCTGCCACACACACACAAGTCGCACAAACCACCTACATTCCATTCGAATCTTAACCCACAGTTTCCATGATCAAGACAATCGGCAGCCACGTGTGATATCTTTCAACATGTGTGCTTTGGTAATCTTGTCGCCGTTTGTGCCCGTGGTAAACAAAAGCCATGTTTCCGCCAGTCAACTGTTTTTTTTTTTTTGTTCAATTTTCAAATGCGCATGCGCTTGCCGTTATTTTTTATTTTTTTTTGTGGACAACGTGGTTGTACCCAGGGGTTTGTCTTTTGATCCGTGGTACCAAAAAAACACGAAAATAGATTAGCGCGAGATGGGGATGCAACATCAGATTGTAATCTTGGCAACTGCCACGAGCATCCATCTCCATGTATTGATGCGATCGTAACAGCGACAGGGTAGACTTGGGGAATGGACTGCAAAGGGATTCTTTCTGATATTTGTTCAATATACATAACACAATTGTGCGAATGGGATGGCAGAGACGTATTTGTATCAAACAATAAGCGTATAATTATGGGACTATGCAAAGCGCTTTTACTATCGGGATCATGGCGCAGGGAGTTTGTCGTCCACTTGTTTACTGTAGCAAACTTATTGTTATTATAATTACGCGAAAAGACTACCCTAGTTCTTCTATATCTCATCATCACTGGAGGCGTAATTCTGGTCACCATCACCATTTTCATCGTTATCTTTTTCGTCATCATCCTCTGCTTCACTTTCATCCATCATAACTTTCGCATTTCGCGCTCTCGGGCGTAGTGACAACGTGAATTGTTTTTCGTCATCAACATCGTCATCGGCATCTGGACTCCCTTCGTCTTCATCCTCCTCGTCTTGGTCCCCCTCCCCTTCTTCTTCGTCATCAGATTTTGTGATTTGCGCCCTTCGTCTAGCTCTTTTTGCTCTCTCATCCTCGCTAGCACTGTCATCATCTCCAAATTGCCACTCAACCCGACTTCGTCTGTCACTTTCTCCTCCAGTAAGAGTCCGTCCCGACCTCGTGGTCATAGCAGTTGCAACTGCATGATTTTTACCAAGACGACTGCTTCGTCGAGGACGAGCAGTTACTGGATCGCTGTCACTGTTGTCCACTTCATCAGTTGTTTCCTCGCCTTCAGAGTGGCTTTCGCGGGTTTGCTGACGTTCAGCCTTTCGTAGAATAGAATCAAAATCTTTCTCAGAAAGCTGAGTTGACTGCGTAGCATTGACGCGTCGTCCAGAGCGTGTTCGTTGAAATCCAGAAGCAGCTCTCTGTGGCTTCTCAATCTTTTTTCGCTCTTCCGGCTGCTGCTTTCTTACATCCTTCTGTTCTCGCTCTACTCGCTGCTGTTTTATTACATCTCGAGTCATCTGCAAGTGTTCTGCAGTTGCATTCGAGCACCACACGGCTACCCCAGAAAATGTCTTGATTTCCCCAAGGCCGTCCTTTGTCGTGTCACTTAGCATGCAGTTTCCCGTTTCAATCCATTTAGATAGGATCTCAACAATGACCTCCACACCCTCATCCCCATCATGTACCCGGTGTCTAATTTCTTGTACAGCTTCCTGTACATTCAATCCGCAACCCTTGCCAAACTTTTTGACAAGTTCCAAAACACCATCAACCATCAACCGACGGTATTCCCCTCCCCCTTGATCCAATTCTACACGGTCGACACCTTTGATCCAGTCGCCGAAAGCTTGTAAAGCATTCTCTACTCGTTTAGCAGCGACCCCTTTCCTACCTTTTACTTCAAAAACCTCGCCAGAAGGACCTAAAAATGTCTTTAATCCATTCCGTAGTTCTTTCTCCCTCAATCCATGGGAATTTAATGATCGATAAAGCTTTGTCAAAGTCGACAGGGAATCAATGTAAGAGAATTCGGTAGTGCAGGTTGCTCGGATGTGCCGCTTGGCGGCGTTGTCGGGTGGTGTGTAATATCGACTGGCCTCCACAAGATACGCTGGCGCTTTGCCTTTCCCCTTTGGGTCAAGGGACAGCACGGGTGACAATGTTCCTGGTGTGGCATCATGGTAGGCATAGGTATATTGTTCCACAAGAACACCGTATATATCGGGGTCTTTGTCATCAACTGACTCGGTGGTCCTTTTTGAATCTGGCTCTATAGCCCGATCCATCTTGTCTTCTTCGCCGTTGGTATCTTCCTGTTCGCTACGTTGACCTCTTAACTCTTGTCCCTTAACAGTCACCCACCAGTAGACGCGTCCGTCCCTATCCAAACCAGCAACTCTCATGGTATCATTCCTGAGCATTCTCTTCACCGCATCGTATCTTGACGGCCAGTTTAGATCAGCCTCTTCCAATTCTTCCACTTCCTTCTCAGCCCGGTGACATTTGTTGACCAATAGATTCCGTTGTCGGGCCAATGTTGCCGCCTCTAATCGGCGCTCGGCTTGCATCTTTCGGAGTTTATCACTTCTATCACGGTCCACCAATCGACGGAGAAAAGTTCCCCCACGGGTACTGTCAGTGGAATCCGTTCCATCTTCATCAGTAGTACCGGTTGGTGCATCGGCGCTAGCACTCTTTTCGCGTAGCTCTGCATCAATGGCCGCAATTTGTGCGTCAATTTCAGTGATTTGCTGCTCAAGTTCGGCAATATCAGATTTACGCTCCTTCTTCTTTATCGCTGAGGTCCATTTATCCTTCCGCATCTCTTGCAATCTATCATGGTTCAACTTTATCACCTCTCGAAATGCATCTGTTTCCATCACCTTTTGAGTGAGGGTTGACAATATCTTCACATGGGTGGAGGGATCCATCATGGCAATCTCTTGCGACTTTAAGGCTTGGCCGAGTGTAGAATCAGAGTGACCTTGCATGAGTTCCGCTACTCGATGTTGCAGACGGATCATGTCCACCTGTGCATGATGATCGATGGCATTCACCAAAAGACAATACATCTCCAGTAACATCTTAGAATGACTACTGGAATGACACACAGCGTCCACCATACAATCTGCAAAACATTCATTGAGCATATGCCCTTATAGCTTGCTTAGCATCATAGAACGGTGCGTACTCAGCTCCCAAGAAGTGGTATCTCCCAATCCAAAGACATCGTCACCAAACGTGCGCACAAAGTCCACAACAGCCATCAAATCCATTATCTCTCCGGGCAACAACCACCGAGTCCCAGGGATAGGGACACGTTCAAGGGATGGTAGAGGTTTACTAAAAGGTATCATCTCGGGCGCAAGGTCTTCCATAACTTTCTTTGGCTTCTTGACAAGAGCAGAAGATGCAAACGTGAGTTCGATGGGCTGGTTCGTAAGGGAGGTTGAAGAGGATGTGTTGGGGATGGGTGCCGAGATAGGAGATCCGGTCATTGGGAATTGCAGACAGGATTGCTTATAGCCGGCTTTAGCAGAAGAAGCCTATTAAAGACACAAAAGGGTTTGTCATATTACCCTCCGTGTAGCAATTTTCTAGAGTTTCCTTACCTGCGGTGCGGATAGCATCCGAGACGATGAGCAAGATCCATATGCCCCTGAAGGAGAGCCATTGGCAACCGACTGATGGAAGGGACCAATGTCAATAATGTCCAATACCCACATGAGACTCAACAAGGTAACTCAAACTCACCACTGACTCGTTCAGGTCACTCTCACCCTTGGCCCCAAAAGCCAGCAGACGCTGCTTCTTCCCCTTGTCGTCCTCTTCCGGACGTGAAACGCGACTGGAATACTTTTTACTACTGCTTCCTCCCAAAGGCTTTCTTTTTTGCTTGTTCCCAACAGGTATGACACTATCCACTTTCTTGTCCCCTTCCCTCCTCTTCTTCTCGGAACCGCCCAGTACACTCTCGGATTTTCGTTTGGACTTGCTGCTGCTGCTGCTGCTCGTGCTCAACTCTACAAAAGCTTCACTTTTGCGTGGCCGGTACGGAGTTATGTAGACCCCGGGGGAATTTTCTAGAGGTGAGACGTCTCTTGTCGGCTTCTTGGGAGTGGGTGTTTGTGCGGGGCCTATTCCATTGCGGTTTAGCCAAGCTGTGAGCGGGTTGGTTTTCGGCGCAGGCATTCCTTCCAGGTACTAAACAGGTACGTGGGGACAGAGTGTCAAAGAATGTTAACGGACTCTTGCCCAAATGCCCTTCTGGACCACTAAAACCGATGAGTCTCTCTACCCACCTTCTTTAGAACGACAAGAGTACGCAAAAAGGCAAAAAGGTAGGAGGAGGCCGAGCCGTCTGGGTGATCTTGACAGGTCGCATATTCCATTAAACTTAATCGGGAAAGATGAGCTCAATCAGGAAATATGACAAGATCCGGACAGCAAAGTCCGATTCAAAACAAACAAACAAAAACGTTTGCAAAAGCGCACGGAGCTATTAGGAAAAGCGTCAAAGGAACTATTATGTATATTATAAAATTGCACTATGTGATATATGATATGTACGAAGATAGAATGGCATTGTAAGACCTATCGTCATGAATGTCCCCAAAAGTCCAAGACACAGTCCCAGAATGCTTGCTCATTGTCCATTCTTACTCAAGTGTAATGCAGCCAGTTCCCTCCTCAGCCTCTCCATCTCATCATCCATCTCCCGCTGTCTCTGCACCATCCCATCAATATACCTGACTGTCCGATGCAGAATTTCAATTCGATTCGGTTGCTTCTTTCCTCGTCCTTTTCCACTCTTTGTATCACGTTCATCATCGTCGTCCAAGTAATCGTCATTTGACCAATTATCAAAAGGTAGGAGGGCAATCAGCTCGTCAAAGCATCCTTTGAGAAGTTCTCTTCGCCTTTTCTCCGACACTTTGTGGGGTGTCTTGACAGATGGCTTGCTGTCTGATGCAGGGGATGAAGGCAGTGGTGGGCGAGCGAGTAGTTCGGATTGTGTAGGTGTGGTGGTTACTTTTGCGGAAAGCGGGGGTGTTGGTGGTGGCGAGTCCGGTTTGCTGTGTGATGCGCTGAGGTGAGGGGGAAAAGACGTCAGTTGACGCCAGGGTAGAAGAGCAACAGCCAGGATGAAACTAACCTTGTGACAGCAGCCGTGGCAGTCTTCATCTGAGACGAAGCGGTCATGGTCGCCGGAGGCATATCAACCATGGGCAATTCCGTAGACGATGCCTGAGGATCATGTGGCTGATGGGGAGGTGTGATATAATCCAAAGAGGAGTTCACTCCTCCAGGAGGTACTCCAGAGGAAGACTCTGTTGGCCCGCCAAGCGACTCTTCCCATCCATCACTTCCATCGGTTCTAGATCGCCTACGCGGTTTCCTCGATGGTAATATGCGCGGACTTTTGAAAGTGTGTCTTTCGGACGCCATCTTTGAGCCTGCGCTTGGTTCACATGGAACCAGGGAGGGCGATGAGCCCACAACTGGTAATTGCACCGGACTAGCTGATGCAGCTGTGGCAGCGTATCCTCCGGTCATGTGCTGAGACGTTGGTGTAGCAACCGGTAGGAGTAATGGTGAATTTACCCAAACATATGGATCTCCGGAAGCAGACAACGACGGCGAAACTATCGGTAATGCCCCATGCGTCATAGCTGCATGCTGAGAAACGTACTGTTGCTGTTGATGCAAATTAGTGAGGGACACTGATCGCCGAATCAGTGCGGCATTCCGCATCGGTTGATACGTATGCCGAGGGATCTCTAGCGGAAAACGTTCACGGCTAGGAAGCGCATGTCGATGGTGAGTGTCATGACAAAGGACGCTATCTGCTGAGGGGAGGATTGGGTGAGAAGTTGGTTCTGTTGAATATGATTCATGAGGAATAACGGGCGGGGGATGAGGGCCGGTAAGGGGAGAAAGTTGATAGTGCACTGCTGGCGATGGTGGAGAGGTCATCCAGGGTTGCATGGTTGTCGTCGAGGAAGCGGGAGGAACAGGTGCATTCGATGCGTCATGGATAAAAGTGGTAGTTGGTAGGTCAGGAGACTGACAAAAGGATCCAGTTAGTTGATGTTTGGTTGGGACGATACACAACATATCAGCAGTACGCACCATCAACGTCTCCATAAAGGAGGAAGATGAATCCCACACCATATCCTGCCCCGATTCCGACTGACCTGAACCTCGATTGATATGGTGGATCGAATCTGCCATCAGTCCATCGGGTAGCTCCAAAGCGTCCAAAGATAAAGACGAGGGCTCTGGCTGGTGAGGAAAGCCCTTTCCACCATACATGTTCGCTCGATGATCCACCTCTACTCTCGTTGTCGCAGCCACATTGCCGCCGTCTCCGTCCATCAAAGCCCGAAAGAGATCCGCCGGGCTGTACGCCGTCATGTCGATTCCACTGTCGATATCCATCCTAACAGAGTCCTCACCCAAAGGCGTTGGATAGCTGTAGTGGCCCTTTGATGAATGGGTATCATAATGGTCAAAGTGCTGATGGGCGGAGTGCAGGGTATGCGGCATTGGCGGTATGTGTGACAAGCTGATAGGAGTCTCGTTCTGTACCAAAAACGAAATGTCTGCCCCCGAGAGAGATAAAGCCCAGTTCCAGCAAATGACCTGCCTACAAGCTACTCTACAAACTGTTTGTCAAAGAACAAAATCAACATGCAAAATGCTGCTAGACATTCCAAACGGAAAAACACGGACAAAACACCAACCTGTTGAACAACTATGCTGAATGGTATCAAAATGATAAAAAAAAAACACTTGTAAGGGTCAATAAAAGGATGAAACAAAACAAACTGCCGAGAAGAAATGTCTCTAGATGGGCGACAATGGACAATCCAACGAAATAAAAAAAAAAGGAACACTTGAACACTTGCAAGTGACAAAAACACGTTTTCTGACACTCTCCAAAAGGGGCGCGTCTTCTGCAAGATTAGTGTTTCCCCCCAAAAGTGTTCATTTTTTTAGCAGCAATTTACCATCAGCATATGCCTATTGTGTTTCTGCAGATTTGTTTTTTTTTTTTATTTTCATTACTAGGCGGGCAAATCCATATGCCATGTCCGCCGATGGATTCCGATTATAAACAAAGAACACTAATGCCGCATTGCAAATTAGGGTCCATTTGTTTTTTTTTATGCCTCCGTTTGTCTTCCATCGAACCATCCAGTTCATGGAAAATCATTGGCACATGTGTCGACATAATTTGTAGACCGACAATCATTCTCGTATTTCAACATGACGACAAAAAAAACACACAAACCACACGCGGACGAGCCCTGCCCGTCAGCAAAAAAAAAACAAAACAAGGGCAAATCGTTTAAAAACGACAAATTCTAATAAAGGGGTTCAAAAACAAAAACAAGCGAAATTAAAGATAAATGATGCATACTGCATCGTTTTACGCTTCAGCTTCCGCTTCACCCTCCTCCTAAGGAATGGAATATTTTGGTCATTAATTGTTACTCGCATCAAAAGTTGTGTATTTTGAATTACCTCTTCAAACTCGCCCTCTTCTTCGGCGGTTGCATCTTGGTATTGCTGGTATTCAGATACCAAGTCGTTCATGTTCGACTCGGCCTCAGTAAACTCCATCTCATCCATACCCTCACCAGTATACCAGTGAAGGAAAGCTTTTCGGCGGAACATGGCCGTGAACTGGTCAGAGATACGCTTGAACAGCTCCTGAATAGCAGTAGAGTTGCCAATAAAAGTCACGGACATCTTCAAGCCCTTGGGTGGAATGTCACAGACAGCAGTCTTGACATTGTTGGGAATCCATTCCACAAAGTAGCTAGAGTTTTTGTTCTGGACGTTCAACATTTGTTCGTCAACCTCTTTCATCGACATACGGCCACGGAACATGGCTGCAACAGTGAGGTAGCGACCATGGCGGGGGTCAGAAGCGGCCATCATGTTCTTGGCGTCAAACATTTGTTGCGTAAGCTCAGGCACAGTGAGAGCACGGTATTGCTGAGAGCCGCGGGATGTGAGAGGAGCAAAGCCGACCATGAAAAAGTGCAGACGAGGGAAGGGAACCATGTTGACAGCGAGCTTGCGAAGATCAGCATCTGAAAGGTGGAAAAAAATCGCAACTTTAGACACTGCACCAGTAGGCATACAAACAGATACCGCAGTGATACTTACTCAGCTGACCGGGGAATCGCAAGCAGGTGGTGATACCACTCATCACCGCAGAGACCAAGTGGTTCAAATCACCGTAAGTCGGAGTGGTAAGCTTGAGTGTACGGAAGCAAATATCATAAAGAGCTTCGTTGTCAATGCAAAAGGTTTCGTCAGAGTTCTCGACAAGCTGGTGGACTGATAGGGTGGCGTTGTAGGGTTCGACGACAGTGTCCGAGACCTTGGGTGAGGGCACCACAGAGAATGTGCACATCATACTAAGAGAAACAGTACATAAGTCAACTAGGAAAAGGGCGATTCTTTGCCCCAAAAAGTGATACGCACCGGTCAGGGTATTCCTCACGAATCTTGGAAATGAGCAAAGTACCCATTCCAGCACCGGTTCCACCACCCAACGAGTGGGTGATTTGGAAACCTTGGAGGCAATCACAAGATTCTGCCTCCTTTCGGACGACATCGAGAACAGAGTCTACCAGTTCGGCACCTTCTGTGTAGTGACCTTTTGCCCAGTTGTTACCCGCACCAGATTGTCCAAAGACAAAGTTGTCCTGAGATCGAGATTGATTACGAAATGATATTCACAAAATGTGCAAGCTTATTCTGATCAGTATCACTCACGGGGCGGAAAAGTTGACCAAATGGACCAGCGCGGACAGAATCCATTGTTCCGGGCTCAAGGTCGACAAGGACCGCACGAGGCACGTACTTGCCTCCAGTGGCCTCATTGTAGTACACGTTGATACGCTCCAGCTGGAGGTCAGAATCACCGTGGTATGTACCGGTGGGGTCAATGCCGTGCTATAAACAGGGAAGAAAACCGCCCTATTTAGTAGAGCAACGCCAAAGAACGCCTGTCAAAGAACGACGTACACACCTCATCGGAGATGACCTCCCAGAACTTGGCACCGATCTAGTGTCGGACAACAAGGTGTGCGCAGTCAGTGAAAACGTCCAGTTTCAGACTGCAGGGAATGCAAGAACAATCACTAGCACGGTGAGAACGGTCGGGCAGATTCAGCCGAGAAGCATACAATAGTGTGCCTATTCACGGCTGCGCTCCGACTCGCTGACCGGTAGTTCTCGTTTTCTCACCTGGTTACCGCACTGTCCAGTCTGAAGGTGAACGATTTCACGCATGATTTCAAAAAAAAGGACTGAAAAAGTGAGATTGTCGCGATAAAACGAGAGTGGGCGACGTTGGAGAGGGGTAGAATGTGGGAAGCAAGTGATGAGAGATGAGAGAAGCGGGGAGGAAAAGATGTGCCCAATATATAAGGAGCGGAGGAAAGAAAGGAGGGTCTGAAAGAATAAACCCCTCTAAAACCCCTCTGGGCACTGGGTGGGCCTTGCGATTTGCAGTCGCGCGTCGCTTTTCAGAACGCGCTGTTTCGGACTTTTCGGACTGTTCAGGTATCATCGGTTATAAGATTTTATTCTATCACGAACCTTTATTTTGAAATCTGTGAACATAAATGTATCACCTCCTGCTGACTACAATGGTGAGGGATATTGCACTTCCGCTTCGCGCAATTGTCTCAACCTGGTACAGACTACCACATGATGTTGTAAAATGTCAGAGCTCAATCTTGCCAAATACTCTGTTCGCATCCGCGATATTCTCAGCAACGCCGACCTCGATACAACCACTGCCAAAAGCGTACGAAGACAACTTGAACAAGAGTACAATGTCGACCTTTCACCGTGGAAAAAGGAGGTCGACGCATGTATTCTGGATATTCTCGATGAGCTGGAACGGGGGGATGAAAACGACGAGGTGGGCGAGATGGTGGACGAAAGCATAAAGGAGGAGAAGTCCAAAGACGAAGTAAAAGAGGAGCAAAAGGTCAAGCAGGAGGACTTGAAAACATTTTTGTCACCGCCCCCTGACAAGCCGGTACCAGTGAAGCGGAAAAATGGAGCAGATGTCAATGGATCGAGGAAAAAGGTAAAGTCAGAAGACTTTGTGTTCTCGGACGAGGATGAGTTGGAAGGTGAGACAGGTCCCTGGAGAAATCGTCCGCCGACCTGCACACAAATCATTAGATGCTGACCCATTGGCATTATAACACAGAGTCTTTGGAAGCAACAGCAGGAGATGAAGAGCTCGCACGACAATTGCAAAGAGAGGAAGATACCGCAAATCGACGCACCCGAAGGTCCGGTACTGCGTCAACACCCTCCACGAAGAAAAAGTCTACCGCAAAACGAGCATCATCGAAACCTTCCGCTTTTACCCGTCCTGTTGTCCTGAGTCCCGCGCTCTCTACCTTTGTTGGCGGTGCAACTGAGATGCCTCGTCATACAGTCGTCAAATTACTCTGGGCTTACATCAAAGAACATGACCTGCAAGATCCAAATGACAAGCGATATATCCTAGTAGACGACGCCCTCCGGCCAGTGTTTGGATCTAGACAACGTGTTGGAATGTTTGGAATGAATAAGATTCTGTCCAAGCACATGATGAAGAGTGATGAGGTTGTGGGCGGACGAACTTTTGGGAGCGTGGAGGACGACGATGACCTCTGTGATTCTGAGGTTGAAAAGGTCAAATCGCCAAAACCAAGAGCGAAAAAGGCGCGAAAATCGGGCAATGGATTAGCGCGAACAAACAATGCCTTCCATCGGCCTTGGTTGTTAAGTCCGGAGCTGGCGGCATTGCTAGGCAAGTCTGAATTGCCCAGGCCCCAAGTAGTCAAAGGCATTTGGGATTATGTCAAAGGCAACGACTTGCAGGACCCTAGCAATCGCAAATTTATTCTGTGCGATGCGGCCCTGCAAAAAGTTTTCAAGACGGACAGAGTCAGCGGCTTTGGCATGAACTCTGTAAGGTCCAATGGGTTCTGAGCTGTGGATTCAAAACTGATCCGTTTTTCTTACAGTTATTAAGCCAACATCTCATGAAGAAGGAAATCGCTGACTCTTCAGATCAAAAAGAGGAAATGGCTGAAGATGATCCAGAGAAATCGGTTAAAACCGAGGATGATCTGTCTGATGAGTACAGCAGCATATCTGATGGATAGCGTTTAATCGCTAATGTATACCTATGGGAATTGGACTTCCCATGTATGAGTCTTTGCCAAATTTTTGGCTTTATAGATATGTAGCTCTCTTGCCCATATCGTTTTCTAGTTTTCAAATACCACATCATATCACAAACCATTCGGTGGCTTAGTTCACGTTGTGGTCATCATGGCCGCGCAAGGTCTGTTCAGCTTTTATCTTGTAACGTCCTGCAGCCATCTACACCTGACATTTCCGCAAGAACTTTTGCGTAGGCTCTCAGTAGCAGATTCAATATTAAAGTGAGCTAAAGTGGGCTCTAATCCACTGGTCCTTATCATTTACAAATATCATGTACGTAGATTTATCATCCCAACGCTTCCAGTCTGCGACACCAAACAAAGAATGGCGGGAATGAAAACAATAATAGGCCTAGCCTTCCTCCTGGCAACGGGCATACTTCTCGTCATCCTCTCTTGTGCTCTATATGAGAACTGGCTGCCACTGTTGGTTGTGTTGACGTACGTGCTCGCTCCCATACCTAATATGCTATGTCAGAGGATTGCGCAAGGTGGGGGTAGAGATATATGGGCGGACTCCTCGGATCATAGGTGCGTTTTCGTTCTTTAAAGTTGCCTAAATCTGTATTGGCCTCATTATTGATCGTTGTGTGTGGTCTTTCCCTAGAGGTATTTTGGAGGCCGGATACTTTATTACAGCCTTTTTCGTAGTTTCCGGTTTTGGTAAGTCAACAGTGATGTTATTGCTTTTGCCAATGTCTGTCGGTGACCAATTGGTGTATTGGTATATTCCAGGTCTTCCCGTGGTTCTAGCACATGCAAACAAGATTGCTTTCGAAGCCATGATACTGTCCTTTACGGGAGGATTGTTGGTTTATGGCACAATTCTGGGCTATGTACATTTCTTTGTGACTGTTGAAGAGCCTTATTTTTAGATGCTGTTGCAATACTGTGTATCGGTGTACGTGCCCTTCTTCCATGTACTGTCCAGCGGGTTTTACTTCTCAGCAAATACCTTGCTACTGTGTCGAATACTGTCAAGATCACTCACAAAGAAATTTGCATTGAATGCTACTAACTTAATTATGCTACAAATATATACACGAAGGCAACCAAGACGAGGCTATCCGCTATCCAAACAGTCGTCTTCCTCTTTTTGGGGCCTTTTCAGTTTTTCCAGCTTCTTTATCTTTTTCCATCTTTCGGGTAGCAGCCATCAAGTTTGAAATGTATTGATGAAGTACCTGGTTTTCGGAATGCTGTTTTGAGTACTCTGATTTCGAAGTAACCACTCGGTTGACTTTTGTTCGGAGGCCTTTTTGTAGTTGGACAACTTGCCTACACATCGGCGCATTTTTAGCAAGTGAGAAAATGAATATAAACACTCGAACGTTCATGCTAGACTTACCGTATAAGGGCTTCTGCGTCCGCATCCCGTTCCAGCATTGACGGTTCGGCAGCCAATGCGGCTCCAAATGTGGTTCTCGACATGTCTTCCACTAATTCCTGCTTTATAGCCATTTCTACACTATTCACATCCCTTCTAACTACTTCGTCCGCTTGTTTTGCTTTGTTATCAACATCGCCAGATAGGAAGGCCAATAGGTCATCTGCACTTCCCGAAACCTGCTTCGTTGGTTGATCGGCCGCAGTGGCACTTGTACTGGAAGCCAGTAAATCCCATGGATCGTCATTGGGGGTTTCATTCAGAATTGATCCCGATGTTGCTATTACAGGTATGCTTCCGTGAGCGGCTTGCCATGCCTCTTCCGCTGATACGACTCTAGATGAGCTCCCTCGCGAGCTGTCCTCAATCCCAGATGATTTCGTCCGTCCCACCACCTCATTTTCTGTAGTCTCTTCCAAATCATGTTCCTCTGACATATCCACCGGCTCTGCATGAAAGTTCCCCAATATTCCGATATCACCGGCACTTGTATCAACGCCATCTGTCCAAGGGTTCCCTAATGCTGACTTTGGTGAAGTGGGGCTCCCGGGAGGAGGAGTGGGCAGTGAGGAAACTCGTGGGGGAAGTGCGACTGGTTTCTTTGGGGGTTCTACGGGTGTCAGGGCGGCGGGTGCTACCCATGGGTTTTCGAGTTCTTCAAGCTTTTTCTCACGGTATGAGTACTGCTCATCATCTGAGGACTCTCCTTCCCAAAAGTCGGTAGCTCTTCTTGTACGGGTTCGAGGCATGCTGTGTTAAATGTCTTTCCAATATTCAAGCCAAGTGACAAGAGTCTTGCCTCAACACAGGAACGGAGCATGTGACTAAGCCAACCTTGACGTTTCAGGCGCGATCTTGTAAGTTCAAGGTTTTTGTTGCCCAGAGATCATGCTCTGTGGTTTTGCATGACACTTTCCGGAATCTGTCGGCATACAGCAGCATAGTTTAGATATAAGTGTATAGACATGGGAAAATCGTCGAAAGGAAGCATAAATGGTATTAGAACATTTTATGGATGACTGGATTTGCATTGTCCAATTGTGAGGCAATTGGAACTTACGCTGTATGCAACACCACTAGAGAGTAGTGCGGGTAAGAACAGCGGCGGAAAGGGTAGTGCTACAGTTAATACAGCCAGTGCAACGGGGTCGAAGGGAAAACAGTCCCGGAGCGCAAACTCAAAAGGCAAAAATGAGAGTGCTACTGAACCTCCACCCATAAGTCAAAAGAGACAGCTATTTGGCAGTTGGGTACTATTTTAGCATGTCCTTTTGTATAATCTTGAAATATGCATTGACACCGAGTTGTTGTGCTAACTATTAGACGGGAAAGACCCCAGTTAGCTTATTGTATGAACACTGCCAGAAAACGGGATGGGAGAAACCGCAATTCAATACGGTGAGCTTACGATGCCGATCAGGTAAAACCATCACCCCGCGGTGCTCAATAGTATGCACAGGTGAAAAAAGCGAAAGGTTTTCAATGTATCATTACAATTGGCAAAGAAGATAAGAAAACACGAGAGGTCAAACGCATTACATATTGCCCATTTGGCAACTTTTATCCAGAATCTGGGGAAGCCAAACATGTAAGGGAACCCAGGAGCCATTTGTTCTCCAATATGACGCTGACCATCTCCTTTTTGTGTCCATTGAAAGTATGCCGCCACATACGCCCTTCACAAAGTCTGCTCTCATATGTCCATTCACCGTCTCCTTCCGCCGGGACCGCGGGATTTTTGGCTGGAGCTCGACGAAGGACGAAAAAAGCTGGATCCTTCCCTTGCACAATATGAGTATGCCTCTGATCCTTTTGCAGCTATCGAAGCACGGGAAAGGGCGGATACGGAGCGTCGTGCGGCGATTGCGGCGAAAGCTGCAGAGCAGCCCAAGGCCCCATGGGAGTCCTATCCTGTCGTCCATATGTCAGCTGAGAACCGACAGATGGTTGAAGATTTGATTCGAGCGAATCAAGCTGTTCTTGCGGAAAATGGGGACACAAAGTCGGAGGTGATGCGATGATCCTTCAGCAATACGACAAGTTCATGGAAACCGCTGTTCCTAACGTACTCGCACCCATAGGTCAAACCGGCATTGCACATCAAAAAGTCTCTAATAAAGCTGGGTTTTCGACCAGCACATGTAGACGAAGCATTAAATTTCTGCACCGATCATGCCAGCGCCTTAAACTGGTAAGATTTTCGATCATCACCCACAGAGATATTTTGGGCTAAATAACTCTTTTGTTCTTCAGGCTCTGTATCCACGTTCCTGAGGATGGTGAGTAACTGATCTCTCTATTTGGCTCGGGCCAAGGAAGCTAAACAACCCAACAGATCTACCATCCCAATTCCTTCCCGATGTGTCTCCTGAAATCAACGCCCAACGACATACTTCTACCAGTCTAGCCCGTGAATACGCGGTGAAACGTCTGGCTTCTGCTGGATTTTCGAGAAAACTTTGTGAAGAGGTTTTAGACGCTCATGAAGGGAGGGAGACGACGGCATTGGTGTCATTATCGCGGAAATTAGTGGATGTTACAGAGGAATGTCATGTATCGGAGGATGGCTTGAGTTATGGGGAGGCTGAGATTGCGGTTATGGTTGACGAGGAAGTGCAGGCGTTGGACTCAATTTTTAATGCCCATTTCAGTCACGAGCAATCGGAGCAAGGTACGGTGTACTCCATACTGTTCGAAATCGGAGATGTCCCTGGACGCAGTACGCTCGAAATCTGGCTTCCCCGACCATCAAGATATCCGTTCGAGACGCCGGGCCTAGTTTTGCGGAATGAGAAACTTCCAGCCTATATACGGTTGAGCGCCATGCGGGAACTGGGCCAGCAAGCAGTTGAAATGCTTGGCTCTCCAATGGTTTTCGCACTGGAGGCTTGGCTTGAAGATAATCTGCCTCGTCTAGTAGCAACGCCTCCGCCTTTGACAACAATAGCGGTGGGTGTCGCATTGCAAGCAGACAGCGATCGACAACACGATTCGCTGTTGGCATCCGCGGATGCGCCACTCCCGACGTCACATACAAAGAGCCAGCACGTCAGAGCTCCTAAAGTGAAGAAGACGCCAAAACGGCTGGCTGATGACCCACAGCTAAGTCAAAAACTGAAAAATGCGCTTGCGAGCAAATGCGGGGCTGCAGAGTACCAGAAAATGCTTGCATATAGAGAAAAACTGCCGTCGTTCAAGTACAAAAATCAAATCATGGATGTGAGTGGCATGTCGTTAAGGTGAACTGAAAGAGCCTGGTCTAATCAGTGCCGCTCTCAGGCACTGGCCAATAATCAAGTATTGATTATATGCGGTGAAACAGGATGGTGAGTAAGCTGTTACTGCTGTAATTTTGCATCGCTTCAGCGCTCAGCGAAAATATCTAGTGGAAAATCTACACAAGTTGGGCAATTCATCCTGGATGCCATGATACATGCTCAGCGGGGTTCAACCTGCAACATCATATGTACGCAACCAAGGCGGATCAGTGCACTTGCACTAGCAGAACGGGTCGCATCAGAACGCTGTGAGAAGGTTGGAATGTCGGTTGGGTATTCCATCCGGGGCGAAACCGTACGTTCCGCTGATACTCGCCTGATGTTTTGTACCACTGGTATCTTGCTGCGAATGACTCATTCCGATCCCATGTTGAGCGGAATTTCGCATTTGATCGTGGATGAGGTTCACGAACGGGGAGGTGAGTGCAAAGGTGCTGGTGATCGCTGGGCGAATACTGACTTCCCGTTTGCTATTACAGTTGACAGCGACTTTCTGCTGATTATCGTACGTGACTTACTTCCCAGGCGGCCCGACTTTAGACTAATTCTGATGAGCGCCACGGTAAATTCCACTACATTCTCTTCGTACTTTCGACGGGCACCGGTTTTCGAAATTCCTGGGTTTACCCATCCCGTTCGGGATTTCTACCTGGAAGATGTGTTGAAGAATGTAGAATACACACCTGTAATGGGCAACCTCGCACGCGGCAAGAAGGGACCTCGTGAAGAAGAAGAGGCCGAAAACGATAGAGAATGGTTCCAAAAATGCGAAGCGGACGGATTAGACGAAAGCGCCATCAATGTATTGACCTCCGCCCATCAAGGCAATGCTAGTATCAATTATGATCTGATAGCAGCGATAGTTCGACATATATGTCAAAGCTTTGCAAATGACGACGGAGCTATTCTGATCTTTATGCCGGGTGTTTCTGAAATTAAAAAATGCATGGACACCCTTCGAAATGACGTGGGAAGACATTGTGGACGGCTTGAGATCATGCCACTTCATGCAAATCTAACGAGTAAAGAGCAATCCATGGTATTCCGGACCATGCGCTCCGGTGTCCGCAAAGTAGTGATTGCCACCAATATTGCGGAAACGAGTATTACCATGTGAGTGCTTTTCATCGCTTCATGGTAATCTGTACGTCTGACTATAATCCTCATTGCTCGTCGCGATCCGTAGCGACGACGTTGTATATGTTATCGATCCGGGAAAAGTCAAAGGTAGCATCTCCTGAATAGTTTTTCACGCTGTGTCAACCAATGCTCACATTATTTCCTTCTAAAGAGATGCAGTTCAATGGCACCATACTGACTTTAACGGAAACGTGGGCATCACGAGCTTCCTGCAAGCAACGCCGAGGACGAGCTGGACGTGTTCGACCTGGCTACTGCTATAAGCTATTCTCCAGGCACTTTGAACAAACGAAAATGGCCAGCGACTCGGAACCTGAGATGGTCCGACTACCATTAGAACAGCTGTGCCTACAGGTCAAGGCGATGGGCAATGAGGATGTTGTAGCCTTTTTGGGCAAGGTATTCCAACCGTGGCGGAGCGGTACATCCAAGTCGTTACTAACGGACGTATCTTCGTCATGTGCAGGCCATAAATCCGCCAGCAGTAATCAACATTGAAGCTGCACTCAAAGTGCTACGCGACGTGTCCGCGATAGATCCTACCGATGATCGACTTACTGCCCTCGGACGTCATATGGTACGTCGCAGAGCATCATCGAGTTTGCAAAACTCGTTAATGTTACCTGTCAGCAAACTCACCGTTGATGTAGGCAACAATTCCGGCAGACCTGCGTATCGCCAAAATTTTACTGTTTGGAGCCATTTTCAAATGCCTGAATGTTGTTCTCACCATCGCGGCATGTATGAGCAGCAAAAGTCCATTCCTTGCGCCCATGGCAAAGCGGGACGAAGCTCGAGCGTATGTAGGCTTGCTTTTCTAAACGCTGGGACGACCCCTATTGACTGCCTTATATAGTGCGCGGGAACATTTTGCATCTGATAAGAGCGACTGGTTAACGGATTGTAGAGCTGTCCATGCATGGCTAGAAGTGGCGTCGAAAGGAAACCGCGCCGAGCGCGAGTTCTGCGAGCAAGTGAGGTTCAAACTAGTGATTTATTCATGTCCTGTTTACTAATGATTGAAATAATTTTTCAGAACTTCCTCTCCCTTGCAACCCTGTCAAGCATATCGGACCTGCGTCGTCAATACCTTGACATACTCATCGATCTAAATTACGTACCACAAGCATACAGCCGCGCCATTGATGACCCATCCCACGGATTGAATGCAAATTCCACGAACGGTAGAATCGTAAAAGCAACATTAGTGGCTGGTTTATATCCCAACTTGGCGCGCATCAAGCTTCCCGAAGTACAGTACGATCAAACTGCACACGGGTCCGTGGCGATCGCTGCCAAAGCACGGGAAGTCAAGTTTTATACAAGCGAAGACGGTAAGGTTCAATAACGACAATCCTTGCCAAAATCGCTCCCATGTTCATAATCACTTTTCTTAGGTCGTGTCTTTATCCATCCCGCGTCCGTCAACTTCACTCTCAACCGGTTTGACGATCCTCTCATCGTCTATCATCAAAAGATATCTACTTCTAAAATATTTCTACGAGACACGACACTATGTTCCGCGTGGCCCCTCCTCATGTTTGGCGGGGAACTGCAGGTGGATCACCAGGGTCGGTCATTGTCAGTAGGACGACAGTGGAGGTTTCAAGCATATGCAAGGATCGCTGGTGAGTGGTTGGCATCTGCGCGAGTGACATACGCGGAAGTTGTGGAGGAACTCATTCAATTTCTTATCAACTTCAGCACTGATCAATGGTTTGCGAACTTTGTTGGATAAGGGCCTTGAAGCAAAAATAGCGGACCCAGGCTTAGATATATCTGCTGCGCCTGTTGTTCAGAGCATGTTGAAGCTGTTGGCAACCGATGGGATATAGCTTGCCAACCTTACTTCGATGTGCCAAACATGCTGCCGCTAGACCCTCGGCTGTCCGGATAGTTTTGTGACAATTTATATAAATTATTAGCGGCCACCCTGTAATTAGGTACACCCAGCACTATGACAGATCCCCAAAAATGCAGTATAGATGTGTATATACAATAGATATTCTACCACTTGCTAGCTACCTGACTTGGGGGTGTCTGGTGTCCCTGGTGCCTTGATAGCGATCACTTTCTGCTTATTGACAAGAATATGTGAAATGACTTCTTCTTTCCCCAATGTCTCCTCTTCGCTTGTTTCCGGGTCCGTCGTAACAAACTTTAATATCGGTGGCTTGTTGAAAGGATTTGAGTTTGTCGCCACGAGACAAGAATCTTTCAAGTGTTCAGACCCACCTTGGTATGATATATGTCATTATATCGCCGTCGCGCTTCGTCCATAAGCCATCCAATCGTCTTTGGCGTCCCATTTGGACCATTTGGACACGAAATAGCGAAGATCTCATCCTTTTCTTGGGGATCTTTGATCACCACCCTTATCTTCATCGGTCGTTCAACACTCTGCATAGAGTATGAGCCAGTGGAAACGACCACCTAACAACCGCTGCTCAGTACGTACCTGCTGACCTGACCTTCCCGATGTAGTTGATTTGACTGAGCTGCCAGTACTACCTGGCGTACGCTGATGAATGCTGTTGACTGGCGTTGTCGCTCGACGTTGAAGCTTATCTTGGAATAAGAGTCGTGGGGCCGGGCTGACAGACATCTGTCGCCCCGGAGTTTCATCAATTATCACTATCGGAGATCGTGGTTTTGAGGGGCGACGTATGGACGTATCTATGGTGGATTGATGGTAGCATCTGATATGAGCTCTGGGAGGCAGGTCTCATGACTGATGGACGAGGTGACATACCTTGGTTTACATCAATCGGGGGAGGTAGCTGTGTGGGGCTATCAATATTACGAAAAATGAGTTCAGGAAAGTCCAAAATAGTAAGAAAAGAGCTTGAGTCGCACCTACTACTTGGTTGATGAAATGGTGACCGCATTGTTGACAGTGTTTGGTTGTGCCGCGATTTTGTTCGGTTCGATTGGGGTAGTGGCGCGAGATCATTGGGTTGGTCGAATCGTGGTATGGGCGGAGAAGACGAATCGTCTATGCGTAGGCTTAATTGGCAGTACAGCGTCAGAAGTGGCGTCATGCGCTCATCAGAACAGGATACAAACCGCTTCTTTATGCTATGTTTCTTATCGCACATTTGCGGTTGCTCTTTTCGCTTGATCTCAGGACTTCGTGAAGGGGAGATACAGGTTGACACTTTGAGAAGAGTGCCCGGGCTTATTTGTTCGTTGACGCTCTCAATTTCGTTTCCCTAATCGATGATACATCAGCCAGTGTTCCAATTACAGGTGATGCGGACACTTCTTACAATAGTATGGATTTGGTACTTGGAGGTTTTCTGTTTCCTCGCATTACTCGCTACAGTACTTTGCTGCGGCCGCAAATGAAACCAGCAGCCTTGCCGAAAGTGACAATGCATTCACACGCCTTACCTGCGCTGTTCGCAACTGTGGGCTTGGTAATTCATTCCTCGGGTGTGACTGCAATGGCTTGTGGCTGATGTCTGCTGAATTTGCCCCATGTGAACGATCTAGGGGTCCAACGTTTTCCAAGTCACTCTCAGCGTCAGTCATCATATCCGGATCTGCAGACCCTAAATCCGGCTACCACATCTTCGCTATCAGATAAAGTTCATGTAGAGCATGTTGCATATTTAGACCTACATCAAAAGAGTCTTCCGGCGTTTCACTGTTTTGAGCTTTCTCTAGCAAATCTTCCACATATTTCAATCGTGCTGAGTACGCGTCTGCTTTCGCAGCGTAATGGTGCTTTTGATTGATCCAAACCAGTTGATGTAGCCCTTCTTTTTGAATCTCGAGATCAGATAGTCTATGAGCCAGCTTGACAACATCTTCGTAGCTACGAGAAATGGTATCATAAGACTAAGAACGATAGAGTCAGTGTGTTTTGTGATGAGTTCAACATCGTGAAGCATCCTTACTGCGCCAGTCTCATGGTATGCGTCTGCGAGCTTGACCAATAGAGCAAGTCGCTCTCGGTTATCCCCCGCAAATTTATCCAAAGCCTCCCTATACGCCCTGATGGCATCATGATACCTTCCTTCTCCAGCATAAGATAGACCTGTGGTTCACAGTGGAGTGAGCTCATAAGTAGAATTCGCACTGCATGACCTCTTTGGTTTACCCAGGTGATATAGCAGCTTTTCCAAGCGTTGTTTAGATAGCTTGAGCGCAAAGGACAGTCGTTTCTGTTCTTCGAAATCTTTAATTGATTGAGCGGTCTTTCCAATGCTCCTACGGTGCAGAGTTAAGACCATGTTCTCTGATGATGCCGCATGTTCATATATACTCACAGCAGAAGTTCGCCACGTTCGCCCAGCACATCGAAATATTTCCTCAAATCTTGCTGCTGATGCGGTTGCATCAATGCAGTACTTAACTCTTCAATACGCTGCTGCTTTGAAATGCACTCTTCGACTTCTCTAATAGCGGTCTGAGGTATTGTCGTGTGTTAGCATTCTAGGTTGGCGCGCATTGTAATAGAGAACAAGTAGCTGAGCGCTTACAAATGCGGCCTTTCTGCCATCCTCATCATCTAGCACTTCACATAGATCTGTACGATGATATAAAGTTCAGTTCTGTCCCGAGAAACTCATAGCGACTACGTGCATACTTTTGTATGATCTGAGTGCGTCCAGGGCTTGTCCATACCGCCAATATTCTCTGCAGCGTAGAGCTAGATGATGAAGAGTAAATGATACAATTTCTTATTATATGCTAAAAAGGCAGTAGATCAATACCTATATCCCAAAATGTCCTTGCTTCATTGACTACGTCGCCCATACTATGCAGAATCTGCTGCTCTTTGAGGGCATACTAAACCAACCGACATGTGGAAATCAACCGGCAGAACCATTTTTGATCTTAAATTCAAGCTACTACCAACCTGAATACTTTCTTCCGCATCACCCTTTTCATGGTAGCAAGACCCAAGATTGAAGTAGGCTTTTGCTTCATGCGCTCGATTACCTGCATATGACGCCGTCAACAAATGCGTGGTTGGCAAATTGCACGGTGCGCAACAACCTTGTCTCCGATAATGCTCAAGTGCCTTAGACATGTGCTGGATGGCTTTGTCATATTCGCCTGCATGTTTGTAGGTGATGCCGAGGTTGAGGTTAATGTCAGCCTTGGCATCTTCCTTCGCTTCCTTAGGCACATCTTCTCAACATCAGTAACGCAGTATGGTGACGTGTCCACTATACATCATCACGTACTTTTCACCAGGGCGGCGGCATGCCTCCAAGCCTTTTCTGCATCTTTGTTATCATTAGGGAGTTGTTCATTGGATTCCCTATAGCCCATAAGCAATTGATGAGAAGCTTCATAGCAGGGTAGACACTCCACAACAAGATATTCTACCATCGAGCGGTGTACGCCAGTGCTAATTGGAAGAACGAGTGCAGTTGCTCGCTCTTTGATTAAAACATCACAAAGTTCATGTTAGCTACCGAGATCAAGGTGGAGAACCCACGGATGAGCAACCAACCAACCAACCTCATCTTTCAATTCTTGTGCGACTGCGATATACTGCTTCGAGTAATCTATCGCAGCCTGAAATTGCTCCAGTCTTGCATAGATAACCCTTCTGTCAGCCCGATACCCATCTTCGTGTACACAATAATGACTTACTCTCTGTAACCTTCACTTAATCTACAAAGGGCCCTGCAAGATTTTCAAGCCTTGAGTTATACCAGAACCGACAGCCCTGTTCACCGCACGCATTACCTGGTCTTCGTTTTCAGAGCCGCAGTGCCTGACAACACAAGGGCCAGTCTGAGCTCTCGCTTTGCAATATCGATGGTTTTGGGGATATCCTCAGCCTCCTCATAGAGATCGCCCAATTGGTTCAGCAGTGCGTCTGCTTCTTCGTACTGTTTACTTTCCTCTGCCAGTTGGAGTTGAAGTAGTAGGCCTCGTGTCTTTTTTGGTAGGTTCCCTTGAGCTGTCCCAGGTTTAATGCTGTATCCCAACTTGTACACGACTTTTCTCCCCATTGCTTCGCTTGAACTGCGACTGCATTTCAGTCTAAGCGACTGCCAGATCCCTTTTACGTCCTAGAGAGGCAGAGTTACAGGTCCGACGACTCGCGAAGTTTGTCCAGACTCATTAAACCATATTAGGACTAATTGGAATCTAGACATGACATAATCATCGGCTATCGGCTTTTGAGCAGCAACGAATCAACAATCTGTCTAGTTTCCAAATGTGCTGTTGCGGACAATCCTCCGCCTTGCAGGTTTCCCTGGCATCGACGAGTCTTTTATGCCACAGTCTGGGGCAATATAATTAGACCAACGCTTATGTATTGCAAAATAACAATTAATCGTAATTTAGTTGGCTTATGCAGACTGGCTATGATACAGTTCAATCACGGTGTAACTATTTAAACATTTGGGAAATACCCTATCTTCCACTCGAGTACTACTGCTCTAATCTTCACGTTCTTGTAGGATCACCTCCACTGCTTCTGCAAAGTTCGTCACTACTTTACTTGGTGTGACCCCTTTATTATGCTCATCGCCATCCCGATACTTTCCTGTCTTCACCTTAATAATTGAAGCAAGCAACGGAAAGGTCACGGCTTGGAAAATGCACGGATGCTGTGTTTAGTGAAGCCCACTGCTTACCAGAAAACCGCGCATTCCCAAGTCCATCGCGCCAGCAACGTCATCTCTAACGTCGTCGCCAATCATAACCGCATTCTCCGCTGGGATCGCCATATCCTCAAGAGCGAGCTTGAAGAAGGATGGCTCGGGCTTCCCGACTACCTGTGCTTTCACGTCTGTTGCGTACTCCAGAGCGGTTATGAAGGGTCCGGGGCCAAGGGCGAGGCCATCTGGACGAGCGAAGTACCGCGCTTTGTGGATTGCAATTAAGGGACTTCCGGATTGAATGATGCGGAATGCTTCGTTCAACTAAAAGATAATGCAGCTGAGAACTGATACTTTGCCCGAGTGCGTAGAAACAAAGGTTCAGCACTGTTGAGCTGGCATTTAACCTTTTCATAGTGGAACGAGGAAGGACTCAATCCAACAACAACGGCATTTGGGTTATCCGTAGGGATATCAGAGAAATCTTCGAGAGCTTCTGGCTCTAACAGCAACAGCGGACGTACACCCATGGACCTGACAACATTTCTGGCCGCTATGAGGGAAGTGAACACCTGTTATAGATTTAGCTTTAACCACTGTCGCATAAAACTGAAAGAGCATCCAGTTGGAAGAGCGACATCCGACCTCCTCCCTATTGATCTCAAAACCAATGTTCCTTAGTTTCTCTACCAACCGCTGTACGGACTCTTTCGTGGTATTTGTGCAAAAACGGATCTGTCGTTACATGAGCATCAGGTAGACCATCTAGCCCTTGACCGGAAGTACCTGCACCCCTGAACCGCGCAACTCTTTTAGAGCGTCAACAGCTCGAGGAGTCGCCTGCTTGTCCACGTGTAAGGTGCTGAAATAGACAGCCGTCAGCATTGCCTCCAAACCCGCGGCATTCTTCCTTCCCAATTTGAGAGCACGGATTCGCTATGTAGGAAGTCCTTGTGCTCTTACCCGCTCAAATCAATCAGCACCCCCAATGTTTTCGCCACGCGTGCCATCTTGGCCAATGCTGTTGAAGTGAAACCTTCGCTCCAAGAGCCCCACAATTACGTCGTCACCTGACGGCTTAGCGTAGTGCACAACCGGGGTTGCGGCAAAATGACTAAAGGCAATAATAACCTTTAAGGATATTTGCAAAGGGAAAGCCTTGCCTCGAGGTCGTTCATCTGCTGGTAAACGTCTACGCACCACCCAACCGTCCTGTGCAAGGGGTTTTGTTGACATCATATTTCGCTTAGTCGATTCCTACGTAAGCCTCGCGGAGCGTTCCCCCGACAAAAGACCCCAACAGGATAGTCTAAGTTACCCGCAAGCCGAGAGCAGAGGCTTTCAAGGGTCTTTGAAGTTTACCTTGTCACCCATCGTACGAAGATTCGGAATCCTTCTAGCCCCTTTCGGTCGGAGACAATGAATACTTAGACAGTTATAATGTGAATCTTTATAAATTCGAAGGCATCAAAAACGTTGACCAGTTTTCCTATTCCTGGTACTTCTCGTTGTGGATAGAACATTCGCCGAATGGATTCGTACTCGGTCTATATCTCTGTGGAAGGAAAGCTGAACGAGACAGTGAGGATCGCCCCGAGCCTGTCCATCCAAGAAATTCGATCCGTTTTCTGTGCAGCCGCCGATGTCAGTTACGAGACGAGGGATGTTGTCCTTAAGCTTTACCGCCCCGACGGAATACTTGTTCCAATTGGCCCTCACATCCCACCAAACTCACCTGAGACCCGTTATATCCTCCAAGTGAAGCAGGGTAAATGTTACAATGCAGTTCGATGGCTTCCTTCCAGGCTCTTTGATATCAATGCTTAGTACGCACTTTGGAACGTTAGATAAATACCTACCAGGAGCGTCTTCGGAAGTAAAGCCTGTAATTGACGCTCTTGACGCTGTCAGCGCCCTGCTAGGAGATGCATTGAAGTTGAAAGACAAGGTTGACAAGTTGAAACGACATGCGCACGCGGGAGGATTTGACGGGGCAGTGGGCACAGCGTCTGTAGAGGTAGGAACTGTCCGGGTGGCTTGCCATCGGTCGATATCATTGTTGACATCAGGATGCTTGCAGTCGGCGGCCCATGCGTCCAAAAATATTCCCGCTATCCGAAGGGTGCAGCAAGTGGGCCTTCGCCTGGAAGAGACGGTCCCGAAACCAGATTTCAGTGACGAAGTGAAAGAGAATTTGAAGCATCCTACGTTCGACATTTGGCAATGGCAAGAGCACGAAATGGCGTATCTTCTAGAACACATGTTTGTTGAATTTGGGCTTATCGAGTTGTACAAGATTGATGAAACGAAGATGAGACGCTTCTTGCAATGCGTTCGATGCAGTTACAACAATAATCCTTTTCATAACTTTCGACACTGCTTTTGTGTGACTCAAATGGTAAGGTACCTCCGTATTAGCAATATTTACTTGCTGCCACTTATTTCAACCTTTATCACGGAGAATAGATGTACGGACTGCTACATGTTACTGGTGTACATGAGAAACTGACTCCGCTGGAGAAACTTGTCCTTCTTGTGGCTTGCATTGGCCACGACCTGGATCACCCCGGCTTCAACAACGCCTACCAAATCAACGCCAGCACAGAGCTATCCATAATCTACAACGACATCTCTCCACTCGAAAATCATCACGCTGCTGTTCTTTTCACCATTCTCAAATCAGACGAGACCAATATTCTATCGAACCTTTCCAACTCAGAGTACAAGGAGGCTCGAAAACAGATTATAAACTGCATCCTCGCTACTGATATGGCGAGACACGGCGAGCTCATGGCCAAATTCAAGGGCTACGCTGAAGCTGGGTTCAACTATGAGGACCCAGCACAGAGGACACTCCTTATTCAGATGATTGTCAAGTGCGCAGACATTAGCAACGAAGTGAGACCACAGCACGTCTCGGAGCCCTGGGTGGATAGCCTCCTAGAGGAGTTCTTCACGCAGTCGGACCGTGAAAAGGCGGAAGGGTTGCCGTGGGCGCCTTTCATGGATCGCCAAAAAGTGACGAAAGCCAGCGCGCAGGTGGGGTTCATTGGATTTGTCATGATACCATTGTTTGAGTTGGTGAGCAAAGTACTCCCAAACATGGAAGAACCAGTTATTCAGCCCATCAGAAGAGCGTTGGACTATTATAAAAGTATGACGGGGTGAAGAATTTACGATGTGCTGTTTACTGTAAGACTGTCGGTACAATCCAATCCTTGCGACCAAAATATGGCAGTTTTGCCTCTATCAACCATTTTTGCAATATATCGGGAACTATTCCCTGCACTGACAATTGCGCAGCATTGAAGGGTGGGTGATGATGTTAGCGGATATAACGCCCAGTATACATTAATACGTGTGCGCCCTCAAGTATATAAGAATGCAACGGCTCGTCTCCGTCGTCTGCTCTGCCCTAGTCTAGATCTAAATGCGTTTTGCGATCCATCGGCAATGCCAATCTGGTGCGTACGACTGGTTCCCGTCGCTTGACCCGGATCTGATGGCGTGGCCACTTTTCCACCAACTCCAATCCCTAACCCAAGCACCAGCACCAACGCCACGATCATCAGCACGATCACTAAAATTGCTTTTCGCACCTTTCGCCACAAAACTTCTTTTGCAGATCGCCGTCTACGAAGCGAGCGCAACCCTCCTTGCATTTCTAACCGTCCTTCCGTATCTAAACTGGTACCTGATTCCACTCTTATTGAAGTTCCTTCCTCGAACGATTTCTGTTGCTCTCGTTCGCGGGATCGTGATCTTGACCGGGATCTCGATCGTGACCGCTTGGGTAGCCCGTACATCCATTTGCTTGAGCTCGAAACAAAAGACAGTACAGATGCCATCGAGTCTTTTCGAAGGGAACTGGACATGAAAGGGGGTGTTCCACCAGGTGGAGTGAGGAATGTTAAACATCCCCCCGGGAAAATGCCAGTTTTTCCTGTAGTGCAATTTCGTCCGTGTATCCAACCTGGACGCAGACTGGTGTGAGTATACCTCTTTGAAGACAATGTATTAACATGATAAAATCCTCACCATCTTGAAACCGCTTATAAATCTCCAGCTTATCCCCAACCGCAACAGGAATTTCATCTGACATCGCCGGAATATGGGCAGCCGCAGCAGTTTGCATAAATGATCGAACCCCGTTTTTCTTGTGCTCAATTTCCCACACGTCTTCTGGGCTTGGTTCCTCGATGCTTACGCGGACGCTATGATCATCCACATCAGAAGCTGAATCCACCTCGCCGATACTCCAAAATATTCTCGATGGGCCCTCAGCTGGTGTTAAAATGATTTTTGGAGTCTGGAGGCGTCCTCCATCGCTTTCCAGGAAAAACATTTCGCTAAATGTCGGGGAAGGGAGTGGTGGTAATGTTGGAGTGCCTTCGAAAGATTGCTCACGAGTGCTAACAGAGGATTTCGGTGCAGGTGGGGGACGGGGGGAAAGAAGGCCGGGGGTAGGTGAAGGCTCTCTGTTAGTACCCCACAGAGTGCGTGGTGCTTCTGGAGGAGGTGTTACGACTACATCCGCAACTCCAAGGGCAGGGGAGCTTGGAAACCTTGGTAAACGCTCCAGATTACGGCCCCTTGGCCCCGGGTTGTTGAGAGGAACCAGGAGGCTCGACATTGCTGGTGCGAGGAGCGGAGGTGTAGAAGGAGCTGAGGTGGACCTCGCGTGATTTGACATGGTTTTCGCTGGGGAAAGGGAGCCTGCTAGGGAAGGGCTTGCTTGGAGAAACTCAGTTTCGCGACTGACGTAATGCATTTGCACGTGTCAGAACACTGTTTGAAATCTCGCTTTCCATCTGGTTCCCATCTGCAATCTTCGTTTTCCATTCGACTGGAGAATGTTTACCTTTGCTACATGGATTGGCGATTTTTACTTGAATGCATTGCTGTGTACATGGAGTGTATTGATATTTTATGACTTTGATATGGTTAAGCCATATGGGTATATTCTAGCTGGTCGTGGTTCACTACCAAATATCTAATAAATGTCCGGCAACCATCTCTCGCAACCTCGAGCCCCAGTCGGACCTGTCTACAAGTGAGCTGCATCATCGCTTCCCTCGCTCTCTGTATACCGACGCGCTGTGACCACTCTTTGCAGAGTCCGCTCCGGTGGCGCTTGACTGGAGCAGCGGGATCCCATGCGGGCGGCAAACTGCTCATTATAGAAGCGAACCATACGTTGGTTGTGGAGATACACCAGGCAATTCATTGTGCCTCCAGAGTTGACGGTTGTAAGGGCTATATAGTAGAGTGTCTGGGAATAATGTAAGTTTTACTGGTCTTGTCCCGACGGGGCACAGCACGGCCCGATAGAGTTACCTTATTTATCAAGCGGCCATCATCCCAGAATAGCACCGCAAATATTAGCGCGGAGGTAGGAATGTACTGGACGCATCCAATGATAGCAAAGTTGAGCTGGGATATGACCGTTAGCTGAAGTGCGAACCGTACAGACCGAAAAGCCACATCCATATACTGACCATACGAACATCAGCTTGGTGTGTACGGTTGTCTTGAAGGTCTGCGAAAGTATATTTCGTAACGTCTCCGATAACGGCCCGTATTTGGCGACGGATGGAAACACTTGAAAACACGATCGCGACGGTGGTGACGATAAGGAAAGCCACTGGCGATGAAAAAGAGAAAATGATAAGCGAAATGGGCAAAGCTATCATGTTGCTCTTCACGTATTTCACCTGTCAACAACCACATGATCCTTCCGGGGCGACCCTCAATCTTAAAGCAAATGATGTATGAAGCCGGACCGAAGGCATCGATCCCTAGGCCAACGACGACTATGGACATGACTATACTCATGACCAGAGCATGCAACTTCCATTCATACACTCCCAGGGGAAGCTTCCACCGTCTAACAATTTTGAGCCAGCATTGGGCAGCCAATGCGCCATTGATTGTTATTTGATAACCCCACCCTATAAGCAATATTACCCCCAAGAGACGACATGTTCCAGCCGAAGGGTACTTTTTGTTCACCATAACAGTTAGGTGGTCGACGAAATGTACAGATGCAAATGCCAGGTCCGCGGTAGAGATGTAAATGGGAAGTCTATCGTTCAACGTCTTGTACCGCCGTGCACGAACACTCGTGATGATGACGAACGATGATCCCATGAAACTGGCAGTGATGCACACCAGGCTGAGAATATGCAGGCCGTAAAACATTTCAATGTCGTTGGCAACGATAGCACTTGATCCTGCGTAGTACCCGGTAAAGGGCTCCCAGTCTACAGCCATTGCCGCCTACTTCGAATAGTGCGAGAAGGAACCTCTTTTCACCAAACAGAGTGGGGAGAAGGAGGCTCCATGTTCTGCATATATACGAGTATGCTCCTATGCCTGCTGCAAATATCCTGGTGTGCGTCCCAGGTTGTGGGTACCTTTGGAGTAAACTCTGTTTTTAAAGGCATCAAAAACAATCAACAATTCCGATTCGACAGCTAATGAATGAGTTTGACGCCATATCTACACTAAGTAAGACAGCTTATTCAGTCCATGGCACTTGAATGTTGATCCAATGGCCAATTCGTTAGTTACCAACCGAACCTACTTTTGACGGATCGGCTCACATGCAAAAAAGCAAAAACGTTCTTATTGTTCGATCATCCCAACATTTGTGGAGGGGGCGATTCTATCTAAAAGCTATTTTAAGTAACTCCAAATGTCGGAAGTTATAACTCTGCGAGGACAGCCCAAAGTCGCGATCCAGCATAAAATGAACAGTGCAATCCTACCTTCGCTTCACAGTCTTCCCATTTTCAGTAGCAGGACATACCTATGATGACACCTTCTTGGAGTTACACTCTTCCTATTGCCACTCTATTCCTTCTGAATGGGGCTCGTGCAGCGCTGCAACTTCCGCCTCCGATGCCAAAGGGTGTGTGTAATGCAGCTTATCTAGTGTGGGGTAAACCCACATTTCTGACCAAAATGAAACTCTTTCAGCTTGGCCGGCGCTTGATCAGACTGTAATGATTGATGGCGCACTATTACAAGATCCCCTGGTGACAGAGTACGTATACTAGTTTATTAAAAGGGATTCGGTTGAAACTGGAAGGTTACTTAAATCCCAATATCTCATCGGATGATTTCAGGGCCCTTGCACATGTGCAGACCGTCGTGCCAGCTTCGATTCTCAATCTTAAGCCTTCGACCTACATTAGTGGGTCTACCGTCACCTATCTGGAAGATAGTGCGGCTACCTGCTACTGGCCAGCAAATCAGTGCACTCGAGGCACCAATGCGAACTTCAAACCGGATATTGTCACTTGCCCCTCGGCGAACACCTGGGGTATCACCTATGATGATGGTCCGACTGTGAACCTCGTCAATGGAGCGCACAAGAGTGATACTGGCGAGATTCGTACTACACTTGACAAAATGGGATTGAAGGCGACGTTTTTTGTTTGTGGGACGGGCGTTAGGACATATCCGAGTGAGGTCAAGGCGTCCTACGACAGTGGACATCAAATTGCGTCTCATACTTGGACGCATCATCCTTTGACGAGTTTGACAAATGCGCAAATTGTGGCCGAGTTAAAGGTACGCTCACTACTGTCTGCCGAACATTCATGATAATATCTGACATCCGGTGCATCCCTTCCCTTCTGACACATAGTACACTGAAGCCGCCATTTACCAAGCCATTGGCCAGGTTCCGACCCATTTCCGTCCTCCCTATGGAGACATTGATGACCGCGTACGCGCTATTGTCGATGCACTCGGCTACCGGACCGTCCTCTGGACCACCAACCCTGTCCGGGATAGCGAAGATGCTTCCGTGACTCCCAGCACGGCAGCTGGTACCCAGGTGCTCAATACGGTGAAGACATGGGGTGTGGCACAACCCGGTTTCATCTCTTTGGAACATGATATCACGACATTCACGAGCAGTGTTGCTGTGGATGTATTGAATTGGGTTGCATCTGTTGGTGCTTCCTTCCCATTGAAGATCCAACCTATCAATCAGTGTATCGGCGAAAGTGGTTACTGGGCGGCAGCAGCATCCACTACTTCTACCAGTAGTTCGTCGACATTGACATCTTCTGGTTCTACCAAGACCACCACGGCCACGGCAACTGGTACAACCAGCGGTAAACCAGCTCCGACAGCTACCGCTACAGCACCCGCCGAACAGCAGAAGTCGTCAGCTGGAAGCATCCGCAACTACGTCTCTGAATTGTTCTTGGGTGCATTGGTTGCATTGGGTGTCCAGCTTTTCTAGCCTTAATGAGGTAGGTTCTCATATCTCCCTAGACACGTTAGTCTACATTTATTGCCTGCGTGGGCGAGCGAGCACGTCAATATATATTCCTACAATAAGTTTACTTATTTCTAATGGTTTGCACTGGCATTCATCCGTGGTGATGATAATGGCCGACCAACTCTGTTCTGTCACGCAGAAACACCTTTCCTATAGCTCTATGTATGATACAAGCAAGTAGGCACATATCAACCATGCAATGAAAGTACTGGCTCATTAAATTCTCCCTTGTCTATGATACTCATCCAATTTTCTCTGCCACCATTTCCACCAAACTCTTCCTTGCTCAATATACATATATCCCACTCCGGCACCCGTCAAATGTGCAGCATGGTCAAAAAATTGCCATCCTCTGATCAGTCCAATAACATCCAGTCCAACCAATGCAGGTATCAATTCGCCTAGAGTAAACTGTATACCGGGGAGGAATATGATTCCTACTGGAATGTGAGGAAGACAACTGGCGCAACTGTTCATAGAGGCGGTAAGGAAAAATACGCAAAAAGACTCAATGACAATACAAGAGACATACCCAGCCAGAATTGCCCAAATGGCACCACTAGCGCCTACGCTAGGTTTTGGCGAACGGTACCGCCGCAACCAAAGTGTTGTGACCAGGTGCGATCCAAGCGACGCTAGCACTCCAGATGACAGATAAAACGCAACCATCTCCTCGGACGATTCCAGGGCACGCTCTTGTAACAGTGGAGCGAATCCCAAGAGCGCGTACATGTTAAAAGTCAAATGTAGGAAGCTTTCGTGGCTGAAAACAGAGGTGAGCAGGGTATATGACCGCCCGGATAGTGGATGATGAGCAAAGTGACGCAGCATGAAGGGTTGCAGTGAAGGTATTCTCCATAATAGAAACACAGCAGTGTTGATGCCAACAATGGCGTATGCAGTTTGTTGGGACGGGCGAGCGGACTCCCACCAATGAAGAATCATTCCTTTTATTCGTGAGATAGGTTCCGGCAAGGCCGATGATTCATCCATTCGTCGCCGGGGTGGTGGTCCGAATATCTGGTCGAATGCAAAAATGCTCCCTTTCTCCTGCGCTTCCCATCGACGCTCCGCACGCATATATGATGCAACACCAAATGACGCGACCACCACGGCAGCCGAAAACAATACTGGACGGAGAATGGTCACCCGTTTGTAATCCTTCCATTTCGGGTCTTCTCCATGCTCGCGTTCTTCATGCACGCGGACTCGTTCCTTGAGTGGAGCTTGGGGGTCGTCCACTCGTGGTCGTTGCGTTGGCAGACGTCGCCGCGGTGCAACGGACGCAGTGCGAAGAAAGTTGATTGGCAACACATGCTGCACACCTCTGTTCCTGGACAGTCGAGCTTGCCACACTGCAAATGATGCCTGCTCGGTCACTGCCTGGCACCGGTGCCAAAACCTTGACATGACCAAAACTGCTTGAAAGATCTCTGTTTGTAGAACAGCGACAAAACGTAATCCGATCTCTGCATGCGTCAGCAAGCAACATCTCCATGACAACAAGCAATCCGGACATCCGGACATATCCCGTGTCAATGAGTCATATTGTGGCCATGAAAAAAGAAGGAGAAAAAGCACAAGAAAAAGGGGCAAAAGACGGCGGAACGACGCACAAAACGGCAAACAGGAGGCGTTGAACAATGAGAGCGGAACTCGTCGATATGCGCAGCTTTCTTCTGCGTTTGGCTTGTTGGATGGGGAGGGGAGATGGACATTCTTCCAATACAGACATTAGCAAGACCATCGTCGTAAAACTATGGACAGTAGGTCGCTTTCATCATGCTTTTGGTTGTGCATGCTGGTTTGTGCATGGACTGGTATTGGTGTGCAGGCACAAGTCTTTGAGGGTGAGTTGGACGCATCTCTTTTCAACCGGTTTATCTGCGTGTGACTTTAGTTTATTGATCATATCTTTTTTTTTTTTTTCGCAGTAACTGAGACCCTGCTGCCATCACCTCCAACCCTTCTTTCGCCGACTGCCATACCACCAGCTGTCGCTACACCGCTGTCGTCCACTGTCCTCCAACCGACTCGGCCCCCGACTGGTCGCGTTCCCACCACTCCGGTACCCACACTTACCAGACCGCTACGAGTTACAGTAAACCAAGCCGCACCCTCATCTGCTTTACGCAGCTCCGCTACTGCCCAGCCGCAGGATGCCGTTGCGAAAGGACTGGCCGAGTTGGCCCCCATTATTCAACCCAGTATCATAGCGGCACCCATCTTTGTCGGCATCTGTATCGTGGGACTCATCATGGCTTGGGCAAGTGCAGCATACCTTGCCCGGCATCCGCGTGAAATGTGGCACAAGTCTCTCGAGGCTGCTGGAGTCATGGTGGATGATGGATTCAATGATTCATTGAGTGAAGGAAGCCTTCCACGACCCATATCTTATTTTCCAAAACATGATAAGGCACTCTTGCCCTCTCAGGTTGCTCGATTGCCTGTTCCTACAAATACAATGGTGCGCCCAGCTGGTGCGCTGACACCATGGGAGAAGCGAAAATCGCGAAACTCTGTCCTTGTGGCAGCCGTGTCCAGAAAGGGCTTCTTCATCGCTAACGAGGTACCTTCCATATCGGCACCAACGCAGGACAGGAGAGGGTGGGAGGAGACGCCGGTCCCTCCGCCGTATCACCGTGAGAGAGGACAATCGGACGTGTCACCTTACTCGGAAGAAGTCCCGTTACGAGATTTCCCTCAACAACCAGAGCAAACCAGACCAGAGCAAAGGAAAGTCAATTTCCAGCAATTGCCGCCCACTCGACTGCAGCGGTCTTACTCGAGTCCACGTGAACCCATTCCTCGACTTGCGACACTACCACCACCTGTCTCAAACGCTCAACCAGTCTCCCCACCCCGTATACCAGCCCGAGCGCCTGCTCGAGCAGCCACTATCGGTCCGACATCCGCAGGGCGGTCCAACCGAACATTAAACCGTCCTCCACAAATTCCAACCCGTACACACGCCTTTAATCCAAACAACACTGCTGTATTTGGCCTAACGAACGAACAAGCGAGACAGAATGTACATATGCAAACTCTTGTACGGACTCAATCTAGGGCGGCAACCGGTCGACGAAGAGACAGCTGGGGGTCTGACCAACGCTTGATTTAAATGTGCTGGCAATACTCTTATGGATAGAATGTGGGGTTTGGCGGCTGGTTATACGTTTGAGTTGGCTCTGATGTCTTGAATTTGGGACCTAATGTAATTTCTTTATTGGCAGTAGTCTGTTGAATTAATATAATAAGTGTGGCCCTGGTTTCAAATGCTCCAGATTGGACAACTGTACAAAGTAGGGTACAAATACTATAACCGGGATGCACCCAGTAAAAACCAGTTCTCTTGCGGTTGCCACAAGTTTTGGTCCAAAGCCACGGACATTTGGCGGAGAACACTTGGAATGTTTTACTGCATTGCCCGGGGCTTCCCGTTACAAATGGCAACTGGCTGACAGCTGTTGCAGATGGAGGTGACACGTCCAAAGACCATTGGCAAAACTCCCCAAACCTGTCTCACGTGATTGGAGAGTCGCGTGATTGCAGCTAAGCCACTGATAAGTCCTTTTTGGTAAAGTCCTTTTGGCAGTTGGTCAGTTTTCGAACTTCCCGCAAACGGAACCGCATCTTTGCATGTTTCACGGGAGTCTGTGGAGAAAGTCACTCCCATCGCACCCATTTCCACGCCGCCATTCCTACCTCATCTTTCACATCCCTCTTCGCATTCTCATGACTTCTGCAAAGCCTACATCGCCGACTGGATCTCCTCCTCGCTCGCCTACATTCTCGCGCTTTTTCTCATTTCTGAAGGGCGCATCGTCCTCTTCAATTGCAAACGGAACCTCGTCAAGGAAATCAATGGACAAGAAGAACGGCAGCACCAAGAGTGTCCAGGTGGAGAAGAAGCCTCCTCAGACCTTTGTTGGTGCCATTGACCAGGGAACTTCTTCCTCGAGGTTCATGGTCTTTAATGAAAAGGGGGCCATTGTAACCATGCACCAAATGGAGTTTGAGCAGATTTATCCAAAGGCAGGGTAAGTGTGATGTCCAGCATATGCAATCTGTATCCGTATGATTTTCTTAAACTACCTTGCCCTGGACTTGTAGATGGTGTGAACATGACCCTGATGTGATCATGGGCTCTGTCAATGAGTGTATTGCCAAGGTTGCAGACAAGCTCGAAGCCATGGGCCACTCTGTTACTGACATTAAAGGTAAGCAAAAGATGTGTGCAGCACAATGTGTTGCTCAAGAATTGACATGTTTTTGCAGCTGTTGGAATCACAAACCAGCGAGAAACGACCGTCGTTTGGGACAAGACGACCGGCAAGCCGCTTCACCACGCTGTCGGTGCGTGGTTCCCGTCTTTGTTTATTCTCCCGGTGTGAAAAATGAATTCATTTTTCTTACTTTTCCCACAGTGTGGCTTGATGGTCGTACAAAAGACACTGTCGCGCAGCTCGTTGAGAAATCATCTTCAAAGACCACATCGCACTGGCACGACAGATGTGGTTTGCCGTTCTCGACCTATTTCTCTGGTGTAAAGCTCCGATGGTTGCTCGACAATGTCGAGGAAGTGCGGAAGGCTCACCAGGAGGGACGCTTGGCCTTTGGTACCGTCGATTCTTGGCTCATCTACAATCTGACTGGCGGAATCAATGGTGGGAAGCATGTGTCCGATGTGACCAACGCGTCTCGAACCATGTTTATGAACATTCAGACGCTCCAATGGGACGATGAGATCCTCGAGTTCTTTGACGTCAAGAAGGAAGTTCTTCCTGAGATCGTTTCTTCAGCTGAAGTATACGGCAACATTGTGGGAGGGCCACTCGCTGGGATACCCATTGCTGGGGTGAGTGTCTTTTAGGTCAATAGTGAACATTGGAATGTCCATCTCCTTACATGCTTTGGTGCAGTGTCTCGGTGACCAACAAGCCGCCGTCGTCGGACAGCGCTGCTTCAATCCCGGTGAGGTCAAAAACACCTACGGAACCGGTTGTTTCATGTTGTTCAATACGGGAGAGAAGCCAGTCATTTCCACCCATGGCCTGTTAACCACTGTTGGATACAAGCTGGGCAAAGATGCACCCGCCGTGTATGCATTGGAGGGCTCCGTTGCCATTGCTGGCGCGGCAATCAAGTGGCTTCGTGATAACCTCAAGATGATCAAGGAAGCTCCAGAGATTAGTAAGTTGCGAACAACCCTTGTGACCATACCTGTGAACGACCACTGATCTTTGACCAATTACAGATGAGCTTGCCGCCAAGGTTGAAGATACCGGCGGTGTCTACTTTGTCCCTGCCTTCTCCGGCCTCTTTGCTCCCCACTGGCGCGATGATGCTCGTGGCTGTATTGTCGGCCTTACCCAGTTTGCCACCCGCGAACACATTGCTCGTGCAACACTGGAGGCTATCTGCTTCCAGAGCAAGGAAGTGCTTGATGCTATGAATGCTGATGCTGGCCATGATCTTGCGCTTCTCAAAGTAGATGGTGGTATGACCAATTCCGAGCTTGGAATGCAGATTCAGGCAGACCTGCTTGGAATTGAAGTTGGTGAGTCCTTTGCAGTCTTTGATTTTAATCTACAATCCATGGCCGCTGACAAAGTTTTTTGTCTGTACAGTCCGCCCAGCGATGCGCGAAACTACCGCCCTAGGAGCGGCCCTCGCAGCGGGTCTCACTGTCGGTATTTGGAAAGATCTCAAAGACTTTTCCGCGCATGAAACCCCAGATGTCTTTAAACCAACGATTGAAGCAGAGGAACGGTCAACCCGGTACGCTAATTGGAAAAAGGCCGTTGAGCGGTCTCTCGGATGGGTATAGATAACGTTGGGATATGAACATTGAATGGATTTTGTTTACATGGTTTGTATGACCAACTAGTGTAATTATATGGAACTAAATCATAGTTAGATCTTGGAAATCAGGCAAAAAAAAAAATGATGACAAATATTCTGTAACGGACATTATATACAATGACTTCATTTCATCCACCACAAGCAGCAGTAGTCGCCTATTAGCTAGTAAAATGCCCCCGACTTGCTCAAGACCTGTTAGCCGACGACCCGGCCGCGTGCACCATTTGCGCCTGAGCTTGAGCATGAGCTTGAGCTTGAGCGGCAGCAATAGCTGCCTGTGCTGCGGCCTGGACCTGCGCTTGCGCCGAAGGTGACTGTCCAGACGACCCTCCGCCTTGAGCAGCCACTAACGCAGCATGCAACGCCTCTTGAACGGGACCGTTCTGAAGCATTTGGGCGACGGCGGCCGCATGAGCGGCGGCATTGGCTTGTGAATCTTGCGACCCGCCACTGACAACGCAATGGACTTTTTTGCCTTCCGCATCCATTCTTTCGTGTCGTCTCAAAGCATCTCGTCTGTCGTTAAAATGCATTAGCAAAAGTTCTCTTCACACAGGGTCAATACAACTAGGCTACCTGGCGAATTTACGGCCACAGCAGTCACAAATATGGGGTTTCTCCTTTGAATGCGTTTTCAAATGTCGGTTCAAGTCATGATTTCTAATAGTATATCGACGGATCAGCAAAATGACTATATCACCTGCACACTCGAAGTGGTAACGCACCTGGTGAAACGCAAGTCACAAGTATTGCAAATGTAAGGTCGGTGGTTCTGATGTGTCCGTATGTGGGATTTTAGGTTGTACATCCTAGATAGAGGACCCAAGCGTGAGAGTTCAGCTTTGACTCATATACATGCTAATAACACGTACCTGCTAAAACTACGATCGCACATCTCACATATAAATTTTCCATCTTTTCCGGGAGTTACATTTTGTAGAGCCGCCATTGCAGGGTCTGATTGATTGGAGCCATGATTAGGCGAATTTGGCGAATGTAAGTTATTGTTTTCATTGTGTTTCGCTGCGTCGGATGCAGCTGCAGCTGCAGCCATGGCCGCGTCATGTAGGAGCTGCGTTGGAAGAGGATAAGGGAAATGTGGGAAGCCAGCCGCACCAGCGAGTGCCAAATGGGCACGGGCCATGACGGCTGCAAAAGGGTCCAGAGCTGCAGCTGCAGCCAATTGTGGGTATAATGCCGCCAATTGCGCCGCGGCGGCAGCACCATTTGGTGGTGCGGGTGCGTTCTCTGGGGGTTTCCCTCCGTTGGCAGCAGCAGCGGTACTGCTCAACAGTAATAGGCTGTTGGCTGCAGCCGCGGGGTTATTGGCAAATGGTGCAAGAAGCATGCGAGTAGCCTCGTCGTGAACAGATGTCAGAGGATTGGCAGTCGGAGATGATTCACTGCTTGGTGCACCTTCATGTCGCGGAGTTTCTTTGCCTTTATCTATTGTGGCGGCATTGGTATCCACTTGTGGAGCAGGACTAGTTAGAGGAGGGTGGGGCACCGGAATGTGCGGGGTGGTGTTTCCGGAGGGCTGGGAAGTGAATGCCTGGGCGGCCAATCCTTGAATGGCTTGGGCAGCTCTCATAAACAGAGCAGAGTTCATGTTATCAAACAGAGGGGGAAGTCCCATCCCGTTTCCTTGTCCAGGAGTGGTAGGCGCAGCAGGAACTGATGTTGAACCAGGAGAGGCCAATGAAGGAGCCGATTGTGTTGAAAGGGACTCCGCAGTTGGCTGGCTCGGAGATAGCGAGGGGGGCTGTTGCGACTCGGAAAGTCTTTGTATATCTTGTGCAGACACTGCGTCTTCTATCGAAGAAGATGTCGTGGTGTGCGTTGAAGTATCCTGTGGAAAACACAAGTATAAGTGATCGGCGTGCGTCAGCGTACAAGTGAAAAAGCCCCGAAAGTTCCGCCTCTCACATACAGCCATGTTCGGATATATGATATTCTCGTGCGGGAGGTTATCAGAATGTTGTCTACAAGAATGTTGCGTCCTGGGACTGTAAGCTAAGGCTGCAGACAGGAAATAAAACACATTTCGTCCTTACCTTTCCGACGTCCGCCGGAAACACCAGGGCCCTTTCCGCACCAGATGAAGCGTGTGGCTGATGAACCTTACTCACAGAGAGCGTACCAAACACGTCCTGCTTGCTGTCTTGCCCGGTCCACACACCAACAAAGAGTAGATGGTTGAGAAGGTGAGATGGGTAGAAGGTGATGAGTAAGGGCGGGGCGCGCGTAGCTGTGGCCAAGGTGTGGTTGGGTGGTGGGGTGGCGAAGGGGGGATTGACAAAGCGGAGAGGCAGAAGGGGCTGTGCAAAGAAGGAGCCAATTGAAAAAAGTCACGTGCTACAGAATTGCACGTGAATATCCACATTCGAATGATGCTGCCATGACAACTCGCCAATCCGCTGGCGTGCAGCAAGTGCGAGGAAACAGCGGCTGTTCTCGAGTTCATCCCGCCACAATTTTCAACCGAGGGACAGGCTTTCCACACTGTCCATTTCCTGTTTGCTAAACACAAGTCCACTCTCCCGTTCGTAACAAAAATGGTCGGAATCAGAACCTGCGGGATGATGGTCCGCTCTATGCGGTTGTCGAAATCCGGTATGAAGACGCGTACGGTTAATTGTGGCATTGGAAGGCATCGCCTTGCCAACGAGACGATTGAATAGCTATGGGTTGGCGCTGTTGGTTAATCGAAGCTGACTCCCTTGCTTCCACTACCTTTTTAGCTCTCGCTCGCTCCTACACTGTGTCCGCGGGGCCAGGTGTATACGACAAAACCGTAATGAACATGCTTATCAACAAGGACACGAAGGTTCTCACGCAGGGTTTCACTGGAAAGCAGGTGAGGAAACGAACCGAGGGCTCTAGTGAATCATTGGAAATGGGCGGTAGTGGAAATGTAACGGGCGTGCTGACTGTAGCTTTGTGATGTGATAGGGCACGTTCCACTCAAAACAGGCTCTTGAGTATGGCACAAACCTGATTGGTGGTGTTAACCCCAAAAAGGCTGGAAGCACCCATTTGGGTCTTCCTGTTTTTGCTTCTGCCAAAGAGGTGAGACATAGCCTGTATATCTTTGGCTACAGCTCTTGGACTTACATTAGTGTAGGCCATGCAAGAAGCCAAGCCGGACGCGTCCGTGATCTATGTCCCACCACCTGGTGCCGCCGCTGCCATCATTGAAGCCATCGAAGCTGAGATCCCATTAGTTGTCGCTATCACGGAGGGTATTCCTCAACAGGACATGGTCCGCGTTATGAAGGTCCTCAAAAACCAGGATAAAACGCGCCTCATCGGTCCCAACTGTCCTGGAATCATCAAACCTGGCGAATGCAAAATTGGCATTATGCCTGGCCACATTCACCAAAAGGGCAAGATTGGTATTGTTTCACGATCGGGTACCCTAACGTATGAAGCCGTCGCGCAAACCACCGCTGTTGGTCTTGGTCAATCTCTCTGCATCGGTATTGGTGGTGACCCATTCAACGGAACCAACTTTGTTGATTGTTTGACTCTGTTCCTGAACGACCCGGAGACAGAGGGCATTATCCTCATTGGTGAGATTGGTGGATCTGCTGAGGAGGAGGCTGCCGAGTTCTTGAAAAAGCACAACTTGTCGCGTGACCAGCCAAAGCCTGTTGTCTCGTTCATTGCTGGACGTACCGCTCCTCCCGGCCGGCGAATGGGTGTGTGAATGTTGGAACGTTGAACACCGCGCTCAAGGACATGGCCTAATGTTACTCAAATTCTGTAGGTCACGCTGGTGCCATTATTGCGGGTGGGAAGGGTAAGGCAGAAGACAAGGTCGCTGCCTTGGAAGCGGCGGGCGTTGTCGTATCTGCTTCTCCTGCAAAACTTGGCGTATATATGGAAAAGGTCCGTGTCATTATCGATGGTTAAAAATGTGTCGCCCTACAATTAATATCCAAAATCTGTACAGGCTATGAAGGACGCTGGACTCGCGTAAGAGTATCCGTCTACAGGGGGATTCTAGAGCGACAGGAACGGGGGTATGGTGGGAGAATGTGCATAGACTGAAGAAAAATGGGCTGGTGAAGTTTTGGTGAATTCACTTTCTCTTTGATACTTCCAACATGAGCCTGTTATATTATAATGGATTGAAATGACCCTATAATGGGTGCAGTGAAATGCGCGATGAATAAAATTGACCTCGTTTTTGAATGGGTTTGACGCCGAGCGTGTACTATTGACTACTACTGAATGACAGATGGACCAAAACAAACATAAAAAAAACTACCGACAACAAATTGCTCTTGCTCCACCATCTATACGCCCCTCTTCATTCCAAAAGTCCCGTTACCCTCTTTCTTCACCTTGACCTTCTTTACCCGTCCTATATCATACTCCAATTCGTCCCTTGCTGGACGTTTCAATTTGGGTTTCGAAAGGTCCAACACCCGGTCCCGCCGGACACGCTCCATGTGCACGTCCAGCCCGCCCCATTGAGCAATGGGTGCGTTATATTGGTTATCAAGGGGTATGGGATGTGGAATGTCCGCCGGAACAGCCGGGGGAGGGCTGGTCTTTGAGCGCTTGGATGACGGTTTTGCAGGGTCGACCAGGTCCTGAACCGTCAAGTTGTCGTCCTCATCAGTTGAGCGACGCCGCTTTGGTGAGGATGCGGGCTTGAGTGCGGACGATGGGATAGTGGATGGGGTGTTTGAGGTCGTTACTGATGTTGCGGGTGTTGGTGCTATTGATGCTGGTGCCTGTGGTTTCGGCGGCGACGACCGCTCAGCGTGAGAAACCTTTGATATATTCTTGGCGATCGCCGGAGGCGACGCCGTCTTCTTTCTCTTCTTCATTGCTTCTTCCCTGCTGATCTTCACTCCCATGTCGTCGCGCTGAGGTTTACTGACCGGCCGCTCTTTCTCTGCTCTCTTGGTCTTCCCCGCTGCGCCTGCCTCGGGTGCCTGCTCCTCATGCAGCAATGCGTAAAACAGCATATATGCTTGGCTCTTTTTTTCTAATACGGACTCTAACTTGGTCTGTGTAACATCCTCGTCGTCATAATAATGCCATGTGCCGTTGGGGTCCTTGGCAAAGGCAGTGTAGTGTCCATGATTGGGTGATGAGCCATGGTGAGCAATCATGGCATAAAGCTGGTATCTCGTCCGTTGCTGCAGGATAGACAGATGAGCTTCATCCGGTTGGTATGATGCTCTGCACACCCAACACGCACATACCTGTCTGGAGGTCATGGACGCCGTGAGGTCAAGGTACTCGGGGAACTCAACCTTGGTGTTATTTTTCCCCCTCCCAAAGACGTCAAACCGTTTCAGCTGAACGGTCAAGACTTCCGGTGCTACTTCAATGGAGATCCGTTTCTGAGCATCGACCAGCTTTTTACATCTGCCAGCATGCCGAATTGACATACGGTCATTATTCAGAACCTGACAAACGAACAGAAACATCGCGAACCTTACCTGTCACATTTGTATTTATTATCGCCGTCAAGTTTTTCCGTTTTCGTGTGTAATGCGAAGGCTTTTTGAAGGGATGAACAGACTTCCAAGCTCATGTCCAACATTGGCTCATAAGTGTTGGACTTGTATTGGCACTGGGAACATCGTATTTGTGAACGGGTATAACCACCAAATATTTGGTGGATGAGTGTAGTGGTCTTTGTTCGGTGATCTAGGCTGCTCAACAATATTGTCCTGTGAGCTCATCTACGTAAACCAAATGGTCACTGTGATGGACTTACTTTTTCATGCCCTTAAGGCAAGAGTCCTGAAACTTGTCCATCAGACATCTCAGGAACTCATGAGCATCTTCCTGCTTTCCATATCTAAAGTCCCGGCAGATCACTTGAAAGATCGATTTTAGATTATATTGACAAGAGGGGCGTACGGATTGGCAACTACTTACATTTAATATTCTTTGTGAAATATGTGGGATTCAGAACGGCGTTTCTTGAGCGACCCTCTGCAGCGACACAATTCTGAATGACATACTCTTCGAGCTTGCAGAGAAAGCAAGCGCCTGACATTCGACCTGCGAGATTGATGAGTACAGTATCAGCAGGACGGTCTTTGGCCGGCATCCACCATGAAGGTGAGACTTACAGGTTTTACTATGCAGCTTGTCGATACAAGCGTTAGCAAACAGACGAGTGTGGATGAGCGGCTGCAGAGCGGCATTCATATAACAGTAAGTGCCGGTGTTGTATAGGCCAGGACCGGCCGCCCAAAATTTGAGCCACTGGTGCTGGAGTAACCGCTTGTCGAAGAGAACTCGAGGAGGAGGTTCTAACGGATCTCCATCAGCCTTCGCGTCTACCTTGAGAGCGACTGAGGAGGGCCCGCCCGCTGAGACTTTCAATTCCGTTGGACAACGTTCTAGATTGATGGGCTTATATTTTCGACGGAGAGCATCTTGAACAATATCCGGCTTTCGAACCTCGCGGAATTCAATCCGACGTTCAAAGACGGCGCTGGTGTATTTAGTGTGGAGACCAGCTTCAACCAGGTCTCTTGGGACATTTACCGACTTGCCGGGATGCTGCGGGAGTGTCTCATTAAGCGGGGTTTGACGTGGTTGACCCATACTCGGTCGAGTCTTCACATAAGGACTTTGATGGTGAGGCATGGCGGAAAAGAGCGCAAATGCTGGCACGTAGCAGAGAACAGGTACGTTGTATGGTTGTAGGATGGGAGACAAAGGGATCAAATTGCTTCATATTGATTGCACGACTGCGAGAATTCAGATACCAATCTTCTTGATGATGGGCGGGGAACGGTGGGGGGGGGGGGGGGGGGGGAAATACCAATACCGGGGAATTTTATCTTTTTCTTGGACTCCGACGGAACTTTCCAAAACAGGCACCGCTGTCAGAATGATGCTATTACAAAGCGTAAAACCCCAAGGGAACGATCGAAGGTCCTTGTCGCGGACGACTCTGAGACCTATTTATATCTCGTCCAGTAAGAGAACTGTAAATAGCTCTACTTGCAATTAAGAGTGGCGGTTCGGAATGGCATGAACATTCCCAAAGGACTTGCAGAAATAAGAGCGCTTCAACGGTATATATGAACAGTTTGCTTATCGAGTTGAAGCCGTCCTTGCTGTGAGCGTCAGGTCAACGTTGGTCGGCAGCTATTCCACACTACGCAGTCCGTCCGTCCAAACGTAAATGCCTATACGATCCGATCGTAACTTCCGGCTGGAGGAAATACACCCTCTATTTGAGGATAGGGCTGATGGACGACGCCGTGGGAAGGGTTCGGTATCCAAGGAATGAAGGAGGGTTACCAGTCTCCCTGCTTGAACGAACGAATGAACACATTCAAAAATCAGGTTGAATGATTTGACATTCCAATGATCCCAGAAAAGATTATGTAATGCCATACAAAACGCATTCGAATGATATGCCAGAATGCTTAGGCACCCGTTTACAATTCCAATTTATGATGAAATGTGAATCTTTCTGAAATATTTTTGTTTTTGCAGCGATTGTGGGGTTTGCAGCAACACACTTGCGCTTGCAGCATTTTGTTTATTTTCCATTCCGCTTCGCAATTCACCTTTCAGTTTAACCACACCCTCAACATGCCAAAGTCAAAGCGCGCAAAAGTCGGTAAGTCACACACACCCTTTTCCCGCTTACACGGGGTACTAGCGAAGCTAACTCACCGAACGAATAACTAGTGCACCTCGCGAAAACTGAGAAGAAAACGCGGCTACACAAAACTGCCCTAGTAGAATCCATACATACAGCTCTCACAACACACTCTCACATCTACGTCTTTTCGGTTGCAAATATGCGGAACACCTTCCTGAAAGATGTCCGTGCCGAACGGTCCAATGACCGCTTCTTCTTTGGCAGAAATAAAGTCATGGCCAAGGCGCTCGGGACCACGGCTGAGGAAGAGGAACGAGAAGGATTGCATCTTATTTCCGAGAGATTAGTGGGAGACGTTGGGCTATTGTTTTCTAATGAAGGACCGGAGGACGTGAAGAAGTTCTTTGATGATTATGTTAAGGCAGATTATGCTCGGTCGGGGTGTGTCGCGACGGAAACAGTGCAACTACCAGAAGGGAAGGTGATGCGAGGAGAAGAGGGGTTTCCGCACAATATGGAGCCCCAATTGAGGGCTTTGGGAATGCCCACATCGCTCGTTAATGGGGTTGTGACACTGAGAAGTGAATATACAATCTGTAAGGCAGGTGACGTGTTGACTCCAGATCAGGCACAATTGTTGGTAAGTTTTATCGGTAGCACCTTTTCGTACATACTCCTATTTGACTCACGTCAAATTTTAGAAACACTTTTACATTCAGCAAGCAGATTTCCAAGTCAAAATTACATGTCATTGGTATGATGGAAAGTTTGAGGAATTGGAGGACACAATGGAGCAATAGAAACAAAGTAATAAATATTCCATATCGTATTAGCTTTGCCAAGAGAACGGAGGATTAGCAAATATCCCTGGCGTTCTCTTTCTGTACAATAGTTGTTGTTTTAAGATGTGTGATTGTTTGCTAAATATGGCGATAGCATCCACTGTCCCGCGCTCATAGACATTTACGCCCATCCCAAATTCGTGCAATTACGAGACGCATGATAGAGGAGTGGCAATTTGGCTAAAATAAATGCACTATGTATCAGATCCGGCACTTTCCCGGAAACGTTTAAACTGATGACGAGCTCGGAAGATGTCATTCTCGGGTGGCCGATTGATGTGCGTTGGCCCTAGTTCAATACATGGGTCAGAAAATGTGAATGATTACCATCCGTGATTCATAAGGCTCACTCTTTCCTTTTCATGCTTACCGTCGTATGCTTGATCCTCGTCAAAGCCTCCCCTGCGTTTCACGCTGCTCCGTCCACCATCAAACCGCCCACCCTAGAAGTCAAAGCATCAGTTGGTGACTCCTACGACGGAGTTCACCTTACACACAACATCTTACCCGTCCTCTGCCTCTAGAACCACCCTTTTCATCCTTAGTCCTATCCCTGCCATAGTTGCGATCTCCGTACCCTCGTTGCCGGTCGAACGGCGGCAATTGCCTATCAGACGTTGGACCCGATGAACTGGATCCCTGGACACTAGGTTGGAGTGGAACCATTTTTGGAGGCACCGAGGGGATGGGCAAAGGTATTTGGCGGAATAGTTCAAGAATATCATTAATTGGGAGGATAGGTCCTGCGCAACAAGTAAAGGTCAAGGGAGACCAGATGGATAACATCATCGAAATCAGTTACATACCATTGTATAAGGACGAGGGAGGGAGAACCGACATCAATGTCGCGATGGCCTCTGGCACCATCGCTAATCTCGATCCGGAAATTCCAGTCACCTGGGCAGGCGATGGCACTCCAGCTGCTAGACTGGGGCTGGCAGTAGGAGCAGGGGATCCTCCAGCACCAAATGCAGCTGGCGGTTTCAAAGCAGCTGGCTCGGGTTTATAGGACGACCACTTATTCAGGTCAGGTCTTGGGTACCGTTCTGGGTGAACTGGCTCTAAACTTTGGAATTTTCGCTGAGCCGCCCGATCTTCAGATTTCGACATTTGCATGCCAGAGAGCGGGTTCGTGGCAGACAAAGGTAGTCCAGTCATTCCCGGAGTTTTCTTTTCGAACGCGCGTTGGGCTGATTGCATTGCGAGTGAGCCTTTATACATTGCATATCTCTGAATTTGATTTCCTCGACTCCTGTACCTGGCAGTCCCAGCTCAAATTCTCCGACCTGGTCAATGTCCAAGAAGCCCCACCGCTCTGCTATGTCTGAGAGAGAAGACAAAGAGTTCTTTTGCTCTATAGGAACAAAAACTGTTACCATCGCGGCGTGCAAATGCCGGAAATAGAAAGCGCGCATACCGGTTGGATATGCATCAGCTCGACGCTTCTCAATTTTTAAAACATTCGCAAGGTCCCCGTATGACATCTCGTACGATAGGAACTTGGCCCATATTGGCTTAGCACGGGCTGATGGTAGGGCCGACAGAGCTCGTTCGAACAACGCGCGTGTATCTGAATATAAGAAGTCATCTGGTCAACGTGGTGCTTCCCAAAATTGTCATCCGTTGCTGCCAATCTCGCAATCGGACACTCAACTATTTTCGTCATTCAGATTGATCAGAAAATCCAGATAATTGAGGATGAAATCAGGTGCCTGTGGGTCATCGGCCGGCGCGAACGTTTTCAGGCCGACCTCAAACATTCTTCCAGCAACGTCACGGTCTTTGTTGCTGTAGTACTCCATTAAAGCTGCCCTCAGAAGTGTGCGTCAGCGGGTATACCTAAAACCAGTTTCCCAAAACGAGTACGAGAAGGACGACATACCACCCGCCACCCAAATATGGTATGTGCAGTGCGCTGACTTTCTTGCTCTGCTAAACACTGCCCGAGATGCTTTGACATTCTGTTTGGGATAAGGTTTCAGCATATAGTGTATGCCCTTGACTCCACAAGCTGCTGCAAACCTGTGCCCTTCGAGCTGTCCTCATATATACTATCCACACAAGACTAAGAGCCTTCTTGGTATTTTCCAACTCCTTCTTTCGCCTCTCGTCCACTTTTTGTTCAACTTCCTTCTGTTTTTCTTTCAGTTTCTCTCTCTCTCGTTCTCTTCTCTCCCCATCCCAGTCATCCGGCCCACCGGCTTCTTCATCTTTGCTCATACCGGCCATCAGCCTATCCCTTTCTGCGTCGTACTTTGCGTTGATCTCATCCAGTCTCAGTTCCAAGTGCGAAATCAAGGTATCGAAGATCTTTTGGAGTTCGTTCATATCCTTTTTACGAGATTCCTCCAGCTCGGCGAAGGAAAGGTTCAAGAGAAGACTACAATCTGAGGTTTAACGGGTATCCGTTCGAGAAACCACTTCATCGACCATACCTGGTTGGAAGAGTGTCAATACCTGATCGGAGCATCGTGGCAGCTTCATCCGTTCTGCCCACTTCCTTGAGAAAGGACGCAGCGTCGTAACTGAAATCCGGAACGAACCGTTCTTAGTTTAGAAGCTCTGCGAATCAATGCACGCGTACCATCTTACTATATCTCAGGATAATGTCTCAACATCAGTAAGGCGGATTTGTACGCATACACGACTCTATTAATCCAAGCTCCTCTGTCATCGAGACGAAGAGGGTTTGATCGTTCCCATGCAATCAATCTCTTCCAAGCGGCAAGCTTGGACCCGACAAGGTTAGTGACTTCATTCAACGAAAATATCCTCTTTACTAACGTACAATTTGTAGCTCCTTCTCAGTCCATGAAGGTGGTTTGGCCATCCATAACTTTTGTGCTTTATCAATGGGATCTAATAGATTCTTCACCTCCCGTAGAGCGGTGCGGGCCGTCATGTATCCCGCTGACTTCTCGGACAGAAACTTTTTGGCCTGTGGATTGCCGCAGAATATGAGGAATGGCAATTAAATCTGGTTCCACTATTCAGGGTCGTGCCATACCGTCAACTTATTAAGGCCATTTTCGAAGGCATCGTAGTCTTTCCAAATCTGCTCAATGTTCGTTAACGGTATCCAAATGGCTCGATGGTATGCTCGTCGCAGTGAGTCCATCTTCTGCTGGTCTTCGTAAATCGAGGATGTCTGCGGAAGGGCAATTGAATGGAAAAGTTTGGTTACAAAATATCATGCTGCCGAATTGCTGGATTAGGACGGGTTTCCTGAGTTCATAAAACCCAACATCAAAGCAGACTCTTTGATCATAGAGCAAAGACCAATCCTTAAGGAAACCCGGGGCGATGTATGATACCGTTGAGAGCAACGGCTTCATCAGAAGCATTCCACCCTTCCGAACAGACGCCATATACAAATATCGCGAGTGGACACATCTTCACCATAATCCCGCAGAAACATGGAAAGTAGGACAGCCAAAAAATGGGGATTGATAATCAAGGATATATTGTTTCCAAATATGCACAAACCAACAAGCGAACCGATAGGTGACCCAATGTTTCCGAAAAGAATAGTTTGATCATGCACAGATAGGAATATTCGCCAACTTACCTCTCCTGCTTTGATAAATTGAATATAGTCGCTCCATATAAACCCGGCTTCCTTATCGACACCAACATTTTGAAGCACGAACTCATACGCCTTCAACACCTTCGCCCGAGCTTCTTGCTTCTTTTCAGGAGGACCACCCGCCCCAGTGTGAACCCGCCGCACATGAGTTAGATAGAATTTCCACAATTCCACAGATGGCACCAAGCGGAGACAGCGCTCAAAGATGGCTTCCATCCTATCGAACGCACGCTGCTTTTGCTCAAATTCAGCGTATGCTATCCAGTATCTTGCCTATGAAGAGGCGGGGGAGAAGTTGAGCGGCAAACACTGGATTCGAAAGGCACTGGTGGTTGACTGCTTACTGAAGTGGGAAACTGCCGGAGTAGCACCTCGTAAGTCTCCCGAATAAGATCCACATCACCTCGCTGTTGCGACTCTGCAAGCATGGCTTGCCAAGAATCCGCATCCCAAGGATTTTTCTGAGTCTTAATACGAAGTTTCTCAAGACGGTCCATCTTTCCAGCGCTAGCAGACTCTGGACGTGGTACGTCTGCTAACGGAGTAGATACATTCCTTGTCGCTGATGTCAGCGGCTTCCGCTCCTCATCAAGATCTAGTAATTCTTCCGTCGGCGCAATGGCAATCGGCGGCGTCCCCGGCTCTTTCGTCTCTCCGGTGTGCACATTTCCGTTCGATGACTCTTCCATGGTTATTGGTTTTCTTTCTCGAGAGACGATCCTGCAGAGGTCCATTTCATGCATTCCTAGCTCACGTGATGGTCTGTGCCACGCTACGATGGCACAGTTTACCTTGTCCCCCTGCCATCCCAGGAACTCGCTCCTTCAGCAGTTTTGTTCGCATTGGAGCAAAATAGGTGAGATGGCGCGATCTGAGATTGTCGTATGTATTGGAATTTGAGTTTTGTTGCTAACTGAAAGAGTATAGTCTGGATATTCGCCGACTTGGTGTGCTTTCGGTGGACGCGCTATAACGATGGGCAAGGTAACTCGTTCGAGCTTGCAAACAGCTATGCAAGGTTGACCAACGTAACGTGTCCCCTTTCCATAGAAAAAGAGAAAGGAACTCAAGCCTTGGTGCTGGTACTGCGATAGAGAATTTGAGGATGAGAAGGTCCTATTTGATCATCAGCGGATTAAGCACTTCAAGTGTACCGAGTGTGGCAAAAAGCTCAACACAGCAGGAGGAATGGTGGTGCATATGGATCAGGTTCACAAAATGAAGTGCATGACGTATGTTTTTCTGTGACAGGTAGTCTACAGGCTCAACGGCTGCTTATTTGGTGTTTCCTTCTCAGTGTGTCAAATGCTCTACCTGGCCGAGAATCAACAGACATCGAAATTTTCGGAATGGAAGGTGTGCCAGAAGCAGATTTACAAGCTCACTACGACAAAGTATCAGGAGGCGGACAGCGCAACAAGCGAGCGAAGATAGACGTCAGTGCGCTAACGCCGGATCAAATCAAGCAGCAAATGGAGGCCTTCAAGCAACAGCAGCAGATGGCACCATACGGAGCGCCGGCACCTGCGCCGTATGGCGCCCCTCCTGCGGGACCATTTCCAGGACCAGCTCCAGGATATCACGTCCAAGCCGGGGGGCCACCTTACGGAATGCCGGGGCCTTACGGTATGCCACCACCGGCACCTTACATGCCACCGGGTGGAGGTTATCCATATTCCCCGCGACCTGGGTAAATTATCATAAATAACTTCTCGTCATAATTATGCGCTTAGTGCTGACGCCTCTTGGATAGAATGCCTCCTGCAGGTATACCACAGTACGGTGCTCCTCCATTTGGTGCTCCGGGGCCGCACTGGGGCCCACCCCGGCCACCTATGCCGGTCGGTGGAACCCCGCTTCCCCCAAGACCAGCAGGACCGACACCGCCTCCACCAATGCATCCTATGCCTCCTCCGCCGACTCAACCTGCATACAGCGAACCCCCGGCAGGTGCAGTAAGCTACAGCGATGCCATACCTGCTGTCCCTGAAGTTGCTGCTGTTACTGGACCTACTATCCCACCTCCCGTGTCGGGACCTGAATCCCCTGTGACACCATCTATGAGTACGAGTAAGGCTGGATCTGCCTCGATCTATATGGTGTACTCGGATAACGATGTTTCAGTGGTATGTGGTATGCAATCCTAGCTACTCCACATACCCTTTTTTTGACAGTCCCTATCTTATAATTATCTAGGAAGAAAAAAGGGCCCTAAACCCCAAATACGCTTTCAGTGAAAATTAATTGAGGCTCGTGGAATACCTTAGCCCAGTTTGTCTATGTTGGAAACGAGGAAGAGTACGCAAATACATTCTGATAGTTCTTTTTATGCTACAATCGGTTGTGGTTAGGTGCATCCACGACGAGTCCGCGTTGCCAGCGCTAATGCCGATGTCGCCTGCGCCTGAACGGTCTGCTGAACCAGGTATTTAGCGACATCATAGATAGTCCGGTGCTTTACCCTTGTTGGCTTGTCTTCACATCCAAGGACGTTGGTAATATATCAGCTGCATACGCACAGCTTCATCAAAATAGTCCCGCAACTACCGATATGTTGTACTATGAGTCAATCGATATTCCATATACAAAGTTGTTTCTTGCTCCCACCACAATCCACTTTTCGTAGCATACAGGGCTCGAAAAAATACCCTCGCCTCCACCAATCATATGCTCAGCAATCAGTTTGCCCGTTAGGGGATTCACAATTCCTATCCAACCATCTATGCTGGCTACTACAACTCCGTCATATGATAAGAACGGGCTAGCGTATACAGCCGCTGGAGTGCGGAGAGGTTCTTGCCATTGGGGTAAACCCGTTGTCAGGTTTAGACATGTCACCGTACATCCATGCGAACCGATGAAAAGTACATCCAGCAACGAGCTAACGCATGGAGACGAGAAGACAGGTCCAGCGGTAGAGTGACTCCAAACCTACGGCGCGTTGGCATGTGTTAGGTATGAAGCTGAACGCACATGATATGTTGACTGATTCAACTTACCAAGTTGCCACCGTCTTCTTCGAAACAATAAATGCTTCCATCAACACAGCCGACTATAACATTTCCAGATTTAGGATCAATGGACGGCGATGAGAAGAACGGTTTGTTCGTAGGGCTGTTACTGATCCACGAGACTGTCGGCTCAGACGAGTATGATGTTGTGATGCATACAAGTTTGCCTCCAAGCGCGCATGCGAATATTCGGCTACGGGAAATCAGTATTGTATGCCAGATCACATAGCGCCAACTGCTCGCACCTTCTGGCGTCGTCGGCTACACAGGACGCAAATACACCTGCATCCATACTATATTTCCACAAACAAACTAGTCCATCAGACTCTGGACTGACTTGAAGACAATACACGTTGCCATCATGAGACCCAACCCAAATATGGTTCCATTTATCAGTTACAGGCGAACTCTTGACTTCACCGTCCGTGGCATAAGTCCCGATAATGGCTCCTGACGTCGTACTGAAAGCATACACTCGGAAATCGTAGGACCCTATCTCTAAACATTTACCACTAGACACCTAGCTGGAACGGCCTCGCAAGCAAGACTTACCGACAACAACCACCTTTCCATCACGTGTGACGCACGCACTACTCTCAATCCTGCCTCGTATTTGCGCTTGCCAAATCAATGTTCCGGTGAGCACGTCGATCGCACTGAAAATACCGGCATGGGAACCGATATAAGTCATGAGAACCTGCCTGGAACAGCGGCGATAGATCAGATGATTTCGGAGGAAGTGAAGACCAGAAACACACTAACCGCTCATCCTCGGCTTTGATCAGTAAAACTGGGGAGGCATCCACGCATTTCTCTAGATTGACCTTCCACTGAACTCTAAGCTTGAGTTTTTTCTGGAGTTCTCGATGTCGATCATGATGTTCATGAGAGCGTGTTGTAGCCTCCATTGTACGACGTACGATGAGAATGCCAGCGCGATCTTCGCTCTCATCCAGACACTGACGCTGTCTGCATGAGGTGATTGAATCCCCTACAGAAGAAGGGCGAGATCGTTTTCGAACGGTGGATGACAGAGGTTCGTCAGAATTCAGCAGTTGAGTAACATATGCTACCACCTCGCTGGCCGCATTGTGGAGAATGCGAGTAAGGAGGATTGGACGAATCATGTCCAGCTCCACATCGGGCTTATTTCTCTTTGCTGCTGATAGTGCTGATGGAAAGTATTAGACACGCTGTTTCTGTATCAGGTGCTCAACGAAGAGGTACCTATCCAGCGAAGTAGGTCCTCAGTGACTTTTGCTGCATCAATACTAGTTCCTCCTTCGGACAAAAACCACCAATCGCGACCTTGAGGGCTCGAGGGTACTTGGTTTGCTAGTGTGGTGAGTACGTGACGCTCTACATCGGTCCTGGACAATGATTGACTTGGACCAGACTCGTGAACTACCCTCCTTCTGTCCTCCCAGATCCTCAAAAGAGCAGTCCTATCCGTCTATGCTTCTGATTGGTAAGTTGATTCGACACTGAGAGCGAATGAGACTCAACGAACCTTGCCATGGTGGGTCATGGGAATGTCATCTATAAAAAATACATAATCCGGTCGCGCATAGAAAGGAAGGGTTTTTTCGAGCAGCTGGCCAATAGCATGTCTCAATTGCACTGGGTTCCGGTCTCTGCACTGGGCTACCACAAATGCTACAAGAGTAGTAGGACAAAAGCTCCGGGTACGGTCCACATAGATGGCCCTATTCATTACAAAGGTTAAGTATATTCTGAAAATGTGTGATGAAGCAGGTACTCACTCGCTGCGAACTACCCCCGGAACAACATCAATCGCTCCTGCAATAACTTCCAGATTTATTCGGTAACCTAGCCGTTTAATTGAATTGCTCGTTCGCCCCATATAGGTCATTACATTCGTAAGAGAATCAATGTGAACAAGGTCACCAGTAGGCCTAAGGCTGCTCCGTGTAAGATGTTGGAATCAACGAAGTAGCTTTGGCGTCCTACCTTTCCCCTTTGACTTCGTCTCCTACATAACATATCCGCTTCGGTCCTCCAATCCATAATTCGCCAGTGTTCCTCTGCATGTTTGGCACACATATTTCTGTATCGTCTAAAGCCTCTCCAATGCTGACCGGCGTTTTATCGACCTTTTGTAAAGTCGCCCAGACGGAGCACTCCGTAGTGCCATATATATTCCACAAATTCACCAGTGAAGATCTTCGCTCGTTCACTAAACTAATTGGGAATGGCTCTCCCCCAAGAATGATGTCGCGGACAGTCGTCTCAGCCGCCAGCAATTTTGATTGGTCTGCCGAATCAAATTGCATGAATAGCGACGGAGTCATGAACAGATGGGTCACTGCAGTTCTTCGAATCATATCGAACAGCATTGGCGGATTCAAGAGTGTGTCGTGGAGAGGAATGACAATGGTGCCTTTCGTGGTTAAGGGAAGTAGCATTTCTACCAAAGATGGGTCAAACGTCGGGGCGGAAACTTGCAAGGTCACAATAGGAGTAGAGTTTCCGTTTAGACGCTTGCTGATGAGGAATTTAGTCCTATACGTTCGGCAGATAATCGCGGATCTATCGCACGCACCCTATGGCGGTTATATTTCCGGCAATACACTTATGTGGCACCCGAACTGGCATGCCTCTTCCATTCCTGGTAGTTCCGGAAGTTTGGATGATGTAGGCGAGATTTACTGACTCAAAGGCTTCCTCATGGTCTGGCCCAATAGGCTCATTAAACTTTAGATCCCAAGTAATACACTCGAGAACTCCTGTACCTTTGATCACTTCATCTCGCACCAAAAGGCAGTATCCAGGAAGTGAGAAGACGTTTTCAATGCGTACTCGCTCGATTTCCTTGGGGACCCTCTACGCCAACATCAAACACTTGCCGAATCGATGAGGATCAATCAAGACTTACTTCCGCCGTGGAACGTTTACATAGTACATATCGTAACTTGGGCATCCGTTGTATCGTAGCCGCGCTATGAATTAGCGAGCGAGTGTGTGCAGATAAAGGGAAATACGTAGCACCCAGCTGGAAAAGACTGCACGAATAAGGGATTTTTGCCACCAAGTTGACGAAGAGGACCGCCCAGGCTTACCTTAATAGCGTGATGACAAGTGAGTAGGAGCTGCTCATTATCGTTGCGACATAGCTGAAGCGTTGAATCTGGATGTTCTGTTATTTTAATGTCGCCCCTCGTCAGTCTCTGGTCCACTCACCCCAAACCGCTTGAATTCTAACGATAATTGTTCAACTTGTGAGACAACATCCCGGTAGGTAAGCTTGACAAGCCGCTGATGTGCATCGCCAGTAGTCTCTTCTTCCGCAATAACCGCTACATTATTCGGACATATTCCCGCATTTGTTAATATTTTTGCATAAAGAGTCATATGCTTTTCCTTAAAACTCGAAAAACTCGACAAACCCACCTTACATACCTGTAACAAAACGTCCTTTGGAAAGGCTTTCTTGCCTAATGAGACCTACCGGCAGCGTCTTCTAGATTACATTGCCATCATCCATCAAATTGCTGACCACGCTTCCCACGCTCTCAAATTCTACATCCTATCTGCACCAACCTTTCCCACAGTAAATCAAGAGACAATTGAAGCCATCCTCTATCTTCTCAACAAAGGTGAATCATGGCAACCAAAAACCGGTGCGAAGAAGGCGTTACGCGAATCCTTGTTGCCATACATCCAACGGTACTGCAACATCGTCGGCTTCGTTCATCCAAATGTACAAAAAGAGCAGCAATCAGTCAATTATCTGACAGCGAGTATGATGACGAATCTGAAGGTCAATGTCCAGGAACACTTCATGATGATGCTGCTCCGGTACATTAATCTGCGGCTTGATGTGAAGAGACAGAAGCAGCGACTGCCACTGAAAAGCGATGCGCGAAACGCTTTCTTTGCTCGTCTTCGCTACTTGAAGTCAATTTTCCTTTTTGATATCGTGCCTGAGTCGCTCGATGACTTGACTGCTGAAGAGAGTGAACTTCTAGAAGAGATTTGGTCCCTTAGCATTCCCCTTTCTGACGACCAGCCACTCGCATATTCGGTTGCTGTAGACCCTCTCGCCTTCTTTCCTGCATACTGCAAACTCTCCCGACTCTATGAGCATCACGGATTTCGACGGTTTAGCGCCATACCTCTTCGTCGCTCGCTCATTCAAAGTCACGTGCGAATCGACACCATCATCCTCTACTCTCACCTTCTTTGCATCACGCGACGAGAAGCGGAAACTGTCGAAAAGGTCGATTTATGGTTGCGCGTCTGTAATCTGCAGAACAAGGCTTTTAGATCTCGTCGTGGAATGTGTTTTGAAGGCTCGATCACGACGGACGGAACCTCGGTGTCAGTTTACTTGAAACATCCTGAAGCTGACAAGTATGGAAAGCGCAGCGGCAGAGGGAAAAAGTCAGCAAAGGCTCTAGCAGCTGAGGTGAAGGCGCTGTATGTGGAAAACAACTTATCTGCTTGTCAAGAGAACATTGTCGTTATCGATCCAAACAAGCGCGACATTCTCTACTGCCAAGACAACAAGGGCACCATCTTCCGTTACACCGCCAATCAACGCTGCAAGGAGACTGGAAGCCGTCGATTTGCAAAAGAACGGCAGCGGATGAAAACCGGCGGCATTGACCTCATAGAATCACGTATCCCAAGCCACAAGACGATGAACCTCATGGACTTTACTCGCTACCTTCTCGTTCGTCGCGCAGATTCGGATCGTCGCAAGGAATTCTACTCCCACCCTGCCCACACACGGTGGAAGTGGCATGCATTTATAAACCGTCAGAAGAGTGAATCGAACCTCATATCCAACTTGCGCAACAAGTTTGGGAACTTTACCATTATGATGGGAGATTGGAGCGATGCCGGTAGAACTGCGAGATTTCAGACCTCATCCAAGACAAAAGGCTGGCGCACCCTCTTTAAGCGCAACCGCATTGATTGTTTTCTTCTTGATGAACACAAGACCTCATCTGTTTGCCCTCGCTGTTCATCCTCTGAGTTTGTCGAGAAAGAATTCAAAGAACGACCTCATTCAAGACCTTGGCGCCGTCGCGAAGGCAAGATGGAAAAAGTCCACGGATTGCTGGGTTGTACCAACCCTAACTGTTTGCAGCAAGCCTGGACGATGCGCTACTGGAACCGAGATATGCTGGCAACCTGTAATATGCTGACAATCGTGCAATCAATGTTGGATGGACACGGTAGACCAAAAGTGTTCAGCAGGGGTGTTCCAGCCGTAGCGTAGATTAGTTAGATTACCTTTTCCGAACCGGTTGTCGCCGGTTCAATCCCTGGTGCGGGTGCTAGTGCCAATACCCATCGGCTCCGCACTAAAGAGTCATATTAGATATCGCTGCTGCAAAATCTGCACTGTCGGTGATGACAAGTTAATTGATTTACCAGCCACCTGGTGTACTACATTTTTCCAGTCCAAGCTTTCGGCTCTCAAATGGCCTCCTCCAGAGATGGATGTGACGGCGCTCAACTATTCTCTCCACCCCTATGGATTCAGAGGAGGGCACTGGTTTCACATATATTGAAGAATAATGGAGTGCAGTCGGTACGTGCTTTCATTTACTAGTTGTCCACCTCAATGGCAGCTGACTGTCATTGACCCAGGTCCTAGATCTTGGGTGTGGAGAAGGGGCGCTTCTCGAAATCCTTCTCAATGACCCTACATTCAGTAAACTGGCTGGGGTTGACATTGACGGGGAATCCCTCCGTTACGCTTCTGTTAATTGTGCGCCTACCGACTATGACAGGCAGTACCTTAGAGAGCTTCCCGTAGAGTTCAATTTATACGAGGGTGCGACTACGTTCGAGGAGTTGCGATAGTTTTTGAATATGTCCTATTAAGATCCATTGCATCTGCTCAGGCTCGGTTGATCAATTGGATAAGAGTCTCACCGGGTTCGATGCGATTACGAGTGTAGAAGTGTGAGTTGTCTTAAGGAAATTGAGTTTAACAATGTACTCTGATCTTACTTTCTCACAGAATCGAGCACTTGGACCCACCTGTATTGGCAGCCTTTCCCGCGGTTACGCTCGGGGGCTACAGGCCGCGGATCATGGTCGTAACTACGCCAAACGGCGACTTCAACGTTAACTTTCCGGATCTGAAATGGGGTACACCGGAAGCAGGCTTCCGTCACTATGATCATCGGTTTGAGTGGACACGAGATGAATTTCAACGCTGGTTCGTTGCGCTCTCAATGGCAGATCTGATGAGGTGTTAACAGATGGCGGTAGGGCAAATAGTGCCGCAACGAAATTTGGTTATACCGTTTCCTTTGATGGAGTTGGTATCCTATCATCCAAACCTGGCGACCTCTCCGTCGGTCACTGTTCGCAAGTGGCAATTTTCATTCGTCAACGTTGCGACTATGACTCGCCGCTCAGTAGTCTCGATGACTGTCCCGCCCTTTCGGAAAGTCCATACAAGCATTATGCAAAAATTGAATTCCCTTACTTCACCGAAAGCGGATTTAGTAGCGAGGCTATCACCCAGGAACTGAAGGAGAAAACATTTCCACTGATATGGAACGAGTGGTATTCAATGATCGAAGATGCAAAACGAGATCAACTTGCTGCGAAGCTTTCTTGGCCTGCCGTGGGGACATGGTGTCTTCCTTTCGAACGGTATTGGAGCATACTGCGAATACGACAATTATGTAAGACGCGGGGTCGTCTTGAGGAGGTCTTTACGTCGTCGGCGGCCAAGGAGAGTTTTATTTGGAATGATGAAGAAAGAAAAGTGGTGATCCTCTTTGAGATACCGAAGGAACATGAATCAGAGGAGGATGGAACCGAGGACGCAGACTGGGGCTACGGGAGTCCTGCGTACGATGACTGGGATGATGATAGCGCCTGGAAGGACACTAAATGGAAGGCTTCTCGGGATAGCGACGGAGAGGGCTGGGGCACTGCACACATCACTGCAGAGTGGGATTGCCAAGCAGGTTGGGGTGAAGAGATTGCTATATATGGAAGTGCCGCAAATCCTCCACCAAAGAAGGTGCGGTTGCTGGAGGATCCTGGGGGGAACGACGGGATCACTATCTGATTCTAATTTTATTTGCGTATTCTTCCTGTACATATTGATAGTAAATTGGCTAATTGCATTGAATCTATGACATAGTACGTCCTTCTTGCTTAACCATCTGTATAGCCTACTGGGGCAAAGATCCAAATTTGTCCACATTCCCGACTTGTGTGGCCAATGATGTTGTAGATGTTCGCACTTCAACTGCGGCCTCCAGCGTCTGCTTCGCTTGTGATGCACGCTCATCCAGGATATCGACAATGTGCTGTGTCAAGAGGTCAATGGCCACTGTATTCTCCTGGCCACGGGGGATGATGACGTCGGCAAACTTTTTGGACTGCGCGGGATTAGTTCGACTTTCGCGTCTGCCCCAGTCAGTAGTTATAAAGATCTTACCGGAAGGATGAAATCCTCAAAGGAGGGCTTCACATGTTTCACGTAATACTGTAGTACTTGCTCCAGCGGTTTGTGATAGCGCTCCTCAGTGTCGCGCACAACTGGTGACAATCAAGTGTAAGCCTCTACAATATCTATAGTAGCAGAATTGAACATTGCATACTCCACCTTGTCGTGCCAGTCGTACGTCACTGTCAACATCCACAAACACCTGTACAGGAAGGGAGTTTACATTTGTGAGTAATGCACCATTCTGTGAGAAGTTGGTCACCAGATCTGCAACCTTTAGATTTAGCACGTCCCGCACACGTCGCTTGTACAGCATATAGATTCCTGAGAAGATGACTACATCCGGTCGCTCAATGTGCATTGTCTCTGGTAACCTGATGAAGGCCCGTTTTTGTCAGATCTCCAGTAAGAATCGTTGAACACACAAAACCGCACCGAATGTGATTTTGAAAATCATAAAGTGGAATGTCCACTGGACGTCCGTGCAAAATGTCCTCTAAACACTCTTCCATTAAACCAAAGTCTACTGCATTTGGGTGATCTTGGACGTTGAGCGGATGCTTTGTTAGCTAAGCGTTCTGGCAATTTGCAAGAGTGAATGTCAGACACACCGAAATTATAGTCACCGGACTTTGCCAACTCCATTTCCTCCCGATTTAGCTCCCGATAAAAATCCTCCATTCTATCGAATGGTGCGGTGAACAGGTTGAAAACCCCAAATACGAATAGAATCTCAGTCAGACAGCCCGCATACCTAATGATAACCACTTTTACTCCCACACTCTTGTCCTTCTCCAAAAGCCGGTCCATTATCATTTGACATACGGTCTTTTTACCGCTGCTTCCACCACCTGCGACTCCGATAATGAATGGGGTACCTTTGCCCGAATGTGGAAATAGTAGAGGTGGCTCATTCAGTGACGACAAAGAGGCCGAAGTTTCCAGAGTAGACGTCTGTACTGGCATTGCTGCAGAGAGTGCGAGTCACAAAGATGGCAATAGGAAGGAATACTTTGCATGTACATACCGTCACCAAAGATTTGCATGCCGCGATCTAGCTTTAACCTCAACCTCTGGCCAGTATCTTGGCGATAACTCAAACAACCGCTTGCATGACTGTCGCTCCAACGTGACTGTACAAGTGAAGTCGTACAACCACGTTCCCCACTATGATTACGTAACGAGACCCGGAGCGTGTCTTTCTTTTTTTTATTTTTGGCGTCTTTTTTTTTTTTTTTAGAATCTAGACTGGATGAAGGGCAGGAGGGGTTTCTTTGTCTCGACTTTTTTTTTTATTTATTTTTAGAGGAGGTGTTCATTGCATTTAAATAGATTAGATAGAGCATTTCCCCCCTTTCGTCTGTCATCTTACAATAGAAACATTATGGCAAAAGACCACTTCATCGCTCCCATTCACTCTCTCCCCGCAGAGGTCCTTCTTTGCATCCCTCAATACCTCGCGACAGCCGATACTACTCGATTCCGGACGACGTGCAAAAGCTTGTATGCCCTTTTCACGGAATCCGATATTGCCCGGTTTCAGGCGGAGAAGTTGGTGCGTGCACCAAGGAGCGAAGATGAGGCCATCTTGAAGGAGTGCTTTGGTCCTCCGACCTTTTTTGCATCACTTGTCATTCACCTCGACCGTCTCGGTGCCCCTGTTGGCCTAAAACGTGTGCCTCGGGCGAGCGGTGACGGGGAGGCATGCTGGGGTTGGAGGGCGATACGGTATGCAGCTTGTACGGATAAAGCCGGCAGTGGATGGAAGAAGGCCAGGCAAGCCGTTCGCATGCTTTTGGATGCTGGTGCCTTTGTTGATTGTCGAGATTGGTCCCTCGACGACCGTGCGTTTCCTCGTGGGTTTGAAGACTGGGATGCGGATTGCTCCTATTGGAAAGTGTCTGAAAAGACGGCCTTCACGACATATTGGGGTGCGACACCGCTCTCAGAAGCGGCTGCGCGAGGTAATCTCGAATTGGTCGCTATCCTGCTCCAAGCTGGCGCAAACCCGAACCTCAAGTACAACCGCAAAATGGAGCATAAGAAGATTGTGACAGCTCAAGAAAAGGCGTTGTATGGACCGTTGGCAGACAAGAAGATATCTACTGCGTTCGAAGAGGCCCTGTGGCGTGGCGACACGGACATGATGCTTCTCCTTTTGAGTGGCGGGTTCAGTGTTGAGCAACATGCCGACAGGATCCTGACAGAGATTGCGCGCAAAGACGATGCGAGCATACTAGAACATTTGCTCCAATTTGGATTCGCACCTTTTTTCACAAGCGTGTCCGCCAAGCAACTGGGCATGAACGGCGCAGTCAAATGCTTTGAACATCTTATTGACTCCAATATACCAACCATCGATATGCAATTCCTTCTGACGGCTGCTGCACACGATGAACAGGGAAAGCTGCCTGAAATCGAAGCTGGTGCTGAGATCAGGATGGGTCATTGCACGGGGCGACACTCGCCAGATCCGGTTGGGCGCTAATATCCTTTACGACGGTGATGGACTCCCTCGAAACCAATGGCTTGGATGTTTATTTATTACATTTTTGGGAGGGATAGAATATACACTATAGATTACCCATCACATTATTGTTTGTCGCTTCGCGATTGTAGTATTATTGGTTGTATCACAACCCTAAATATACCATATAGACAAGAAGGCCCGCAGTCACCTCTACGTATTCACTAATCATACTGTAGCTAAACTAAAGAAGGATGGGCGAAAAGAACCTCATTCGCCTCCAGGTATCAAACGAAGAAATAGGAAATAACCTTAAACAACATTAACAGCCAGCTATATACGTTCACCTTCGACGCGGACCACATCACAATACGGATGGAAGCTTTTTACTCGAGATACCTTGTTCTAGTCCAGGTATCTTAATCCATTTGTCTAGATAAAGCACCTCATTCAGTCCGGGGCATTTTTATGAGAAGCCCGCTTCTATCACAGTCAAGAGCTCACCTGGAACCATCAAAAAGTTCTGCTCCATCGCCTTCCTAAACCGGTCTCTATACTGGTCCGGAGGAAGCACTGTCACATCCTTGCCACCCTTCAACGCTGCATTGAGCGTCGTCTTGGCTCTCGTTTCCAAGATCTTATACCATGTGTAGGGACCAATGAAGTCAACAATGCCCACGACGAGTTCTTTTTTATCGTCATTGACGCCCACGAGGAGCGAGTAGTCCATTACGTTGGCGTCGCTAAGGAATTGGGTGTCATTCCAGACAGATTCGGCGATTATCTTTTTGGAGTGGGCATGGAGTCGGAGAAGTTGCTTGTAACGCCCTAACATGGAATGATTACATTCGAAATGTTCAATGACTATGAAAGGTTCAGGCCGGGTTCTCACCATCGACCCAGTCACCATCCCACATCACATCGTTTTCACCGTCCTTTTTACTGACGATGTGCCGATCCGGAACGCCTTTAAGATCAAATTTCTGTTTCCGCCAGAACGGGTGGATGAGTGACAACCTTTATGCACTTGCAGGAAAAAATAGCCAATGCTTACGCGCGAAATGTTGACGTTTGCAAACAGGTGCTCCATAACCAACACATCCAACTTTTTTACAGTGCCCGTCTGTAGATTCTTGTGTTTGAGTGTGTAAAACCCAAATATCTTGACGAGAATGGTGGGGTTCTAAAGAAAAAATATTTTTCAAAGGTGAGATAATCAAACTTACATCTAATGTCAGAACGTCACTCAACCTTGTCGGAATTATTCATATACTCAAAATACGCTGGCGCAAACTTCATCAACGCGGCCTTTTCCTGGTTGGACCACTTGGACGCCAACTGCTTCACGACGAGCTGATCATCTACACCAGACACCTAACGTTAAATGTGCTGCGGCAATAACGCGCAATGTAAAAACAGAGAGATAGACACGTACCGCATGTTTTGAAGAAGCCAGCTCGAGATTTTCCTCCTGACGCATTCCATTCAGAACACCGCATCAAAGACCGTACATACATGGCGCTCATGCCGCACTTTCGTCTCAGCCCATCAAACTGCGCGGCATAGTACACCGTACAAGAAAAATTATGCTTTCCTTGCCTGAATTCTTAAGTGGTACAACCATTAATGGAGGAAGACTACGTACGCTTGCTGCGATCAACTACTTACTGTATTTGATGTGCTGCTTTGGACCACCCGGCGTCTGTTCATGGGAAAAAACTTTCATTTTGACCTCGCAATCACCCCCGACATTTTCCCATTGTGGGATGGGTGGAGGGCTTTCAGGGTCCACGCCGAATGGGTACTGTCGTTGGTTACGAATATGTTGAATATAGTCTTTGGAACTTTAATGGGGATCAGCCAGTTAGTATAATACAACGGTAGTGGGTCGATGAGAAGAACTTACCTAAGAGTGAAAGCGATGATCGATGTGGGTTCGTCCTCCCGAACAATGACAAAAGAGTTGGGATAGACATGACCTGTCTTGGGCTTGTGACCAGGGATGCTATGGAAAAAGATTTCATGAGACACCCGCGCGTGAAAGCCACCTTTAGACCGAAACCGCGCCAGACTGGCAGCGGCGGACCACTGCATTTACCTGCAATAATCTGGCAATGACCATTCTGGTTGCTCCTTGTGGCCAGGCGCATGCAGTTTCTGCCATTCTACAAGTGTCTTCACTGTCTCCTTCATCTTGGCCAACAACTCCCGTCTCACATTATTCACTTCTGCTACTTTTTTCGCTTTCAACTCCTCCCGCAGCTGTTGCTCATCCTGCTCAAACTTCTTTCCCAATTCATCCAACATGATCTGGCACTGAACTTGCTCAGCTGATCCCTCATTCTGGGCCACTAAAGCAGAACCTGTCGCAAATGCCAACCCCTGCATGTATTCCTTGACAGAATTATAGAAAGTGGTGATTTCGCCCCGAGTTTGCTCTAAGATCGCATGTCCATCAACTCCGAACGGCTCCAAATCATCATCAGCACCATAGTGCGCATCATCGGAAGCTTCATCAAAATAGTAGTCCGGACTGACTTGGATCTTTGGAACCCTCATCTCAAACAAATCGATGTAATCGTACTCGAACACGACAATTTCGTTCCGCAGCCGGAAAAATCGCCGAACGTTCTCTCTGGTGTGGATATGAGAACATACGGTTCCACACACAAAGTACGGGTTGTAGTATAAGAGTTCCAGATATTTCGCAAATGAGTAATGCCAAGTACCCGTGGACATTGGAACTATATCAGTGGTTGATTCGCACTCCCGACACCCAGTCCACATGTAAATTTGATCCGGTTCGGGCGGCGAGCCCAGTCGCTGAGGAGCCTCTCGAACGCTTACGCTAATACGTCCATGATTGTGAGTATAGGTGATAACATGTTGACCCATCGGCTTTCCGCACATGGCATCCGGACAAAGTCCTTTTGCCTTGTTACATAGAAGTTCCACAAACTGTCCTAAAGATCTATCTTGAAAGTGTTGCCCCAATTTCTGATAGTATTCGATTGTCAGGATTTCTGGAGGACGGCAAGGAATATTGGAACCGGAAAAGTAGTAGGAATAAGCGAAAGTGACACTCTGATGCCTCATCACGCCACTTATGCTATTGTTGTTGGTCATCAGATATCCCAGACCCGCCTTTGAGTCCACGGAGATATGGGAGGTTCTACTGCTTGTGGACTTGGTCGACGCACTCGAATAGCGTCGCCCGGGTGAGTTGGAACCCCAGCTATTAAATTTGCCTGATCCGCTTCCAGAAGGAAAGTCCACGTCATCGGGACCGTACGATATCCGTCGACCGTCTTGATCCAGCATTCTTACGGGATACAAGTTGACCTCCTCATCTCGTAATCGGAGGAGCAGATGCGGTGGAGGAAAAATCACGTCCGGTGATGCACTGATAATCGTCTTTTCGATTTGTCTGATCGCCCTATCGAACCGATTACTTCCATCCACGACACCCTCTGGGGAAGCTGACCGCGGATTGCTTCCGTGTCCACTTCTATTCTCTCCACGTATCCAGTTCCATAAGGATCTCCCTACTCGCCTCGGAGGTGGTGGCGAGCGATGCACTGCATTCGCTTCAGCGGAATCAGGTCTAACAGCAAAATGATCGCGAAACAAGTACATCTCTAACTTTAGGTTACAAACGACAAAGACGACAAGTTCCATTACTTTCTCGATTTTGGGGAGATCTTTGGCCGTGCCTTTGAGTACGACAGTTCCTCCAAGCTCCAAAATATTTGGTTCTATGGCCACCACTTCAGGAGGGATCTCTCCCTCAGCGGGACCAGGAACGTAGCGCGACTCCTGCGGCATGCCAAACGGTTCGGTCGTCACTTTGATGACATGATGAAGACTGGTGCTGCCATCATCAGCCATTCCGTTTGACGACGGTCGACCAATGATCTCAAGGGCAAACGGCACATCCTGAGCAATTTCTAACGCAACTTCCGTCAGTACTTTCTCCCATGTATCCACGTCCACATAAACCTCCTTCAATGCCTGTCTGATCAAGGATTGGAGGTGCTTGTACGATCGAACATCTAGATTTTCTTGTGGTGGAGGGAGAGGAGGAGCGACATGGAATGGTTTGGAGGTAAAAGGCTTTTCAATTTCGTATATCGAAGGCTCTTTGATGGGCGTGGGAATAGGTGTAGTAGCGAGCATATTTGGAAATGCAAATCTATCTATCTGATTGAGGGCAGCAAATGCGTTAAAAGTCCGAGTCTCACATTGGTAAAAAAAAAGCCTTAAAACATCTATCTCTATCTACAGCATATTCCCAACTTACTACAACTGTTCGTCTATCCTAAAGCACCAGACGCGTCAGAAGGGGGACCTTGACGGATGCACAAACGCCGCAAAGGTCATTCGTTGCAGCCCGATGGAAGAAGGACAGCAAGCGGAATGCGAGTTACTCACACAGGCATGTATCAGAGGAAGAACTGTCGAAGCTGTCGTCGGATAAATGGTAGAGTCTGGTTGGACAGCAGCTGTGGCACTAGGGAATTCCCAATTGTGTGTACCTTCACCACAAGTGCAACCCGCGTTGAACAATGAAGATGCACGTTGTTGCAAGTTGTGCAAGCCTGTTGGTGTTTGCTAGAAGCTTGTGTGAGTTTCCGTCATCTTGCGAGGGGTTGTGGTCAGAGAAGCATGTTGTATTCAACGACTGGCGGCCATGAAACTTTGCGACAGCGCGTCCATTGCCCTGGTAAAACAAGCATTGAAAGATTCCATCAAGTGCAAATGGGACATTTAGGCTTGAAGGATGAATGGATATTGCATTTGCTGTTTGTTACCCTCTGCATATTTGCAGTGGACGATTGAACACAAAACTACAGAAGACCAAACAACTCCCTGTGACATGCCTTCAGAGGACGCAAAACATCTCAAATACTGGCTCACTGTCTGTACTCCTACTCTCATACCGTATGCCATATGACTGGCATATGAATGGTCCTTTCGATGGGGTTCTATGGGAAAGACGGGAGAGAATATGAAGGCTGCAAAAGAACCTCCACGCAAACCTACGGCGGCCGCCATCACCTCCTTTCGCAACAACTTGCGAATGACCTAGAGTACACTAACCTGGTCTTTGGCACTTTCATGCCGTTCTCGCTGCCCTGGCTCGATTTACGACGGTTGTGCGATGGGTGCGTGCAAGGTCTTTCGTAATGAAGCAGATATATGGGGAATGCATGGTGAAAGCAATGAAGATTGGCATGTTCTGACAAAGACTACATTATGTTCACGTAATCAATCACACACTTTGCCATGTCTGCATGCCTTTGCATATGCACGTTCTTCAAGAAATTAAACATACCGTCTCAGTTTTGAGAAATAGCAGATGATAATATTCGTCCTTACCTTCCCTCTTCGCTCTCAAGGCATCGTATAGCGGGACATGGAAAGGGCGGTCGACACTCCAAAAACCCTTCAATTCCAAAGCGCTATTGAGACTACTTCTATTTTTTATTGCAAACATGCTTTTGAAAGGATTGCAGTGATTCAGGGGGCCATGATAGTGTGCAGGTGGTAGAAAATGTCACTAGGGACAAATTCTCCCTCCAATCCACTACAGCCGGTTCTAATTTACAATTAGCCAGCCTGTCCAACCCTTCATAACCTATCCTGCAAACGAGTCCCACCCCTATCCTAACTCGCTACAGGTTCCAGCCTGGGTTGAACTGGGGTACGTGAAAAGCTAACTACCACTAGGCCCAATTACACATGCGATAACGTCACGGTTGTTCTAACCGGGTAACTAAGCCCACCACACGAGAGAAATCCTACTAAGCCCTTGATTCCTAAATTCTTAGTCGGAGGATGTTCAGATACTAATTAAACCAGAATTAGACTCGGAATACGCATAGGAAAATACAAAGATAATGCATACCTGCGATCGTTGCAGTATAGTAGTAGCAGCGTTTGCAAGGGGTTATGTTGTTTTTGTCGGGAGGGCGAGGTCCTCGGCACCAGAGCAGTATTCTCATGATGGACTGAGACTTGTTGGGCAGATGCTTGCGAGTCGAGGGATAACGAACAAGAGGGAAGAGACAGCAAAAGGCCCCCCTTTTATAGACCTTCCGCATGCGCCTCACCGCAGTTTAAAAAAAAAAACATTTAGCATGCCACACCGCTGCATGCCTCACCGCTTTGGGCGATAGAGGGGGTGCGATATGACTAACCGGATTAATCCGGATAATAATGAGTTCTAGTGCCATTTTCAATCACCTCCACACTAAAGATTTTGGCAAATGGATGATGTAATACATATGAATTGCATAGCCACCTCGACGAAACGCTTAGCATGTCGTTTTCTTGAAGATGCAAAAAGACCCTTTTCCATTCGGACATGACACTGACATGATCTCTTGAACCAGCTATTTTCGTTCATTTTTGGTTTTCCTTTAAAATAGTACATATAACTCGCCAATATAATGCATTTTTCTACCTCGACCGAGCGGGAAGTTACTGGACAGTCTCACAATCTTCCTCCTTTAAAACGCTTCAACTACCGGCCGTCACTAACAAGCGCTAAGGTTGTCTCAGTCGCTCCTTCTTTTTGCCTCACTCTTTGCCTAACACGCTCTCCATCAGCCGCTCCCCACCCTTGCTGCCCTCCTCACCTACAAAACATGGGGCATTCCAATGCCGCCTGAATGCCATTTTACCTGTTACACGACTTTCCTTGACAACCTTCTCAAACTTGCACCCTATCCTGCTCGCTTCCCCCTCGTCCTGATAGCAGCGACATACATTTCACGTCTCCGCGAGGTATTTCCGGAGGCAAGTGGCGAGGAGGGCGTGGAGGTGAGGTTGTTCAAGACCGCTTTTGTGCTGGCGTGGAAAGTCTACGGAGCTGAAGCGGATGGTGAGATGATGTGCGGACGAGGAAGGGTGGCAAGAGAGATGGAGCGGGAGGTAATTGGCGTTTTGCAGCAATTTGTTTCTTTTGATATTCTGAGATCTCATTGCAAATGGTGATGAGCAGTTTCTAAAGGGCATCAATTATACTCTCCAAGTCTCTCCAATGGACATCTTCAAACTCGCAGCGAGGACAAAAGTCCTCGTCTCGCAGAATCCGCAGCTTTTTACAGGAAAGGACTGCATGGAAGTAGCCCTTTGGGTAGAGGATTTGAACATGGGGATTGTGGAAAGTGGTGGTTTGAACGGTTGGAGCGGGGGTGTCTCATGAACACTTAATGTCCTTTATTATAAGTGTGTAGGTGGTATCAGGTTGCCTCCTGTAATTTTGAATATATACCAACGGTGATCTGAAAGAGAAGGAATCACATCAAGATTGGAATTTGATCAGGGTTACATTACCAAAGCCAATATATTTCACACAGAAAACCAACACGACAAAAGTAAACTAAATATTTAAATATGTACATTACCACCTCCCATCCACCAGCTCCTTCAACTGGTTCTTTTCCTCCACCGAAATACCACAGCACCCAGTAATATCAACCTTCTGCAACCGCGGACATCGCTCCACGAATCCCGCCAAGCCTGTGAATGTAACTCTGGGACAACATCGCACCATCAAAACTTGGACTTGTAACATCCCGTCTCCGCCAAACGCCAAATCAGATATCTTCTCGCATCGACTGATATCCAAAAGTTTCAATTCCTTGCACCCACCAAGAACACTACTTATACCCGAATTACTAGGCCCGTCCCCACTCAAAAACCCCGCATAGAGCGTATGCAGTCGACTGCATCTTTGTCCGATAGCTTCGAACCCCTCATCCGTGATTCGACACTTTGACATAACAAGAGACTGAAGCCGCGGACAATGTTCAGCAATAACTTTAACCGTCGCATCCGTCACACCTTCGCAGGAATAGAAGTTGATGCTTTCAAGGGAGTGGAGGTGTGGCGTTAGGCGGGCGAGAGAATTGTCGGTAATATGGTAGCAGCCGGAAAGACAGAGGAGGGAAAGGGGCATTAGAGGATGTGGTGTGGATTTTGGAGTAGGTGCGAGGTTGATGAATTGTTCAAGAGCCGCATCGGTCAGGTTAAAGCATCCGGATAGTTTGAGTGTATGTAAACCTCCGCCGGGTTTGGTATATAGTGACGCTAGAGACCCTACAGACTCATCTGTCACTCTGCTACATAGTCCCACATTTAGGACGCGAAGGGCTGCTGAGCCATCTTCCACGAAGGCACGGACAGTGGCATCGCCCAGTTCTGTACATCCTTTGAGGTTCACGTCAATCAACTTGGTGCACCCTCTCGCAATCGTAACCGTCCCTTCATCCGTGAGCTGACGACATTCTGACAGATCCAGGGTTTCAAGTTCTGTAAGCGTCTGGCCTATCACTTGACAGCTCGCATCGTCAACCAATTCCACTGCTCCCATAAGGTTCAGATGTCGGATATGGGGTTGAACGCTTAGAAAGTCAGACAAGGTTCGCGACGCAGTGGAGAGCATGTCACTGATGGTGGCGTTACTGAGGTTCAGGCGGGTAAGTTGATGTGCGTAATTCTTTGCAAGATGTGTGAAGGTCGTGGCCGTTATGTGGCGTGCGAAGGCCAGCTCGAGGGTGTCCAACCGTGGACGGCAAATGGATGTACCAGCGCGCTTGGAGTCGATTGGCGGGAGTAGGGCAATGAGAGAATGATCCGTGATCGCATCACTTGCGGTTCCGTTTAGCTTCAACAGCGAGAGTGATCCGGCAACGTCCGGTAAACCAAACTTTTGAGCTTCGTCGAGCCGGTCCTGGCGAACTTGTGCGAATTGCAGTAACCCTTTCTCCGTGACACCTAAACATTCGTCCACATCTAGCTGCGTCAGTTTCGGGCATCCAGAAGCAAGCTCCAGCAAGACTTCATCAGAGACTGCGTCGGAATCCCGAGCGATCAAAACTCTTAGATTGCTACACTCCTTCGCGACATGGTGGAGAGCAGTTTCGCTAAGACAGGGAACGCAAGTCACATTGAGCGTCTTCAACCCGTTGGCTGCCCTGACGATGGCAGCAATTCCAGCATCCGTAACCTCGCAGCAGCGAGCAAGGGATAGCTCTTCCAAAAACTTTACATTGGGATGCTTTGCCAATGCAAACAATGTTGCATCGGTTATATCGATACAGTCCCTCAAATCAATTGCAACTAGTAACGGGCAACATGCGATAAGACTCATGACTTGCTGATCCCCGACGGTGAATGGCGCACATCCGCCGAGATCAATCCTCAGGAGGCCGCATAGGTAAGGTGCTACAGAAACAAGGTCGATATACGTCGGGTCTGGAAAGGAAAGCGACCGAATATGAACCCCATATTGTTGTATAAGTCGTTCCAGAGTTATGGGAGGTTGGGAAGGGATAATGGGATTCGCCCAAAGGACAGGTACCGCCGTTCTTCTGAGAGCACGACATGTGGTAGCAACAGCGCGGAGGGACTTGGTATCAAGGCAATGGAACACTTCGGTCAGGAGCTCCGGCGGGAGCGTAGCGAGAGTACGAGCTTTATCCATTGCCAGAGTGCTGGTGTCTGATAATCCATAGTTGTCAAAATTGCACAGCGTCCCAACTTGACGCATGTCATCAGCGACCCTTCCGCCCCGCCCCCTGCAGTTCGCGGCCGGCTCAGCTCCCCCGTCAAAAATATGTAAGGTGTCCAATTTTAGGCTGACAATCGTTGTCATCTGTAAAGGCCAGGCAGTGCCGTAGGGTAGTCAAAGTAATCACCAATGATGACCAGATTAGCTTGTTACAAAAAATGGTTGGAGGTCTCTTTCTCAGCAAAGCGCCCACTTGTGCCCTATCCTGGGTTCGGGTCACACGCACCGATAATGGGTCAGATGATAAATTGCAGATGATAAATTCGTGTGGCAGTATGGTTGTCATGGAAGCATGGTGTGGCACAGTCATACTATATATTACGTGATGATGATACGAGTCTCTGCACTTGAACCTTCATGCTACCCAACATCTGTCGCCAGTCTTTTTCTTTGATCCACCGCGTCGCTTCTCCCTCGTGTTGTCGTTCTTCACGCAGAATGACGACCTTCACTCACAACGACGCTTGCTCGAGGCTCCGCCCGGGGGATTTAAAGGTGGGCGAGAAACGGTCCAAGCGTGCAGAGGGCGAATATGCGGCTGATGCTCGCTTAAAGGACAAGATTTTATTATGGTAAACGAGACCGAGTAATGGTGGCGTTGTATGTCCCGCGGAGAATCAAACGGCTGACGATGTGCCCCTCGCCCAAAGGAAGGGAGACATTACGACGATCGAAGTTGATGCGATTGTAAATGCAGCAAACAAATCATTGCTGGGAGGTGGAGGAGGTAAAAACTGTCCGGTCGAGTTTAATTAAGCATGCCGTGTAACTTTGCCTGCAGTGGACGGAGCAATTCACCGTGCAGCAGGGCGAGGGCTCCTCCGCGAGTGCCGAACACTCGGCGGATGCAAGACTGGAGACGCGAAAATTACTGCCGGTTACGATCTCCCAGCACGACATGTTATCCACACAGTTGGTCCAATCGGCGAAAATAGTGCCGCTCTAGCAAGCTGCTATAAGAGATGCTTGGAGGTTCTGGTGGAGAATGGCTTGAGAACTATTGTCTTCCCTTGCATATCAACTGGAATATATGGATACCCAAACCGTCCAGCCGCCAAAGTTGCGCTCGGTACCGTCCGAAGATGGCTTGAAACAGACAGCAATGCTGAAAAAGTAGTGATCTGTTTGGCAAATTTCTAGACGCTTGTCATCTTTTAACTGTTCATTTGTGATCTCCAGGTCGACAAGATAGTGTTCTGTCTTTTCATGTCCGTTGATGTCCAATCCTACTTGGAACTCATGGATCGCTATTTTCCGCCCGATGATTTGCAGAACAAGAGGCACAAGCCGAGCCATTCATCAGAGTTCGTATCGGATTCAAATGTGGAATCGAATCATTCGAAGACCCTATTGTCTACAACGACAGAAGAGGTTGCTCAAGTCGCCGAACAGAATGAGGACCTCATTGATAACGAGAGGGGCTTAAAACTTGTAGGTGATAACTCCCGGCTATCGCAAGGGCAGCAAGATGCGCCAGATGCCGGATCTACGCAAGATGCGCAGGGCAAACAGGAAGATATTTTCCAACCGTCACAACGGACTGAGACAAACCCCGATGTCGAGAGCAGCTCAGCATCTCCAGCTCATACTTCCTCTCTGCGACAAGAAGGGAAAGAAGGTGGACTGGATGTACAAGAAGGATAATTATGCAACATTTAAACAGAGATAAGATAAATGTTTCCAATTATTTCCGCCATGGCGAAGAAATGAAAGTTCATTCAATGCATGTTGCGTACACTTAAACCGTTCAAGAGGACAGTTCCCACAACCCTACATTTTTTAAGCCATTATCCGCGCCCTTGCGAGTTTTGATTCCCCATGACACACAATAATGTCCCGAAAGTAATCTCCACTCCTCTACCTCATCAAAAATCTCCAACGCGGATACTCTGCACATGATAATCACATTGGTACCTGTTGGATTGAGCTGGATTATGATGTTATGTACTCACCTGGTACGTTCGTCCGAGTCCAATATCCGCTCCCAAAACATATTCATATCTACGGCACCTGCTTCATCCCAGCCTGCGATCAAATATCTATCCCGTTGACTCTGTAGACTCGGGTGAGCTCGGATGCCCAGCAATTCAATCCCGCGCATCTATCGGAGCCAGTTAGAATGTATCGCCAATCTTGTTGCACGGTACATTACCCTTACTTTCAAATTTTGCAACATTGTGACACCGAAGGGATCATCAGGTAAGATCTGTTCGTAAGTTACAAACACACCTGATTCGATACTTTCTGCCGCACTTTGTACAAGATTCGCAGAGTCGCGAGGGGACATATATATAAGGACGCACTCGGAAAGGAAAAGGGTTGGAAGACTATTGAGGAGAGAGAAATTTTAACCTCGTAACAAAGTGAGGGATGATAATATGAGCTTGTACCTTTTGTCAAACCCAAGAGAGGCAATACGCGGCAAGATCTCGGTTGAAAAATTCCGGAGATCGCCAGGGATAAGGTGATAATTGTCGCTATGAAGTTCTGTTCCACCGGATGCTGGATGAATAGTAAGCGGCTGTAGCACTACTAAAGGGAGTCCTGCATACAAGACGCTTACTCAAAAGGTGTTCGCCTAAAAGCTCCGTCATTTCGTTATTCTTCTTGATGATCTGCGCCTTCCTTCCTGTTATCTCAGGAAAGTCGATCTCATAATAACGAGCTGGATGCAAGTCTTGGGCCTACATGCAACCATACTTAAACTAGCGTTTCCTAGCAGACAGAACATACATAACCAATCACCTTCAGCAAGAACCACCGCGTATCAGACCCAGCACCCAATGAAACAATCTGCTTTGTCTTCGGAGATCCATCGCCGCTTTTTAGAAATTGTTGAACAAGGGTATCGAGAGCTTTAGAACGAGTGTAGGATCCTGATATCCTGACCGGAAGGAAAGAGAGAATAGCCCGCTTTTTTTAAGATCATGGTCAGATGGGGACGAGAAATCGCGTAAACCTCACCTCGATTTATAACTGGAGGTCGACGCTGCGGTCGGCGAACAAAATGCTTGGCGTAGGGATCAGAAAGATAACCTTGGTTGACAGCCGCACTATACAAGCCAAAGGTTAGCAGTGGGACGAGTTCGAAAGCAGGCGACGTGGTTTTACAGTCTGCTAATAGCGGCGTCGTCGTTGGTGGCCCTAACGGCATCGTCTCCAGAAAGCCCGCTTTCGTGAAATACAGGAGCTGAGCGAGCAGCGAGTGGAGGCGGCCATAAAGAGGACATGTTCTGCTCGGCAATGCTTCCAAAGCGAGAGTCAACACGCTGTACAAGCGGGTTTGCTGTGCCCCTCAATTGGAGTCCATGGTGACAGCCTTCTTCGATAGGATCTCGTTGCCGAGGCCGTCGTTAGATTGTTATGCTGCACTCAATTGATGTCGATGGTCTCAAACTCAAAGTTTTCATCCTTTAAACGGAATGTATGTTTATGTATCTGTTAATCGTAATCCATCAAACCGCGATCGACAGATAGGCTCATGATGCGTAATGTGATCCAGCTGTTGAATCACAATATTCGATAGGACATGCTGGCAAGCATGCTTTTCCATATACCGTCATAATTACCTCATGATATGTTTTATTTCCGACATCGAGATCTTCATAGTATGGGTTTCCATAGCTATATTAATGGTTAGATCAATTGAACGGGTGATTGTGCTCGGGTGAGCTCCAAATATCAATTTGAGGTAAACTCGGTGGGGTACCGAAGCCTGTGCTGGAGGTAGGGGACCGGTGATGTCGCTTGCGTCCTCTGCACCTGTTGCAGGAGATTTCATCAATCCGTCAAGCAAGGCCTCTTGAACGAGCAAATGGGAGAAGATCTACAGGGGACGCAGCATGTCACTCTCCCGTCCAACCTGCAACATCTGTCTTCAGATACATCCAAAACAAAGATCTGGTAACTATCTCAATATGCGGTCCACGGGAATCCCCGAGATATTCACATCATCGACTCACTCCATACAGAGTAATGTCGGCTGCGGTGTAAGAAAGTGGTTGAAATGGAACGGTTTGGTCAAATACAGACCCGGGAGCATTTAACTTTGGAATCCTTATGTAATCTTTCGATCACCACAACCTACAAATTTGGTAAAACGATCGTTAAATTGATGACCAGCAGATCAGCGAAAATCGGAGGCGCCCTGGAAGAACAAGCCCATCATATTGCTGTCCGCACACATGTCTGACATGTCGTAGAAGGTGCTCCCCCGAACACCACCAATGAGTGCATAATGGTATAGGAAGAATGAGAAAAAAGTGTCTGGGATGGTTTGTGTGGTCGGACTCAGAATCAGATGCTGATGTTTCAATGTGCAATTGTTTTGTCTTAGTTTCTGACAAGACATGTCGAATCCTCAACAGCATTAATATGGTCGACTGCCTCCCTTCCGGATGAAGGTTTGAATCAATGCATTATACCCTATCAATTGGGGTTCCCAGTGATTAACGGTGCAGGAATGGTATTAAGACAAGTTGGAGAGACCATGGCGTTCGACGAAAAGGCAGAAATCCTGCTCGGCGATCTCTGATGCGTGAAACCGCGATCGACGATGTTCATTCGGATTTCATGCCATCGATGTGGGACTCTACTGTACTCTCTCTCATATACATATATGCGCTGGACGAGCTCACCAAGTTGTTTATAGCTCATGCGAAATCAATCTCCAGTCCAGTCCTTCGGACATGTGGCGCATCCGCCAACGATTTACAGCCAATCATTTGATGACATAAGGAGTAATCTCCTTGCACATAGATGAACTCTTCCACATGCGAACACAAATGGAATAAAATGACCATCGATGGGCTGACAGTTGACTAGATCTTGCATTTCTTGCGCTGTTGGCAATTTGCAACGCCGTCGTTATGTTACCCATGCTTACTGATGAAGATCCCTATCAATCAGAGCCGCGGTTGTCCTTTCAATTCCGATTGGTAATCGCATCTCAGATGAAGCAGTCCCATGGGTTGTTGTCTTTTGATAACGTTTTGCCAGTGTATACTTGACATCCCAATAAAATACATCACAATGCCTCAAAGCTCCCAATCCAAAAGTAAAAATCCAATGATAATCTCAACTACAGACAGCTAATAAAACAAGAGCCCAACGTGTGGTCACGTGCACATGTGCGACAACCGACGGAATGGTCACGCCTTTTGAACGCCAACTCTGCCGTTTCCCACCGTTCGTACTCGCCTAGGATCGCGCGAGCTGACACCCTTTGTCTCATCTTTGCTAGAGAGTCCTGCCCGTTGTTCCGACCCGCGCACATTGAGGATTTGATTACTCGCCGCATCAGGTATCGCGCCGCGTTGGGATTCTGCTCTTTTCGTCGTTGTCCGCGCTTCTTGAGGACGTGGTCCTAGACATTTCGTGTTCGCTAACCAGTGTTGACCTACTCCTCAGACGTACATCTTCAGCGACACGCTTTCATTCTCGAAATGGCTGGTTAGTAGCAAAGTGGAAAGGGTCAAAGTATCGCCAGCAGAGCAGCCCACACCCGACCATTTTGGGTGTCTCCGGTGCGGGCAGCAGAAATCATGCACGAAGGGATGGTTCCTTTCTAACGTGCGAAGGGTGCTACGCCAAAGGCTGCGCATACATGACTAGTCGTTGGATAGCGGTCATTGCTATGGGAGTTGAGACTTATGGCTTGCGTGAACTGTAACTGATATTCGTCTTTTTCCAATTGCTTCTTTCGCGACGTGTTGTTCCAGACGTCGTTTCTGTGAGTATTCTTTAAATTCCATTTTCTCATTGTCGACTATTGGCTAAGAAGGCATTACAGATCCCAATCGTAAAAAAGAAACTTGCTGGATATGTGGGTTTCCATAACCTGCCCAACCAGGTTCACCGAAAATCCGTCAAGAAGGGATTCCAGTTTACCCTGATGGTCGTTGGTATGTTGCTTCTCCTGTGATCAGGCAGACTATATCAGAACACTGACATATTTTGATGATTGCAGGCGAATCGGGTCTCGGCAAAAGTACGCTTGTCAATACTCTTTTCAACACTTCTCTCTATCCAAATAAGGAGAACAAGGAACCCACACACGAAAGTCCCAAAACTGTAGAAATTCAGACCATCAGCGCCGGTATGTTTGGACACACCGTAAGGATATTTAAGAAAGTAAATCTCACATTTATTCGATAAAAAACAGATATCGAGGAAAATGGTGTGAAATTGAAGCTTACCGTCATTGACACTCCCGGGTTCGGTGATTTTGTAAATAATGAGGAGAGCTGGCGCCCGATTTTGGAAAACATCGAGGCGCGATACGACGCTTACCTCGAGCAGGAGAACCGTGTGAACCGTAAGAGAATCGTGGACACCCGCGTACATGCTTGTTTATACTTCATTGCGCCAACTGGCCACTCGTATGTGTCACCCCTTCCTTCGTATCTATCTATTCCTCTTGTCTCATTGCAACCTTTGTTCGGAAACCAATAGTCTGAAGCCGCTCGATATTGAGTTTATGAAACAATTGGCCGGCCGTGTGAACCTCATTCCTGTCATTGCAAAATCCGATACGCTGACTGAAGATGAAATCAAAGCCTTCAAAGCCCGGATTTTGGAAGATATTGCTTATAATAAGATTCAAATATACCAGCCGCCCATGTACGACAACGATGATCCGGAAACTGTCCAAGAGAACAAGGACATCATTGTAAGTGTCCGGCAGCAACCCGCCTTTAACTTGTCAGTCCAATCTGATCTTATATTCTTTAAAGTCTCGGATTCCGTTTGCCATTGTTGGTAGTGACAAGGAGGTGGACGTTGGTGGAAAAAAAGTCCGTGGAAGGAAGTATCCATGGGGTGTTATCGAAGTCGACAATGAAGATCACTGCGACTTTGTCAAGTTGCGACAGATGCTGGTCAGGTATGGACAGGAGTACAGATAAGTTAGTCTTACTGCAGATGATGACGCTGATTATGTGCGATTATCAACTTGAAGGACACATATGGAGGAGTTGAAGGAATACACTAATGAAGTCCTGTACGAGAGCTACCGCATTAGCAAGCTGGCGCGGGGCGGATACGAGGTCTCATCCGATGGCAGTGCTCTCAAGTAGGTTCCTAATATTCTCATGAAGCGTTGAGAATGAAGAGCACGTTGCTCACTTTTGCTTCATTCAGCCCTCTCTCAAAGTTCGAGGAGGAGAAGCTTGCACATGAGCAAAAGATGGCAAAGATGGAAGCGGAGATGAAAGCAGTATTCCAGCAAAAGGTTGCAGAGAAAGAAGCAAAATTGAAGCAGTCCGAGGAAGAAGTATGTGTAGTGCCCTATCTTTTGGAAGAGTGAAATTGAAAGGGTATGGAAAGTTAATCTGCTCATTTTGCGTCTTCAGCTCTATGCTCGTCACCGGGAAATGAAGGAACAGCTTGAGAAGCAGCGACTAGAACTTGAGGAAAAGAAACGGAGATTGGAGTCGGGTCGACCTGGAACGCCGGAAAAGGGAAAGAAGAATAAAGGTCTTTTCAAATAGTCATGGACCATGATCACCCTTCCGTTTCTTTATCTGGATTATGTCTCTCTGTTTGACCTGGAGTCGATGGAGATGTGTTGTTCCACTCAATCTAGAAAAAAACCATTATTTAGAAAATTGAGAGTGCGGGCTTGGGGTATGGGATGGACTGCCTTTTGGAATCGAAGTAGCTATCCTTCGCACCTTTTGCAGAAATATTGTACTCGTGAAAGCTTTATTTCAATATGAACGTCATAGGATTTTAATTTTGGTCATGTTCTGTTTAGTGTGTTTTCTACCATGCGATTACATGTTTGTCGCTCAAAGTAAATGGCAGTTTGTAACGAGTGGGTGAACGCGACGGAGGTACCAAGCTGAGTATCATCTCCGAAACGTTGATGGCCTACCGCTTGTGTGACGCTCATCCTTTGGCTTGGAGGAATAAAAGCAGAGGAAAGAAACTTCAGCCCTAATAAACGTGCTATCCCCAACTGTTTGCGGCTGAGTCGTAAGTCCGTGAGACAGCGTAAGAGGTTAATTTAATATTTTGCGTTGGTGGCGACATCCGATGGGTTGGATATAGGTGACAGGCATATAAAGCAGCTCATCAAAAGGAGCGCCAGCTGCAAAGGGAAAGCATCATCATGGCAAGCCTGCAAGATCTACTGGACCACCATCAAATTACCACCGCAATCCACCGCTATGCCCATGGTTTGGATGCAAATGACAGTGCCTCCCTCTCCTCTGCATTCACCGAAGACGCAACACTCGATTTTACACCAGCCGCCACAAGAATTGGCATTTCTTTCCCGGTCATGCCTGGACTCCCCACCATTCTAGCAGTCATGCTTCCGACGATTGGTCCATTGGACACCTCCCACACGATAACAAACATTCAGACTGATCTGCATGGGGATGAAGGGAAACTGACGTGCCTCATCGAGTCGGAGCATTACCCTGGCGGTGAAGGGCCTAAAGCAGAGTCTGTAAAGCATATTACCTTGATGAACAGATACGAGGCGACAGTTGTTAGAGTTGGAAATGAGTGGAAAATGAAAAATGTTCTTGTGTATAACCTATGGGCGGTCGGGGACACTAGCGTAATTCTTGGCTCATAAGCCTGAGTAATGTATTTGAAGCATTAGAATATAGGATCTATTAGTGATATGTTTAAGAATTCGTTGGCCAATCCCAAGGACCATGTAGCGGCTATCCACAAGTTGACAATCAACCTTCTTCCTAAGCTCTCGTCGTTCCGTACCACAATCTTGCGACAACGCGAGACTAAGCAGCGGGGCTACAAGCTGACCATCCTCCGTCTCCTCCATACTCTTCGCTTCCTCATCGCTTCATCCCATGGCTCGCTTGAACGAAACCTCCTAATGGCCAACATTAGCTGCCACTTTGGTGAAAATGTTGCCATCATGATGTGATAACATACGAAAGCGGCACAGTCATAAAGAAATGTCCGACAATCCCAGTCCAGCGACTGACTTCCATGCTTCAACAGCAACTGCCAAAAACCTACCGATTACCATCTCGAAATGCCTCGACGAATGTCCCCGTCTGCAAGCGCTGCCAACTTTGGCAGCTCAGTTAACCCTCACATATCATTCATGACCGCAAAGGGACATCCGACAGGACTCGTGACAAGCCATGTCGATGCAGTCTTCAAAGAAACGATACGGAAATTTGACAGATGTACCAGACCACAAGAAAGGTTTATTATTACACCTGGACTTGTTAAAAGTAAGCGAATTCTCTTTATTGTATCGCAAAGACAGTGGTATCTTACCTTGCCCAGACATCGTCCTGACGGAAAACCCGCAAAACTCGCATGTTCAGGAACGGCAGAGAGAGGCGGTCGACGGTATGATGGACGCCATGTAATACGTGGACCTCTGCTACTCATAATAATGTGTTGCTCCCCTTATGGCAGCTGAATGCAATCGATATGTACAACGCTGCAATCGACCGCCTCCAGCAAAGTACGCATCTCCAATCACCTCTGCTCAGGAATATGGATGGCATTCTTCACCATTGGTAAGCAATGTTTCCGACTCTATGCTGTGAAGGTCAAGCTTCTCATGTATTACGTTTCTGGTATTGTTTTTGGTGCACAAAGCTCAAAGAAAACTGTCCATTCGCCCATCATCCACGAAGAAAGACACAAGTTACACAGCTTTATGGGCAAGCGTACACGCGAACATTGAGAGGAGCATCAACATTTGTAACCAGGACGGCTAGATGACGCAGACAGATGGGATGTGTGGATAGATGGAGACGGCTAGTAATGCTGAGCAGGGCACGCAGTTTAATCATGTCAATACACTAGAACAAATAGAAGGTCAACGTAATCTTGTCTATTGAGACACTGAAATGCTAGCAATATACGGGGTTTCATTCCACAGGATAATGCAAAAGGCGACCATCCGCAAGACGGCCCTGTCGTATGGAAAGGACCCCTGATCTTCCCTCAGCATTCAACTACAGGGGCGTGGAGCCCTTGCCAACGATCCATGGAGAATTCCATCGAGGACGTCGCCGTGAAGTATGGGAGACGATCGAAGCAAATGCTATCTTTGACATACCAGTCGAACTAGATATCGCGTCCATACAAGCGGAGGACACGAAGTTTGCAAAGCACATCTTAACGGCAGAACTTCCGGTTGCGAATGGGATGCTCGCACAGCGTTATGGCTTACGTTGCTGAGGAGGAACGTCGATAAATTTCACGATACTCATACGATCCAGTTACCGCTATGCGGTTTCCTCCTTTCCCTTTCCATGGCTCGATGTTGACGCAAAGAGGCCGAGCGCCAGTTGCCGATTCTCACGGGTGTGTGACACTGGGGAGATTGATGCGTCAAAGGGCGACGTATGCAACCAGCTTGTATTAACTCCTTGCATAGGAGGCGTGGCAAATGCATCAGTGACTGAGCCCAGCCAACTCAGCATAGAATCTCCCAGCGGTGGCAGCGGTTGACCTATATTGGCTGTACCTTGGGGAGACGGTTTTGACGCCCCCATCGGTCCGCCAAATGGGAAATTATACTCTCCATTCCACTGCGAAGATAAACTACTGGGAGATGGATCCAGGCCAAATGGCGAATTCGGCATTGCGGTCGTGTTGGGCAGCCTTGAAGTACCCATTCCAAGTGCGGGTAGAGCAGAGAGTGGATTTGTGGAGGTCAGACTGCAAAGCAAATTTTTAGGGTCCAATCCGGGATACAACTGAAAACGTCGCTACGGTACCTGATGTGTGGACCACTCGACAAAGCAGATGACGCTGGACGCGGTACTGCGGAACCGCCTGTACTAGCAGTACTCAATGACGAGCTCCACGGCACAAATGCAGGCGCCCCTGAATCTGCTTCTCGTGCCGCCTCATGCACCGTAGCGTCTGGCGAGGGTCTACTTTTATTCCACAATGGGCTTCCCAGGCCTAAAAAGGCCATGGTGTTGACTGCGTCCGCACTTGTTCCAAATACTCCATTGGAATCAGGCGAAGCAGACGCAAAGGCAGTTTTTCCTCTCTCGCCCGGGACTGCCATAGGTTTCGAGTAGTTGAGCTCTTGCTGTTCAGAATTGATATTAAAACACACATGTTCAGTACTGAGCAATTACACCGGAAATACTGACCAATGGACGCTTGTATCCATGGAGGGTGTTCCCTTGAGCAAGTTCTTGCCCAGTACCCTTTGAGATCGGCACAAGAATACTTGCTGCCTCGCCCAATGGGTCCATTGGGCCCGAAGGAAAGAAATCTGGAAGTCCATGGGGAGTTTCCATGACCTGTTCCGGGAAGGATGAAATGGCCTCGCGTATCTGATGTGGTGTAAACATCAAAATGTCCTCATCATCGTCCGATATCTCCGGATGTTGCAACCCGGTCGCTGATCCTATCGATTTCGACGAAGAAAGCGAACCGCTAGCACCGCTAGAAGTGGTCCAAGATGATGCTGTACGACCAGGAAAGGACGCGGAGAACACCCACGTCTCTTCAGAATTCTGTGTCTCCGTCCTCAGAAAAAGAGGAGCTTGCTGTGAGAATTGTGGATTAGCTTTCACGCTATCCTGCCCGATGCGAGCGAAAGTCCTCAAACCCTACCTCTACATCCGTGAAAAAGAGACTAGTCCGGAGTATGGAAATCAAACGAGCACGCGTCTCAGCCTCTGCAGATAAGCTACGTCTCCTCTGTTCCAAATGATCTCCAAACGAATGCACGGGATACGTGGCCCTATTTGAAGGAATAACATCGGGTTGGAGTGGAAGGAACCCTTCGAGATCCTCATCTTCCCTTAAAAAGGGAAGCTGGTCTTGTTCAAGAAGTGCATCTTTTTCAACCATCCTAGAAACCGCGGTCAAAAACGCCGCGTAAACAGTCCAGAGGTCTTTTTTTTCAGCCAACAGCGTGGCGAATCTCATCCATTGGTTCTTCAACCATCTCGACACAATCTTGATTACTGCAAGCGCTCCATCAAATTCTGAATTCTCAGCTCCCAAGGATCGTCCACTACTACTGTTGCGCTCGCAGGGTTGCAAATGCTCCAGGGTTGTTTCGAGCAGCATTCGAAACATGTCGATAGTAAAAACAATTATCTCGTCCAGCTTTTGTGCTTGTAAACTTCTGGTCGCCGCTACCGACGCTGGAGAAAGCGATTCAGTTATATCAGCCTGCATGCGGCTGCGGAGTATGTGCCCAACCGCCATGTTGACAACAAAGAGCCTCATAAGCGTCTCGCGATTGAATGAAGTATCCATCAGTAGGCGATGAAAGTGGCTCAACCACGCTTGTTCTCGGAGTCGAAGACCATCCAAACTGGAGCAAAACCGAATTATCGTCAGACATCTAACAATGAAGATGAAGGTTCCTAATTTCATACCTTTTATTCACTCCCATGACCTCTCCGTGTAAGGCTATGAACTCTTCAGCAAAAGAGTCGTGGTCGTTCGGATCAGAAACCTCGCGTTGCTCTGTCAGGGTTCTCTTTTGCACCTTCTCGAATAGTATCGTGAGATTATCTTGCGCTGTCGAAAACGGTTGCTGAATAACCAAGCTAACGCAGATTGATGGTGAATCACTGTCACAAAATGACAAAATGTGATAGTGACGAACGAGGAAACAAGTACCTGCGAAAATAACATTCAACAGCACCAAGCACATTTCCAGCATATGTGTTAATCACAGCAAGTTGATTAAAAGGATTGCCATTGCTGGGAATCAAGCGAATTGCGATATTGTAAAACATTTTGGCGGGCAACCAGTTCTTCTCCTTTCGATCCGCATGAATTTCGCGATACCGCGCTACAATTAACACCGCATGAATGACAAGATCTCTGCCTATAAAAGCACGGACTACATCCAAATTACCAAGATCACCGAGATATATAAGGCTGCGATGGCAAGTAGCAATCGCCCTTTGCTGAAGCTCAGGGGTTATTTGACTGTGTGGAAGAGCATCGGGGTCTTAAAAGGGCATCGGGTTATTGGTGTTCATCATTCTGCCATATACATCCAGCAGGTAACCTACTTTCTCCCGGAAGGTCAAAATCTAGTTTCTTCAACACAATCAGCTCCACGGTGTGCAAACTGAAGTGATGGGTTAACCGCCATATGAAGCGGAGATAGAAAGCCGTCGCATCAGCGAGGAAGTTCCGGAAAGAAGACGTAAGTACACGCAGCTCTTTACGGTCTTCCGCGGAAATGGAGCGCCCTGCCCGCCGTGCACGGGATGTAGCCTGCAAAAGGAGGGGGAAAATTAAGTTCCTGCAAAGATTGCGATTAACGTACTAAACTCAGGAAGAGTACCTCCTTAAGCTTCTTGCGAAACTCTTCAATAGTTTTGTAATGCACTAGCTTCCAAAGGTTTGCTTCGGCATCGTTGGTAGCAGCCAGGTCATAGTCAAGCAAAATGACATCCTGCAATTCCCCCCTTAGCCTGCTGCGCACTGTCTGCACATCTTCCTGGAAAGGCCCTGATCCTTTGACCTTCAGAAGCTGTCGTAGTTTCTTTTCAAGCTCAGCTGTCGAGCTACAGTGATGAAAAGAACGCCATTTAATGACCCTGCTTGCAACCCTCAATATGTCAGGCCACCGAACCTCAGCAAAGCCAACGCGGGAGCCCCCGGCATGCAAGTACAGGTGGCTAAATCCAAGAGCGAGACAAAGTACGAGGTCTAATGCTCAAGGAAACCTGTCGGTGAGGAGGGCAGAAGTTGTGTTACGGATTAAGCAGACAGCATGCTGCAGATCTGCCAACGAGTCCTCGAGTCACGCTGCAGTGTCAAAAGCAGTGTATCACGTGGACTGAAATCAAGTAAGCAGCAAGCTTCAGGTTATCTTCTCACGCTGTCAGAAAGCTTTTGGAGATCTGGGGCAAGATGATTCCAACTGCACCTCCTCCACAGCAGAGGGCTTTTGTCTCTCATTATCGCATGGTAACTAGTGGTTTGAAACCGCCGATCACGCCCACACAAACAAAACAGAAGAAAGCACGACAAACCATCCGGGAGTTGAAAGCCGCGGCCAAGTTCAGCGTTAAGGAGGTTAACACTGTGCCAGATGTGGCCAGAGACTATCAGCAGCAGTTGTTTGAGATGGCTAAAGATAGTAATATCATTGCTGTAATGGATACTGGAATGGGGAAGACTCTTATCGCAGGCTTACTCATTAAACACATGGTGGAGGTCGAGCATGCGTCTCGTCTCGCTGGTGGGAAGGTAGGTTAAAGACTGCAGCACACAAATGGTGGTACATGCAATTACAATGAAGAAAAATCCAAAATAGAAAAGGGTGGTCGCCTTTCTTGTCCCCACAGTTCCACTTGTATTTCAGCAACAGGAGTATCTCCGTCATCAGATCGCAGGGAATGTAGTGCCAATATGTGGAGAACTACTTAACGAGGTACGTCCACTTAATAAGTTCCACTTTCCACTGGACAGCCATAAATCCAAGCATGCAATAATAGAAACAGTCTGATTGGGAGAAAATCCTCAAAGAAAATGACGTCTTATGTGCCACACCTCAGACGCTTGTCGAAGCTTTGATTCATGCTTTTATAAACATTGATCAAGTAAGAAGGTTATAAGATCCGGGTTTGATGACTAAATAATCCTGAAAATCTCAGATTTGCTTGATTGTGTTTGACGAGGCTCATCATGCACTCGGCGATCATCGTAATTGGGTCGTTTTAGTTATGCCATATGGGTACGGGGATTTCTCTAAAATTTTCTTGCATCTGTAGCATATGCTGTTCTTATGAAGGAGCATGTTTCTTGTTTGCCATCAAATGCTCGGCCACGCATCCTTGGATTAACAGCATCACCTGTAAATTCAGACAGCCATGCGCTCATCGCCATTGAGTACGAGCTCTATAGTCGTCCACAGCTGTCATATTTTCCCCTGCTTATTGTGTTTTCTCAATAACAGAAATCTCCAGAAAATTCTCGACTGTCGAGCGGTAACAGTAATGAGTGAAGAAAAGTCATTGAGGTATGCAGCTCGCGCGAAGCCTGAAAAGATCGAATATCCCCAGAACGACGAGATCGCCACATATCCTCGCGCATATGAAATCGTTAAGGGATGGTCGTCGATGATGCCGGCCGACGCCAACTTAACAAAGGTTCTCAAGGACGGCATCTATATTCTCAAACAACTCGGCTCCTGGGCTTGTGCTCGATCCATATTGGCGGCCATATACACTTTGCAAAAGAAGGCGGACAGAGCAATGTTAGCGGACGGGATTATGACCAGCAAGGTCCGCCGGCTTATGCAGACTGAAGATATACGCCGACAGTTGCTGGAAGAGCTTAGAGTGGCCGGGCCGGCTGATTCGCCGGCGTTATCCGAGCTGTCCCCGAAGGTTGTGAAGCTCATCGAAATCCTGGAGCAATACCGAGATGATCATGTATTTTCTGGGATCGTGTTTGTGCAAAGACGAGAAACAGCCGAACGGTTACGTGACATTCTGTGCAGTATCGATCGACTCAAAGATTTCCTCAGAGTAGATGTGCTCGTTGGTCACGGCGGCGACAATGCCGATGTCCTGCAAACCGCCATGAGAGTAACCGCTCAACAAAACATTGTGCAGGAGTTTGGACACAATCGGATCAACTTGCTGGTTGCGACCAAGGTACGGATATGTTGTATCCCCAAACGAGCACAAGCATCTGAATTCACATTCCACATAGGTAGCAGAGGAGGGCCTGGACATCAGGGTTTGCAAGCTTGTGATACGATTCGATATGGGCAAGGAGAGTATGAACTTGGTGAACTTCATTCAGGTACATGCAATGGCACGCCATCCACCTGTCGAACTGTCTTCATTGAAAAAACTCTAACCCTTTCAGAGCCGTGGGCGAGCACGGGCCCCAGATTCCAGGTTTATATTGATGTGCGAAGAAGACAATTGGGAGCATCTTTTACATTTACGGGAGTTGCGCATCCGCGAGAGCGAGATTCGGACTGCGCTAGTGAGCCACGAAAACAACATTCCAACATCATATGCTCTGAATGATGAGGAGGAGCCATTGCAAACCTCACCATACACATATACGGTGGAGAACACAGGAGCTAAAGCTACCCTTACATCAGCATTGCAGCTAGTCGAAGAATTCTGCACCGTTCAACTGTGCGATCAGTTTGTTCATTCGCGGCCTGAATACGCCTTAACGCATCTCGCCAGCACGGGGGACGAGCGTTTTCAAGTAGGTTATCTTTCCGAAATGGATCGTCTGGCCGAGGATTCTTACAGTTATCCGTGTTCATAGGCCAGTGTCACTCTCCCAAACTGTGTGCCGCCAGAGATTAGGCTTACGGTTGGTCGGCCCATGCGATCCAAAGCGCTGGCCTTTAGACATGCCGGTAGGTCAACGTAATATGATTTTCTGGTCTGCTAGGAGGGTTCCATGACACGAGATTACACATTCAGCGTGGGAAGCCGTCAAACTATTGCATCAGCGCAGGTATCTCAATGACACTCTTCGACCTGCCCGAGGGGACATACTCTTTAAGTCAAGACATGATGAGGAGGGTCAACTACGAGAGGAGCTCCAAAAAGGTTTAAACACACTTAAATCTAAGAGGAACAAGCGATTTTTCAGAAGTGAGAGCATGCAATTGAATTGAGCCCTGTTGGTTTGTCCCTCCATACTTATTTTGAGCTTATAGTTAAACAGCCTCAAATTCTTCACCAACCATGGGACTTAACGAATGATTATGTCTCGGGTTACCTAAATGTTATTGAAGTGAAAGCACTTCACGACCCTCCAATGTCGAACCCTCTTGGTTTTCTTACAGTTTCCGGTCTACCTATATCGCCTATGGAGTTTTCCCTTTGGCCTAACTTGGCGGAAGTGACTGTCCGCATTCAAGCATCCCCCAAACCACTTAAGATGACGTTGGAACAATATCGCTGGGCGCGGGCATACAATCATTGTGTTTTATCACCAATGTTGAAGCACACCTTATTCAAAGAAGATGAAGATTACGCTTTCCTGGTCGTGCCGCTTCGAATTCGCCCGGGATCGCGCCCAGTGGATTTTCAATTATTCAAAGCATCAGAGCTGATTGACTGGAAGGCGACTGCATCCGTTGAGAGTTTCGATCCCGAGAAGTTTCAGAGCCTTCTTTACAAGCCGGATGTTGTCGATCGTGTAGTGGTTGATATGAGACACTGGGGCAGAAAATTTCGTGCTTTGGAATTATGCGCTGACAAAGGACCCTTTGACCCAGTGCCATTTGGGGATGACAAGTTTAAATGCGCGGCGGATTACTACCAGTTGATCAAGAACAGGAGATTGATCAAGCCCGACCAGCCTGTTATTCGTGCGAGGCTCGTCACGCGAAAGTTCAATATGTTGGCGTACCACAATATTGCGGAGAACGAAAGTGTCGAAGCCAAAAGAGATCAAGATGTTTTTCTGCTTCCTCAGGTATTGCTAGTCTCATAACGTCTGACTGGCCACTTTATTGACAAGTTCACATTCTTTAGTATTGTCAAATATACCCTATCGACCAAAACACGATCAAAGCGGCGGTAATTTTACCGTCGATTCTTTATTACGTCGAACTAGCCTGCCGAACAAGCGAGCTGCAAGAAAAGTTGAGTCTCCCAGCTGCCCTGCCGCAGCTCATAACCGCCCTTTCTGCACCCTCCGCTACATTGCAAACCAACTATGAGCGGTACGAGACTCTTGGCGACGCATTTCTCAAGCTCGCCATTACGTTACATATCTACGTCCTGTATCCTCATCGCGGAGAAGGAGTAATGACGATGATGACACATAGCTTGTTGTCGAACTACAAGCTATTCGTCAGAGGTTGGAAACATGGCATTCCTGGGTACATTGTTGGGACAAAACTTTCAAGGTAACATTCAAATTTAATTCTTAAATGTACCGTTACTATACTCCTCAATCATTTCAAAGAACCGAATGGGCGCCAATGAAACTTGAAAAGCTCGAAGAGAATGCCAAAAAGGAGGTGAACAAAACGGACGAGAACCCCGAGACTGGATCTCAGCTGCTGTCTGACAAACAAATTGCTGACACCGTGGAATCCATATTGGGTGCCTGTCTTGATTGCAGTGGGGTGAAGGGCGCGGCGCAAGCTCTCCGTAACATTTACAGCGACGCTTTTTTGATTGATTGGGCTGGTTATATAAAAGCCCAACAACAGATCTCAGAACAACGACCAAAGTCAAATCCTCTTACTGCTGCCAAGATGGCCAAATTGCAGTCTCTGCAAGATCTCATTCATTATCAATTCAAGGATCCGATGTTACTGATGGAGGCGCTCACGCATCCTAGTTCGAAAGATCCAAATGTTTTGAATTACCAAAGATTAGAGTTCCTCGGTAAGTCATGGTAGAAGCTGAGTAAACATCTACACTGTATGTCAAAACTGGTTTCTTCATTTGTTAGGTGATGCCGTACTTGGCCTTCTGGCAGTGCGATACTTTTTCTATACCTACCCGGACTTACCACCGGGTCGGTTGAGTGATCTCAAGGATGCGGCCGTAAACAACTCATTTTTAGCGTGTGTTTCTGCGAATTTGGGGCTCCACACCTTCATCGAGGCTTCGTCGGTTCCGCTCGCCCAGGCAATAGGAGAGTACTGTACGGACTTGTACGAGGCGGCGCAACAGCATGTTGAAGGGGCTGAAGCGCGACAGAACAAGTTAGAGTCTATTACACATCTTCCTGAGGGTAAAGGAGCCAGAGCCAAATTACAGCGAGAATTGGAAGCAGAGATGCAATACTGGATCAATATTGAAACTCCCAAGGCGGTGTCAGATTTGTTTGAAGCAATCCTTGGGGCAATTTTCCAGGACGGCGGTTACGATGTGGAGGTTGCCTGGGGGTTTCTGGATCGCTTCTGGTTACCTTGGGTCAATGAGTACATTCAACCACAGCTAGTTGGACGTCATCCATTCCGCGAGATGGCTATGTATATGCGCAGTGTCCTGGGCTGCGACAAGTGGCGAGTCCCCACCAAGCATGATCTGGAAGAAGGTCTTTTCGTAGCAAACTTGATCATGCATGAAAATGTGATTGCGATGGACTATGGCCCATCGCGAAAAGCAGCCCGCCGGGCACTGGCAGAAAATGTCTTGCAAATGATTGAGGAAGGTGTAGAAATCGCCAACAAGTGCGATTGCGGTGGTATTAAGTTCGTTCCAGGTGATTGGGATGAGGAGCCGTTTCTTGAAAAGGACGAGGCTTCAATGCATCTCGTCAGTTAAGATTTGTAAGATTGTAGTGATATGGGTACTCTTTTGCTTACACTACCCCGTGGCGAATGTACTTGTGCTTGTAGCTTATTGTAGTTCCTTTTTTAGCTTAAGATTTGCGGTTGTATCAAATATTATCTCGTGCTGATGAGGCCCCTTGACCCATAATTTTATATATTCCATACCTGAAGAAACACGTATCCTCTGAGTCTTCATGGACTTACAAAGCTTTAAAGCTGTACACGTAAGATTGGTCACACTCAACCAAATTTCACACTAATGCATTGGGCTTTTGGTGAAGAAAACTTACAAAGTTTTGTTTTGGATAGAACTGATTCGCGATGCCTACATCACCGGCTACTTTGAAGAAGGCAGACCCTAAAACCTTCCGAACAATCGCAGTTGGGGGGAGAGGAATATGCTTCCTTCACCTAAACTTTGTGATTACAGTCTTTGTACATTAAGGAATAATGATAGTGCATGATACCGTAGGACTCGACCATGTGAACCTTTCTCCACTTCAGTCTTCACAGTTCTCATTTAAATATTTGCTACTACCACCAAGACCTGCGCTAGAGGCTGTTCCACCCAGACTCACGTCGTGCGCAACCAGCGTCTGCAGAGATCTGGTGGAGACATTCAGCTCACTATCGGGCTACACTTTCCTGAGGAGGGTGAGTTGCGTCTTGACTGCTGCTTAATTTGATTTTCTGTGCTAGGTATACTGACAGGGAAACTGACACGAAATTGTCAAAACGCACTTTCCAAATGGTGAACATTTCCTGGGCGAACTTGTGGTGGGCAAGTTTTTGCACAAGCCGGAACTCATGGTGGGAATACATGTACTATGCATCCTGTTTGGAAAAGGATCACAGATCATGAGGCATCCCCAATACCAGAGGGATTGGAAAGTGAAAGGGCAGAAGTGAAAGTTGTTATACAGATGGATAAGATAATCGGGAAAATCCAATTAGCGAGTCTAGAATTCCCGTTTCGTCTTCGTTAAGATCGGGTTCGAGATCAGCAGTTAGGGTTAGGGTTAGGGTTAGAGTAAATATGTAACATGAGATTCAAACCGTTGTGTTAACCGCTGTGTTCTGTCCGATCAAATATTCGATGCGAGTTATTGATATACCGCGATGAACATATCATTGTCTTAATAAAAGCCAGTGATATGTGCAGGGGTGTCTGCGGATGTCCCGCCGTGGCAGTCAAAAAAATGGAGGTTCAAAATACTGAAAGCGACAATAAAAAATGTCTACTACAATCCGTCGACCGGCTTTCAGTCGGCGTTGAGAGTATATCGACACATCAAGCGACGCTACCAGGACTCGCACATTGCTTACATGATTGATCTGTTCGATAGTGCAATTCTGAATTGTTATGTATATCCGTTCGGTAACTTTGCACTGCGTATAAACTGTTTCCATGTATATCCGTAAATATCTCAACGTTTGTCTTCAGTCGTTCCGCCAAATTGTTCCAATCTTGTTCTGAAAAACTTTCGGATTCGTCCTTTTTTATTGTATATCTGCTTCCAGTTTTGTGCATCTGCTTAACGCTGGGTACAGCATTTGATTGTTCCAGTCCCAGGGTTCTTAAAAGAGTAACTACCTTTTGTCGTTTACCCTTGAACGACATGCACCGTCATTGCAAATGCAGGGAAAACTTTAGCCTGAAACTGGTCGATCGAAACAGTGATGCATTTGCCGTCAACAATAATGTCCCTCATCGAGAAGCCATCTGTTTAGCGTCACTTTATTATCGTCTGAATGAAGCCGCTTTGAATGTAGTGCTTCTCTGATCCAGTCCCATTGCTCTCTGCATCTCGAATGCCACTACAGTCAACCCCACGCAAAGGAAGATATGTTGCGATTTGCCAGTCCTATGCGGTTCAACCACCTTTCTCCGTTGACTTGGACAAAAGGCGTATGTGGCATGCATTCATGCGTTTACGTATGTTGTGCGTTCGCACCCGCGATCGTTGCTGCAGCTGTGAGTTCCAGTCGTAATCGTTCAAAGTCTCCTTGGTTTTGACAACTGCGTCCAAAAGAGATTCCGTCTTCTTGTCATAGCGATAATTCTTTTTAAATTCCAAACGATTGCTTTGGAACAGCTCAATAACGAGATCCGATCCTTCAAACCTGTAGTATTACATTTGATGCAAGAGAATTGCTTGCCTTGGCTTCACAGGAACAGAGGAGAGCCCCGCGAGCACGCTATGTACTCTATGTACTAAACTTACATGTAGCGGCGCACATGGTGACCTTCATTCCCTTTATTTTTCACTTTCCGATGATAGCAGGGTCCTCATACTGGACAATCTCAGTTCAGTTACATCTGTTCTGCCTGTACCATGGAAGAGGTAATTTAACTTGGTAAGAGAGGAACCGTTTGTGAAGAGGACTTCTGTCATTGTCATGCTGCTGGTGGACCTGACATCCCACAAATAGACCTTGTTCACACTTTGTCCAGCAGTGTTCAATCTTTGGCTAGTGCATGGAAGCCCCTAATCAGCGACAGCACCAGCGAGACATTTGCCACACCTCTTCACATCTTGAATGGTGGAAATTGCAACTTCCTTTAAAGCACAGCATAAACATATATATCCCACATGATTTTCTTGTCACTTTTGGACCAATTATTTAAAGTGCGTTTACTCATTCGGACAAAGAGCGGCACAGTGCAACATTCACAGCTGTACACGAAAGATTGGTCACACTTGGGACCCAAATTTCACACTTGTAGCATTGGACTTCGTTGAAGAAAACTTTAGGAAATGCAACAAACATTGAGCTGATCCGCATGTCAGAGCAAAGAGAGCAGCTGCAAGACAGACAGCAGCTAGGAGAGGAGGATCGATCGACGACAAAAGGTGATGCTGGCACCACCAAAATGGAGCCTCTCTCAGAGGAAGTTGATACTTTAGAAACACTTGTTGACCAAGTAATGTCAACCGCTCCGGACCTTGTAATCACCGAAACCAAAGGCGACAGTACTACTCCAGAGTCAGAACTCCATCGTGTACAGTCATGCTCGTCGTTGCTGGACGCGTATCTTGGTCTCCCAACCATTCCTGAGGACGACAACGAAGAGAATGTAATTGAAACCCACGTCGGTGGTGACTCTGCCATGTCCCCGCTGACTCCCGAAGTATCACTTTTCGCCCCTGTCTACCTTCGCACCACATCTTTGGCACATTTGCAAACTCTATGTGCAACGTTGGAAGAACTCAAAGCTATCAAGGCAAAGTTGGCAACAGCTGGACCCGTTGTCGAGGAAGATTCCGAGTCGAATCGGTCTTCCTTTACGACTTGCAATAGTCGTACCAGCACATTGGTGGAGGACGTGGAACCTGAGGATACGACTCAAAAGAGTGGCAGCGCGGCAGCTGATGCGGAGGCAGTCGGCAGAACGATGCAGTATCATCAAGGGGATGGAATTGTCGGCAGACACGGACGCACACTACCCACCATAGCGGAAGATGAAACTCCACCCTCATCCCCGGTACCTATACATCGCATCTTTTTCGAAGATGAGAAAAATGAACCTACGCATCCCCCGCCCTCCGCACCATTACCTCCTATTGTGGAAGACAAGTCCACAGAGCTTACCGCTTCAGAAGAGCAAAGTGCGGGATCTGTGCGATCACCGCTGTCTCAACCCGTAGATCATCAAGCTCATCAAACTGCTCCCCCACTTGCGCCACTGCCAACTCCGCCATCGAGCCCGTCAGAAATGGCAGCTCTCCAACTTCCATCTTCACAGAGCAGTACCGAGGCAGTGTCTCCCATTTCGTCGCCATTGATTACCTCGTTTCCCACTCCGCCCCGTTCAAATTCGAAAGCTCTAAAGACCCTTGGTATCATTACTGATGCTGATCATGGAATTGCAATCAATGAAAAGGCGATGCGCATTTTAGGGATGAGCGATGACTCGGCTCTCGACAAGTCTCCAACAAGGATGAACATTAGAACCCTCAGAAGGTCAAAAACGGAGTCTTTCATAATTGGTGGTTCTTTGGAGCGTCCGAAAAGGGTCAGCAAGCCGCTGCCGGACACGCCTTGGTCTCCTGTCGCTCCAGAGGCGAATTCCACTGCAACTAGTGACGATGCAAACATGCCTAATATGCTTGCAAAATCTGCTATGGCAGCCAATCAGGAGGGGACGGAATCGTCTGGTATTGAAACGGTTACAGTGAGTGAAGAATCACTTGACGCACCACAGCCGCCCCCGAAGCCATCACCCAAATCCCCGGTTTCTCCCGTCGCATCAGAGACAATACCAACCCCGCCGAGATCAAATACAAAGGCTCTTAAGACGCTCGGGATTATATCTGAAAGGGAAGCTGGTTCAGGAATAGTGGTCAATCAAAAGGCAATGAAAATACTGGGCATGGACGATGATGCAGGTAATATCAAAATCGCCTCAATCAGCGGCGAGTCGCTGGACCGACCACAACCGCACCCCAAGTCATCGCCCAAAGCTCCCTTGTCTTCCATCACCTTAGAGACGAGCCCAACCCCACCACGGTCAAACACAAAGGCTCTTAAGACGCTTGGAATACTCGCTGATGATGAAGCGGACAACAAATTGTTAGTAAATCAGAAGGCCATGAAAGTTTTGGGCATGGATGACGAGAATGGCAGCTCGAAAAGCGCTGCGAGGACGTCCATTATTTTGGGAGGTACACTGGAGAGGACCAAGCGCTTCAGTTCTACGGGGACATTGAACAGGATATCCAAATCTGTCGATGAAGCCATCAAGAATAGCAAAGCCATCAGGCGGTTTTCGCTTAACTCATCCGCTCCAGCTACGGTCACTCCGAAAGTGTTGTCCGCGATCAATCCTGTTGAGCAAGCTTCACATCAAATCATCTTCTCTGGATTTCTCCATACGACAAAGCATCCCCCACAAAACTTTATTCGCTCATGGAAACGCCGATATTGCGTGCTGACTCCTGGGTTTCTCTACCTGTATCATGAGCCGCGTGTCCCAGACCCGATCAAGGATAAGGACGCGAGTGATGTTTTGTACGTCGGAGTTGGCACAGAAGTCAAAATTACGGAGGAAGGACGAGGAAGGGGCTCACGAGCAGGTTTTGGATTTTCCGTCAAGAGTGGGGCGAAGGTTTGGTACTTTTGGTGCGATGACATGCAATGGTTTGGGGTTGTCGATGCGTTTTCCAAGGAGCTAAGTCCCAAAAAAGCATCATTGGGGAGGCCAAAGAGTGCAGAATCTGAAAAGAGTCCCATTACGTTGAAGAGGGAGGATTCAGGCGTTTCGACCTCATCTGCGCGTCTACTTTTGACTAGCAAGCTGAGTCCGGACCCAATGTCACCAGCATCCCCGCCACCAACTGCTCCACTTCCCCCGGTTCCGCCCAAAACGTCGTTGGAAGATCAATTCAATCCCTGGCGACACACCATCCAGTCGGGGATATTACCCCATCCAAGAGCCGTAATGCGAAGAGCGTCGACACCAAATGTGTCCTTCCCACACCAATCCATCTCCGCTCCAGTTCCTTCCTTACCATCCAACTATCACCGACACTCGGATGAAATCCGAAGCCATTCGCTGCCGCGAACATCATCCAATCGCGCAACGATCAATTCAGCAATCAACTTGTTGGACAGTATGCTTGCCGAGGAGCAGAAGCGGGAGAGCGTGTCAACTCTTTCAGTGTGATGGGTCGATTCATGAAACTTTCTTCTTGTATATTCTCTTAGTCCATCATTTGTGTGTATTGTATAGTTCATTTTTGTTCTTTTTAGAACACGTTCTCTTTTGGTTTGGATTTTGTAGACGGACACACTGTAGCCTAGATATGTTTAGAGTTTTTTCACCAATAAAAACGCTTATGAAGGTAACTGGTGATGGTCGCAATGAGCGAAAAGCATGGTTTACATTGGCGCGCCAAACCTGGTAGACATGCCCCCAGCCCTTTTTTGACGTATTCGAAATTCCATCTTGCAGTGTTCTGAGACTTGAAAGCGTTAGAATCCTAAATCATTCGCACATTAATAAAGTCATCCGTAAACATTTCAATGCAGGACATAGGTCCGAACCGAAATCCGATCCCTGTTCCAGGGTCACGGACATTTATGAAGAAGATTTCAAAACTGCTTTGGAATCACACACCTCCGAAGATTACGTTAGCTCATCCGGCCAAGCCACGCGATGCCGGTCTCCGAAATGATGAACACTTGTTTTCTTTTTAAAACGACAATCGTTCAGAGACAAAACATGTCGTCCTCATCGCACTATTCCATTCTGTCCAGCATTACAATATTATTTGTACAATATACAAGCACATTTACTTTCATTACGTGAACGATGCTCTCAACAAAAAAGGTTGTCGTCATTGGAGGACGCTATGCCGGTGTGGCAGCTGGTAGGTAACTGGTACTCTCATACATGGAATGATGATGATCTCATAGTATTCACCATGGATCTCTATAGCCATGCGCCTGAATGCCGGGCTCGGGCATCAGGAAAATGTTGATCTTACACTTATTACCAAGGAAGATTATTTCCAGCATAACCTGTAAGAGATCCGTTCATCGGTGTTAATCTATTCGACACTCATCAGATGCCTTTGTTAGAGGATCTTTCCGTGCGCTCGTTGAACCATCTTTTGCAGAAAAGCTTTTCATACCATATTCCAAGATTTTCACTTCCTCGAACGGAAAAATAGTGCAAGGAACCGTTGTCGCCATTCATCCTAACCATGTAGTTCTGGCTGGAGGAAGCAATGTCCCTTTCGATTATCTGGTTATTGCGACTGGCTCCTCTTATCCTAGGTATGTGATCGTATCATGCGTCCAGCCAAAAACTTGCTAATAATAGTCACCGGATACCGCTATGTAGTCCAAGTAAAAGCAGTAAGGACGCACGTACCGAGAGTATTGCCGAGCTCCAGGAAATTGCAACAGCCATAAAAGAAGCAAAGAGCGTTCTGATTGTGGGTGGCGGTCCAGTCGGAATCGAGATCGCAGGGGAAGTGGCTACTGATTACCCCGAAAAGAAAGTGACCTTGGTGCACGCCAGCACAACCCTCATGAATGGACCTTATTCGGACAAGTTTAAAGCGCGTTTGCTATCAACGCTCCAGCAACGCAAGGTTAATGTCGTCCTTGGCGAGAAGGTCGAAGGGTTGAAAGCGCTCTTTCCCGATCCAACGCAGAAAGGATGGCACGTTGGAGAAACTTTTGTCAAAACCAACAAGGGTCGTGAAATCAATGCCGACGTGATATTACTAGCTACCGGCAACTCATTGTTCAACTCTCACTTGGTCCAATCGCTGAGTGAAGACCTGATTGATGCAAAGGGACAACTTAAAGTGCGGCCGACCCTTCAACTCGACAATGATGCTTTCCCACACATCTTTGCAGCCGGTGATGTCACAAATGCTGATATGAAGCTGGCATATCTTGCAAAGCCACAAGCCGAACTTGCTGCCGATAACATTCTAAAGTTGATCAGTAAGTGAACTTGCTGCGGCTTTGCTGAATTTTGAAAGTCGCTCTGAATCTGAACTTTGTCTGCAGAGTCTGGACCTGATGCAAAACTTGCAGCGTACAAGCCAAGCACATCCGTCCTCGCAGTTGTGTCAATAGGACGTAACGGAGGTGTTGCTCAATTGCTAGGCGTTTGGGGGGATTGGGTGGTAAAGATGTTGAAAAGTAAGGATCTTTTTGTGAAGAGATATTGGGCCGACCTTGGATTAGCAAAGGAATTTCCGCAATGAGTGCATAGAGGGTTCCGAGTACTTGAGTAGAGAAGGGAGGTGAATTCTGGCAGTGCGAGTTCTTGTGTGTAATATCCGTGGTTGAATTTCGTAATCTTGATCGAACGCGTTTCTCCTATGATGGCTAATGTTACGTAAAAAATACAAAAGTGGTACTCTCAAATAGCAGTCCTACTCGTAACATTGCAAAGCAGTCCTATCTAAAATCGAATTAACTTGGGATGCCAAAGCCCAACGACCCCGACTATAAAGCCGCCAAAAGAGATGCCTTCACAGTGCATCCATCGATGCAGGATGTGCTACAAGGGGCAGGTTACAACAAGGAGCGAGCCGAAGCCATCGCCGTCTCCCAGCATATCCATGAAATTGCAAGCGACTTGACGCAGAAAACTGAGAAAGCAACCCACGGCATTGTACCCAAAGGTTCTGAGGCCGCTCAAGCACAAAGCGAAGATGCAAAGGCTCGGAGGATCGCAGATCAAATGCTGGGGACTTACACTGAGCGGATGGAAGCGCTGAGAAGTGCACGCTTGACAGTGGAGGCTCTGCAGGAGGATTTTGAAAAGAAAAGAGTGGCTCAGACAGGAAATGCAGACCAGATGGAGGGAGGTGGTAGGATGTAGACTGGAACTTGTACATATCATCTTCATTAAGTGTGAGGCATTTCAAACAAAATTGACTTTTTAAAAGTAAAAATGCATGAGATATTTTATATTCAGTAGCGTCGTGCTGTTGATTCATGCATCCAGTGCATCTGCTTACGAGGGGAAGGTTTAAAGTTTAAATCATTCGATCACTGTGGCTTAGTGTGGCTTATTCGTCCGCCCGATTGGACGACCTGCCCGTTCTCGAGAAGTGTGCATTTTTTAGTTGGTGAGCTTTTTGCTTTTCGGGTTTGGTGCCCTGCAAGAAGGGCCAAAATGAAAATGAAAAAACCTTTCCAATGGATGATTTTTGCACTATGCGTTTTGCCAGTTCGTCTCTCCACTCCGACGAGGTGGCATCTACATAAATAAAGAACTATTCTTTTGTTGAGGCCCAATCCAGTTCCATCTGGGTGACCTTGTAGCGTGTGTAGTGACAGGCAGTTGAACTAGTCTCCTTTGCCACTTTGCATACCACCCATTTGCCCAGGCGGGTGACGATCTAAGCTGCCATAACTCTTCTTGGGCTACTTTCCTAAAGGAGTTTTCGTCCTTGATCCTCGTCGCAAGCCGATGCTTGACGTCACTACCGTTTAAGCTTTTCCTCATTTACCTTGTCTCCTCATACGAATTTTTTTAATTCATCATCCAATATTGTATCCCATGCCCCTCTCACCCGCACGCCCAACCATGCCTCATTCCGACGGCGGTCAACCCATCGACCATGGATCATCAGAGCTTTCCGATCGTGCCGCGGGCGTTTTAAACGACTCCCAGTCGACCCCCCTGGACAGACCCAATTCCTTGTCTGCAGTACCAGATCTGGCTGTCCCACATACAGACAGTGCGCTAATGGCAGCAGAAATGTCAGCAGAACATTCCGGTAATACCCATATTGATGAGCGAGATCAGATCCATGCAAACATCCCAATGGTGCCGGTTACCTCCAGTATGACATCTGCTCAGGAAGTAACCATTACAGTGGATCCTGTAGCGGTCACCGGCGACATCCAGGAGCAGATTGCTGCTCAACAATCACGCCTAAAACGTACCGAGTCAACCGAACAGAAAAACCCAAATCCTTCGCCATCGAAAAAGCGCTTTCGGTTTAATTTTGATTACTTTCGACTCTTCCGATACTCCACTCCTTTCGATACCTTCCTCATCACTGCGGGCATCTTTTGCGCCATGGGCGCTGGTGTCCCTCTCCCACTGATTGGTATCTTGTTTGGTGACTTGATCAACGACTTTTCGCAAAAACTTGGATCCCCCGAAACTCTGTCACCAAGCGAACTTGACGACTTTAAGGAATCTGTTAATACAAAAGTCATGTATCTCGTTTTTGTTGCCATTGGATATTTTGTCCTGACATACGCCTATTGCGTGTGTTGGAGTTTGATCGGAGAGCGCGTCGCTAGGAGACTGAGGGAAGAATATGTAGGCGCTACTTTGAGAATGGAGGTTGGCTGGTTTTCAGATGTTGGCGCCGGGGAGGTATGTTCACATTCGCACTTTCACAATCCGCTGAATCCGCAGACTTACACCTATATCGTGCATTTCTAGATATCCAATCGGATCACCAGTGACATCCAAACTATACATTTGGGCACTTCAGAAAAGGTCGGCCTCTGTATCCAATCTTTGTCCTACTTTGTAGTTGCCCTATGTGTCTCCTTCTCTAAGAATGCCACCCTCGCTGGAATCATGCTCTGCATTGTACCTGCATTCGTCATCGTCATTATGGGGGGCTCCAAGATAACCGCAAAGTATACGACAAGAGTGAGCGATGCATATTCCAAAGCATCTATGCTGGCCGATGAAGCTTTCGGAAATGTTCGTGTCGTGCAGGCATTCAATAGTCAGGAACGCTTAGCGAAAGTATACGAGTCGTGGTTGACACTTGCGGAGAAAGAGGGAGTGCGGAAAAGCGTGTCGGGAGCTTTAATGATGGGCGCAATTTTCTTCTTGGCCTACTCGTCCAACGCCCTTGCCTATTGGAAAGGTTCTCGGCTTCTTGTTGACAATTCCATGAGTGGCGCTGGTGACATCTTTACAGTCATTTTTATGATGCTCGACAGTATGTTGACTCCATTCTTAGTTTTCGTCTGAATATGTATTCGTTGGATTTACAATCTACTTGCGCTTCCGCAGGCTCCTTCATCATTGGCCACTTTTCACCCTTCCTCCAGACGTTCTCGTTTGCTGCGGGCTCGGGCCGCAAGTTATTAGACACAATCGATCGAACCTCTCCTATTGACCCCACCTCTGACGCAGGTTTTCAGCCTGAAAAATGCGAAGGACATCTCGAGTTGCGCGGTGTCCGGTTTGCGTATCCAACAAGACCCGAAGTTCAAGTTTTGAAAGGAGTGGATATTGTTCTAGAAAAAGGGAAGACCACAGCAATTGTTGGATTATCTGGCAGTGGTAAATCCACGATTGGTATGTGTCTCTTTACGTATTTCTTACCCGGACTGCGGTATGCTCATCTTTCGCACCAATAGTGGGACTCCTAGAGCGCTTTTACGATCCAACGTCCGGTCAAATTCTTCTTGACAATGTCCCCATCAGCTCCCTCAACGTGCGCTGGTTGCGGCGCCAAATGGCTCTTGTTATGCAAGAACCAGTCCTATTCAATGGAACAATTATGGACAACATTGCCCTTGGAGCTGCCAACTGTACAGCAGCATTAAGCGCTCGCGAAAAAGAAGATATCTGCATTGATGCAGCGCGCAAAGCTAATGCCCATGGGTTTATCAGCAAGCTACCTAAAGGATATTTCACTCCAGTCGGCGAGCATGGTGTGGGGCTAAGTGGAGGACAGAAACAGCGTATTGCTATTGCAAGGGCTATCGTATCAGATCCAAAGATTCTGATACTGGATGAGGTAGACATGCCTGACGTATATGGGGCGACGCAACATTGTTTTCTAAACAGTAGTGCTTGACAGGCCACATCTGCCCTAGATGTTCAAAGCGAGCGCCTTGTGCAGGCTGCGTTAGAGCGTGCCAGTAAAGATCGGACAACTGTTGTCATAGCCCATCGGTTGAGTACCATTAGGAATGCGCACAAGATTGTAGTAATGTGGGTTTCCGAGATGACAAGGAGTCTGTTAATGCTGGAAGGGAATTAACGGTATGTTGCTTGTAGGTCACAAGGCAAGGTGATTGAACAAGGTACGCACGAGGAGCTCCTCGCCCGCAAGTCGGCCTACTACCGCGCCGTGAATATGCAAAATGTGCCATCGACTGTGGAGACAGTTTCTTCCACTGATACCGCCCATCCTGCGAGAGATATGATGATCCGCCAAAAGTCATCTCTATCTATCAGAACAGCACACTCCAACCTGGAACGCCAGTCATCGAGTATTCATCTGGATTCTACCAGAACGGCTGCGCCCAGTCTCAGCCGCAGAATCTCCCATTGGTCTCTGGATAGCGGCAGATTTAGCGTCTATCTTGATCAAGTCGCACAGGACAGTGCTAACGCAGACAATGTGGACGTGGAAGCAATGGAAAAGGCACAAGCAGAGCGTAATTCCGAGGAGACAGCAAAATCTCAGATAAATATTACCACATGGGAGCTCCTAAAGCGGATTTCAGGCATGATGGGAGGAAGGGAATGGTTTTGTGTCGTTGTTGGATTGGCGAGTGAGTACTAGAATTTTTGGAGATCATACGCACGTACACGGAACTTACAGTCGATTTTTCTTGTATAGCATCCGCAATGATCGGTTCGGCCTACTCTATCGAAGCAGTTTTGTTTGCAAATCTAGTTACGACCCTCTCTCCCAACGACCCAAGTCAAACACAGCAGATCTTGGATACTGCAAACCGTTTTTGTTTATGTGGGTGACAGGGATGATTCATGATGGTTTTGAGATTCGGGAATCTAGCTAAGACCTGTCTCTAGACTTTCTATGTGTTGCGTTTGCTCTATGTTTCGCTTATTCTACGAACGGGACAGTTTTCGGATGGGTTTCAGGGCGGTTACTATGGCGTGTAAGAAGCTTGTCCTTCAGGTAGAGTGTTATTCTTTGAATGTGGAACAACATAGAGCCACTAACACTTGCCACTCACGTTAGGTCCGTAATAAACCAGGACATATCATATTTTGACAAACCAGACCATACAACTGCTTCCCTAGTATCAACGCTAAACGTGGACGCAAACCACCTGAGCGGATTAACGGGCGTCGTCATCGGCACAGTGTTCTCCATTATGGTCAACCTTGTGGCAGCTATCACACTGGCTCATATCACGGCTTGGAAGATTGCGATTGTGGTTGTTACAGCGGTACCCATCATGCTTGTTGCTGGCTTTTTGAGAGTTAGGATCATTGCACGATTTCAGGTGTGTGTGTGTGCCTGCTAGGTCATCAAATCTGACGGTGGTGATCTTTAACCGGTTTGGTCCGTAGAAACGCCATGAAACGGCTTACATAGCTTCCGCAGCGCTTGCAACCGAAGCAGTGGGCAACATTAGAACGGTCGCGGCACTTTCGTGCGAACAGAATGTCAAAGATCGCTATCACGAAAGCCTGGAGGCTCCATACCAGGATAGCATTCGTTCCATTTCAACAGGGAATCTGTGGCTAGCGCTCGCGTACAGTATTACGTACCTTCTGTACGCCTTGGCTTACTGGTAACTCTTTGCAATCGACTATCCTGCCCAACTTGCGCTGACTGGTCTTCTGCCACAGGTGGGGCTCCCAACTTCTCAGTAAAGGCGACTACACAGTCAATGAATTCTTTATCGTCCTCCCTGCGCTTCTCTTCTCTGCCCAGGCGGCCGGCCAAATGTTCTCTCTAGCGCCAGATGTTACCAAGGCAAGACTGGCAGCTGGGAATATATTTCGAGTTATTGATGAACGAGGAGCTATTGGACACGGCGGAGAGAGTGAGACGATGGAAACGAAACGGGGCGTTGGAATCGAGTTTCGGGACGTTGTGTTTCGGTATCCGTCCAGACCTGAAGTACCCGTTTTGAATGGGTTGAACCTCAAGGTTTGTCTTCAATCTGCCTCACTTTTTTTGATTATCAATTGTTAAAGTCCCTTGTCTGATTAGATCGAACCCGGTCAATTCACTGCCCTCGTCGGTCCCAGTGGATGTGGAAAGTCTACCACAATTGCTCTACTTGAGCGATTCTATGACCCCCTCTCAGGACAAGTCCTTGTCAACTCCACTGCCCTCTGTAACCTCCACCTTCCTACCCACCGCTCTCGTATGGCCCTAGTTAGCCAAGAACCTACCCTCTACGAAGGCACAATCAGATTCAACATTCTCATAGGTGCCCAAGATCCAGATGCAGTTGAGGAAAAAACATTTTTGAACGTTTGCGAAATGGCCAATGTGCACGAATTTGTAAAGGTGTTACCGGAGGGGTATGAAACGGTTGTGGGCAAGACTGGGCTGAGTGGGGGGCAAAAGCAGAGGATTGCAATTGCCAGGGCTTTGATTCGAGATCCAGAGGTTTGTTACGGTTTTACCTATACTCGATGAGTATTCTGTACTTTGCTGACAGGCTTTTTTTTCGTAGATTCTTCTTCTCGATGAAGCAACCTCAGCACTAGATTCTGAAAGCGAAGAACTAGTCCAAAGCGCTCTCAACAAGGCATCCATAAATCGGACCACCATATCGATATCGCATCGCTTATCAACCATCCGGCATGCACATAAAATCGTGGTCATCGATCAAGGTATCGTTGCGGAGGAAGGTACACATGAGGAATTGATGGCGCTACGGGGAAGGTATTTTGAGATGGTGCGGGTTCAACGGCTGGATGGTGAAGTAGGCGATCTAGGAGTGAGCGGAGGGGATTGTCTGATATAATTTAACCTTCATTGTATTTTCAAGTTTTGAGACTTCTTCATATGATTGATTTTCATAGATATACAGCTTCTACATACATATACATTGAATTAACACTACCAGAATACCAAGAAATAGGAGACATACTCCAAATTTGTCTCTGCATAATAATCTATGCGCCTATCTAACATTCATTTGATCAGGGAAGTAACATCATCTACCAACCGGATTAAGCCATTCTCTGGAACACACATCCTAGAGTATCAATCCTAATATCCATACCAAGGAACTCACAGCCGAAAATGGGACAGCCACGCCTCTATACACACGTCGCATTGCATCATTGATTGTTTCTACGGTTGTGGGATCCGAGGGAGCAGGGGTATGTGGGAGTAAAAGAGTTGCACTTGTTGCTACAGTCGTGTGATCCAACATGTGGGCGCGGAAGAGAGTACTCGCGAGGAGGGTGCCGAAAGCTGTGCCAGCTGAAAAGTCACGACCACTTACGATTAGGCCGCATTCAACAAGACATACCAAAAGGAGTCTTGGCACTTACCAACAACGCCTACTCCCATCCATGCACTCCAACCGACACCTCCGCCCTCAACAGAGCGTACAGTGGAACCCACAAAAGTCACCAAAACTCCAAAAATCATGAATCCAACACCAAATCCATCAGTCACAGCCCCAGCATCCACGGCCGCTAGAATGGCTCCGACCAATACCATAATGGCCCCAGGCGAAGCCGCCCGTGTATGAGAGTGCTTCGAATATGGAAGAAGGAAAAGAAGCAAAAAGGGAATTATTCCACCTATAAGAGGATATAAGAGGAACGGAGTCGGGGTACATGCTTGAAGAGCAAGTTGAAGAGGAGGGTAGCGCAGGATAGCTGTATTACATATATATGAGGACACCAAGATTTGAACCAAGAGGATTGGATCAAGTGGGGAACCTACATGCGAGAGCCGTAGTGCTAAACACCAGGGATAAGCCGGCAACCAGAGTTTGCTTGCCATTCCGATCTACCCATGGAGGAAGTTCAGTCCAACCGCAAGATTAAAACATGACAAAAGAATTCGACTTACCGGCCAGAACTCCATTATGGTACAGTTGTCGCCCGAGTACACCAAATCTGCGCAAGACCCACTATTAATTAACGCTTTCTTCAAAGCGATCATAGAAAGACACTTACAATACAACCGCTACTGTTCCAAAACCTATCATTCCTCCAATCCATCCCGCCTTGCTTAACGCATTCTCCGGCTCTGCTTCCTCCACGTCATCCCATGCCGGCAATCGGCATTGATCCAACATGTGCAACTTGTTGAGAAACAGGTCATTTGGTGGTCTATCAGAACCAGCCACGCTCACAGGTGGAGGCCTAGGGCGAGGGGATGGCGTCGTCGACGACATGGGGGATGATGGGTTGGGCTTTGATATGGTGGGAGGAGTAGATGTGGTCGCGGTACTTGGTGATGATATTGTAGTACTGGCGGGGATGCTAGAGGAGACAGTCGCGCCAGGGAACGGTGTACCAGATGAACTAGGAGCGGAACTAGGAGTGGTCTGTGTCGGTTCAGAAACGGTTGAACTTGGCAGCGGCGTCGAAACGGTCTTTGTATAGGTTGGATCTGTCACCCAAACTCCATTCTCCAACTTCCAGCCTGGTCCATGTAGAATCCTTATCGGGTTCACATGTACGTCTCCAGGGATCATTTCCAATGCTACAGCCAATTCTACATTCCCTGGGTTCCGTTTGTATGGATATTGCCCACCCCAAACGACAGCACTCAACCCAACGGCCACTGCGAACGCCATCAACATTGCTGTGGAAAACTTGGTTATCAACCGTCTCGTCCTTGGGGTAGCTAAACGATTAGCCAACAAGACACTCATAATAATCGCGGGGATGCATAGCAGTGCCGGGAGGAGGAATATCCACTTTCGATTCGTGAATGCGTTCAGGAGGAGACGGTGGCCAATGAGAGGGGCAAATGCCAGCGAAGAAATCAACACCAAGGCCAGTACGGCTGTACAGAAAAGAGATTGTATCAATTTCCAACGTATACTTTTATCATGATCCAATCAACGTACCATAAACTCGCACAGCATGGCGCAGTTTCATAGAGTCTTTTACCAATAAGAAAGTCAATGGTAAAATACCACCACCGCCCTTTAATCGATAAACAACAGTTAAAACTTCGCCAGTATCCAACATAACGGAAGAAATTGATACATACCACTCCTGCTATAGCCTCAAAGCTTATGACACGATTCCAATCGCCACCGACGCTACAAAGCGCCGTAAACACTGTAAACAAGAATAGGCAAAACACTAGCGGTCGCGCAGGTCTGGGATGACATAAGGACGAGAATCAGTGTCATGTATAGTCAAGAAGTGAACGACACCACACAACCCACCCCCAAACGCCTGAAAACCACAGCCAAATTGCTGCTGATGCCACACAGGCAACCAAATAGGCGGCCTGTGCCAATTCCGCAGCACCAAGCCCCGTATTGGAATGGAAGGCAGGGGAGTGTGTCATGATCGGACCGGCGATGTTAAGAAGAGAAAATGAAAATCCGTACGAGGCAACCGCGAACGTAGCTCTGAATCAGAATGGTGATGATCAGCTGTGCAATACCGCATCAGTAATGGATTCGGTCCACACTTACCCAATAGCCGCCATCCAAGACATCTGATCATCATTATCGCCACTCAAGGAGCGTTCAGAACCATTCTCACGCACAGTCTCAGAACCAGAAGGAGGCGGAGATGCATTTTCAATGTCATAATAAGACCTACGTCTGGACGCATTTTCTGCCTTCTGTTGAAGCTCACTTGAAAAGCTCCTTTTGCGCGCAGTACTCCCCAGGTTTAACTTGAAACTGCCAGCTTGCCCCTTTCGGTTATCCCACTGTTCTTTAGTGGATGCGCCCACCGGATTATCATTAAAAGCTTCAGCAGCAGGTGCAGCCATATATGCCTTGCGTACACTGCGTATGCGACCCAAGGGAACATCGGACGACTTGCTCGCTGAGGCATTGCCATGCTGCATGTCTGGATGCAACGGAATATGTGCTTGTGCAACAATCACGTCCCGCATGTGTTCCATTAGGCTCTTTGGCGGATTCAGCGGTGGGGCGGCGACTTGGTGTGATCGAGTTGTTGGCTGCATGACGTCTTTCTGCGCTTCCACCATCGGATCTTCGTTCGATCCACCTCGCGAGTGTACCGCATGCACGGATGGCCCCGAGACATCACTGATACCACTGTCCACGTTACTGCCCAAGGAAACCGATAAAAACTTTGTCCGATCCTTTCTTGTAACGTCTCGGTCCAGTGCCATGGTAGATGTCGGCGGAGAGATCTGTACGATAATCGGTTCGCGAGTTGTATGCAACTCCTTGGAGAGAATCTTCTGGGCGTCACGAGTGACTGCCAACGCGCCAGCGGATGGTTCATCTACATGACGATCTCGGCCACCGTCCACAATTGCCACATTAGAACCAATAGAATCTGCAGACAGCCTCGCCCGGTGCTTTTGACCGTGCGCTTCATCCGCAACATCCAATATTGGCCCTGAATTTCTAGTAGAATGCGGATGACTGTTTGTGTTACTCCGCTCAAGAGTTCCATTATTTGACCCGATACTATGGTTGTCCATCGTTTTTCGAAGCGCTGACCCGGAACTTTGCGCAGGATCGCTTCCATAGTTTTCCAAAATTTGAACGATGGAATCTCTTAATGATTCGCCTTCGGTGGTTGAAAGCACTGCCCCTGCGAGGATAGCATCAGACTTTATAGCAGAGCGTACAGTTGCGTCTGCGGTGTCTGTTATGAGCGGATCTCTGACAAATACACCTTTATCAGAAGGTTCTGTAAGTATTTCGTCATCCAATGCAGTGAACCTTTGTTCGGCAAGGAAGGTTTTATCATGTATCACAGACGCTTGATGGTCAAGGACTGTCATCTTCGAATCCTCAGCAACAACGTTTCTGTCCAACTTGAAAGTAACCGTACTTTGACTGTCATCCGTACGGTCTCCATTAGCTTCGGGATTCTCTTTCTCATTCTCCGAGTTATCTGTTTCATAATCATCCACACTCTCATCATCATCGTATTTGTCCAGAAAATCAGCGATCGGCACCTCTACTGACAGAGTCGAATGTTTCCTTGGCCGGGTACTCTTTCCTTGAAGCATACCCAACCCGAGGCCATGCTCCAAACTTGGACTGATATCTACGACATCATCAGCAAAGTCTGTGTTCCCGCTATCGTTTCGCTCCAAGACCCGGACAGCCCCCAATCCACTCAAGCTCTCCAGAATTCTACGTCCGAGGGATTCTGCCGACGGGGTGTGACGCGGACGCAAAATCGCGGGGCGCTCAATAAAGGATTTCAGGGGAGGGTTGTCGTAATTATCGCCGCGCTTCAGTTCGAAAAAGTCCGCGTTCGAATCCACATCATCGGAATCCCACATGGGAGTGGCAGGACCGGTGGAAACGACGTGGGAAGACGCGTCTGTAAGATAGGGAATATCATCGTCCGTATTGTCGCTATTGGACCGGCCGCGCACGCTAGTGACAGCGGAGGCGGTGGACTGGGGATAAGGTATTGGAGGTTTCTTTGTCGCCTTTGCGGTTCTTGGGGACCGTTCAGACATCTCCTGATCAGGAAGGTCGTCGTCCGTATGATCACTATTGGATCGGACTCGTCGGCTAGCAAACGTGCTGGATGGGAGTTGCGGATGGGGAAGCGGAGGTCTCTTTGCAGACTTCTTGGGTCTGGCGGACCGCGCAGAGATACTCGAATAGGGAAGGTCATCATCCGTATTATCGCTTTTGGATCGGATACGCGTGCTAGCAGCAGTACTGGGTGTGGACTGTAACTGAGATAATGGAGGGTTGGTGATGGCAATTGCGGGTTTCGCAGACAGCTCATCATCCTCCCGATCTTCCGTTGCAATCAATGTGGCCAGTGGCCCCAGAGCTTCAAGGGACGCCTTTTGCACACCGGCACGACCTCCCGATGTGGTTGCCGTGAAGACATCGATATCGCGGTCGCCTTGAGGAAAGTCTGTAACCTGCGCAAGTTGTTCTGCATCGATAACCACGCGAGGTACGTCACAAATGTCCTGCGCTAGGGCAAACGTCCCAGTATCGGAGTTGTCCAACTCGAGCGGGTCTATGGTAACCGGCACTGCCTCTCTCAGGCACTCCACAACCTTTTCAGCTTCATCGAGAAGCTGTGCAATCTCCCCAGAACATATCGGCGCAATCCATTCCAATGATTGAGTCCGATCTTCAACCAGATGTCGAATCACCTCTATTGCCGGATCAGATTGAACCACGATCTGTTCAGCAGAGGAGTTAGGTACCATCACAGTGAGATCAATAGCGTTCCCAATTCCTTCCACAGATGAGCGCTGGTGCTCCTCTACGTCAACTTGTGCATCCACGGCTCTCGCAAATGGTAGGTGAATTGTAGTTTTCATGGTTGGCGACAACGGTAATGATTTCGCTTCCAATTCTCGAGGCATGTCAAAGGACTGTGATACTCCCTGGGGTTTAGCGTCGAACTCTCTACCAATGCTTCGTATTGTAGAATCATCCTCCGTGGTCCCACTTTTACTGTTCTGCAACGAAGGGGGTAGCACATGCGGAAGTACGACGTTCAAAGGAACGGGCGATGAAGGTACTACAATCTTCGCGTCCCGCGCGTCGCCGCCCAATTGCATATCATCCCGATAGTGCACTTGTCCATCAGCAATAGGGAAGATTCCATCAACCACAAGATTTGAGGCAGGAAATATGGGACCGTCTGTCTCCTCCTCATGTGAATGGACCTCTACAGTCTCCTGTGCTTGCGCCGTTGGCAAAACTGGGTGCACTTCGAAAACGTGAGCGTCTTGGTCAATGGTTTCTATACTGGCATCCGCAAATACGATGTCTTTGTTGTCCACTTTCCCTCCAGTAATGGGCAGAATGACCGTTGGTTGAATTGGGCCGGACTGTACGTCTCGGCCCACTTCCACCAACTCAGCCTGCTTTGCATAAATGATTGAATGACTCGAAGACTGTGGAATACCCACGCCCACGTCCCTATTTGACATCAAGTCCGCGTCTGCCAATGGATCCTTTTGACTAATGTCGGTTGTCGAGATCCACGGCATCGACGATGGTATATCGCGAGCAGGGGAAATATCTTGATTGTGGGCATTCGCTCCTGGAGTGACCAGGGATTCAGAATGCATGATGCTGCTCGCTTGACTTCCAATATCCACGGGTAAGATAAGACCAATCTTGCTTTCTTTTGCCGCCTGCTCGAACAAAGCATCCCTCGCCACGCCCATTTCAAGGGTATCAACTTGGAACCCAACTGCTACCGGTGATATAACGCACACATCTAGCTCCTTGGCCACCTCCATATGTTCGACGTTCTCTGGATCAACATCAATGCGGACACTCTCAACCCGCGCTGTTGTCATTGGAATGACTGGATCCAGCGCGATGTCATCTGCATGCTCAAAGGGTAATGCGTCATGAGCTACACACCCATCGGTCAGTTCTTCACACAACGCTCGGATCATTGGAACTATCGGCTGACAATCAATTTGCTGTGAGTGATCCAACTGGTTCGCAGGTATCGACCGAGGAGCTTCCATATCTTCACGGCTACCATCAATGACAGGTAAAACGATCTGCGTCTCTAGCGGTTCAGAGACTTGCGCTTGTGTGGCGTATAATCCCTGTGGAGCGTTCAAGTCGCTAAGCACGCCTTCTTTATGGGGCCAGATAGACATGAGCCGAAATTCCTCTCCCACGTGGTTTGCTTCTTCTGCCAGTTGCTCTTGTTCCACATCAGGTACATCTGTTACATGACCATTCACTACCGGCCATACTGGTTCGGATTCAAGGAGTTGGCCGGTAGGTTCCACCCGTTCGGCCTGCAATTCCGTCCTCTTGAACGTCGCTCTAACGACAGTCCCGGGTATAGGAGATGGTGCATTCGACTTTACGACTCTCTTGGCGCTTCTCAACAGACGAGACAAAATTACGCTCGTCTCATCAATCTGGTCTGCGGCAGTCTGTATGATCTGCTCGGTTCTTGTCGGGCGTGCCGGTGACGGTGGGGTTGACCGTGTAGGAGAGTAGAATTCAACATGATCGTCATATTGCTGGGATATAGGGGGTGTTGAAAATGGTCGAGAAGGGAGGGTGGGGGGTACAATGGACATGGATGTGTGAGGCGCGGCATTTGGAGTCGGCGATCGTAGCGGTAATGGGGGCGGATCAGGCGAAAGTGCGCGGCGAAATGCCGACCGGAGGGAACCCGTGATGTCACTATTCGCAAATGAGAGCCTACTCTTTTTTTGCTTTATGGGTTCTGATCTGGTGGTGAGAACCGTTTTTGCATCGTCCCCATCGTCGTCAGCTGCACTTTCACCATGTTCTGAACCCGCGATACTTGTAGTCGCGGAGTATGCACTATCTGGTGTAAGACTTCGCGAAGACTCTGTTCCCGCCTCGCTTTTTCGTCTTTTCCGCAGGCGAAATGGTTTTTTGGGTGATGCAACAGTGGCAAAGAAGTCTGGTTCTTCGTCACCAGCGTTAGAGTGCGAGCTTGACACTGGTAGGGGAGATGAGACTCGAACGGGCGATCTTACGGTTGCCTCCGCGTACCTATGATGAGAAGAAACAAGTTACATCATCCGATGGGGTTACAGCGAGACAACTTGCGCCTTTCCTCACCATGCATCTTCGTTAACAATCTCTAAAGGAGAGCTTGGAGACAGTGCTCTCGGCTGTTCTTCAGTAGCAATTGCGAACCAAGGAGCATCGTCCAAGTCATCTCGAAGAGGAACTGGGGCGGGAAAGGTAACGGGAGACGCGGGACTGGCTGTTGCATGCCAAGTGTGAGATTCCGGCAAATTGTCGGCGGCGATAGCAAGGGGGTGATCGGGTGTAGCATCATAGTGCCATGGTTCAGAGACAGTAGAGGATGTTCGAGACAAAGTCGAGTCGGAAGTGTCAATGCTTAGTCTTGCAGGTCTAGATTTCTTTGTGATCTCCTCAGAGTTGTCTGTTTGTACTCTGTCATCTTGCTGACCATCACCTTCATCCTTTGAATTCAGCCAGTTGAACAAGCGCGGCCCCGTCATTCATGACAAGTCTATAATGATATTTTCTATGTGAAATGAACTTGTTGGAAAGGAAAAACGACGGCGATGAGGCCCTCTAAAAAAATAGCGACGACGAAGCGAAATTCGACAGCCGAAGGATTGCCCGAACACAACTGTGCCTTTACGCGTGGCACAGTTTGGCGGCTCGTTGAATTTGCCATTTTTTAGCATCCGATTTTTGAACACTTCCACGACGGCACAAAGCAGTAGGACGAGCCTTCTTTCTGTGGATCATTTGCTTGCAAGCAACCATTCCTCAACAAATGACCTCAACACAACAACAACTTTTATCACCCGAATCATTGGGGATTTGGTACTTGTCTTCAGCCCAATACACCATGATATCGTACCCCAGCTTAAGATTTACACAACCCTCCAAATCCGGCTTACTCAATAACTGAATGCCTTGTATATATCTTAACGTTGCTACGATGTGACATGTACCGTGCCTCTGCAGTTCCATATCTGAATTGTGTCGATTTTGTGATATGTTTTCAGTTTGTCTCCGTGGATGTTGTTGGCAGGCTGTGTAAACGCGTTACTAAGCCTTCGCTGACCGATCTGTCGGACAAATGAGGCGGAGGCCTTGCTTTGTTTATAGGGCGTTTATTTTAAGGACCAGGCGAGAAGACCTTCTCGATGATTTAGTCCAGGTACCAAAAGCTGGAATGGAGGACTACCAAACCATCAAAGAGCCGACAAACTCTTCTGTCACAACAGACATGGTGATAGAAGACCAAGACACCCAGCCGTCCGCAGCAAATCATGAGAGTGCCTTCCTCCTGCACACCACAATAGATGTACCATCCCAGGCTGCGCATCCACCGTCAAGTCCAATATATCACTGTCCACCACAATCATCTTTAGGCGTTGCTGGTGTACCCGACATTGTCCCCGTCCAATCATACGAAAGTGATCACGAAGCCGATGATTCGCAAGGCGATCGAGTCTCGATCATCATTGATGCAGCACCAGCATTCGCAAAAGGTCACACTGAAACTCATGATTCGAAAGAACTCCCACCATCCTATGGCGACAGCATCGGACGAACCGAACCCTCCGTCGAAGCACACCCACCATCATATTACCCTCCCGCGCCGCGCTCCCCAGTTATCAAATTCCTCAGTTTCATGTTCTTCCCATTGTACTTTATCCTATATCTCCTTCCCAAATTCACTTGGAAGTACGTGATTGTACCAGTTGCCAAAGGCCTGATATGGGGCGTTGAATGGATCTTCAAGTTATTGGGGACATGCATAGAGTTCGTGTGGACCTGGACAGTGGTACCTTTCTGGAACTATATCGTCGTACCGATTGGAAATGGGATAGGATGGGTTCTTTCAATGGGTGTTAAAGGAGCCGAGATCGGATGTAATGCTATTTGGACCTACGTCCTTCACCCCATTGGTCGAGGTATGGCATGGATATGCAGGGGAATCTGGTTCATCGTATCTACGATTCTGGATTTCATCTACACATGGATTATTCATCCCATATACGCCTTCATCGTTCTCCTCCTCAAAGGATTGTACAACTACATCCTCGCACCAGCGGGCAATTTCATAGTTGCGATAGTAAAGGCGCTCTACAACTACATCCTTCTCCCCATATTCCGTGGCATAGGGGTCATTCTGGGATGGATCTGGAAAGGCATTGTTGCAGTGTGGGACGGGTGCTGGTATATCTCCCGAGTCATTGGTGAAGCAATCGTCAAGTTTGTCTCATGGGTTTGGAGAGGATTGGTTGGATGGATTTTCTCACCGTTATGGCGCTTGCTGTGTTTTCTGGGACGAGGGATCCGGGATTTCATTCTTAGCCCCATCTGGTGGTGTATCACCCAAATCGGAAGCGGTATCGCTTTTGTAGCGGGTATACTGAGCGAGTACGTCATTGTTCCTATTTGGAGGGGGATTATGGCTGTCGGGTCGGCTATCAATGCGTATATTATTCAACCAATTGGATGGGCCATGGGACAGTTGGCAAGAGAAATTAGTGAGATTGTTGTAGGAATGGGGAAGATGTTTTCAAGTCTTTGGTAATTGCATTGACTTGGAGGCTAGACCTGCATCTTGTACCAAGAATAATGTTTCTAATGTGTCATTATTCGCTTTACTACTTCCATCTGATGTAAACTAGTCTCAGTAAGAAAAGGACCGCGTTGAAGGAATAGAAAAAAAAAAATAAAACGTTATTTTCATCTTCTCAAACGCCAGCATTGTACATAGATCTTTTACGTCCTTCTGCCAGGTTTCGGCGGTACGACTGGTGGTTCCCTTCCCACCGCCTCCCTTCCCGCTTCCCTCATACCGGGAGGCTTTGGTGGAACGGCCGGTGGAGCCGACGGTGTGGGCCTTTCTGAGGATCTTGGTATGGTTGGCGCGGCTGTGGTTGGCGTCCATGTGTACCGATGTGGCTGCCTTTTGATATGGTCATCTTCTGGACGGAGGAGTCTTTGTGGTGACGGGTGGTAGGATGCGGGCTGGTGGGTTGGGGGATGATGGGATATGGATTGCTGATGTGTGGATTGTTGCGGAATTAATGGGGGATGTTTGAAGGGGGTTGGTGTACGATGGTGCCTTTGAGTAGGTGCTGTTGTGGGAGTCGAAGAAGAGATATTTCCACCATCTTTGGGTTCATGACCTTGTCTAAATTCTGCATCGCCCTGGTATCCTTTGTCGGATCCAGTTTGATGAAGTGTCCACCGTCCGGTTGAAGATTGTTTTCTCCATCCGCTTTCATCGTGTTCTGCATGCGATGGTATTGGATGCGAGTGAGAGGATGCTACAGAATGAGAGACCCCTGAATGAGAAGATGACAGAGAATGAGACGCAGGAGAATGAGATGCGGGAGCATGTGATATGGAAGCATGTGAAGCGGGATGCGGTGTTGGGGCATCACGCTTCGGCGGAGGAGGTCTGGGCGGAGGCTGATGAATAGGCGGTGGAGGTGGATGAGACTGCGACCGTGTCCTCCCATCCTCATGTAACACTTCGGCTTTTGACAAACTGCTCTTTGGGGCAATGCGTGGCACATGGTTCTCCGGACCATCTTTAAATGGATCTCCATTAAAGCTTTCTCCGCGCCGATTTGGGGGGATCGGGCGCGGAGGTGGTCCATGTGCATCTGCTTCCCCTGCCAGATGGTTTTTGTGCAGATCTCGCTTTGGTTGCGTGTGGGCTTGTGCGTCTGAGGAAGCGTCTGTAAACCGCGCATGCGGGGTGGATTGAGTTCGGCGATGGGAACGTGATGAGGAAGGTGCGAGAGACGATATGTGAGAGGATGGGCTTCCAGGAACGTAGCCGAACCCTCTTTTCCCAGAAACATTACGGTGATTTGAGGGGAAAGCGTCGCTCTCAGCATGGGTCTCGGCATGATTGGCCAGTTTCTCGGGTAGTGCACTGTTGTTGGATGAGGCCCCTCCACCTACAAATCCGGTGAAAATGGCTGAGATACGGTTTTGCTGTCGCTTGTTGGTACGTGGGCTTGCTTCTGATGCGGGTGATTGGACACTCCCGCTGGTCGTTCCATTGGATGTTGAGCCTGGTGGTGTAGTGGACATTTGTTCGATGCGCGATTTGAGCTCAGTGGACAGCCAGCCCAACGAAGGTTTGCCCTGTTTTGTTATGGACTGAGAGTCTGAAGATCTCCCGTCTCCATGATCCGTGTATCGCTCCTCTCCATCCAATCCATCTCGACCCTTATCTCCACCTTCCTCACCCTCAAAGACTAGACTCTTCAAACTGCTCAAGCTCCACTCACTACTAGAACTCGTCACAGAACTACGCCCGTCATCGTCCGCTCCGGAAACATCAGATTTACCACTAGCAGTCGCAACATTTTCTGCAATGCCATTAACAGCACCCATGCTTCGTCGTCTAGGTATCGACGCTTGCTTCTTCGATCCGAATGAAAGTGCACTCCCTTTCAAAGCTTCCATCAACATGGCTCCGGCTGACATGCGCTTCCGGTTTTGCTTTAGTTCACTCAAAATGGATGCAGCATTGACCCCACCAAAAAACTCTGGTGGTACCGCAATGTTGTTGGCTGCTAGATAATCATATCCTGATCCGCCGAAATCCGGAATAGGCTCTGACATGACATCCTCAATAACGATTTGGGAGAGAGGTGTTGAGTTGCTGCTGTTGGGGGTGGTCGACTCTGTAATATGTCGGGGCTCCCTGGCAAGCGAAAGCGCATCCATTTCCTTCTCAGTGTACCACTTCCGTGACAAGATCCAGTGCCCCACAAATTGGCCAACCGTCTCATCATCTGCTTCGCGCAAAGGAAGCAGCTCTGGGGGAGCACGAGAACTGATCCCCGATTTCTGCTGTTTCTTGAATCCCAGTGCACCAGACTTTTTTTCCAACCGTAACAGAGCAGTCAACTGCTCATACGCATACTTTTGCCCCGCTTGGTAAAACTCCATTTGGTCAAAGATCTCTTTGAGACGTTTATCCGACGCTGGTGAAGTTCCATCCTTTTTCGCGAGGGCGAGGAGATACGTTATGTCGTGCATGTAAACTCCCAAGAAGGGAACCATAGGTCTCGTTACGCTTCGGGCAAGCCATTCACGATACGCAGTGTAATTGTTTTGCTCCGATAACAATTCCCGCAACTGCTCCAACGTTGTCATTGATTTCTTTGGCACTAGACCCCATGTCCTCTTCAATCGTGCTATAGGGGGAGTCCCTAATGCACTGACGATAGCCTTCAGAGACTGCAAATTCCTCAGTTGGTACAGATTCCACGCAACTTTGGTCCAAGAGTGAATCACAACGGCTCTATCCCCCGCTTCGACTGGCTCCAGAATCGAAAATTCAATCATCCGGGTAAGGTAATTGAAGAATTCTGTCGAGGCGTGAACTGACGGCGAGGGGTTATTAGGTGGTCGGTGGTTAATCATATCAGCAGGACGGAGCTTGTCAAATATCTTTTGATCAATCAGACACAACTCAAAGGCGACGACAACAGGACGGAAAGTGGTAACATTTGCGGCGCTGGCTGCTAGAAGGATTTGGTAAATTACTCGGGCGAGTTTACTTCGCACGGTAGTGGCGCCGTCCGAGAGGGATCGCCTGTGGGTAGGCGCACTTTCCAACCGTTGGGGTGTGGTAGGATGTTCTTCTCCATCATGATAAAGTGATGCAGAACTTGGCCCCTTTTCCAAACCAGGTCGTCCCATTGCTTCGTACAGCTGAGAGTTGAGTTCTCTGTACTGAACAAGTAGAGGCGATGGTGGTATATCGGGAGATGCCCACGGTCGAACATGCTTTGGTTTCGGGTTTTCCAGGGTGCTACCGTTTGAGCCTGATGGCCTTGGACTGTAGGGTGAGAAAAGATCATCCGACTCTCGGCTTGAAAGACTAATTTGCGGTGGAGGACCTGTCCCGCTGTTTTGTGCTGCAACGGAGGTAAGCTGCTTGTCGTTTACGGGAGTGTGTTCCGAAGCGTCCATGAAGGGATTGCTTGCAATCGAATCTCTGTCCGTTATTGGTTCTGCCAAATACCCTCAAGCTGATAAGAACCAAGCCGGATGAAACACATTTTTCTTTGAAGAGCAACTCACGAATTGTCAATTTTGGTTTCGGCGGCAGCGAAGGACCGGCCTTTGGCTGCTTGGTCTGCGATCGACCATCCGCCTGCCTCAACACTCCCTCCATAGTATCAATGCACTGCCGACACATGCCCAATAGCTCTATCCGATCATCCTGCCGCTCGGGTCGTCCTGCACTACCTGGTTAGAGCCAAAGCCTCACGTTTGCAAGCAAAGCGCTTGGACGCACCATCTGATGTGAATTCGGCGGATTTGAGTTGTAGGAGAATGCCGTTGAGGACTTTGAGTTGAGCAAAGTAACTGTCCTATTGAGGAATACGTAAATTTAGCTCGATGCTCTCATCCACCTATAAATCAAATACAAACTGCAGTCTACTATTTCGTCCTTACCTTTGGTACCGTTTTGGATGCTGCATCGGCAGCTGCACTCCGAATAGCGTGCATCTCTTATAGAAGGGATAGTGCGAGGGAAGTGGAGATTTGACGCGGAGATTACCTCAGGACCAGCCTAGAGGGTCGTCGACGAACAATAGGAAGATTGGCAGTGGGAAGCGTGAACGACGGCTGTGGGCGCGAAAGTCGAGCAATCTGTTACTGCATGGGTGAGGCCAGCGCCGGTTGTGGAAAACAGGAATCGATATGTATGTACAATTGAAAACTTTTAAAATAACGGATTAGAAAAACCACAACTCTGCCAAAGTCCAATCCTCAAGATAATCGCAAGCACCTTTTTTGAATAATTCACTGAACCAGCGCCAGATCGCTGTCCTGAGAAAGCCAAAAAAACAAAATCGCCAAGGCCAAAACGACAAGTAATATTTCACACAACATTGAATACATGTCCCGTTTGCCAAAATACCCAGAACATGCATCCGCCGTCTCGTTCCTGAGGTTTTGTCGCTATTTATATCCTGGTTAGGGAGAGAGCTGCAATAATGTTACATTACACGTGTTGGAACACTAGTGAGTATGGACAGTATTTCAAAGTAGTGTATTCATTGCCATGAAGCAATACTACGTTGAAACAATACTGCACTGGCACAAAATAAGTCCTTTGGGGACATGATACTTGCACTGGACAGCGATAATACCGCCAGGTATGGTGTTAAGGATAGCTCCGAGTTCTTAGCTTCACGTCTCCTGAGCGAGAGTTGCTCCAGTTGTGGATTTCCAAGTACCAGATGCATTACGGAATCTGTAGCATATGGCCAAATAACAATCTGTCTGCCATGCAATCTTCAAACGCATTCGCAAATCACTGGAAAAGGGCTTGTATTTACCTAGAACTGAGATCAATAGCCAAACAGAACTTGTGAAAACAATAGGCAAAACAATGCATAAAAAAAAATCATCATCTACCACTAGTTCTAAAACACATGTCTACTGTAGTGTTATGTAACGTCTATAAAGGGCCTGCCTTTAGTCAGCGTTGCAGAAAAGAGATCTGGGGATGTGTTTGTGTCATAGAAAATGGACAATTACTCGAGCCACGGGCGGGATCTCAAATGCAAGAGGTTACTCTTGTAGAACGGGGACCGGATCTAGTAGGGCAACTGATTGATGTAGTTGCCACTGCGACAGAAACGTATGGCTTGTTCAGAATACATTTGACGGAATGTGAAGCGGATGCCTATTCTTGCACTTACGGTGGGTCATATCTGCACACGACAACATTGGTGCGACGATCTCCAGAACGTTGTGCGCAGCAGCCGACGCGTTGGCTTTTCTTCCAGATGAGTTGGGTATAGTGTCCATAGGCGTGGAAGTTGCCTGTGCCGACTTTTTGACCGTATCTGTAGTCTGTAACGTGGACATTGTGTGAGACGGGTTGATGCCAACATGTTTAGTTAAAGCAGATAACGTACAGGAAATCTCTCTCCACCAAGAATCTGTGGCAGTTTGACAACTCTTGAGCTTCTTTGTATCATCAAACGCCTGGCTGGACCAAGCCTTGTACAGATTCTCCCCCGTACTACCGTGCTCAAACTTGTTGTATTGAGCTAAATATGCACCCCACTTGCAAGCTTTCGCCTCCAGTCCAGTATCGTATTGGAGTTGTGGCACGCCAACCTGCTGGCGAGCTTGGTTGTGCCGGCCAACACACGTCTGACGCCAGTACTGGGTTGCCGTCATTCGTTTTTCGAGGTCACGTTCTTCCAAGCCGGCAGGGTTCTCCAACTCCACTTCCAAATCGTCGGGGAATGGGTCATCTTCATAGTCAACGAGTTCGTTTTCATTCCCAGGGAAGGTAGTATTCAATGGTACGTTAGAGTCGAGGAGGACGGGAATACCGACAGCGACGTTCTTTGAGGTTTTTATGTCAGTGGGAAGAGCTGCCACTGTGCTGGCTAAACCAACGACAGCAGCTGAAAGGAGAGCAGTAGAATAATGGACCATTGCAAATGTTCTTGGGGAACAACGGTAAAAGCTCTTTGGTCAGTGGTGAGAGCTCCTCCCCGTTCTTTTTCAGAGGAATTGCTTTCCCAATGCCTTCCTTCCCTTCCACGTTGAACAAGAATTCCTTCCTCTGTGCTTGTGCAAGATTGCTGATCACTAAGCGCCAAAAGGCCAGAAGATGCAAAAAGAAAAGAATTGCTCTTTCCAGTGAAATTGGGGGGGAAGCGGCTGTGAACGCATGTGCCGAATCATCCAAATACGAACGACATATCGACCAAAAGAGTGTTGAATTACACTTGCATTTTTCCTCCTCTTTTTTTATTTTCTGCCATTTGTTCAAAAAGCGTCCCAAAAACAAAAATCTTTTCCTTGCGCTGAGGCTGCATTTCTGTCGACAAGGCGCCCTTTGAGGTGTTCAAATTGATGTGAAGTGTTCTTTTGGTTCCGGCTACTGGTTGGATGTGGATTCATACAAATCTCACGTAATTGCGGCAACTGGTTCGAATATGTACAGTGGGATCCATTTTCTAATGCTTCAAGATCGGAATATGCTAAGCCTCCCACTGTCAGCTTTTTGCAGAACAAATCTGCCGATCCTCTCGCCGTTTTCATGAATGGTATGTTATAGAGTTTCCGGAGCCTACTCGGAGCTATTGCCAGCTTATGGATAACGCAAAGACCCGATTCAGGTGGTCAGCAAAAAGCTATCGCATGGCTTGCTCACTTATGGTTTTGGGTTACTAGTAGGGAATTGCCCTTGCGAAACAGGAGCAGTAAGCATAACGAATGATAGCTGCATGATAACATACGTTCCTTGCGTTATTCCTAGCTCGTAGCATGAGGGCAACCAATGTATCTTCATGTATCCCGCTTTCTAGCATTATACTCTACAGAGTAAAAGATAGATTTGCAATTGGACCACCTAGTATCAAATCATATCGTCAACCCTTCGTGAGGCAGACGAGTGAATGTATATCCCCTTTCAATCATACATAATGCCAAGTGCATAGTCTATGTCATGGACAGTTTGAAGAGAGTCTCATGAACTGACAGAGAAAATCGCGCATCTGCAGCGATTCGTCACTTGTGCCGAGCGAGGCCCTGCAGTTGGAGCGTCAATTCACAATGCAAAAAGTTGTCTACGAAATGGTCTTGATCATGATTTTGAGTGCCAATCCTTGGTGGTCAAGTGAGAGTGTCAGTGGATAACAAAAACTAATCTATTGACTTTCTTTGTCCAGACAGCGCATGTATGCATTTTTAAAGAATGGACCCAATACAATGGGAAGAGGTCATCTGTTGCCTCAAGGCAAGGCGGCTCTCTGTCTTCCTCCTTCTCAATATACAATAATAAAAACCAACAAATGTTCCCATCCATTCCGGTTAGCCAGAGATTTGTCAACCATCACCTGCTTCAGTAGCTTCCCTCCTGGCTCTTTCCTTTTCAGCCAGTTGACTTCGCAATGACGCAAGTACGCCTGTTTCGACGTTTTCGGCTACACGCTGGATGCGACTTTTGAGGGCTTGACCCTCTACTTCCAGTTCTCGTATGCGATCTGCAAAGGGGTTAATGATGGACGCAGGGTTTGGCTCGTTGGCTGCCATTGCTTTGTAGCGGTCCTGGAGTGAGCAGCAAACGTTTAATACACTGGTTGCAACGTGGGCTGTGATCGCCGCTCTCCCGCGGATTGAATGCCCATAATGCATACCATAATGTCATGCAGATCCTGCTGATATCGGTTCATCCAATACTCGTATTTGGTCATCAACTTTGCGTGCTCATCGAATTGCTGGATTTCCTTCCACAGTTCAGATGATTCTTCATGGACCGGTTCTTCATCCTGAACATATGATGAGAACTCCCAACCTTGAATAAACGCCTGCAAGTCTGCGCATTTACCACAGCTTTCCTGTCGTTGCCACGCTTGGGGCGTTTACTAGGGGGTGGAGGTGCGTCCACTTTGCGCTAAATAGCCACCGCATGAGTTTATCAACCAGAGCATGGTCTACACATGATTGCGATAATACCTTTTTTGAGCGAGTACTAATTCGAGGCTGAACGGATGAATCAGATCCTGGTTCAGAGAGCGATCCCAGTTCACGCGGGATAGGAGCGGCATCGGGTGAAGACAAGTCTGTTGATCGCCTAGGAGCATTAGAACCGTTCCTAGCAGGCCTGGGTTGAGGAGCAGGAGCTTCTTGCGTGGAATCAAGAACGATGGGTTCATATGTTCGGTTGTGTCGGGAGCGGCTGTGCTGTGCAAGGGTCTCGCGGTATTGGAAGAGTTGGCGGCAGGATTTGACGGGGCACTGTGTGAACACGTCAATGCCCGTTATAAGAATTCCAACCGAATATGGGCGGGTAGAGATGAACCATTGGCATTGCCATGGACAGATGCTAGCCATCCGCTCAAATGTCAGATTTGGCTTACTTACCATGTAACGCTCTCCAGAAGAAGAAGGTGAGGTATTAACGGTCAACGGCGAGTTGACAGACAGGGCTGACATTTTTGTCATGGATGAATGACAGGATGGGACACACATTGGTGTGGCCATTGAGGGCAATAAGACGGTGAAAGCATGAGCCAAAAGTAGAAGCGGGCGGATGATAATAAGCTGGCCAGAACCATAATATCTCTAGCGCGGTACCCACCGAGCATCATGGTATTGTAATAAAGTGTCGGATGACAAGCGGCCGGCGGGGTGGGGGTGGGGGGGCGGAGGGGGGTATGGGTATGCTGATCCCAGGCAGACAACAAGCAACGAATAAACCGGACAAAGAATGCAAGGCAGTAAATGATAATCCCAAAATCGTTTAAAGTGTTCAAAAAGGCCGTGAGGTCCGAAAAGGTGTGATCTCGCCTTAACCCGCAACAAACTTCCAACTGGAGGCCCTTACCAGACTATCGGAACTATGGTTGGGTCATTAGGGATACAAAGAAACATTTCATATTGGCTATTTCTATTTTTGGATAAATGATTGGGCGGGTGTTCGCGCCTTTTTTTTTTTTATTTTATTTTAGAGGACTCCTACTTTCAGAGTTGCAAGCTACTTGGTGCATGATTATGGGGTTTAAACGGGGCACATACGCATCTTTTTAACGAGGACAAAGAACCCTTGTAGGGATTTGACTCGGGTGCACTGATCAATACACTGTCTCAGAAGGTTTGTGGTTGGCGTCAGTTGAACGAAAAGGATGCCAAATCGTTCTTTACGAACAGGTAGTGTGGGGGGTGAGTAAGGCAGGTATCCACCATATTCATGCGTGGTTGCTCAATGTGTATTGCATGCAAACGAGTAATCATGACACAGGCATGAACGTATTTTGCGAGGCTCATGATTTCACACTTCTGCCTTGCCATTACGTAATGAATTAAATCTTATCATCAATCCGGATCCATCCAAACACCGCAGATCTAGGGCCTCTCCCAACACTGCTATCCCCATTATCGACCAGCAGACTTTTATGGGAGAAAGATGCCCACTGCTCCCACCTATAATTTTGGGAGAGACCCATACAGGGACGGAAAGGACAATGTTAAGCTCATGAACGGATGTACACTCGTCAGCATGGGACAACTGTTTCGCTAAAGTACTATAGCGGAAAAACTCTTACCGCCCGTTAACGGAAATAGTATAATGTCAACCGTAACTTGATGAGCAGGACGCCATACGAGGCTCCATAGATACGTATTTGATAACACTGGCAGTGCTTTCTTTACGAATCCTGGTTTCTGTAGGGAATCTGGACGTCGCAAAGTCGTTGGCGACCCAGATTTTATTGACCACTTTGATGGTTACAGCCAGAAAGCAAAGATTGTCATTGAGGTAGGTCAAAGCCCCATGGACCATTTTTGTGTCCAAGTCAGTCATTGCGACTTGGGGGATGCGGGGGATTTGACCAGTGCTGTGGTGACAAAGGCGATGCATGGGTCTATGACGTGTATGGAATTGGGATATAGTCTCCTCACCACCTAAAAACAGACGTGGTTTTTTGAAAGAACGCTTGCCGCACCAACTGGAGGCACCTTGGAATAGGAGAGAGCTTTTCATATACAGTATCACCCGGCACTACTATACGCATACCTTTCCATTTTACTTTTGGTTGGTGATGATCGATTTTACGGGTGGCCGACGAGTTCCCCGCTACCGATCCGATGAGATACATGAGGTCCGCCAAATTAGAATATATCCCAAGTTAGCATGTCCGAGTTCTAATATCGGCAGATCGCCCAACTGCGTTGGGAAATGTTTGTCTTTAAAATAATTCGTCGCTTTATTGGTAGTTCAACGACTAGCTAAATACATTATATATAAGGTCTATTAAAAGACTTCTATTACCCTACTCTATTCCCAACGCTCTCAGTCCATAAGCATCTACAACACCCGGACACTGTGTCCTCATGACTCTGCCCAATAGACTTTCTCTGTGAAGAAGCTCGTCATCGGCCACCATCTTGTGCCACCAATGTAAGCCCAAACTCTCTCTTTTCATTGCCTGCAACTTTCCACATGATAGTGTCCAGTCGTTGGTTAAATTTGAGCGACGCGAATAGTGAATGGGATAGAAACGGGATGGCCGTAACACGTTCATGTCTGCGCAGTAGGGGTGGTCGTGGAGGATAGAGGGATCTGTGTAGTCTGCATGGGAAAGGCCAAACGCCGGTTTTCTAGCGCGGGGTAGGAGGTGGTTCATAGATCGGGTTGGGGTTGGTTGAGGGAGATATGAGGGAGATGATTGGCGGCGTAAATGTTGTGTTGTTTTGTTTTTGGGGGTGGGAGGTTGGGTTGGGACGAGTCCGAGGTGGTAGACGGACTTTTGGCATTTCTTTTGAAAGGTGCGTGTAACGGCATATGGCCCATTATTTGCCCTACGTAACCCATCGTCAAAATGCAAATGTCAGTTTCGCATAATGTAAGACATCGTCTTGGAAAGCGCCTTACCAGAGGTACCCATTCCACCCCGCTACAAACTCCTCCATTATCGCCCATAGTAACGCATCCCCCTTGGGAAAGCTCAATGCGGCATTATTGATCACATCAATCTGTTCACGAGCTACATATCTCCCAGCCGCCCCTAACGAATTGAGCGAGATAATGTCCATGTCTAGATACGTTCCACCTTCTTTGTACACCGCAGCCAATCTATAAGCATTGCCCAAGTTTTGTCCAACCCAATAGCTGTTGTTGTATGATCCAGACTTCCACCACTTTTCAAGCGGTGTGTCTGCAAAGTACGCATCGTACTCTAGTGGTTTGACGTTGACTCTTCCCGCGATCTTGGGACCCACGGCAGAGCGCCATCCTTGGAGTTTTGTTTCGAAATCCATCACGTTTTCGGCGTGGATTGATATCGAATGTTTGGTGTTCATGCGAGCAGCGGATTCGACAGAACAAAGGTAGCGAAACGTTGAAAGCTTTGTGTTGAAATGGAGAAAGATAATATTGGAGGAGGCATGAGCCTCTTGATCAGCTACTGTCGGCCGCACCGTACTGTTTGTGACGGATCTCTCATTGTCATCAGCTGAGATATGTCGTTCTCCACGAGCAAAGGAATTCAGATGAAAGTCCAGGCATCCAATGGGCAACTCTGCAACATCCTGCTCTGATATTCTTCCCAAGTACCACGCATCCCACCACAACAGTTTCTGCATTTTTAGTTCCTCCCATCCGTGTCCTGTAGAGCATAGATACAATGCCAAGAGGATCAAGCTGAGCATAGATGTTCCTGCGACGACCCCGTATAGAAAAGCCGTACTAGGGTGTCCCGCTTTTTGAACCATTTTTTCGGCGAGGCTGTTGGTGGTAGGAGACCGTAAGCTGCGAGTGGGTGTTATGGGAGGAGAGGACGGCATATCCTTCTCATGCTGACCTTCCTTTGAACTGGAAGTGAGTGCCATGTCACCACCTTGGACATAATCACACACACAAAAAAGAAAAGCGGAAAAAACCTGTTGCTAGTGGTCCAAAATAAATAACACCAACCTTTAACTATTAAACTTTTAATGTTCTAAGCAGAAGGGTTGTGGCACAGTCATACAAGAGCGGTCAAAAGGGCTCATTGCGCAGTAAGCAAAGGCGAAGAAGAAGGAAGGGGGTTTATACAAGACAAACAATCTCCCGATATTATCTTTCAACTTTGAGGAAATATTCGGGCCCAATGACACCGTTTTTGCCTGCGCTCAGAATGACATTATTAGCAGAGCGGAGAAAGGGAATTCCATCGGCAAGCGCTTTAGCCATGTCAATGTAAATGAACACATCACACGTTGATCTCATTCCACTGGTTAAAAGAAAATAGAGTTGGGGGGTTTTTTTTAGGTGTTTTGTCCTCTTTGGATACGTGTGGTTAATCAAAGAACCCTGAGCAACTTGCCTTATCACCCCATTTTCTCCCGGCTTGCCAGGAGCAAAGTGGATGTGTTGTCGTGCCATTGGTTTCAGCCCGTGTTTTTCTTTTGATATTGGGGATATCAGTTTTGGGTTTATCAGAACACTTATATTTTGCCATCCATACTTACGAATGGACGGCCAGTTTTTTGCATATGTTCCATGTACGACAATTGGGGCTTCTGCAGGAGATGTTATGGGCTGCATTTCCACCTCAACCTTTTGGTTCACAGAAAAACGGATTGGTCAATGTTCCAAATTCGTCGTTGGCGGGGGAGCCAAAAGCCGCCAAAAGCGATATGCAAGTTCATTTGAGCATACCTGTAGTGTATGCCCCTGATTAGCTCTAACAAGCCACACCTTCTGATGTGTTCCCTCTACTGCTTCCTGGACAAGTGTGAACCGCTGCTTGTCATTTGCTTGCACAACTTGTTGAATGGTGGTTAGGGATGCATGTTTAAGACGGGGATGTTTGAGCTGTGTATGCAAACACTGTTGAAACCCGCAAGTGCTCGGAAGGATGGCGTAAGAAAAGAATGGTCATTTACCAGGTCGTCTACAAGGACATAACCGTCAGCACGTATCGGAATGCCGTCTTTTGCGGCGCCATGGCGGAGGACATAGGACATTGCTTTTGAGATGCGGACAATGGGGTCATCGGTATGTCGCCCTCCCCCTCTCCCTCGACCTCGCGCAATACTCGCCATGGTGCGAAGAGCTGAAATTGTGTGAAATTGTTTCAACAAAAAGCAACAGTTGAGGGTAGTGTGCTGTCACTTGCCTCGAATACTAAGCCATCAAGTCGCGTGTCTGTCTCCCTTCGTCATCCCCCGCGAACTGTGACCTAGGGTCCAACCACACCAACAGCGTAAACATTTCCATTGCAATCTGTTTCTTGTGCATTCATCTAAAGGGACACCATGGCGCAAGCCAACGGTATCGTCGTCCATGTTACATCCCACCACCATGAGCAGGCAGCACAAGTGCCTGATTCTCCCGTTTCCCGTCCGACATTTGCCTCGCGTCTTTATCACCTTGCAGCTCTCTGGCTCCTCGCCGTCCTTCTCATCTCATCCCTCCTCGCCCTTCCTGTATCCCTTGTCTTCCTCCCCCTCGCAGCGGTCGCAGCCGTTCCTGTTGTCACAGCATTCACGATATGTCTCTTTTGCGTCAGAACAATAATGGGTATCCTTGACCTTGAAAAGCACATGATAAAAGCATTATTAAGAGGTCGACGAACGTTAATCGGCCAATTCAAATTCGTGTTTCAAGGGCTGTCTGTGTGGTTGGAAAATAAAAGAGAGTTCCCGGTTAAAAGAGAGCAATTTGGTGTTGGTATGTAGATACTTCTTTGGGCTGCGCTCTGATCCTGCGAGATGCTCATCTTTTTGATTGTAAAGATCTGCCTGATTCAGATCCAGCGTTTACCATACTTCGGACACCGGAATCTGGTAATGAAGACAACGACTCTGCTTCAACGGATCTTCAAGATAGGAGCGGTCAACATGCAAACGAAGCGAGATCTGACGAAGTCACGTCCAATTTGAGTCAGAAAGACGATGAATCTTTGTCAAATAAATCAATGGAGCTGGAAAAGGAACCATTGCATCAGCAGACTTCATATTTGGAGCGACGTAAGTTTCCGTAGCAACCACGTTTTGAAGCTTTAGATAGTTACACATTCCCGCAGGTTCATCCCTCTCCGAGAAACCGGTTGCAGGGTTACGACATGCGCCCAAAGTCGCTGTACGCCACTTGCGCCCGGGAGATGAGCATTTCATTGCCATTTGCCATAATCTGCTCTTAACCACCGGAACGGGGGAAGACCTGCCACCTCCACGTGTTGGGCTGGTGGATGACACTGAGCATCACATCCTGTCATATTGGCGGGCGGATACAGGAAGAAACAGACCAAGTGACACACTATCTACTCGGGATCTTGTTGGATTCATCGAGGTACTACGTTTAAAGGCCACATTGTCTGACGTGTTCTTTCCTAACATGTTTGTATCCATCAGTACTTTCATGGCGCCGAAGACTCCTGCCATCTCTGCATCGATAAACTCTACGTCAACACAGCCTACGAAGGACTCGGCTTCAGTCGTCGACTCATTAAAGAACTGCATCGTCTTCCCGGAATCGAAACCATCGAAGTGTGGAGTTTGTGGCATACAGAGCATTTTTATAAAGAACATGGGTACACGACTGTACCGCACCCGCAAGGAGGAAGGGTTGAGGCTGAGTGGGGCCCGCTGTTGATATGGGTGAAGGCTGATAATGAGGTTGAGAATCCGAGAGCCAGCATTATTGGCAGTGGAGCACATGGGTTTTGAGAGGCAAGGAGGGTTATTTGTTTTTTGGAAAGATGCTCGTCGGCGTGCGTGGTTTCCTCCCGTATTGGCCGATAGTTTGTCGTGAATACCTTTTTAAATGTTGCTCGTTTGTCGTTTCTTGGTAGAGTAATTAAGAGAGAATTGTGGGTTGATATCCCTTTGCCTGACAAACATGTGCCGTTACTGGCCTTGTTGAAGCCCGTCCATTGACAGTGGCTTCGCATTAGGTATATGAACATAAGCAGATTAAGTTCCATGTACAAGTGCGCAGCTCACTGCAACTGGCATTGCCTGTTGATCCGTCTTGCCACATTCTGACGAGTAACCACTGCATCCCTCAATTTTATCAACTACTCGGTAATACTCATCTTTGTAAACCCTTCCTGTGTGCCTGTCAAATTCAACATTTGACCCAACGTCCTTGGGCTCGGTGGTGGATTACTACTTGCAAGGTGCGGGTGTAGAGCATGTCCTATTATCGGGGTTCCATTTGAACTGCCATTGCTATTCGACGATTTCTCTCCTCCTGTGGTCGTTCCACCCGTCCCGCCCGTTTTCTCGACCCCCCACATGTTCCCAGAGCCACTCGATGTACTTGACACACTCGGCGAGCGCTGTCGTTGAAAAACCAAAGGGAAGGGAAGACTGAAGGGTGGAGGTGTGGAGCCTGTTCGAGGGCCCATTGGTGGAAAGTAGGAAGCTGCGTACGTTGGTGAGTGGACGGTGGGAGAGGACGGCATGCGAATTCTCTTGTAGGGTTCGAAGCGGTCAGTGTCGGCTGATACTGCAGTACTTTGTGTAAATGAGACGCATCATAAAGAACAATTTCCATCATGTGCTTACGTTTGCGTTTTCCTTTACGTTCAGACGCCGAGGGCGAAGAGCCTCCGAGCATCATATGAACAGGCGAGAGTGAGGGGGACGACATGATCACTTCTTGCTGTTTTGATATAAACTAAAATGAATGATTGTCAGATATGAAGGCTTTCTGAAGACGCTGGCAAAGTTTCAGCCATACACTATTCTCCGGGTTCAATTTAGAAGAATGTGATACATATGTAGCTGGGTCCTTGAGTGCTGAATTGGGTATAGCAACAGCGCGCACAGGTACCGGAACACCAAGATTCTCTGGTGTGGTCTCTCTGCTATCCGCAGTAAGTGACATGGACATTGCCCGATCGCTTCGTGGCGTTGACGGATCCATCATCGAGGGCGAGTCAGGAGGTGATTCTTCTAGCATCGATTCTAGTGACTCGAGATTGAACGCAGAGTGAAGGGTGGGGAAACTTTGGTTTACTGCTTTTTCGTGCGCGATTTCCTTATCAAATGGCTTTGCCTCTTCCTAACATTTATGTTTGAGACGTTTGTTTATCGGCACATAAATGTAAAAAGTAAGATGTATGTTCATACCTTGAGCAAATTTGCAATTCTATTCAGTGGTTTTGCCGATAATGCCGATAGCGAACTCCTCCTACTGCCCGTCTTCCGCGGTGTACCATCGACAGCCATCGGATCCATACTGAATGCCTCGTCGGTGAGCGTATTCATCACCATGGCATCTGAATTGCGTCGGGCTAGTAAGGATGCTCTACTACTGCTTGCACTATTTATTACCGTGTTTCCGCCCCCGAAAGGACCTACATGAATCGACAAGGACGACTTGTGTTGCGATCTTCTCGATATGGGGGTTCTAGTCAGATGACGAGTATGCATGTCGTCTGAATCATCCGAGTCTGCGTCAGCCAGATCCCGAATTCCGCTTCGAGAACGCCGACAGGATATCGAGCGGTGCGGTGTTGATTTGGGAGTTGTCGTGCGAAGGAACGGGTTATTTGTACCGAGCTTTGGAAAGGATGGGCCAGCTGATACCGAGGAAGGAGGGTATGATTGATGTTGCGCTTCTGAAGGTTGGAATCTAGGGACGTTTCTTGTTGGGTTTTCAGGAGTGTTTCCCATTTGAAAGATGCGCTTTCGAGGAATCGGTGTGGCCGGGCCGTCTGGGTTCATGGTGGGATTCAGGATCAAACAAGTTAACAAATTGACCAGAATTTGTCGCAATATGCACTATATGCAACGTGCGCCAGCCTTGCTCTTCAATCCAAACGTGGATTCCGATACGATCTTACAATTTGCTTTGTTGTGTGAAGGGCGCCTTCCGGTGGAGAATTGAATATCGCTTTGCTGACTCAGTGTCCACGTGACCCAGAAGTGAATCATCATTCGTTCGGACATGCCAAGAGGTTTTGCTTCTTGCGTATTGTTACAAGATATATTTCCCTTTATCATTCTAATCATATGCAGTTCAATTATCCCTCGTATACTATACATGATGAGACATGTGCAATTGAACTCTACTATGGATCGTACTCTGGGTGAATGGGGTGCGGAAAGATACAACGGCAGCCGTTAAACGTTAACTAACCGTCAATGTAGATATTTGTTTTGCCTCTCCCATTCTATAATGTGAATGGCAAATTGGTGAGATCTAGTGTGATTAACGGTTCAGACGATGGCGCCATGTACAAGTGTTCCATCCCCATAGTCCGATCATCCGCTGACGTAAACATTCTATCATGTGATAATCACGAGAGTCAATTTTGCAAGTCGCGTTTTTTGGAACACTTCTGACTAAACTGAACACTTCGAGTTTTTTGCAGCACACACGAGGCGAGTCCCGTTTTTGCTTACTTTTTGAACGAGAAGCCGTTGTGCGCACACCCCCCCGTTTTCGCGTCGATTTTTTAACCTGCAGAGCTGGAGAGGACGAGTTCTTTTCGGACCTCTTTTTTCGCCTTGTACGGCGAGGATACAAAGAATAACGACCAGCGGATTGCGAGCGACGAGTTCAGGGATCCCTGCATGGTTTATTGTTAACCATGACGTGGGTGTGAACAGCAAGCGCACGACCGAGCACCGCCCGCCAACGGGTATCTTTTTTCCCCCACCACACAACACGCCAATACCTGCAGACTGTGGTGAAGCAGCTATTGGCGCGCACTGCTGAACGACCTTATATTTCACCTACCATTGCACTTGTACACACACACACACGCACTTGTCAAAAAACTGAAAGAAGCTAGATAGCCACTTAGAAAAAAAGAAAACAACCATGTCAGCAAAACAACGTATACCACCACACCTTGTCTTCGCGTACCTTGTCTTGGTGCCCTTGATCCTCCTCGTTCTCGTCAGCCCTCGGGTGAACGCACAGGGCCCAGCAGGTGGAGCGCCAACCAACAACACCAATAACAATTCAACATCAAAACCGTCGATCCCCAGTGGCCCTCTCGCAACGCTCGAGCCACCACCAGGAAAACGTCTCTTTGGCGCCTGGCTCAACACAACCGGCGACACACCCGCTCTTTTCAATTCACATCTCGGAAGGAACGCATCCGTGTTCCTTTTTACACTCTACATACCCCCGGAAGATTATGCAACCAAATCCCCTGCAAATCATTTGGAATTGATCGATCAGACGGCGTCGGATGCTATAGTGCACTTGAGTGTATTCCCGCGGAAGGGCTTAGATTCGCAAAATTTAAGACCAGAGGATTTGCAGATGGTGGTTAATATCTGCAAAGGGCTTAATAGGAGAGGACGGGGTGTTTTATTGAGATTTGCACCAGGTAAGCTTGTTCAAGTCCAACCGCATTTGCGGCGTGGTTCTCATTATCACCATGCAGGAATGAATGTTCCTTGGGTTCCATGGGGTCAACAACCCATCCTCTTCATCAACACTTGGAGGGACCTTGGTCAGAAACTTCGTAGTACACCAGAAGCGAACCAGACTGCTCTTGTATGGGCACCGTGGGACGGAAACGGATATCCGTGGGCCGGTGACGACTACTCTGTAAAACGAGGGACTGCTGATTACGATGCACTTGACACCTCCAAAGACGGCAACGTCACGGCACTGGACAATCCATATTCACCATATTACCCAGGCGATGAATGGGTAGACTGGGTTGGATTGTCCATCTACCACAAGGGCGCGCGCTACCCCTGGGTCGTAAACTCTATTCCCACAGCAACATCCATAGAAGACGCCCTACAGGGCAAACTTCTCCCTTCATTTGTCGATTTTTACAACGCATACGGCCGAGAAAAGAACAAACCTGTCATGCTCGCTGAGACTGGTGCCGTCTATCACTTCAACGCCACGACCGGCGCATCAACGTCTCCAGGTGCTCCCACCGAACTGGCCACAAAACAAGCTTGGTGGCAGCAATACATGAGCAAACTTTTTTTGGATACCTTTCCCAAAGTGAAGATGGTTTGTCTGTATGAAGCTGTGGAGGTGGGAAAAGGACAGGAGGCTGGGACATTGCTGGATTATCGAGTTTTGAACTCAACGAGGGAAGCCTTTCTGGCCGATTTGACCAATGCCGTCGATTCTTTTCAGTGGGCAAACTACACAGGGTTCCGCACGACGTATGTCCCCAATGACGCCAAAGATGATGGCGGGATGGGAAAATCTACGGGAGATGGAGGCGGGAACGGCGATCTGACCAGACTCGCCATTGCTGGTATGGTGTTACTACCCATTATGACGGTCGGGTTATGGGTCGGTTGCGCTGTCTTTAGATTCCGACAACGGAAAGCCGCCCGGGAACGTGCGGAGGCGGAGGCAGCCAATCCATTACCCGAAACGGCGAGTGAGAAAGGATCTGATGGCGATGGTGATGTCGAAAGTGTTGATGACGGTGCGACGATTGTAAATGTTCGCATTGGGAATCCCTCGGATCTACCTGAAATGACTAGCGTCCGTGATAGCGAGGACGAGGTGTGGATAGATGGAGGAGATGACAGCAGCGTGGATGAGATGTCTATTGTTGTGGATGGGTCCGGGAGGGTATTGGACGAGAGACTTTCATAGTGTGTGCATTTGTTTGATATGCTTTATATTTTGTATTATTGATGGGAAAAGTGTTACAACTAATAGGAGATCCATTTGTACAGTCCATATTATTATTACTTGTATTCATTGGTTATTTTTTACGATAGGCAACAATCTAAAAAACAGGTTGAAGAAATGTCACACTCTTTGGAATGGTTTAGATCAGGTCAACGCAGCAGGGTGTGAATGACATAATAATGCTCAAGTGTGGCGCAGGCGATGGGCAGTGCTACAAGGTTATTCCGACTGTTTTGCCGACTTTTATGCCAAAGGGGAATCCGGACGACATAACTGACGGACTTTGGACAACCGAACGGACATGTCGACGCCAGCTTCATCGTCAGCGGCATCCCCTCCGGGGAAAGGTATTGCATTTTGATTCTGTCTAATTAGATTGAGGGATTGGCGTTGACATTTTTCCCGATGGTAGCCGTTGATGAGTCGGTTAAACATCTCCACCTGATTGATGCCATGCGCACAAATGACATACCAACTATTACTGCAGCAGTCCGTCGCCTCGCAGATAGCACCGTGACACCTTCCTATGGCAGTCCTCTTCACCTTGCCATCTCCCTATGTTCGACGCCGGTGGTTGAGCACCTCGTTGCAACCTTTGGAGATGCACTCAAGATCTGGGTAAATGCACGCAGTCTACCTGACGGTGAAACCCCGTTGCATGTCGCTGCAAAACTAGGGAGGGCTGACATCGTCGAGGTGATCTTCAAAATCAAAGGATTGGATGATACCATTCGAGACGCCGATGGAAGGACGGCGGAGGAAGTGGCAAAGTCGGAGCGAATAGCGGGGTTGGTTGTCGGTGAGTATTGGATTCGACGCAATCATCTGAATGCCCGCTAATGGTCATAGTGGTGCATTTGCAGCTCATAAGACGCAGTACGCAGAAAAGATCCTGTCGACGGTCCGACAACACCTTCATAACAATGCAACACAAGCTGCGATCGATGTGTTCAAGAACGATGCCCGAGCAAATGCATACCTGTCGATGGGATGGATTGATATCAATGCACCCATTGATCCCGAAACTGAACACAGTTTCCTGCATTTTGCGGCCAAAGCAGATGACGTCCAGCTTTTGAATTGGGCGCTGGAGCGAGGCGCGGATCCGGGTGTCAAAGATAGGAAGGGAAAGAAGCCGGTTGATGTAGGTGCTGGTACTTGCGCAGAATGTTACCATTTATTGATCAAAATCATTCGAGCAGCTCTGCCCAAAGAAGGACAGCAACACAAAGGAGAAGCTCAAAACAGGTTGGTTGGGTGGTTTGCATTGAATCAATTTTTCTGTGTCGCTAAATTTTAGTTTAGCAATTGCACAGGCTCCCATCATGTCCGGCAGCCTACCGCAAGCCACTTCCTCAACGTCAGGAGCACACAATCCACAAGCTCCGACTTTGCGGGGCACCCTTTTCAAATGGACCAACTATGCTGTGGGCTACAAAAACCGCTACTTTGTTCTTGAGCACGGGAATCTCTCCTACTACAAATCTTCTACCGACTACCCCCTGGCATGCCGCGGGTCCATCTCGACAATGATTGCTAATGTAGTACTACCCGACTCTAGCGATAAAAGCCGATTCGATGTGGTTGGAAAGGGAAGCGTCCGATACTCGTTGAAGGCACGGAGTCCTGCTGATGCTAAAAAGTGGGTCTGGGCATTGATGGAGAGCAAAAAGTACATGATTGATCGTGCCAAAGATGCAAGCGGAGACACTTCGCACACAAGCGTCGAAGAGAAGGAAGGTAGCGAGGAATGGGAGCAAGAATCGAGCGCTGGTGAAGATGAGGCCCCTTCTGTGCGACTGTCGGTTGCTACGGACCTTGCAGCATCTGGAAACAACCTCAATGTTCCCGCTGAAGAGGGACCACTTGGTTCTGCAAGGTCTTCGGTTTCAGGTGATGGTGACCGACATTATCCGGCCAGCGTTCACACCACACGAACCGCACAGGACGCCCTGCCGACCACGTCAACCCAAGATATTGGTACACTAATGTACCTTTTGAATGTGCAATTGGACGTTCAACAGCGCGTTGTAGAGGCGCTTGTGGATGCATTAACAGTCCATAGCAGTAACCTTAGCACTTCGACAGATCCATCTGCGGGAGGACCGGTTTCATCCAATACTTCGTTTTTACAGGAAGTGGACGTTTCAAATTTGCCGTCCTTACTCCAAAGTTCATCCAAACACGTACAGGATACCGTGCGGAAGCTGGTCGAACGCTGCGAGCAACGTCAACGGCATTGGGCGAGGAGATGGAAGAAGGAAAAAGAGAGTCGGAGAAGATGGGAGGAGGTGGTGCAGAAAGTCTTGGGAATTGAAGGGTTACCGAGCGGGCAAAATATTACATTGCGGGTTGGGCATCCTGTTGGTGGTTCTGATACAGTGTCCATAGCTACCTCGGGACATGGTGATGTTGACTTGGAGGAGGACGAGTTTTTGGAGACGGAGGACGGTGATGTCTTTTACGATGCCATCGAAACGGACACATCGGCTGCGAAAACGGACACGGGATATATTGAGAACATGTTTGGATTTGATGCGATCGATGAAAGTGTTGGAAAACCTGTTTTGGCGCGGAGACCTACTCGGACAGCAACATCAATGTCTCTGGTCCTTCCCTCTGGACATGTGATATCTCGAAAAGCTCTCGAAAAATCCTTGTACGGATATCCACCGACAGGTAACTACCGTACCTCGCTTCCTCTAGACCCATCCACCCCGAAGCCGTCTCTGGCCGTCTGGTCTTTCCTCAAATCCGCGATCGGAAAGGATTTGAGCAAAGTCACGCTACCCGTATTCTTCAACGAGCCTCTGAGTATGTTACAACGAATGTGTGAGGATATCGAGTACATTGAGCTGTTATCACTCGCCAGCTGTGTTGGACGAGGTTTTGTGCCTGCGGAAGAAGGCGGTGCGGCGCGTACTGCTGCTCAGACACTTGGGGTGTCTTTCGACGATTTGTGTGGATTAGACGAGGAGGATGCGAGTTTGGTGAGAATCATGTATGTCGGGGCCTATGCGATGAGCAATTACTCGAGCACGGTGGGCAGGGTGAATAAACCTTTCAATCCATTGCTGGTGAGTGCAAATGCATGTTATTAACTCGTCTTTTTCTTGATGCTAACGTACGGTGCAATTTAGGGCGAGACATATGAGTTGGTCCGGGAGGACAAGGGTTTTAGATACCTGTCCGAACAAGTTTGCCATCATCCGGTATGCTGAAAATATGTCTCTCGCAGACGATGTGGTCGGGTTTCTGACCATCTTGTTTTTTATTTCTGTAAGCCAATCAGTGCGTGTCACTGCGAATCCCCAGATTATACTTTCTGGACGGAAGTCAATGTGAAATCCAAGTTCTGGGGAAAATCCCTTGAGATTCACCCTCTTGGAATGTGCCATGCACGTCTTCCTGTCTATACAAAAGCTACCAATCCCGAAGAGAAAGCCAGTGTTTCCGGCATGGAGCATTATAGCTGGAAAAAGGTGACCACAAATGTGAACAACCTCATTGTTGGCAAGCTTTGGATCGATCATTATGGCGACATGGCGATACACAACTACCGGACAGGAGAGGATTGCATTATCACCTTTAAACCCAAGAATGCCGGCGGAGGATGGTTTGGCTTGGGCGGGGGGAGCAAGAAGAAGGATGACGCAAACGGAGACGCGGATAACGGCGGTGGTGAAATTGTTGGAATCGTCAAGGACGCGAATGGGGTAGTCAAATGGGAGCTAAAAGGGCGCTGGGACGACAAGGTCGTAGCGCACTTTGTCGGCTCACCAGCCGGTAAACCCAAAATATTGACTCAACCTCTCCCGTTGTGGCGACGTAACCCCACACCAGCCAATGCTTCGCAAAATTTCAACTTTACCGCATTTGCCTGTTCATTAAACGAAGCCAATCCTACTCTCACCTCGGTCCTACCCCCCACGGACTCTCGTATCCGGCCAGACCAACAGGCAATGGAAAAAGGTCAGTGGGACCTAGCCAACACCTGCAAAGAAAAGCTAGAAGAACTCCAGCGCAACAGACGAAAAAATATTATCGCAGAGTTTGAGAAAACAGGCGTCCCATCCGGCCCATCCTCTGATGTTGGTATACCCATTGGTGAGGCCTGGTGGGTCCCCAGATGGTTTGTTCGAGAGGTGGAAGAGGATGGTGGGGAAGAGCATTGGAGGTTTAATGGCGAGTATTGGAAGTGGAGAGACCGGGTTCAGAATGGTGAGGCGTGGCCTGAATGGGTTTTGGATGTTTTTGGGACTCGTGGGGGGGAATCGGTATAGTGGACGGTAGGGGCTTACGTAGATGTAGAGGGTGTGTTACTGTTACTGTTTGTCTTTTTTTTCTTTTTGGTTTGATTTTGTTGAGGTACTCTAAATACAATTTTGATGCGCGGAAAAAACTGCATTCAGACAGCAAGAGTCGGTTGCAAGTGTGTGCAAATCCTTTCTCCAGAATACTGGGGGAGCGATGTTGGTATAACGGATGAAGAGCAGCTCACGCCCATGACATGGCCGCCAAGAAACAGAATTCTCTCCAAAAACTCGTTGAAAAGATCGAGTACAGCACGCAAACAACAATATTCATATATCCTAATAGCATCGTGAAAAAAAAAAAAAAGAAAATAAACTATGTACTTTCCAATCGCATTATACCAAAAACCCCCAGAAAGCAAAATGGCCAATGACAGCAGCCCAATAATAGATCATTAGTTATACAGCAATTAAAACCCGGCCCCACCACCCCACAACCACTCTTGCCCAGCCCATATTCCAAGACTAATCAATCCCGCCGTCCAAAGCCTTGTGGATGTCGGCAACCTCTGACGTTTCGCCGGTCGACCCTCGTGCTCTTGTTTCTCGAGCTCTGGGTCGTTAGACTCTTGGGGGATTGTGGGTGACATGAAACTGGGTTTACGTTTTCTAGGAGATTGAGCAGATGGAGGTGAATGCGGTACGGGAGTACGTGGCGGTGAGCTTGGAGGGGATGTCATTGGGAGTTCGCTACTGTCTTTGATATTTCGTTCAAATTCGCGGTTTGGTCCAATTTGTATGGCAGGAACTGTGGGATCTAAATGGGATCGAGCTTTTGGACTTTTATGTTGACTGTTGCTAGCTTGGACTTGCTCTGCTGCCTCTTCTCCTTCTTCTTCAATGTCAGCGACGGACGATGAACTTGGATTTGCATCGTCTGGTCCCAGCGTTCGCCAGTCATCATCCCTATTTTGCCCATTCGGCGGATCCTCTCCATCTTCCTCCCACTCAATGGAATCAATCCTCCAACCCAAATGCTCAACCTGCTCCTCAATTTTTTCAGCCCGTTCATTTATCTGGTGAAGCCCCCATTCTTTCATCTGGTTCAAATCCTCCTTGATGGAATCGTTATCTTTGTACTGATTATCCGCAAACTGCTCCAAATTTTCAATCCGATCCACAGTGCCGTCCAATTGTTTATGGACATGTGTCTTGTCGTTGAAATATTGGTTTTGCATTGCGTTGAATTGGGTTTGAAGTGCATTGTATTGGGCTTGGAGGTTCCCGAGCTGTTGGGCTTGTGTTGCCAGTTGAAGTTGAAGGACTTGGATATTCTGATAGAGGACGGATGCCGTGGGCAATATCGTATTGGATGCGGATTCGAGGCTCGACATGCTCTCAGTTGATTGAGTTATGGAGCTATTGGTGGCTTGTACAAGATTCTGCTGTGAATTAGGGGCATAACTCGACGTTTGCCCATTGTTGCTGAGAGAGGGACTCGCAGGCGATTGTACCTCGGACCCAGGTACTGAGCTACCAGCTCTTATTGTAGTAACCGGCTTTGCTGTACTGGTGTTACCCTGTCGTACTTTCTGTGACTCTGTCGTGGGACTATTTTCCACCTGTCCTTTGTCAAGGCGGTGCGGATCCATCTCCGTCATCCGATCGTCTATAGACTCTTCCTGATGATTTTTAGAGGCCCCACCTCGACTCTGTGCCCTGTTGATTCCATGTACATCTTTTGCTGGCGCTCTTTCGGCTGGACCTTTCCCTTTCACGTCCAGAACGGGTGTCTTTCGGAGTGAGCTCTGCGAAGATGGCCGTTGCGCTGTCCCTTTACGGACAGCCATAGGAATAGATTCTCCGGCGGTAACCTGTTCGTCAAGATCTTCTTGAACGTGTCCCAGCTGTTCTCTCTCTTCTTCCAGCTCGGCTTCTGCTTCCAGAGCCGCCTGCTTTTGCGCTCTCCTCCTCTGGCGCTGCGGTCCCATCCGGCCTTCATGCTGTTCTTCAGTATAGACTCGCACAGGTGGCGACTCTGTTCCTTCTCTCCGTTCGTCCAGCTCATCTTCTGCTTCCAAGGATAATTTCTGATTCTTTCTCTTTCTCAGCCCTTCCAGTCCCCCCAGCCCGCTGCCGCCAAGCCGGCCTCCCAGTACCAGGTCTCCAGATACATGATCACGCTCTGCTTCCCTCACCAACGTCTCAAACTGTTCACAGTGCGTTTCTCTTTTGATTGACATCGTATCGCCCGATCGTGCATCCGCGCGATTCCTACCAGTAGTATTGCGCCGGGTCGGGATTCGCCTCCGTTTTGATGATGAAGCCTTCTTTTTAGGTCTCCAATCCTCATCATCCTCTCCAATTGGTACCATTTCGATGTCACCTGCCAAATCTACGGCGAGCGTTTCTACGGTCTTCCGTCGTTGACGCGGCTTAGCCTTTTGTGGAGGCGCTGCGGTCTCGTTATCGACCGAAGAACTGGCCGGTATCGAAGGTGGGGCGTGCTGATCTCTTTCACTGACACTGTTGCTGGCGCTATGCGTAACGGTTGCAGGGACAGAATGGCTCGGTGAAAGGCTAATGTTGGGCGTCATCGTCAGCTGACTATAGACTTGTTCCACCTCAGCAACAGTGCCAGGAAGGAAGGGAACCTTGAAGATAGGAATTTGTGGCTCGGGTGATGTAGAGGGTGTGCGCGCAACTCTGGTTCGCCCAGAGGCCGCCGTGGGGGACGCGGATGAGGTGAATTGCCAATTGAGGTCTCCCGACGTGTGGGGGTCTGGCGATCTTGCTGCTTTGTTTGGCGATATTGTGGACTGGGAAGATTTCTGTGTTAATGGCTGGGAGTTGGACGGTGAAGATATTGGTTGTGATGCGGGTGCCTGGGATAGTCTCCCAAGTGTCCTTTGGCTAAAGACTCTTTCCCTAAAAGCCAAGAAAAAACAACGTGTTATTATTATCAGTTTACAAAGCTCCCTCCAACGAGAACATAGTTACAATGCGACATCCGCCTCCGGAAAGTCAGAATCCTCCTGGTCACTATCCATGGTGTCAAGGACGAAAAGACAGCAAAGCAAGAGCTTCCCAGGAACTAAAGTGTCATTTATCTCTTTATGGATTTATTACAATGTGGTTCCAATGTATCGTAAGCGATCTCCACTTTTTGAACAGTTATTTTACAATAGTGTGCTTACAGTCCATCTTCTCTGATCTATTCCGTCTCCATAACCATTAACGCTGCCGTCTTATGCGGCAGCTTGATTTCTCCTTTGAACTGGAATCCAAAATTGCACAAGTATCCTATCAGCTTCCCATTGTCCGCTCTAGGTTCCAAAACAACCCTCTTTGTGCCCGAGCAATCTCCAAACATAAACTCCACGACTGCGGGCAACCATCCCTCCACACGGTGGGAGCCCCTGTATGCTTCTTCTCCTACCAAAAGATGGAACCCACGGTCATGCGTACCAGCATCATAATATCCTGCGAGTCGATCGTGTGCCGCCCAGTAAATCTCAAAGTAGGCGAAAGGGACGTCGTTGAACATGCCAATGCAAGGAATAGAGTGGGGATCGGCGAGAAGTGTCGAGAGGTATTTGGTATGATGAGACTCATCTCCTACTTCATTCCAAAATTTACTGACTCGAGGATTGTTGTGCCATTTTGTCAGAAGGGGGATGTCGGTCTGGAGGTTGGCGACACGAAGGGAGAATGTTTCATTCAGGTGAGGTATATATTTGGAGAAGAGGATAGTGCCAGGTAAGGGTTTGGGTGGACATGGTGCAAGGCCCGACTCTTTCTTGGTTCCCGTCACGTTGATCCCACTATCTATCCTGTCTACGTTGATGCGTTGACAGGTGGTAGGAGAAGGTACCGGTGATGCTGGTGGAGTAGCGGTTTGCTTAACATCCACCATGTTGCCGCTCTGCTTCTGACCGAGAATCTGCACCTTGTTCATGCGTGCTTGAATGGACTGAAGCACCTCGCCACCTCGAACACCCAGAACTGAAAGGAGTGTATCACTTAGTCCGTGGGTATCTTCACAACAACCTTGTACGTAGATGCCAGCGCGACAGGCATTGGTTGTTGACACTCTGTAGTCACGACCGACAACAATCTTGTTGTCCTGATCCTTGTTCAGGTACGGCAGCACGGGCTGTAGCACATCCAAGTGGGCGAATCGCTCGTATCCCGTGCCGAGAAACACGGCATCAAAAGTCCGTTCATATCCAGTCGTATTATCGCTGCGAGAGTCCCTTAGCGTTAGAGTGATGCCGCCACTCGACTTGTGCATGTCCAGTATGGAATGATTTGGCATCAGTGCATGCTTAGGTCGGGTTTCGCTTCCAGGTAACCGTTGCATGTACATCATGCCGTAGATCTCATTAATGAGATTTTCGTTGACAACAGAGTAGTTGGTTGCTTTATCCCGGATAAGAGAACTTTTCCGTTGTTCGGATGTTTGCGCATAAAAGGCATCGCGACGGTCAGGGTCAAACACCTCGTTGACAAAGGGAGAGTCATCCGACGGGCGGAGAGCCGAATCGCGGAAGATGAGGTTGACTTCAGCGTTGGGATACCTTCGTCCCAAGTCCATGAATACTTCGGCCGCACTCTGTCCCGATCCGATCACCGCGAGACGGTATGATGCCTCAGCATCTGGAAGCATTTGTTGGACACGGTAGGTGTATTGAGAGGTATGTGCAAGGTGGGGAGTAGTTGTCTGGTCTACTTGGGAACCGATAGACCGGTGAACAAAATCTGGGTACCGTGGCTGGCCACCGATGGCCACAATGATATTCTTGGTGTCTCTTACTATGCGGGCTCCATCTGAGGTTCTTGAAGTAACCCGTAGCTGACTGACGGTCCCGTCTTGGGGATGAATCAATGGGTCCACAGACATGACTTGTTCACCGTAATCGCAGAATTTCTCAAACTTTTTTGCCGCCCATGACAGATAATCGTTGAATTCGACCCGGTATGGGTTCCAGGTACCCAGATTCACGAATGGAACGAGACGATCGTTCTCGTGCAGGTATTTGAGGAAGGTGAAGTTACTCGTGGGGTCGCGCAGGGTAGCTAAGTCCTTGAGAAAGGAGATTTGCATCTTTGTACCATCAAGAAGCATACCACCGTGCCAGAGGAAGGAAGGCTGCTTTTCAATGAAACGAACACGTAGGCTCTCATCCGCTGTTGTCGTGTCGAGAGATATGACTTTTTCGTCTGCCATAGCAGCCGCAATGGCCAGTCCTGCTGGTCCAAACCCGACGCAGAGAACATCAAATTGTTCTGGCTGTGATTGCGTGGCAGGCATTTTGCTCTTGGTGTCTCGTGTGTGAAGGAGTTAAAAGATGTAAGAAATCGATAATGATGGGAGCCAAGGGATAAGGAATGGAAAATGTCTATTCTAGTGGGTATTGCGGCGTGTTATGGGTGAGGATCAAGTACAAAGCTTTCCACATACCAAACAGAGGTGCTGTTTTTGGTGGGGTACGCGAGAGGGTGGATGTATTTAAGAACAAAAAAAAACTCTAGGGACATGCCAGGGCAATATCCCGTCGTCGGCACAAAAAAGCGACAAGTTCAGAATCCATTACGCACGAGGAGTCATGGCCCTTCGCCGACGCAATTTTTTTTCATTTTTGGTGAGTTACCTGTGTGGAGAGGGGGGGCCGAAGGACCATCCCGAAAGTGTGTAAACAATGGACATGGTAAGTGCCATGAAAAGGAAAACTCTATCCGATTGGCGGACGACGACCGATGCGGCGATGCAAAAGTGAAAGCAAGCAAAATCCAACATCAACGCAAAAAGCAGCATTGGAAGGGCGCGCATAAACGCATTTGTTTACAATTGGATCGATCCAGCTACGATCGGACAATGTCAGCCAATCACGACTAGTTGAAGCCACGCGGTCGTTGAAATTTAAAGTTTTTTTGGAACACCTTTTTAGCACACTTATTCCGTCATTTCCTTGTAAGCTTGATATCTGCGCACTTTAACATCCCAGTCCGTCGGTTGTCGGTCGTTGGTTGCTCTCGGGCAGGAATCCTGTAGCAAATGAATTGATTGCAGGAAGAGAAAAAGAAACCTTGTTTGTCTTCCAATCGGGTCTCCCTCAACCGAGGGTTCTGTGTGAGGGTGCCGGGTGTGCTCTAGTCTTTTGGAGGTGGTGACGATATTGGTACAACAACCAGGAAGAGTATTTTTTGAGCCTTTGGAGGGCCCGACGACAACGCACGCTGATTGGCAGCATCTTCCTGTTCTCCAAGGGTCCGACGACGACTTGCCAAGGGACCAAAAATGCACCATCGTATGGACATGGTATCCGATTATTTTATAGTTTTTTGTTTTCAGACAAAATAGAATTCACAAAGAAAAAAAAAAACGTTTGAAAAAATTGTGAATGTGGGAAATGCCTCCTTCCAAGCCGGAAGGATCGTAACAGGCCATTGCAGCCGATCACTTGTCGGTCATCTCCAGAGTTGCATGCAATTGCGATTCTTATTTTTTTTGTCGTTGTTTGCTGCTGTAAAGCGATGGCTTACGTCTCATTCCTCTGGCTCTGTGTTTCTTGATCAGCAGCATTTGTGCAATCGGGCATCATCTATATTCTATCGAGCTACCCATTACCTCTTTGATTACGGCGCATCTTTCAGAGCCTTATACCATTATCTTTAATTGATCTCTCAGGACATTAGCTCGCATTTTATTCATCAATTTCCCTCGCATCGGCTATATACGACTCCTCAAGTGTGACCTATTTTCATGATGCTCGGACACCCAACACCTTCGCCAGTTGCTGCTGACCAGCTAATCACGGCCTTTCCAAACTTGAGCGGGAAGCTGCTGCCTTCCTCTGCATCTACAGCATCTCATCTTACTGAAACATTCCATTCGTCGATCGATGTATCGCATTTCGCACAATCGTGTGCCAAAACCTATGGTCCCAACTCGATGCATGCTGTCATACTTGTCGCTTGGGCTCAAATCTTGAAAGGTTACGTTGGCGAGCAAGCTGTTGGATTTCAACTAGCCGATCTTGAAAAGGGACCAGTAACCATACCTACTCGGGTGGAGCTACACTCAGCGCTCAACAATCTAGATCTTGTTAATCGAGCGCGGTCCGTTTTAGAGCAGGAAGAAGCGGATACCAGAGTCTCAGCAGATACGGTATTGGCAGTGTCCCTAGATAATATGAATGAGGGCGAATGGGAAGACTTTTGCAGCGCTGTTCAAGTCAATGTCCCCGTACGTTAGCCACGAATGTTTATCTTTTCGTGACCTGATTTCACTAAGGCCATACTTTATCTAGGTCAAGCTCTTGTTCCTCGTTAACGTTACCCGTACCCAACTGACCTTCCAACTCACCTGGAACTCAAACCTCTTTCCCATTAATCAGGGCCTTCAGCTATTGTCGCAATTCGATTATATTCTGCAATGGACGCTCGCCAATCCTATCGCACATCCATTGGCTCTCGACTTTTCCGCCCTGCCGGAATCACAACTTTCCATTCAAAACCCGAACCCGATCGAGCGAACGAATGCCACAATACCAGGTGCCACTCTATTACACCACCTTTTTGAGCAAACATGTATCCTCTACCCTCATCGGCTAGCTATCGAGTTTCTTCATTCTATTGAAACCGGCGCGTCGACACGGTACACCTATCAAGAGGTCAACGAAAAAGCCAATCAGCTCGCTCGGGTTCTCTTGAGCCACGGCGTCCAGCCAGATGATATGATTCCAATATACGTAGATCGCTCACCGAATATGTACATTGCCTTCCTTGCGGTCCTCAAGGCCGGGGCGGCATATGTTCCTCTCGCAAGCGATGCACCCGTGGAGCGAATTGCTTTTGTAGCGGGGGACGTCGCCGCAAACATTATGATCACGGATGCAAAGAACGTAACTCTTTGTTTGGAGCACAACACTTTGAGAGATTTGATCCTCGTCAATTTGGACTCGGAGGCAGTTCAGTTGGATATGGATGGCCAGGACAAGAGCAACACGGACTGTTCACGGATTCAACAAGAGCATTTAGCCTACGTGATGTACACGTCTGGGTCGACAGGAAAGCCCAAAGGTGTCCAGCTTCAACATGGAAACGGAATCGAAAGTATCCTCTCGCATCATGCCATCATACCGCACGCATCACCAGCCCTCGACGCTGGCGAAAAGTTTCTTCAATTTGCATCTCCGACATTTGATGTTTCTGTATTTGAGATATTCTTCCCCTTCTCCCTGGGTATGTGTCTTTGCTCAGCTAGTAAGGAGCTGCTTCTAGCTCGACTGGAAGATACCATCAATGCTCTCCATGTCACCCACATGGAACTCACTCCCACTGTTGCTGGGTTGGTTACGAGATCGAATGTGCCAGGTGTCAAGGCATTGTTGACCATTGGTGAGATGTTGACGCAAAAGGTGGTAGACGAGTGGGCTGGGGATGGAAGTTTGCACAATGCCTATGGACCTACGGAATGTGCCATCCATTGCACCATGGCAGCTGACTTTGATCCGACGACGAAACCAAGTAATATTGGAATCGCGCTTGACACATGTACGCTCTACGTCATGGGTCAAGAAGAACCGAACGCACCTTCCTTGTCCGTGGTACCTATAGGACATGTTGGAGAGCTCTATGTTGGTGGTAAACAGGTCGCGAGGGGATATCTCAACCGGCCGGAAGCCAATGCAGGGGCTTACTTCATTGACCCACGAAACCCTGCAACCCGGATCTACAAAACAGGAGACTTGGTTCGCCTCCTCCCCAACAACACGCTTGAGTTTATTGGGCGTGTTGCAGACGATCAGCAAGTCAAGCTCCGAGGTCAACGGATCGAATTGGGAGAAATCAGCCATGTCGTTGCAGGCGCGCATTCAGCAGTAGTCGACGTGGTGACAGCTGTGATAAATGACGAGCGAGGAGCTGGAGGCAAGATGCTGGTTTCTTTTGTAGCTGTTGGTAATCTGGATTGCCCAGTCGTGGGCGAGTACGAGCTCATCCGCGTTCTGCGACCAAGAGAGGTTGAAGATGCTTGCAAGTCTTCATCTGCTTCCCATCTTCCTCCATACATGATTCCAAATGCATTCGTATTCATTGACAGCGTGCCAAGAAATCTGTCAGGAAAAACGGACCGAAAGCGCCTCGCTAAACTCTTTTCAGAACTAGACTTGGACGCAATTAGGGACACACCGCTTTCTACTCTGCAAAGCGCTGAAGACGAGCAAGTGTGGGAGAAGAACGCTACACTATCCACCCTTCGCGAGGTAGTCTGTAAGATGAGCAAGACTCCGCTTACCGGAGTCACGCTCAAAACGTCCATTTTCTCTTTGGGGATTGACTCTTTGGGCGCTATCATTTTGTGTTCCAAACTTCGGGAACGGAATATGCATATCTCTGTCACGCAACTGCTCCAGAGTCCAACAATGGAGGAGATTGGCAGGATTCTCGACAGTCCTAACGATAAAGCTCGTGAGAGTTTGACCAAACTGAAGCAACAACGCCTTGCTCTGAGGGAAGATTTTCTTTCCAACATTAGCGGACTCTCTGCAAGTCTGTCCCACTTGCTGAAGGTTCCAACTAGTAGCATCGAAGACTGCTATCCCTGTACACCTCTACAAGAGGGTCTACTTGCTGAGACGTTGAAAGACCCCAAGGGTAAGCGGTACTACGATCGAATACTGATACGGGTGGCAAAAAATGTCACAGCGGACTCACTTCGTCGAGCGTGGGAGCATTTAACGACAACAAACCCCATCCTGAGGACTGGATTCGCAAGTGCGGACGGTGTTCTCAATAAGGATGCACCTTGGACATTCCTTCAGGTTGTTTGGGAACCCGGATCTTGTCCACGGCAGGGGGAGAATTCGTTTTCTATCGCAGAGGTTGAGGATGAGGCTAAAGTGGCAGGTGTCATGGAAGACTTTCAAAAGAGAAACGCTTTACAGTTTGAGTCTTTGCATGTCCCGCCTGTAACTGCGATGTTTGTGACTGTCAGGTCTGGCGGTAGTAGCTACCTGGCCATCATGGTCCACCATGCTGTTTATGATGGTTGGTGCGTACCTCTAATGTTACGAGATGTGGAGGCCTACCTTTCTTCCCAGTCGTCATTACCTCGCCCGGCATTCCGGAACATTGTTGAGCACCATTTCTCAACGCCAGCAGCGGAGGCTGCATCCTCAGTCAATTACTGGAAGACGTACCTGGCAGATCTTCCATCCCTTGAATCTTTTCCGACTCTCACGTCCAAGACGACACCTCCAGTAAAAGACATACACATATCTTCGCGCGTGGCTGCTCTGACGACTTCTATCATTGAAGAATATTGTCGCGCTCTGAGTATAACACCCCAAACGCTCGCCCAAGCGACATGGGCCAAACTTCTTGCGCTCTATACTGGACAACAGGATGTCATCTTCGGGTCGACGCTATCCGGTCGGAATATACCCGTTGATGGAATCGAAGCTGTCATGGGACCGTGTATCCATTTAGCACCTGTTCGAGTCATTGTGTCCAATGACGATCTTGGCATGTTGCAAGCGATCCAAAAGGATGGTGCCGAGATGTTGGAGCATTCTGCAGTGCATTTGCGAGTTTTGGCTGAGAACGTTGGGCGGGGCGGGATGGGTGGTCATGGCTTGTTTGACACTTGGGTAGTCTACCAAAAGGTCGACTATGGTGCGACTGAGAATAAGCGGATGCTGGAGGTTGTTGACACGGACGATGCCTTTGAGGTGGGTCTTTCGTCAAGTTCTCAAGCTTTGTACAGTATTGCTTCATATTAACATTTTGTACACAGGATAAAATCATGATTGAAATTGATCCGAATGGGGACAAGTTTCTTATCCGCGCTCGTTGCAAAGCGGACATAATTCCTCCCTCCCACGTCGACATTCTATTGGAACAATATGAAAACATTTTACTGGACATTATTGAGAGGACCGCTCCTGCTGGTTTCTTCTCTTATCCCATTCAACGGGCGGTTTCCAATCGCGCATCACTGCTCAACGCCTCTCCATGCACGATACCAGGATCCGCTCCACTGATGCACCAGTACGTTGAACGCTGGGCACAGGAGACACCTGATCGTCCAGCACTCGACTTTCTCTGGGAAAACGAAGAAGCTGTGCCAAAGATCGAGTCTATTACCTACAAATCCCTCAATGAGCAAGCCAACCGTATCGCGCACCATCTAATGACATTTAACCTTCCTTTGGAATCTATTATTCCAATCTGCTTTGACAAGAGTCCCCTGATGTATATTACCATCCTCGCGGTGTTGAAGGCAGGGTACGCTTATCTCCCGATTGAGCCGGGCACGCCAGCTGAACGTGTACAGTTCATTCTGCGCGATGCGGGCGCAAAGGTGGCGATTACTGTGGGCGCGTTCAAGACGTTAATGGTTGACAGCGGGGTCGAAGTCCTTTGTTTGGATGAAATCGAGTTAAAGGATCGGAGAGGGAACCCGGATATCAAGCTAACCCCAGGAACATTAGCTTACGTCCTCTACACATCCGGTACAACCGGGCAACCTAAAGGTGTCATGATTGAGCATGGCAATGTGATGAGTAATCTCGAGGCTCTTCAACGTCTCTACCCACCGACTGACCCAACCACGTCTCGAATGCTGCAATTTGCGACATACACGTTTGACGTCTCAGTGTTTGAAATCTTTTATGCATTCGCGGGTGGCATGACGCTCTGTTCGGCTTCCAAAATGCTCATGCTGGGTGATTTGGAGAGTACGATTCGGACACTTGTGCCTACGCATTTGGATTTGACTTCCACGGCTGCTGGGTTGATTCGGCGGGATCATGTCCCTTCGGTCAAGGTATTGATCCAAACGGGTGAAGCGCTTACAAGGCGGGTCCATGATGAGTGGGCTTGTGTCGACGGGGTGACGCTGATTGACGCATACGGACCCACTGAGACGACCAATGTTTGCGTAGTATATTGTGGAGTGGAGCAGGAGACCCGCATAGGTTGCATTGGTGAACCGTTGAACTCGTGTTCGGCCATGGTGGTTGATTTTAATGATGAGAAGATGACGGTGTTACCTTTGGGATGTGTGGGGGAGTTGTGCATCGGAGGACCCCAAGTGGGGAGAGGGTACCTCAACCGATCGGATTTGACTGACGCCAAGTTCCGCGATATCCCAAATATGGGTCGAGTGTATCGTACGGGTGACGTTGCGCGCATACTCCCCTCGGGGGAGATACAGTATCTTGGTCGTAAAGACGATCAAATCAAGTTGAATGGACTTCGAATCGAGTTGGGAGAAATTAACGCTGTTTTGGTCCGGAGTAGTGGCGGTGAGGTCAGGGACGCTGTCACGGTTATTGGGCGGCGAGAAGGTGGGAGGGATGTATTGGTTTCGTTTTTGGCTTTGGGAGGTCACCAGGACCGTAGCGTTCTCTCGCCAAACGAGACCGTGCGAGATATCATTGAAAGAGCCGTAGAAGAGTGTCGCCGGACGTTACCCTACTACATGGTACCGAACACAGTTGTTCCGCTCACAGAGTTACCAAGAGGATTGGCGGGCAAGGTGGATCGCAAGGCCCTTCAAGCCATCTATGAGACAATGGATACAGAGCTTTTGGGCGTCTTTTCCTCGTCTGCTAGACAGGATGCAGTAGCGGCGAACGCTTCCACCACCGAACCCTGGAGTCCAATGGAACTCGTCATCCGATCGCACATCTCATCAATCTCCCACGTCCCCGAGATGGACATTGGTCGCACCACCTCCATCTTCCAGCTGGGCTTGGATTCTATCAGCGCCATCCAGCTCTCGGCCAAATTCAAGCAATCCAACCTTCACCTTTCTATGATTGACATCATGCAGAACCCTACGATTGATCGAATGGCTGCTCTACTTGATGCCCAGGATGGAGTGAAAGAGCATGTATCAGATGAACGTGCGTTGGCTGTTATCCGTGATACGATCCAAGCGTTTGATCGTCTTGTTCGGGGGTACGTCACCGAAGTTTTGGAAGGGAAGGTGGAGGATATTGCGGCCATTCGACCTTGCACGCCCATGCAGGAAAGCATGTTGGGACAAACGTTGCGAGGTGGGGGGTACGTGAATTATCATGTTTGGGAGATTTCCTCGCATGTCGATGCAAAGAGGTTACAAAGGGCTTGGGAGGAGGTTGTGGAGCTGAATGAAGTGTTGAGGACTGGATTTGTCCCGGTTGGAGATGTAGAGGGTGCTGAGTGGCTTTTTGCCCAGGTTGTTTGGAAAAGGAGACAGTTAGTGTGGAGGAATGAGGAGAGTGGAGAGGATGTTGAGGTAAGTCCATGGATTTATTCTGAATTATGTGAGTTGTGTAACTGACCATCTGTCGTCTATTAGGAGACGATTACCAATGTGCTTCAAACACCGTTTCCCAATCTCCTATCCGGTCGTCCGCCTCTCTCGCTCACTTACCACAACAGCCCAACCAACCCGTACTTGATCCTCTCCATCCACCACGCGCTCTACGATGGACGTTCCCTCCGTCTCATTCTCGATCAAGTCCGCGCACACTATCATGGAGACGCGATCAAAGACCCGCCGTCGTTTTCATGGGCTCTTGAACGGATTTTAGCACAGAGTGGCCAGGACGTGCGGGCTGAGAGGATGTGGAAGGAGGTTTTGGATGGATTTGAACCTGTTGCTTTCCCGGATGTTTCTGGACGAGGTGGAGTCAAGGAGGGTGGACGTACCGTTATTGTGAGGAACGTGGGAGTTGGCTTGGAGGTTGTTGAGAGGGCATGTCGAGGTTTGTTTGTCATGTGGTGTTAACCGCTCTGAAAATGGTGATTGACTTGATTGTGCCCTTTTCTTGCAGAGATGGACACGACGCTCCAAGCCCTTGGGATGGCCACCTGGTCCAAGCTCCTCTCCACTTACACAGGCACGCCCGACACCGCTTTTGGAGTTGTTCTCTCTGGCCGAACGGATGCAACCCAATCCTGGAACGATATCATTGGGCCGTGTCTCAACACTGTTCCATGTCGCATTACCTTTTCGGAGGAAACCGTGACATACAGGTCGCTTGTCCAACAGGTGCAAAAGGCGTATACGGATCTGTTGCGATACCAGCACACCCCTCTAAGAAAGATTCAAAAATGGGCTGGAGTAACCGATGGACGCGCCTTGTTTGATACGCTTTTTGTGTTTGATCGGGTTGAGGTTGGTGCTGGTGAGGAGTTGTGGAGGAGTGTTCGAGGAGTTGGTGAGGTTGAGGTAGCGTATAAAAGTGTCCCGTTTTTCGCAAGAATTATTCATATGTCATAACCTGTTGTTACAGTCTGTCATTGCAGTTGAACTCCAAGCAAGGTCGGACGGAACCCTCACCATTGAAATCGCATGCAAAAGCGATATGGTATCGGCAGAGCAAGCAGGCTTGCTGGCCGAGCAGTTCGAGTCGACTCTCATAGATACCATCACGCACCCGGACTCGAATATGAATGAACCGAACCACCCATCGCATCTTCTTTCGATTTGTAATCCACTGGCACAGGCCAATGATGTCCCTTCCCAGATAACGTTCATGCACAGCTGGCTAGAATACCACGCAGCACACAAGCCCACGGATCTTGCACTGGAATTCGCAATGGATATTACCGAGACTCATTGTCAAACACTTCAATGGCGCTACGAAGAGTTGAATCACCAGGCGAACCGTATTGCGCATTTTCTGCGGACGAGGGGCGTAGGTGTCGAGGACATGATCCCAGTCTGCATACCACGCTCGCCACTCATGTATGCAGCCATGATGGGTGTATCAAAAGCCGGAGCAGCGTATGTACCTGTGGATCCGGACGCGCCGGCGGAACGAAAACGGTTTGTCATAAAGGATACGCGCGCAACGCTTGTCTTGAGCGTTGAGAGACAATATGTGGATTTACAGTTTGGGGATGTGGAGGTTATGCCTTTGGATGTGCGATACATTCAATCGCAAATCAACGCTCAGCCGAGGTGGAATCCGGTTATTGATGGATTGTCGGCTGGGCATTTAGCGTATGTTTTATATACATCCGGAACAACAGGGAGGCCCAAAGGTGTGTTGGTCCAGCACAGTAACGTTGTGCAGAGTATTTCATCGTTCAAGGAGATCATACCCTTTACGCCAACGTCACGGTTTCTCCAGTTTGCATCCTGCGCGTTCGATGTATCTATTTTCGAGTCACTTGTTTCATGGAGTGTGGGGATTTGCCTGTGCAGTGCACCGAAGGACGTGCTGTTGAAGGATTTGGAACTCGCCATACGGTCCTTGAATGTTTCGCATGCGGATTTGACGCCGAGTGTCGCGGGGCTTGTTCGTCGTTCCAATGTGCCTAGTCTTGAGGTGCTTGTGACGGGCGGCGAAGCCCTGACGCAGCAAGTGTTGGCCGAGTGGGGTCCGGATCAAAATATTTTTAATGCGTATGGGCCTACCGAGGCGACGATTGGGTGTACGATGTTGGCGGGGGTCAAGGTGACGGACAAGACTACCAACATTGGACGGCCTTTTGGGAATGTTTCCGCGTTTGTCATGGGCGTTGGTGGGCCGTTGTCGCCCGTGTTGAAAGGCGGTGTTGGGGAATTGTGTGTGGGTGGCCCACTGGTTGCACGGGGGTACCTCAATCAACCTCAATTGACTGACCAAAAGTTTGTGGAATGGACGGATCCGATCACAAAGAAGAATCACAGGCTATACAAAACGGGTGACCTTGTCCGTATGATGCCAGATGGGACACTCGAATTCCAAGGTCGGGCAGACCAACAAGTCAAATTAAACGGTATCCGAATCGAAGTTGATGAGATTTCGCATGTGGTCAAATCCAGTTGTGCGGATGTGAAAGCTGTTGTGACGCTTTTATTGAAACATCCTGAACAACCCAAGAAGCAGATTGTATCCTTTGTTGCGTGTGCTTCTCTGAGTGAAGGGGACATGCTCGTAGCCAAGTCACAGAAACGGGATGAGATTGTTGCGACGATTTTGGAGGGAGTTAAAAGGGTGCTCCCTCTTTACATGGTCCCTGCTCATATCCTTGTTGTCACACACATTCCGCTGGGTGCAACCGGGAAAACAGATACAAAAGCACTTGGCAAGCTTTTTGAAACCGCTACGCCGAGTATGATAAGAAGCGACAGCGGGTATGGCATCACAAGCAAAGAATGGACACGTACAGAAACGACCCTCCGAACCGTTCTCGCTACCGTATCCAACACCTCTGAAAACGATATAACTCACTCCACCACCCTCTTTGAACTCGGCCTGGATTCACTGAGTGCCATTCTTGTTTCATCTCGGTTACGATCTCATGGTGTTGATTTGAGTGTATCGGATATGTTGCAAGTACCGAGTGTTGCTGGTATGGCAGCCCTCGCGGATCGGAATCGGGGGACGAACAAAGAGGTTCAGAATCCATTGGTGCGGGGTCAACAGGCTATATCAGAATTCAACCGCGTGCATCGACAAGAGATTGTCGAGCAGGTGGGAGACGTTGAGGTGGTTGGGGTGTATCCGTGTACGCCGTTGCAAGAGGGTATGATCGCGGCTAGTATCGCGACACCAGGGTTATATGTGAATCATTTTGTGTTGCCCTTGGAACAAGATGTCGTTCCGGAACGACTTGAAACGGCGTGGTTGGCTGTGTGTCGTGCCAACGAGGTACTCCGAACAGGGTTTTGTGGTGTGCGGGATGGGTTTGCGCAGGTTGTTTATAAGGATGTTGGGGAGGTTTGGTCTACCGATATGTGTCAAACATGGGACGACGTGCTTGAGCGGGTTGGATCCTACAAGGATCAACTTGAGTTGAGTCTTTTGACACCTCCCATTCGTGTTCGGTATGTTGGGTCGCCATTCGGGTCTCAGTGTGTGCTGTCATTACATCATGCCCTGTACGATGGATGGAGTTTGGACTTGATGTTCGAGGACGTTCAAAAAGCATACAAAGCAGATACGGTAGTATCTCGACCCCCGTTTTCGCAGTGTGTAGAGTACGCACTGGGCGTCTCATCCGATGATGCCCAAAAGTTTTGGGAACGGGAACTAGAAGGGTGGTCTGGAACGCGGTTTCCGGATTTGAGTGGACAACGGTTTTTGAATGGGGATGTTGGTACCGAGTACATGATTCAAGAGACGTCCCGTCATTCCATGGAGACTCTGGAAGGGTTTTGTAAAGTGACGGGTACGACCCTATTAGCGCTATTCCAACTCGCGTATGCAAAACTCTTGTCGACGTACCTCTCTACAACGGATATTGTTTTCGGACATGTTATCTCGGGACGTACGCTTCCAATTCAGGACGTTGAATCCATTCTTGGACCAACGTTTAATACCCTTCCCTGTCGGATTCGATTGGATGGATCGAATACGGATGCGTTGAGCAGGTTGCAAAAAGGAAATGCTGCCGTGTTGCCGTATCAGACGGTTGGGTTGCGTCAAGTCCAGAAATGGGTCAAGAGTACGAGTTTGTTTGATACCTTGTTTGTTTATATGAAAGGACGGGAACATGGTGGTGATGTTTGGAAGGAGGTTATGGGGGATGCCAAAGTGGATGTGAGTATTTATTTATGTGTGTTTTGTGTGTGCACTCTGTTGTGTGTACGAAAGCTCACTCTTTTACTTTTATTATCGACAGTACCCACTTTCCATTGAAGTCGAATCCACATCGACATCCCTCACCCTCCGCCTCGCATCCAAAACGTCCACCCTATCCACACAACACGCACACACGTTTCTGTCCCAACTCGACGACGTGATCCACTCTATTATCACCACCCCGGATGCACCCGCCAAACATCTCCTCATACCGCCCGAACGCCTCTCTATAGCAAACCACCCTCCAAAACAGATTGCGCCGTCGGTTTTGCATGCGAGGTTTGAAGGGCATGTGGAGAGGATACCTGACGCACCAGCATTGTATTGGTACGATCGTGTCGAGGCAGCACCCGTCGTGTATACCTATGCGGAACTCGATCGGCTGGCGAATCAGATGGCTGGGTGGGTGGCATCTAAAACGGATGCAGAGGTGGTGGGCATCAGTCTGGAAAAAGGTGTACTGATGTATATTGCTTTATTGGGTGTACTGAAAGCCGGGAAAGCATTTGTGATGGTCGATCGAGATTTGCCTATTGAGCGGAAGCGGTTTATGGTCTGTGAATGTGGGGGTGTGGTTGTGGTGGGGTCTTTGGATGTGGATGCGTTCAATGGGTTGATGCCCCTTGTCTTGGATTCTATCGATACGTTGAAAGAGCATGCACGGGACACCTCGACTGAACACACACGATCCAACACGGTGAAAAACACAAACGTAGCATACGTGCTGTATACATCGGGTACAACTGGCCAACCCAAAGGCGTTCAAATCACCCACGACAATGCCGTGAACGCTCTACACGCGTTTACAACAAGCATACCATGGAAACCTACTTCCCGCTTCCTCCAATTCGCAACCTGTTCATTCGATGTATGTATTTTTGAGCTTTTTTTTGCGTTTTCGTGTGGGTTTGCTGTTTGTTCTGCACCCAAGGATGTCCTTTTAGCGCATCTTGAGGGGGCTTTAACGGGTATGCAGATCACACATGTGGATTTGACGCCTTCGGTTGCGGCTTTGGTACGGAGGGATCGAGTGCCTACTATTGAGGTACTTGTTACGGGTGGAGAGGCCTTGACGGCGCGAGTTGTGGATGAGTGGAGTGGAGAGGATGTGGTTTTGGTTAATGCGTATGGACCGACTGAAGCGACGATTGGGTGTGTTATGACGCGTGTTGATAAACGGACCAAGCCAGAGTGTATTGGACGGGTCTTGGAAACGTGCTCGGGGTTTGTGGTTGGGGCGGATGGACGAGTCCTTCCGTTGGGTGGGGTGGGTGAACTCGTTATTGGTGGACCGCAGGTTGGAAAGGGGTACCTAGACCGACCTGAGTTGACTTTCGAACGATTCGTCATGTTACATGATTATGGACGGACTTATAAAACCGGGGACGTGGTTCGTATGTTGGCGGATGGGAGTATTGAGTTCCTAGGCCGAGCAGACGATCAAGTCAAGTTAAACGGTATACGGATTGAATTGGGTGAGATTTCTTCTTGTTTGGGACGTGTTCGAGGTGTTTTGGATGTTTCTACCCTCGTTTGTCGACACCCTTCTCAAGTGCGGGACCAAGTTGTTTCGTTTCTTTGTGTGGGAGGTACGAGTGGATTAGAACCTTTGGATGATGAGATGCAACATTTGGTGGATCAAGCTGTTGAGTCGTTACCAATGTACATGAGACCACGGCATGTGTTTTCGATTGGGAAAATGCCTTTGGCGAGTACAGGCAAAACAGATCGAAAGGCTCTTGAAGCGCTTTATAAAGCCCTGGATATCCATTCCGTTGTTCCAAAACAAACGGATATGCGACCTTTGACGGATTTGGAAACGGCGATTCGACAAGTACTTGCATCTACTGCTAATGTGCCCCCTGATTCTATCACGCGGACTACGACGCTTGCTCAACTGGGATTGGATTCGATTAGTGCCATTCGCATGTGCAGCGCTTTACAAACTCGCGGTATAAATGTCCCTGTGTCCAAATTGATGCGATATCCATCTATTGGGATGTTGGTTCCCATGCTCCAAGAAGAACCGGTGGATACGATTTCAGGTGACTTTAGGACTCAATTACAGGCTTTTGAACACCGTGTGATTCAATCTGTGAGTTCCGTGGTGGATATACCCTCCAATGAGTTACAAGCCTACCCGTGCACACCCCTCCAAGAAGGCATGTTAGCCCAAACGCATCAAGATCCGCGACAGTATATCACGCATACAGTGTTACAATTGAACAGCGGTACGAATGTCGAACGATTGAAAATGGCTTGGGAGGGTGTGATTCGGGGTATGGATATCCTTCGGTCTTCGTTTCAAGTTGTTGATGGTGTGTGGGGTATGGCGCAGGTTGTTCGATCGAGTGTGTGGATGCCGTGGTCGGTTGTTCATGTTGATTCAAAGGAGGGGATAGAGGCTTTTATGGAAGGTGTTGAAATGAGTTTGGGTGATCCGCCGATTGCGTTTGGGGAGGTACATGTTGGCGAAGATGTGTACCTTGTTTTATCCATGCATCATGCGTTATATGATGGATGGAGTTTTGAGATGATTTTAAGGGATGTTGAAGGGGTTTATCGTGGGGGGTTGGTACCCACCCGACCGGCCTATCGCGGGGTGGTAGAGTATATCCTATCTCGACCCGAGGCTCCTGCCAAAAAGTATTGGATGGAGAGACTAAAAGGCGTTGTTCCGACGTTGGTTCCGGATTTGGGTGGGGTGGAAGGAATTGGTTCTGTTAGGGTTTGTGAAGTTATGAGTCAAGTCGTTGAGAGTCGTGTTAAAGGGTTGGGGGTATCGCTTTTGGCGGTTGGACAGGCGGTTTGGGCCAAAGTTTTGGGGATTTATTGTGGGGAAGAGGATATTGTGGTATGTTCTTTTCTTGTTTCTCGTTGGGCGATGCTGTCGTTTTTTATTTTATTTATTTGACTTGTGATTTTTCTACATAGTTTGGACACTTGACATCAGGTCGAACTCTCCCCATCCCCAACATTACCTCCATCCCCGGACCGACTTTCAACACCCTCCCGATCCGCACAACCCTCTCCCCCACGAAAACCAACCTATCCCTCATCCAAGAACTCGATGCCCAACATCGAGAAGGGATGCCATACGCGTGTACACCCCTACGTGATATTCAGAAATGGGTTGGAAAGAGTTTGTTTGAGACGCTTTTTGTTGTGAGGCCTAAAGAGGAGGTTCAAAATTCGGATGGGATTTGGAGGGTTGTGGATGGGAAAGCCAATGTGGATGTAAGTATATTGTGTGTCTTTTTGGGGGGGGATGAACAACAAAGGAAATACTCACCACTTTTTGCTACAGTATGCACTCTCACTTGAACTCGAATCCACATCAACGCATTTGAGACTCCATGCCACAACCACCCGTCTCGCCCTCCCACAACTTGATCTCCTCCTCCACATCTATGAAGTGATCCTAACAGATATGTTGACCCGTCCAGAGGCACCAAGCACATCCCTACCGACCCTGCCACCCCAAACCCTCTCCAAAACGCATGGGAAGCCTATAAAGGGATTTGAGAGCATGTCAAGTGGTGTTGAACGATTTGCACGGACGAGACCCACGTATCCTGCTTTGGAATTTATGACGGGGCAAAAAACGACGGTGTGGACATACAGCGAATTAAATGGGCAAGCTAACCGGTTTGCGAGGCGATTACGAGCGTCTGGAGTCCGTCATGGGGATCTTGTTCCCATTATTGTGGTCAAGAGTGTGTGGATGTATGTTGCCTTGTTGGGTGTGCTTAAATGTGGGGCGGGGTATGTTCCTATTGACCCTGAGGCCCCAATGGAGCGAAAGAGGTTTGTGGTGGGGGATGTAGATGCAAAGAGGGTGGTTGTGTCAAGGGGACTTGAATTGCCGGGTATCGATTGTATCATTGTGGAGAATTCAGAAGGGGATGCAGATGGAGAGTTTGAGACAGAGGAGGTGGATCCAACAGATACTTGCTATGTTATTTACACATCGGGAACGACGGGGACACCCAAAGGTGTTGAAATCAGCCACGCAAACCTCTACGCAGCCCTCAAAGCTTTTGAATCAACGATCCCAATCACCTCCACATCCCGATTCCTCCAATTCGCAAACTACACGTTTGACGTGTCTGTTTTCGAAACGTTTTTGGCATGGCGTGTGGGCTGTACGCTCGTTTCGGCTTCTAAAGACGTTTTATTATCTGATTTGACGGGGGTGATCCGGTCTGCACGGGTCACGCATATGGATTTAACACCTACTGTTGCGGCCTTGGTGCGACGAGCGGATGTACCGGATGTAGAGGTGCTTGTCACGGGTGGAGAACTATTAACGCAACGGGTACTTGATGAGTGGGTTGGAGTGCTCTATAATGCTTATGGACCGACGGAAGCAACGATTGGGTGTAGTATTCATAAAGTCTTGCGAGGGGATCGGCCAAGTTGTATTGGAAAAGTGTTTGACGGGTGTGATGCGATGGTTGTTTCGGGTGAGCATGTCGTGCCGCGGGGTGCTATTGGGGAGTTGTGGGTGGGCGGACCTCAGTTGCCAAGGGGTACATTAACCGTCCGGAATTGACTGCACAAAAGTTTATCGAGT